TTTTGGGGCCTGGGAAGACCCCTCAGTTCATGGAAGACGGCAACTCTGCTCACGGCCACAAGACTACTAGCAATATTTGTGCTACTTGGCGTACTTCTATGGGTATTACTCTATTCCCCCATCCTGCAGTTAGCCCTAATATAAATCCTATTGAGAAGTGCTAGAGGAGAATAAAACAAGCTCTCCATAGGCGCCTAAGGCAGCCAACAACTGAGGTTCAAATGGTTGTAGCAGTATTAGAAGAATGGGACAAAATTCCTCAGGAATGGATCAATGGGCTTATTGAGCAGCAGGACTTCTGGGTACACGACTTAATTAAGCGATGTGGCTGGTCTACAGCTAATTAATTAATAAAATTCATGATTCTGATGCCCTGAACGCACGGACTTTTGTCCCCATGTTCGTAAGTGCCATGCCGCAAGACGCCACGTATGTCTGAAGCCTGAAGGAATGATGCCGACAGCGATGTGTTTAGGGGTCTGTGCGCTAGACTTGAGCTCCGAGATCCAATCAGAGGAATTTGATCCCTGGAACGCTCGGACACATTCTGTTCAGCAAACTTTGTACCTCCAAAGCACCTTGACCCTTTGGCAAACCCTATAGCAACATCTGAATTCTTGTGCCTACAACTTCAATGTAGGATCTACGCCTTAAATTAACAGCCTTCAATCAGATCACTGCACATATATGTACTAGTCTATGCCTCAGTTCCGCAGTACCAGCAAAAACGGCCTCTTGCAGTAGAATAGTCACTTATGATCATCTTCAAGCTCGTGTGCCTGGATTGAAGCACTGTACGTACTTCGTACTGTCAGACTCCTTGAATGAACTGCTTCTCCACTTCTGGGTCTGTGTGTACAAAGGTACGTAGTTTCCCAGGGTCTATATCCATTGAAAATTACTTTTCTTGTTCCTTGCCAGCCCTCTGGAACCTTCACGCTACTTGACTTAAATTTTGATATACACTACGTTTTACCGGTGCTGAAGGTCGTCAGGGTCTTCTGCCTTCAGAGTAGTCCTGTCATACAAAAGTGGGGAATCGCAGTTTGTTCTGGGGGCGGGGGGAAATATATCCACTGTGTGGCCCGTGTATCGTGGCGTCAATGTCTCAGTAAGCAGAGTAAACCGGTTATTCCTTGCTGATCGTCGCCACATCGTGACTCATTTATTTTGTATTTCTATGGTTCTTCATCCATCAGTTCCAGGCAAGAGCAAGGCAATCGACTTACCTCACTTCGCTGGAGGATCCACAATAGCACTCAATCGTTCGATATTTCTGCACTGTTAAACCGCCGAACAATTAAGGCTGTGGTCTTAGTTTTCAATGGTCGAGTGTCCAATTTGTACGAAACCTGTCAAGCCGGCAAATATTAACCAGCATATCGACTCAGGATGTCAAACCTTCATTGAGGGTCACTCTCATGAACCTAGTCAACAGGATGGCGTATCGTCAGTGTCATCGTTCTTCCAGAAACCCGCAGCAAGTCGAACAGCTGTCAATGTAGTGCCGACAGTAGACGCGCCTATCTCTGTCGACATGTCGCGATCGACAACCAGGAACGCAATCGATGGAAATAAGAGACGTGTGGAATCCATCATGCCATCACGTGTTTCAGACGTCAATCCTGTCGATGTTGTTGGAGAAGGTCTTGCCTTTAAAAAACAGAAGACTAGCAACCCCTTTCAAAAGGAACTCCCTCTCGCCGCACGAATGAGACCACAAACCCTCGACGAAATCTGTGGCCAGGAGCTAGTTGGTCCAAATGGTGTGCTTCGAGAACTAATCATACAAGGCCGGATACCATCAATGATATTGTGGGGTGGCCCTGGAACCGGCAAAACAACGATTGCAAGGGTGATCGCTTCGACAGTCAAGAGCCGGTTCTTAGAAATTAACAGCACAAATTTTGGGGTTGGAGAGTGCAAAAAGCTCTTTTCCGAGGTACATATCGGCTTTGTGTTCGTATTGCGGACCTTTAACACTCACCGTCTCACAGGCCAGGAGCGAGCAGAAATTGACCAGTCGAAAGACAATCATTTTTTGTGACGAGATTCACCGCTTTTCAAAGTCACAGCAAGAAGTATTCTGTAAGCACTCACGGGCATATTCTCTTCTATTTCCTTACTGGTGAAGCTGACATACTACCTATGCAGTGGAGCCTGTTGAGTCAGGGCTGGTAACCTTGATCGGCGCAACAACCGAGTAAGATGCCCCCATTATCGACAACACACAAGAACCACCCGTTTACAGTCGCAGGAACCCGTCTTTCAAGATTCAGAGTACCTTACTGTCACGATGCCGTACTTTCACCCTCCAAAATCTGACCGTCAGCGATATCGAAACCATATTTGAGCGCGCCCTCGAACTCGAATATCCAAACCACTCTCGACCTCCCGTTCTTGACCCTGAAATGAAAGCCTATCTCTCTGCCTTTGCTGCAGGTGACGCACGTACTGCGCTGAATATTCTTGAACTCGCCATGAGTCTTTCAACACGCACAGACATTACAAAAGCAACCATCAAGAAGTCGATGACACAGACACTTGTTTATGATCGGGGTGGGGGCAGTCGCTATGATACCATGTCCGCCTTTCACAAGTCCATTCGAGGCAGTAATCCAGATGCCGCTCTCTACTATCTGGCACGCATGTTCGAGTTTGGAGAAGACCCTTTATGGATTACCCGTCATCTCATACTAATCGCTTCTGATGATATTGGAATAGCTGATAACACTTTGCTGCCGCTTGCCACTGCTGCTTATTCTGCTGCAGAGAAGATCGGTATGCCAGAATGTCGAATAAGCCTCGCACATGCCACGGTTGCTTTGGCTAAGGCGAAAAAGAGCACGAGCGTGTTTCTTGGCCTAGCCAGCGCTCTGACGGCTCTGAAAGAGCCCGGGATCTCTGCTCTGGCCGTGCCAATACATCTTAGGAACGTGCCAGCAGAATTGATGGAGGAGTTGGAACATAGGAAGAATTTGAAGTCTAATCCTGACTACAAACAAGGGACGGTCGAGCAGGAGGTAAGATAGTGCTACCTTCCCCTTTGTTTTATTGCAAAACCTGGCCATATTGAAGCTGAATTTGGTTCGGTAGTATCTACCTGATGTTCTTAAAGGGAGGAAATTCTTTAGAGAATGAAGGCGATCTTGACGTGGGGTACACTGATGAATAATGAAATTGGGATTGAGGCTCATACCTCTAGACACGGTTTAAACGCAGTCCCTAGTATAGTATGGTCTATTTGACGAAGGTTTAGTTTACGCTCCTGGAAGAGCCTATTTCGCATACCCACGCAATCATCGTTCCATCGTCAAAACTTGACAAAAAATGAATAATGAGTAGTAAACTTCAAACTAAGCATTCAAATTGATGAGCACTTGAAAACGCGACTGAGAGGTGAGCAGTGCTCAAGGGCTGTTCCGGTGAGCTGGCTGAGCCAAGGGTGAGCCAAGGGTGATTAGATAAAGTGGCCAGAGTTACTAACCGACCTTGGGACAAAGGAGAAGGGGAAAAAATATCTTAATAATAAGCTACACCACGAATGTTTAATTAGTCATTGAGCAAAGCTATAATCCAAGGCGTATCACGTGACATTATATCATCTAACTAGCGCTAGAAAAGGCTGGTTATCAGCCAGCGCCTCCTCTTACTCTTAGATCCTTAGTCAACTCAATCAACCTCTTTTACTCCTGTTGTTTGCTCTAGCCCTGTAGGGTCATACCCTTATTGGCTTCACAAGTCATTTAGATAATCGCTTTAAATGGTACAAGATACTATTACTGCTGCCGGCTAGGCGGAGAGGCACTAGCTATGATTATATTAGCGGGTACAGGGATATATTAGGAGTTGTTAAATAAGACACCACTTTTTAGAGGGTCCTACGATAAAACATAATAAGGATCATCCTTCTCTACATAGTGGATTCTAGCGCAGGGAGATCTTCAGTAGTGGACAAAGGGGGCCCTCTCGCGCCTTTTATGGATCCCTGAGTCAGGACAATCGTGGCATAAAACAGCGACCAACCCTGCGGAATTCGGCGTCAATCGCACCTGAATCTTGCGTTCAGCTGTAATATTAGCAACTTACGCTTCCCAAAAGTCCCACATCGCGTCGTACCGTGGTTAACTTGGTTTTCTTGTTGAATTTTCTATAAACGGGATTATTATCGATCCCAGACCTGTCCTCGGAGAGCTCATCTTTTGGGGCTGCTTCTATCTACTCGTCTAGATTCAGTCCTTTCCAACATCCTTTTGCCCGCTCAGTGCTCATAGCGTGTAGGCGCAGATGTGGATATTTGGAGTGGAAACGAGAAAAGAAGGTCTTGCTTGAGGAATGGGAGGGAATGGAGAGAGAGGTGAGAAGAGGGTGGAGAGAGAGGTGAGAAGAGGGTGAAAAGAGGGTGAGAAGAGGTTGGGAAGATGGGAGGGGGGATGGGTGAGAGGATATGTGAGAGGATGTGTGAGAAGATGTGTGAAGAGATGTGTGAAGAGATGTGTGAAGAGATGTGTGAGAAGATGGGAGAGAAAAAATGTGAAGGCAAGAGGGAGACAGCCATTTATAGAGTACGGAGCCCCAGGCAAACCGCAGAGAACGACATCAAACACCCTGAAGTAAGACGCAAGAAAATGTCCCTGCATATGGGCATTTTGCATGAAGACGGGCAGACGGGGATAATTGTCTGGAAATGAGTTCTGGCTGGCACAGTGGGAACAGATTTGAGATCCCTGGCGGGAAAAGGGCCCCTTTTGGGCCTTTCGTTAAAAGTTGACGGTGTCTGGTGAGATGGGTAAGCAGACCTGAGCAGACATGAGCCGAAGCTGAGCCGGGCCTGAGCCAGCCTGAGCAAAGGCGGCGCGAGATCACGTGAACTTGATGGTTGGGAGACCTCGAGATTCCGGTCAGGAAACAGCATTATCTTTACCAATCCTCAACCAAATAGTATAATTTTATATATATTCTTGTCCAGAATAATCACCTCTATCTAATAAACAAATAATATTTATCGTTGCGTTGATACTGGAGAATCATCAAGTGTTGATAAGGAATGAGTGGAGCTGATAAACTTTAAAGTTAGCCAAAAGTGGGTTAGATCAGGACACCCCTATCCGGCGTCCCCACAGTGCGAGAGGATTTCCAGATTCCTCTCTATGAGACTAGTGAAAGTACAATATGAAAACCAGAAGAAGCGTACAGTCACATCCATATGGTACCCTGAGATTCACTAGAAGCCATGATACCAAGGAGGTAACACGAATACTTCGTCCTTCTTTTCAAAATGGATCTTCTCTCAATATCAAACATCAGAGTTCAGTATGGTACCACCTAAAGATAGATCGTTGAGAGAAGTAAGTGCCTCTCGCTGCAAGGTAGAATAGGCATGAGTAAAATCAATAGTACTCAAGCTCTGATCGGGTGTAAATTCCTTTAGTTCCCTAAACACAAAGGTGTCTTTCGAGTTCCGTAGCTTTTCCAACTCCGTCGACAAGCAAAGGACTAAAAAAATAATTTAAATCTTCCAAAATAAGCTAATTGATAGCTGCGCTGACTTCATCGCGCCGAACTTCCAATATCCTCTTGTAGATAAATAGTATAATTTTCCCGTACTAATCTTTAACAACAACCGCTGCTTCAAGAAATTCCGCCAGAGACCATTTAGTCTTTGCTAGAGCGGCATATACACACTTCAACTTGTTCTCGATTGTGATGTTCGTTTGAGGAAGAAAAAAACGAGCTGGGATTCAGGACCTGGTTATTTCAAGATTGCCAAGTCAGGCTTCCAAATTATCTGTTTGCAACTCCCAAGTTGAGCCGCAAAACTGGCAGTTCGATCATACTGGCAGCCGTGTCGGAAATGAGATCTAAGTCTGATTCTGGGATTCGTGAGCATAAGTTCAGCTAATTTGGCCGACGACCATTTTGTGATCCCCTTGACTCGACCAAATTAAAAAAAAACCAACTACTAGCCAGGAGAATATTGCATCGAAATGGAAACACCAAATTCTCCCGCTGCCGCTGCAGTAATGACAAATACATCACTCCCACTCATGATCAGTAGTGTTTGTGACAAGCCGTTTACTCGAGGTAACTTTGTCTTTGCTTTGATTGAACTGACCCCTTTCCCGTTTTCTTTTCATCATGCTGATATTGTCGAGGCAGATTTACAATACAAACGGCACGTAGCATACTGCCGGAAAGCAAAAAGCCGGAAACGACGTCGCTCTTGCCGGGCTTGCTATCAAGCAAAGATAAAATGCGATGCTACTGAGCCATGTCATCAGTGCACTCGCAAAGATATCAAAAGCATATTTGATTAACAATATGGTGACAGAAGGTGTGAAGGCAAGAATGGCATAGAGACAGCTGTTTCTACAATGACAGTGAGTGCCGCCCTTGGCACTAATCCCGAAATGTCGACAGAGCAGTCGACCTCATCTGGGGCATTGGAGGAGACCTTGGACTTTGGTTCAGACCAGGATAACCTGCTTGGTCCAATCGAGCAGACCGAAGGAAATGTCTTTCATCACATACCATATTCATCGCAGTCGCCGTCCTCAACCAAAGATGGACCGCAGTTAATGGAGAGGTTAAGCCCATCAAGATTTCTCTTTTCGAGAGCCATTCGTGGCAACAAATACAACAACCAGCATTGCAAGATTCCAGGAGAACACATTCCAGACACTTCTCAATCAAACATTCCGCACCTCCATCGAAACCCTCAATTTCCAGCTCGACGACGATGCGAACTTGTATATGGGACAAGAGCTGCAACTAGCTTCTTTACCATCACCGTCGCCCTCAGATCTCCTCATCCCAACTGCACGAATAGTACCAACGACTCAACGTGAATTTCGCTGATCCTTGCAGCGATTTAATGATTCTTGGGGCGAGAATCTTGTTGGATTTTTAATATCGGCCACGGTCACGTGCGACTCGACATAATTCATACTAGGTCACACTTTCCAGCTTTGGAGTATGAAATGAGGAGCGATACATCCTAACATTTAGAGCGTGTCAGCAATGATATTAGGAAGTAGAACATTGTTTAGACCAGGAGCCAAACTCGCTCAACACGTGACCTCTCAGGGGCTGCCCACGATCTCGCCTCTTGGAAGCTTTTTTACCTAGACTTGCCACAAGCTTCGTCACGTCAAAAAAAAAGTGCCTACCACGGGAATACGTCCGCTCCCGTGTGTGTTGTGCGTCCTGAACGCAACTCTCCTTCCTTCCTTCCTTCAAGCATGGATAACATGTGCTTATCATTCATGCCCATCATCCTCGATCCTACCGTGGCAATGGAAGTCACCAGCCATAACACGTTACCTCGACCGACCTTGTCACTTCTCAAGATGAAACGGATGTCAGCACAGGGAGGAGGAAGTTGCTTCAGTTTCATAAATCGGACCGGTGTCGACCTCTTCGTCTCGGTGCGTCCGCCATATTTCGCTAGACCCAAAACTAGAGGTGCTAGGCGAATAGGGCCGGATCGCTGGAAACCTAACTGACTTGAGGGTTTCGAGATCAACGTCAAAAGTTAGATCGGGAGATGCCAAGTCTATCAGCTCAGGGGTAGAGAGTTACGTCTTACGAGTGCGGGGTTGATAGGTATTTGACAAATGATGGAACATTGGTTGAGGTTCATCACAACAACAGTAGTATCGACTGGATATGACATGGTCGCCAGTGGTGGGTGGTCGTATATCAAAAGGGCAAAGCGAAGCAAAGTGATTGCTGCAGGAGGAGATGATTCGACGTGGGGAAATGAGACGTCTGCCCCCACCTTCTCCTCAATATGGGCGTTCATCCGAGACTTATCGTATTGTTTTCTTTTTCATCACTCGAACACACATTACGGCAGATATCGCCATCGGTATCCGCCTCAACTGTCTCCAAGCCAATAGACCGTCAACGGTTTCCCTCTGTCTGATATCGAGCCGAGACAACGGTTACACGGTGTATCAAACGTTCTCCTGTGTCTCTCCCCTATTTCGTGAGCTCATCTTGTCGTTCAATATATTTTTCTTTCTTTACACCTTCCCCTTCAGGAATTCAGGAACCAAACTCTTGCCGTGCGTCGTTCAATATTTGGGCGACACCCGACATCGTCGTCGTCGTCGTCGCAGGGCTCTTCAGGCTGCGAATCAGCGAATCAGAAGTGCGAATGGGAGCACGTTTCTTGCTCTGCTCTGCTCGCAAGCGAAAGTGATATTTTAGTCTCGCGGGAGATCAACTCCCTTGTTGATCAGGGTGCTAAGCGAATTGCACGTGCAGCCAACAAGGAGCAAATGCAGGTCAACCGTCCAGACATGCGAGACGGCGGCCCACCGCGATCTCACCAACCATGGGCCAATGCCGAAAACAGTAGCATCACACGTGCCCCCTCTGGCCTGCGATTCGTCGTCGTCCTCGTCCTCCTTTCCTTCCCTTTGCAATCCCTTCTCGGTACAGTACCCTGGCCAGAGGGGGCCGGAGGTGATGGACGGGGGTGGTGACGGCCCAGTCGTGAGGCAGCGCGGGGCTAGACAGACTGAACATCCCAGAGGCAACCTGGCCACCCGGGAACCAGGAACAAGAATAAGCGTCCGCGCTGGTCAGGGCTGGTCGGGGCTGGGACAGGACAGTACGGAGGCAACAACGGCTCGAGAATGAGAATGGGCGAATGGTGGCGCCGGCCGCTACTGGCTGGCTGGTGTCAGTGTCAAAAATGAGCCGAAGTCCCCTTATCTTCTTTCCTAGCTCTCTCCCCCCGTGCGAGAGAGAGAGAGAGAGAGAGTTCGACGTCCAAGACCTTTATATCCCCGAGTATAGTACGTACATCCATCTGATCTGTGGTTGATCCTCCGCTCGCTCGGTTCTCTTCCCTCATCGCTCGGTACCTACAGTACAGCTTGAGGATCAACAAATATGTCACTGTCGGGTCAACATGCCGCGCTGCACGAGTTTTTTCGATGGGAGTCCCAGTCATGGGTCGAGGTCGTGAAGGATATCACCACAGATGAGAAGTCCTACTTTATGCCACTGGAGAACTTGAGGACCTATTTCAAGGCCAACGACAGCAAGAAGTTGAATCGGATTCTGTGTGAGGTGTTTGGGACAACTTTCCCGCCCGTTGACTCGGACTTCATATTACGCGATCACACGGCCGTTTTTGTCATCCTGTTGCGGATCGGGCAGGGGAAGCTGATTGAACATTTTGCCCAATATGAAGAACTATCAGACAGGCGATTACCATTCGATCCAGTTAATCCACCAAGAGAGCTTCTGGAAATCACGGAAGATAGAGATATCCTGGGCAGGTTTTGCGAGAAGCAGATCATGTACTGTGTTCCCGCCTTCAACGGAAATATGGTCAACAAGAATTTTGGACGACGTTTACTTCCCATCACATCCAAGGAGCCACAGGGAACCGAAGGTTTGGCCGGGAGATATGTTATCAAAGTATTTGGGCCCTTGAATAAACTGGTGCCAGCTGGACAAGAAACGGTAAAGAGTACTCACCCACGTGAGCTTGTCGGACCCACTGATAATGGTGACTCTAGACGAATAATCCGAACATCAACACTTTCGTCCTGAAACGGTATCCGACGAAAGAGGGTGAAGTGGATTATACGAAAGAAGTCAATGGGTTCCGAAGTGTGAAGCATGCGGATAGCATCATAAAGTTTTATGGTAGCTACATTCTCGGCAATGATCGAAACATTCTTCTGGAGTATGCAGACAAGGGATCTTTGGAGCACTTTTTCCAGAAAGAGACACCGCCGAGCCATGGAGGAGAGGTTATTAAATTCTGGGAAGGCCTTTTCGGGTTGATCAAGGGATTGAAGGCCATTCACTCGGTCGCAGAGTAAGTCACATGCTATAACAGAAGACTTAGTGCTTAAATTGAATAGGGGACATCATGATGTGAAGCCAGACACGATATCAGTTCTGAGTAATGGATTAGATTCAGCTGATTGTCTATTCAAGTTTTCAGATATCGGACTCTCCGCTCGTGGCAAGGGTAATAGGCAGTCGACCTCGAATGAGATGCAAGCTGCTCCAACTTATGGTAGGTCACACCCAAAAGTAAAATATTACAATACATTCTAATCTTCTTCAGGAGCCCCAGAATGCTACATGCCATACAACTCTGATGACAGAGCTGTCAAGGGTCCCAGTAAAGTCACAAGGGCAGCTGATATTTGGTCACTAGGTTGCGTCTATAGTGAGGCAGCAATATGGCTTGCGGACGGATACAAGGGATTACTGGACTATCGAAAACAACGGAAAGCAGAGACAGACAGAATTCTTTTCAAGGGTGGAGAATGCTTTCATGACGGCGAGCGGACACTACAGTCAGTTCTCGATGCCCATGCAGATATCGAGGATCGACTCAGGAGATCGGATTATATCACCAAAGACGTCCTGGACACGATGGTCGACGAAATGCTGTGGGAGGAAGATCGTCCTAACGCGAAGGCCTTGGCGCGGAAGGCCGAAATGGTATCGTCCAGAGCACGCCAGAAACTCAACACAAATTCAGCAGGTTCTTCAGATGGATTTTCTCGACCTGGTAGTAGTCAAAGTCGAGCATTGCCTTTACCACGCCTTCAGCCACCCACTGGACCCCTTCCACCAATCCCAAGACCACCTCCAAGTCTATCCTCGATTTCAGAAAGGCATCCAAATGATGTTGAGACTTGGCGAACAAGGATCGAGCCCTCGTCTAGATCTGTCATCAATGGACCGCCAAGCGTGATCACTAGTCCTACACTAGCCAACATCAAGATGATGAGTGCGAGTACTACTGAAAGTTTGTATGATCTCGACAATGAGATTGCCGGCTCTCTTGCAAGTTGGCAAATGTCCGATCAGATGACTGACATCAATTCGGAATCACCAATTACACCAATCACCTCGCCGCATGTTAGCGTCAACTACGATTTTCACAAGCATATTTCAAACGAGGGACGGCCAAGAGTACTGCGAACCATATCAAATGAGTATAGAGGTCCCCCTAGAGCCATTTCTACTGGGCTTTCACACGCAAATACCGATTGGGATACTGCCTCTACAGTAGCACCAGCTAGCGAACACCCAAGCATGTTCATCAAGGATGCCATCAATATGCCGTTACCCAGCGCAACCGAACGACAAGCCATGCGTAGCGACTCTAGATTCGACGATGTCAAGACTCTTCGACGAGCTACTAGCCAAGCCAGCAGTCAACAATCAAGCGCTCGTTCTGCAGCATCTCGACACAGTGTTCAAGCGGATTCTAGATCTATTGCTAGCTCCAATTCCGACCAAGCCCCTATACCGCCAAAATCCTCCAAACGATTGGGATTCTCTCTCTTCCCTACCAAATCTCGTCAAGCTTCACCGTTATCTCCTTTGAGCCCTGATAATACTCGACCTACCACTGCAAGGGTTGATTCGAGCGAAGATGCTTCAATGCCACGATCAATGCCGCCTCTGAACCCAGGAATGATGCCAGAAACAGCAGACCGAGGTTCAGCACCTGACTACCTTTCTCTTAACACAGCCCTCCAATGGAAAATGACCCATAAAAAAGTCAAGAAGGCATCGAAACTCCCTCCCCTCCCAGGAGCAGACCAACTCGAGCACCTCCACGACCGCGATCACGTACGTCCCATCCCGTCCCATCCCCCTCTCCCCTCACACACAAAACTAACCACCCAAAAAAAAAACAGGTCTTCATAATCGACGACTCCGCATCCATGACCCCCGTCTGGGCGGACGTCAAACGCCTCTTCGAAGCCCTCTCCTACATCGTAAAACCCATGTCCCCCAAGGGCACCGAACTAATCTTCACCGTATCCTACGACGCGTGGCAGCGGCGCGACACGTCCGAACTGTGCTCCTTCCTCGACAAGAAGACGTGCGCGGGCGAGACGGACATCTCGTGGCGTCTCGGCGTGCAGTTCTCGCTGTACAAGAATCGCTTTATTAATGAGAAGAAGAAGGAGTTGCTAGGGAAGAAGTTCGAGCCGGTCCGTCCGGTGAGTTTCTATGTGCTGACGAATGGGGAGTGGAGGAAGGAGGGCGGGGCGGTGAGGAAGGTGTTGGAGGATATGGTAGCGTGGATGAAGGAGATTAGTAAGCCGGGGTGGTGTACGGTGGAGTTTGTGAGCTTTGCGCAGAGTGCCAAGGCCATGGGGCATTTTGGGGATTTGGCGGGGTTGGAGTTTGATATGTGAGTTCTTTTCTTCTTCTTCTTCTCCTTATCCTTCCACTCTTCCACTATTTCATCGAGGAAAGAACTAACGTTAGAAATAGGGATGTACACGATTGTACGCGATGGACAGGCAACGTTCTCAAGATGCTACGAGGACCCCTCGATAAAGCGCTCTACGCGGACGATTCAAACGCGGGCGCTGGTGGGCCACCTGCTACGGCGAATGGAGGCGGGAGCCAGGTTTCCTCTGGTCCGTCGAGCGTGGGGAGTTCGGTCATGTTCTCGCATCCGAATGTGGGGAGTTCGTTCGAGCTGGCTTGATGATCTTCGAAGGGGCACGGGGCTTTGGATCGAAGAAAGACTGAGGCTAGGTGTGGCATTCTTGTTGGAGGGCTTGGGAAATTCTCGTTCGTGGACCTATTTTGTATATTCTTGGTGCATGTATGGTATGTTAGGTACTTACTAGAAGCTTGGATAAAAGCTGTGGATAACTCAACTTGTATGGATAGTAGGATGGATGTTTAGGTATCTTTAGATTTAGTAGATTTGTTTGTTGTACTGTACGCATGGATACCCTTATATATTTCCCATCTGCTTGCTGTATAATAATTCTTTTCGATGAATTGATGGATTCGTTTTATTTGAAATCCACTACTTTTCTTTCCAGGAGATAATAATCTCCTCACTATCACCCCAATCTCTTCAACCTCCATCTATGTGGGGGCTCTCTGAGTCTGTGAGCCTACGTAGATTTTGTATACTTTTTGGCACGTTGAGAATTTTTTTTTCATAAGCAATAGGAGGAAGGTTAAGCGAGGGTGTTTAGCGATGAATAGGTATAGGTATAGGTATTTTATACTATTCGAGGCTTGATTGAAGAAGTTGAAGAGGCCAATATATTCTAGCTCTTGTACCAACGCATATGTGTCCGTTCTACAAAACGGGCCAAAAAAATGCCCGTGAACAAGATCAAGGCCTACTCTTGCAGACTCGGCCCTTTGCAGAAGACATTCTGAGGATCATACCGTTTCTTCAACTCCACCAACCTCGGGAAATTAACCCCAAAAACCGTCTTCCCCGATGCACCAAGCGCTACCTCACATCAGAAACCGCTCACTCTCCAAAAAAAATAGAAAAAGTAGAAAAGACACTCACAATCATAATTCCCATACTCGCCCTCCCCGCTCTTCGTAACCTCATCCGTCCCCTCCCCCACTCTCCTCTCCAACTCTTCTCTCGCCATCCTACTCACCGCCCTCGTCCACTCCCTACACACCCCATCATTCACCTTGTCCCTCCACGTCGGCTGCAGCAGGATATTCCCATACGCGCCCCGATTCGCAAATGCGGTCGCCGTCTGCGGAACCGCGAGGATCTTCTTGAACGGCACGAATTCGAACATCACCAGCGTCTCCTGCGCATCCGGCACCTTCTCAATAAACGCTATATACTCATCCCATATCGTGTCCGCGAAGCTCAGCTCGAGCGGAGCGAGAAATGCAGACCCCTTCATCGTGCGCCGGAGGCCGTGGGCCGAGGGTCCATTGGCCAAAGTGTTGGATTCGGAGTACGGGATCTCTTTCGCGGTATTAACCAACGGCCCGAGATCCAGCAGCGACTTATAGTACTTCTCCGCCTCGTCCGCGGAGCCGTTGAACCACACGAGGGCCAGGATGACGGGCTGGCACGTTGGCGGGAGGGCCGCGAAACCCATGAGCATCACGGGTCCTGGTTCCGATTCCTGCACGACGGTGTTCGCCATCTGGATCACGGCGCCGAGGTGAGGTTTCGGGAAGATCATCAGGCCGCCCCAGACGGGCGATTTTTGGGAGTGGGCGCGGTAGATGAAGGTTGTTGCGACGCCGAAGCCAATGCCTGCTCCTTTGATGGCCCAGAAGAGATCTGGGTGAGAGGTGTCGGATGCGGTGACGATAGTCCCATCGGCGAGGACCATTTCTACGGAGAGAAGGTTGTCGATTACCAGCCCGTAGGCGGGCGAGAGGAAGCCGTAGCCGCCGCCGAGAGTTAGACCACCGATTCCGGTGCTGTGTAACATCAGTATATACTTTTGACAGAGATCTAGGAGTCGAAGAGCTTATCCATTCGAGGGGTTCAAAGAACATCTTCCTCGATGTCCAGCTCCCGAGGACGACCCCAAAGCCTCCAACTCCTAAGACGAATGCAAAAGTGGAGTAAAAGTCAAACATACTGATTAACAGTCCCTCCCACAGTCGCCATCTGGTACTTCTCCGCTTCCGCATCAACATCTCGCCAGAGCGCTCCTCCCTGAGCCGTAATAGTCTTCGCCTCCGGATCCACGGTCACTTTCCGCATCTTCGATAAATCGATACAGACCCCTCCATCCGTCGACGCAGCGCCGCTCGTCCCGTGACCGCCGCCTACGGTGGCGAGCTCGATGTTGTTCTCTTTGGCGAAGAGGACGATTTGAGAGACGTCGGCGGCGGTGGTGGGGTATACGACTAGGCCCTGGGGTTTGTTAGATAGAGGTGCTGGATGATGGGAGTGAGATTGATATGAACAGCAGGTTTCTCGGCAGCAGCGGACCATCTTTTGATGCTGTCTGCATACTTCTCTGAGTCCGGGGGGACGATTTCGGAGGTTGGTGAGAGCTTGGTCTTTAGTGTTTCGATTGCTGATTTGTCGATCGCCATGTTTGCTGCTGCTGCTTTCAATCTGATATGTTTGAGTGAGCTTAAGAGGATGAGGCTCGAGATGTTAGATGTATATGTACTTGTAAATGCGAAGGTTGATTAATCAGGTAGATGCTAGGGCTTATAAGCTTGGACTCCAGACGAGACGAGCAAACGTGGGGAGGCTCGCGGAGGACTGAAAAAGCCGAACTAATTAAGCGATGGCTGCGAGCATCACCCACCCTCTTTTCAACTCTTAATTTTCAACCGCTTTTCCACAAAAATTGGAGAAATGATAGAATTGATTCATTAGATAGTTGACATCTAAATATATTCTAGACTATAGTTTCATGAACATGCGTTGAGTATTGACAATTCAGTATAGTTGTGCAGCGAGGGGTAGTTTTTTCCCCTTGGGTGTCTATTTAGTCCGGGTTTTTCTGTCCACCGAGGGAGGTCAATCTGGAACACTAGACCTTCGATATAAGGGGCCTCCTCCCACTGTGTAAGATTGGAGGGAGGTCCAAGTTCGTTGCAAACGCAAGAAAGAAAGCCACCCCTCATGTAGTCAGCCGCTACGTACCGAACGTGGGGCATATTGGCGACTCGATTGTTGGTCAGCCTGCGTCGTGAGATGATTGTCCTGGTGGACTTTCCAACAATGTTTGTATTCTCGATGACTTGGATATCGATTAGAGTGGATTCTGGATTGGGGAATTGGTAAGACTGTTAGGTAGATGTGAGTAACATCCTTGTTGTATCGCACATGGCTACCAATCGGCAGTCACTTCGAGATGTGGAATCCTCAATTACCAACAACCTCATACTTAAACGAGGTACAGAAAACGAGAGTGGAATCACGTCACACATGCCGAAAAATCCTTATATATTTTGTCAGACGGCGGAAAGAGTTAAGAAAGGGGAAGTCAAGCGAGGTGGCCGCTTAGCAATAGGGGGTCTGAGACATCGGACGACTAGACTATTAGCGTGTCTCAAGTTTGAATGTCACTGAGGTATCCACTGAAGCACGGAAGAGCTGAGAATTATCTAGCTCTGCGATGAATGTACTCGAGCGATCAAGTGAGAAAGTACAATTTGCCTGGTTCTGAATTTCCCTCACATAACCATTCCTCAACAGATTCTAGTATTTATAACACAACATGCACCAGTGCCACCATTACTAAACGAATGTCCTTTTTGAGTGGTGACTAAGACGACAAAAACCGGAGGAAGGTGGAAGATTTGTGCCAGACAACATCTTGTAGGTCGTCGAATGTGGTAAGGCTGAAGGCGCTCATGAGCCAGTGAATGTGAGACATTGATATGTTGTGTAACTCCAGTTTATACATAGAAGCAGGCTCCAAACACACAACTTCTTCTCAAACCTTTTCATATTCCAACATTTCCAAATCGTCTATCAGCTCTTCATCCCAACTCCATCTCTCAAATGGCTAAGCAAGACGGCCTAGAATGGATCATGGAAACGTTTGGTCTAGAGCCTCGCTGGACAAGAGACCCAGACACCGCAAAGATCGAACAACTTGCGCGCAAACACCTCCACATCGCACCAAACTCTCCCTGTACCATCAAATTCCACGCCCGCGGCGCCTTCAACAAACTTTACAAAATCGAAACAGAAACAAGAAACGCCCTGATGCGAGTCACGTTACCCGTCGACCCTCACAACAAAACCAACAGCGAAGTCGCAACTATCGATTTCGTGCGCGAATTCACAGACATGCTGGTACCTCAAATCTTTGCGTTCGATGACTCGAACGAGATCGAGCTGGGGTTTGAGTGGATCTTGATGGAGCTACTACCGGGTGGAACTCTGCGGTCGAAATGGAGGAAAATGTCTGGAGATCGCAAGCGGGATTTGGTGAAGCAGGTCGTTAAGTATCAAGCTCAGCTCTTCCGTCACAGATTTGAGGCTGTTGGGAATATATTCTTTGATTTCGAGGCGCAGTCTACGTTGGATATTGTCACATCAACACCTCCTGTCATCAAAGAACCACGAGAAAACCCACTCCCTACAATAGGCCAACTGGTCTCAATGATATTCTTCTGGGGCAATCACATCAACCAGAACGTACCCCGCGGTCCATTCACCAACAGCGAAGACTGGATCCGCGCTCGACTGACCTTGATTCTCACCGATCAAGAAACTATCCTCTCAACCTCAACGGACGAAGACGAAATCGAAGACGCCCAATCCGCCAAAGACATCGCCAAAAGACTGCTCAAAATGCTTCCTAAGATCTTTCCCCCGGATACTCCTCCAGAAACAACTATCCTCTTCCACGACGACCTGTCCATGCAAAACATCCTCGTCGACGATAACGAGAAGATCACCGGCGTTATAGACTGGGAATGTGTATCCGCCCTCCCACTCTGGAGAGCGTGCCAACTGCCCCAGTTCCTCGAAGGCAGAGAACGAAACGAAGAACCAAAAAGAGAGCAGTACGCTTTAGACGACGGCAAAGAAGAAGATGAGGGAGAAAAAGAACCACTCGACAACGAAAGCATGAATAGTCTGTACTGGGAGCATCTGATGGAATACGAGCTAACGCAACTCCGCTTACTATTCCGCGAGGAAATGAGGATCGTGGCACCAGAATGGATTCAAGAAATGCAGAGCGGGGCCGAGAAAGCGGATTTCGAAGACGCGGTTCGGAACTGTGATAACGGGTGGCGGAGCAGCACAGTCGTAGCCTGGCTCGATGCGAGAGAGAAAGGGGAGAAGTGGAGCTTGAGGAAGAAGATGTTCGAGTGAGGGCAGGCTTGGAGAATTTCAAATAGCAAAACTTACCGACTGTCCATCAAATCAGGATGTCTCGCTCTTTTCAACGCCTCATGGAGACTCCACGCCGCTGACGTTCTTGCATCTCGTGCTCCTACCCGTCATAATTGTTCGTGACCCAATATCCTCACTGTGATCTTTCTTTCCCTGCGTTTTCAACCCCGATAACTTATCCCTCATTTCCACAGTGTCCGGCGATCTAGCATTGTCCGTCATGAAACATCGCAATGGATACCCATCCGAGTTGACCATACCAAGAAACACCGACCGCTTGCAACCTTGATGCCGATCGCTGTAACCCTTTCAGAAGCCCTTGTTTCCCCAGTATTGATTAGAATACTTCTAGGTATAGCTCTGCCAGCGATCATACGATGAGCTATGAACAGCAGGGCGATGGCTCGAAATCCTTGTTGACGACCAATTATAACCAAAGACCTCGAAGTGTATCGACGCGCCTGATGGGTTGCCTTTGGCCAATTTGGAACATCGAAATTGTTTGCATTGTGCCACAAATTGTGGAACTTCAGATGACTTTTGTTTGTTGAACTTGTTGCAGGAATCAATGGTTGTCAATGGACTCTGATGTGTTGTATATATGAATGGATATATATCTATTTTGGTGCGTCGAAGACATTGAAGCTTGATCGTACGAAGGCATCTAGCCTAGTGTCAGTTGTAAGATTAGCACGCGCAAGAAGGATGGGAGCAATTCGTATGCAGATATCATGCCGATGCCGATGCTAATCTTTGTCACGACTATGTACATCCTCGATCCGAAGTCGTCATCGTGAGTTCTGTGGTTGCGACTTGACCAACATTGGCATCGAATGTTGCCCCGTCCGAATTGGTATTAGCCTAATGCGGCCGCATCTGGAGCTGATAAGTGAAACTCACCTCACAACTCGGCGGCTATTCAACGATCAACAGCGTATGAAATCTGCAGTACTGAACTGAACCTACGTGGATCTTGAAGACGACCTAGTTGAACATCGTACCGATATCCGGATGGGGACTGGCGATGTCTCTTTAGACTCACGCACCGGCAGTTTAGGCAATGTTCCCATTGTCGTCCTTCGGGCAGCTCTCTCATTTGCCCTTACCCATGCCTCCAATATGGCACAGCGAAACCGAAGGTCAAGGCTTCAGCCGCCCATCCAACAGGGTTGGCGGCAATGATAGACCTCCTTTACTTTTCATACCCAGCTTTTCAAGGTAATCATCAGTCGTGTCATCTCATTTGTACTTTCGTCGTATATACGCATTATTGTTCCCTAGTCAACATTGATTCTTTTGCAATGATTTGTACAGTGTGTTACGATATGCTTCGCGGTCATTCTAACATACAGTGGAGAGGCACATTCCAATATTTATACTTCTGCCACCACTCCAACATTCAACAGCTACGGGAAAGTGCCCATAGAAGCTGTTCTATATGTCGTATTCTATTGATAGAGTTATTGCGAATTGAGGACAAGAAGAAAAAGCCCGTTCCCCAGAATATGTGGAGCGAGATTTACATTTACATCCGCAAGCTGAGCTGGAACGCATGGTTTGGACGAGGTCAAAGCGTATCTGAGGAGCAATTGAATTTAATCGAAGCTTACTTGTCTGAACATTATGTGGCCGGCCACGATGGAATCTATCGACTTGATTTCGAATTGGTCGATAAGACCAAGATCGGAACATTCGTGTTGCAGCGTCTAGACTGCATTTCTGAGACGTCTGAGAGAGGAGAAAGTTCCACTCCGCAAAGGATCGGTGAGTTCTTGGAAATTGCATCAACGTCAGAGTCTCATGCTAGAGATAGAACCGCTTACTCTTGACTCGCTTTATACACCAAGTACCACCCGCACATCCGCCGATAGCGTGCTTACTCTAGCCAGGGAATGGATCGAGAAGTGTTCTCGAGAGCATGATGCTTGTCCTCTCAAGGAAGACTTCGACTCCTGGTATCCGAGTAGATTGTTAGACCTTGGTGAAGCGACCGAATCCAATTCTCGAGTAGATTTCGATCATGTGCGACTGATATCAACGGAAGAAGTGCTTCGAAATGGCCCCACCAAGGATTGCTACTACGTAACTTTGAGCCATTGTTGTAAGTCTCTGAATGAGAAGGCATCGACTCTACTTTGAGTGTTCAAAAATTCCAATTCCCTCACTATACTATTTATAGCCAATTGAAAGAAGCATGCTAATTTACTCTGTCTACTCACAGGGGGCAAAGCTCATTTCACGACGCTTACTGTAGACAAACTCGCGTCCTTTCATGAAGGTATCAAGATTGAGATCCTACCACGCACGTTTCAAGACGCTATTTTTGTCGCTCGCCGACTTAGTAGCAAGATCCGGTATATATGGATAGACTCGTTATGCATTATGCAAGGGAGCATTCCAGAAGCGTACGAGGATTGGCTCAGAGAATCTGCCCAAAGTACGTATCTCCTGTCCTGCAACTGTGCATATCTTTGCTATCCCATCTGCTTTTGTCCCATATCCGGAGAAGAAGAATTCTAATTACTTCAACTTCCAGTGTATCAAATATATCGATATTCTTACTGTAATCTATCAGCAACAGCTGCTGTCGATAGCTCGGTGGGCCTGTTTTTCCAAAGGGAGCCACGAGATTTGTGGGAGACTGACATCAATCTCAACGTGGAAGGTGTGATTAGAGAGTCTCTGGCCGTCTCTTTGAGAACGAATCAAGCTTTGACAGCACAACTTGGTGCGACCGTCCCCGAATCGAATCCTGAAATCCAACGCCAGGAAACGCCTCGAATCGAACGTTGTCGGATTCTGGATGTCTCATTTTGGACACGATACGTGGAGGACGCACCTGTCAACACGAGAGGCTGGGTCTTCCAAGAGAGGTTGATGGCGCCACGCGTGCTGCACTTTTGCCAGAATCAAATTGCCTTCGAATGTCGACATCATTATGCTGCAGAATCATGCTGGACGGGGCTTCACAATTTCCGGATGCAAGGAGGAGACATTGTGCAAAGAGACAAATTCAAAAGTCTCATACCACATAGAGACAATGGAAGCCTTGGGAACTTGGAGTCTGATAATCCGTTCCTAGATCCAACATCGCAGATAGATATCTATCGGCGCTGGAAGCGTGTGGTAGAAGTATATTCGAAGATGCGGCTCACCAATCCCAAGGACAAGCTCATTGCGCTTGCTGGCGTGGCTCAAATGACATTCGATGAGAATCATGATTTCTACGTGGCAGGCATGTGGAGGACCTATCTTGAAAGTCAGCTGTTGTGGTTCGTCGATGCGGTATACGAGGATGGTCGATTCTATTACAGGTCCGAGCGACCAAAGTTCTACCGTGCTCCTACCTTTTCTTGGGCAGCCGTAGATGTACCACATGGGATCAACTACGGCGAGATCACCGATCACGATCTTCTGATTTCAGTTGTGGAAGTCGACATATCTCCCGACTCAGAGAATTTCAAATTCGGTCCGGTGAAGTCTGGATACTTAACGGTCAGAGGCGTCGTGAATAAGGTTGAACTGGCCGAAATACCTATGAATGGGTATGTTCGGTATGCCTGGCATTTAGTGACCAAGACGGACACGCGAACAGTCATGCACAGAAATGTGTACCTCGACAGTCCCGCCAGTGACATAAATATCCTCGGACGAAATGGCAGGGTCCACTGTCTAGCAGCTCGGAAAGACACTTCTGGATACCTTATCTGCCTCTTACTACAATTGGAAACCGAAGGCAACATGGAGACGGGAAGTTATAAGCGCATTGGTCTGGCAAAAATTCCTTCGTACGAAGAGGGGCAGGAGAGGATGCTTGAATTCTCAGACGAGGACGAGCCTATACCTTATGGGAACTGGGATGCCAACTGCCAGAAGCATACAATACGAATAGTATAGCAACAAACTATAAATTGCTTTATATTGAAAATAGAGCATACATGGCTATAATGAATGCTTACAAAGTATCATAATAAATTGCAAGGGTTGCAATAATTTGCTTGGAAGCATTCAAGCTCAGGAAACATCGAATTCTAGGATACCCAGAGTTTTGTAGCAGAAAAGCTAAAATAAAATAAGTTGGAGGAAGATTCATCTCTATCTGACGGATAAGGAGAGAGCTCCGCCAAAATTCGTACTCGTGATGTATACTTATTGGAAGATCTGGTTCGTCAACTCAGCCTAACCGTAGCGCGCTGCATCCACCGTCACTCCTGTGTTAAGCTCCAGCAGCTGTGTGGGGATGAGCGAACTCTGTGACTTGAGCGATATGTCTCACTTGAATGCCTCCCAAAGAAGCAAACTCGAACAGAGCAGCAGATCTCAAGCAATCAGAAAGCTCAGCCGCACATTTGGGAGGCCCCTCGCTTAGCAACTTTATGTGGAGTGGCGCAGCAGGTCGAAGCCTCGACATCTCGGTCTGCCTTGGCTGCCTTACAGGCATTTACACCAATGAACGGCATGAGTCAACGCCGAGTAGCAGCCAATCTGATGCAAGTGGCTGCTGGCATTTTGGAGGCCCTCCATTGTCAAGAGTACTTGAAGCCTGGGGCCCCTTTCGCTCTCGAAATCCTCAAAATTCTTGCCTAAAATCTCATTTCACCTCTAACCACCACCCTAATTCATCATTCTCTGTACTCCTATTGTTCACAACCCAACATTCCCGCCCGGCCATTGGGCCAACAGAAGTATGTTTTTGAAAGCCTCATGATCACGTGACTGTATTCTTTCTGAACTCCCGTCGCGTTGTGAATCGAAGGCCTCCCATAATTGCAGATAATAGTGGAACAAAGCTAATGCAATCTGTAGCCATGGTGTTCTCTTCAGAGATAGCGTTTCTTTCGCCATCGACATCATATGCACAGCCTAGGTGAGATTTCCTCGCCATGCCCTTGTTGCTTTGACACATACTGACATGAACTCTAGTTCTGATATACACTCTTATAGAGACCTCCTTATACCCTCTACGCTACTCATGACATCCCCTGCATGCGCTTCCAGTCTGAGTAGTCAGGCTTCCTGGCTAGATAGCGGTCCCTCTGAAGAGGATGATCTGCTTCTCTGTAGCCGTATAGAACCAGTTACTGCTTATGAAGCATTATCCTATTGTTGGGGTCCCAAGCTTGATTGCACACGACAACGATATTCGGACGAATACGTCCTGGCCCTCGTCAAGAGTGGTATAGTCCGCATCGGACTGTACGAAAATGCCAACTTGGACCACGAATTGGGACAGAGCGTTTCCCCCCATATCAAAGACAAAGATCCAAGTACATTTGATGACGACCCCGGATCATTGCTTCGCCAATATTTCGATCAGAATATTCTTGTCAAGGATGACAAGCCGAGCTTCCCTGATTTTGGACGAAACGACCAGAAAGACAACATGGGTGGAGAAATCATCGATGATCTTGAGACCTTGTTCGACAATATATACCCTATATCTTTATCAATCACATCATTCGCCTCGAAGTTGTTCGTCGCCTGGATGCTGTGGACTGTAGCATGGTACACGACAATGGTCGCCATTCTGGTTTATGTTGACAGTCTCGATCTGCCTCCTTCTCATCGCAATCAAGACTACCTCTTGCTATTGGAATATTCGACTCCTCTCTGCGGAATCTTTTTTTGGGTCCTTTGCCCAAAGTTTTCCACCATGGCATACGGGTCGTTCGTTGCGCTGGCGAATTGGGACACCTTCATCAACCTTGCGACATGCTTGCCTTTCGGGTTGTGGATCTATGTCTGGACCAAATATCTCGTGTTGAACCGTTCCCTCAGTTACTGCCGTCAAGCGTACAGCAATGATATGTCTATGGTAGGCTACCCCGCTGGGGCTCACCCTTCTTTTTCTGACACCTTGACAGTCTTTCAAACAAAAACAAGCAACAGCTTCGAGCATTCTTGATTTTGCTTTCAGAGTAAGCTAGCCCTTCTAAAGATCACCTGAAGATGGCTAACCAAATATAGTGTTTCCTAAACTGCGGCGCGGCTGTGCCTACGATTGGGGTCTTTCTGAGAAAGGCATGGGTACTGCGACATAACTTAATCTACCTACTTCAAAAGCTAATCTTGATGCAGCCTACCATGCCGGATAGTCAAGCCTTCGAAGAATTCCAAGGGCCATCGATTTCTGGCATTCTTGAGTCTGGGTATCGGCATGTCCGTTTCTACAGGCCAATTAATAAGAGATCCTCCCAATCCGGGGAGAGAAAGGAGTTCGCAAGAACGACAACCTGGGACTTGCCTCATATCACTATTCAGATGCCAGTATACAAGGAAAACTTTGGGAAAGTCATCACCCCCACGGTGAAATCACTGAAACTTGCAATGGCAAGATATGAGCGATCTGGTGGGACTTCTTCTATCTTCGTGAAGAATGGTATGCTATCTACCCGTAAATGTAAAATTGAAACGTTGCTAACGATCTGCAGATGGAATGTCTTTGGCCAAGCTTGAGTTATCGGAACGAGATCGTTTCAGTGTCAACATGGAACAACTATCAATGGGGACATCAGAAGACGATGTTCATGACAAGAGCCATGAACATCGTCTTCTTACTCCTCTGTTGATTATGATTTCGTCTCCACGACTGAACCTTTCAGCTGGTACCCAATTGCTGAGTCATTTGGGTGCGAGATGGCTGAGAGTGTTCGAAAACTTCAAGCCGGCCTTGACTTTGAGGATCATGTTGGTACCAACATGATCCAACCCACAATGACCTCAGTATATTGTCTTTAAACTGCTGAATTTAGCACCCACACCACTCTCACCAACCTTCGTGCTAAGTTACCTCAAACTTCTTGCCGATCGCCCAACCAACCCAAAGCTTTCGAGTCCAAGGACTCCACAACATCATGGATTACCAAGCCTACATCGACCCAAACATGCTAAACCAAACCAACGAAGTCGAGGCGAATGAATTGTCATTCGACCTCGACGAATTTATCAACCAATACACCATGGCCTCCGAACCATGGGACAACGGGACCTTCGAATGGATGCCGCAGCCTGAGGAGAACCTCGACATGTCTTGGGGAGATATCCCATTTCCTGCAGTGAAACCAGACCTTTCTATGTCATCGTCGGGGACCTCCAATTTCTACGTTCCATTCGAGGAGTTCGAGCAGATGTTCTACCCATCTCCCGACTCTCAACCCCAACACCCATCCTCCGAATCCTCCTTTGCTGGCTCCCTCCTCTCCGATCGTTCCTCACCGTCAACCTCAGAAACCATCTCTGACCGCCCAACTTCGGAGACCCAGTCCCCCTCACCACCTTCCACGGGCCCGGCCTTCAAATGCCGCTTCTGCGCCGACACATTCGAAAAGAGACATCTCTTAAAGTAAGTTTCCCTTCTGTCCACTTGCCAAATCAATTCATAACCAATGTCTCTCTCCACAGCCGGCACGAGAATAAACATACCAAGCCCGTCCCATGCCCCGTCTCAGGCTGCCCCCACCGCACAGCCAAACGCCGCGACATGCAGCGCCACGTCGTAGTCCACCACTCTCACGAGGCGCCTGTCGCGGTCCCGAAGTTTCTGTGTCCGGTGGGCGGCTGTAAGTACGCCGAGGCGGGGTTCAAGAGGAAGGATCATTTGGTGAGGCATTTGGAGAGGAAGCATCCCTGAGTCCTTTCTCAATTTTAATTCACATCTTGCTTGTTAGCGGGTTGGGTAAGGCGTTTCTGTGATTTTGTATTGACGTGATATATAGACCGTAAATAGGTCATTGTGAATAAAAGTAAAACCTTAAATCTATCTACTTGAACAATGGTGATTTATTTGAGCGTTCATAGCCAGTGCTCGCTTGCGAGGCGATCGCTCAGGGGCTCGGCTACTTCATGCCCCTCTCATAGTTGAACCACATGCAGCCTTACGACTGTCAAAGCCATTAAAGTCACGATTTAGTGCCTCTTTAGGTCGACATGAACCTAATGACGATAATCACTCGCAACTAACGAATCGAGCCAATGTGGCAGTGTTCAGCCATCGGCGAATGACTCTCCAACCACTTCCCTTACCGAAACGAGAAGCCTCCGTTATATATCACTCCTTCATCTCGCTCGTAACATCCATCTCATAACGGTAATAAAAACCACACTAATACCCGCATCATCAACACTTTAAAACAAAAGACAACAACAACACAATGATAACCCCAAAATCCCCCACCGCCAAATCCGCGCGCACTACGACGCCTCCACAATAACACTCTACCAAGCCTACAGTATATTAATTTCATCCCTCACTATACACTCACTCTAAGTCCCGAGATCTTCGCGATCCACCCATAAAAAAAGACCTATTCCCAACAACTCTAACAAACTCCTTAACGCCAAGAAAACACTATCAAAGCACATACTAATTAATCCCCAGGCATCCCCATCGCCACCGCAGCCATCTCCACCCAAACCCTCTCTGCCTCCCCAGACTTCTTTTATATCCGCATGACATGGATCAAGCCCTCCTTCCGCTGGTCGATGTACCGCTCCCACTGCGGCCTCAAAGACGCGGATATTGGCACTCAAGATGCGGCACGAGGATTTTAGGGAGCTGTTAAGGAGAGCGGTCGTCACGGATGGGAATAGGCAGAAATTAGGAGAGGAGAGAAGGAAGGAAAGAGGTGAGGGTGCAGTGGGATCCAGAGAGGGGGCCGGGGCTGGAGGGTAGGGGCGAGAGGAGTTTGCAGGTGGGTGTTGGGAGGGGGGTGAGTAGGAGGTGGGTTGAGGAGTGGATTGTGGGGATTGAGGATGTTACTGAGATGGCGAGGGGGGTGAGGGAGAGGGTTGAGGAGGGGAGGGAGTGGGGGGTGATGTTTAGTGTGCGGGAGTTGGTGGAGATGGGTGTTTAGCCGGAGGAGAGGGAGTTTGTTGTTGATGGGGAGTTGAGGGTGGTGTTGAAGATGGATGTTGAGGCTGGTCAGTAGGTAGGTGGATTTTCGGAGCTATGTCTGAGAGTCTATGAAGGTTCCTCGTGCTCTATCCTATCGGCCGTTCCACCGTAAGCTCCTCCGTCGAGGATGATCTCCTCGTTATCCTCTAAGCTATCCTGGACTCTTCTCCAAGTCTTCTTTTTCCTGCTTTCTAACTCGACGTCTTTCCCCTTCCCAGAATCCCAAACCGGCTTGATCAATCCTCCAAGCAACGGATTCCGACTGAACGTTCCCCTCCCTCTTTCTCCATTTCCACTCATCTCGTTTAGTGGCAAGTCCTCCACCTGAACATCCTCATCATCTCGCTCAACCTCAAACTTCGGCCTATCGACAGCCGCCATCCTCTTCATAACCTTCCCTTTCACAAGATCAATACTAACAACCTGTCTCCTCTTCTCATACTCAGGTCTAGCATTCCACTCCTGCTCCACCAAAATCTTCTGCTGCCGCTTAACCTGCCTCGCCCTCTCCGCCGGACTAGCCCACATGTTACCCCCCTCACCCCTTCCTCCAATCCCCGTATCAAAGTCCGCAGCCTCATCCCTAACAGTCGTCCTCTTCGCATTCTGCGCCTGGAACCCCAGCAACCGATCCCTATGTTCCTTCGCCTTCCTCTCCGCGTCCGTCATGCCCTCAACGGAATCCTGTCCTGGCCTCGGACCTGAGAATGGAGCCGGTTTCTTCGATATCTCCGCTCGACGATGCGAAGCATTATCTAACGACATCTTCTCCTTCCCTCTCTCTTCCCTCAAACTGCGAATCATACCCTGCACTTCCGCAGCGCTCAGCAACGGCTCGCCGCAGAATGTACATGGTCCCAACCCCTCTTTCACACACACGACTTTCCCGCAATTCAAACAATTCGGCGCGGAAGCGAGGAGAGGATGCCGGGTCGCTATACAATTACATGCTCGTTGAGCGGCGGGAAGGAGGAGTGTGCTGTTGGTAGATATTTCTAGAGAGCGGATGGCGGCGTCGAGTTCGGTGAGTACGGTGGATGCGCCATGCATGGATGTTCCGCCGGTGATGCTGACTTTCGTGGCTTTTGGGGCGGGGGAGGAGGTTCGAGAGGGGTTCTGAGAGGGTACGCGGGAGGAGGAGGAGGATTTTGTTTTGAAGTCGGATATTAATGTGCCTGCTGCGGAAGGCGGTGCTTTGGGTATTGGTGCTTGAATAGCAGCGGGTTTGGGGTCGAGTGAGGATGATCCTGCAGGTATAGGTCTCTTTGATATATAGTCATCTTCATTCTTCTTTTGATATGCAACGCCCTGAGCGTATGTATTTTCAACTTGGCGGGGCGCGGGAGTATGGAGGGGCGGTTTCTTCTTCGTTTGTTTCTTTGACGGTTTTGGTACACCGTCCGTCTGCGGTGCTTTCGAGCTTGAAGCTGGATCTTGACGGCGCGAATTGAAGGAGGAAATGAAGTCTATCGACTGCGGTGACTCGCCCAGAAGGTTGTTGAAATGATCAGCAGCACCTTGCTTCGACAAGGTCGCGGCATAATCCAGTACCTGTTGCAGGTCCGACTCCGGTAAAGGAAGCAGTTTCGAGAGCTGTGCAACGGACATGATTGTATTTGTCGGAGTAAAGTTGTCGCACTGGTTGCTTGAGCGAGACAAAGCGGTGTCGGTGGTTGGAATTTATTGTTGTCGGGGTTGTAGTATATTTTTTGTTTGGTGGGAAAGCTCCTCCGGATGCGTCATTCTGAATCGCTTCAGAGCCGAGCACCCCTGAACACCGGAGTATCTTCACCTCCAAGAGCGCATAGCGTCGGACCGTCCACAGGAAGTGCTCAGCATGTGCTGCATCGATTCTAGACTTCGTTGCGCCCTCCAATAGACATATCCGTTATGGGCCCGATTTCGCAGCTCACCAATTGATTGAGTCACATTATGATCTTGGAGAGCTATCTACTCCGTATTGTATATAATTTCAAATCTATTTCTATTGCTTCCTACCTCTCGACGGTTGAGCCTTTGTTCATGTGTTGACTCTTCAAAACAATTGAGTCATATCAACATTATATCCAAGCAAATTCGACATCTCAACTACTCCACTTTTGATCCTACACAATGGGAGCAGACGTAGCATCCAAGATGACAGAAATCTCTCTTGATAAGTCTCCTGGCTATGAGCCTACACCATTTGGCAAAGAAATGCTCAAGCATTTCATGTTTGCTCCAGACTACAAGAATCTCAATCATGGTACATTTCACCTAAAGTATACTTCTCATGCCGCTTTCTAAAGTTATCAGGCTCGTTCGGGACTTTTCCCCGAGTTGTCAAGGAGAAGCAGCGAGAATACCAAGATCTTTGTGAATCAGCTCCGGATGAATTTATTCGCAGAACATACCCTAGACTCCTCGACGAGAATAGAGAGGCTGTTGCAAAGCTCATGAATTGTCCTCCTTCGACAGTTGTTTTTGTACCGAACGCAACAACTGGAGTCAATACTGTACTCCGAAACATCGTGTGGAATTATCATGGGAAAGATGAGATCATTTACTTCAGGTGAGTCTCGTCAGCACAATTTTCTGAATGTACTGACATACGAAACAGACATATATATGGCGCTTGCCTGAAAACTGTGGAATACGTTTGTGATGCAAACCACTATATCGTCAACCCAAGAGAGCTTGTAATTCAATATCCCATGGAAGATGCAGAGCTCCTCTCTTTGTTCCGAGAGACTATCAAGGCTTCTAGATCCGAAGGCAAGAATCCTCGTCTTGCAATCTTCGACACTGTCTCTTCACTACCAGGACTCCGAATGCCATTCGAAAAACTTACTAAAATCTGCAAAGAAGAAGGGGTTATATCTCTGATCGATGGAGCACACGGCGTCGGACAAATTCCCCTCGACATGTCTGAGTCGGACCCTGACTACTTCGTGTCGAACCTGCATAAATGGCTCCTCGTGCCTCGCGGATGTGCCGTCTTCTATGTTCCAGAAAGGAACCAACATCTGATGCGATCTACACTTCCAACATCTCATGGTTTCGTGCCCAGAGGCGCAGGCTTAGATGCTCGGAACCCAATAGCATCCAACGCCGCCACGCCCTTCTTGGCAAGCTTCGAGTTTGTTGGAACCATTGATAATACCAACTATTGTGTCGTTCAAGACTCAATCAAATGGAGACAACTAGTGTGTGGTGGAGAAAAGGCCATCATGGACTACTGTATCAATCTGAACAAAGAAGGTGGCAAAGCAGTAGCCAAAATCTTGGACACGAAAGTCTTGGATAACAGCACAGGGACTTTGACAGACTGTAGTCTTATGAACGTTCTTCTTCCTCTGAAGATCAGCGATACGAAGATCGAGGGCGTGAATACTATCAAGCCTGGAGACGGCATGCTTGCCACACAGTGGATGCAACATACGCTGATGGATGAATTCAAAACATTCATCGCCATCTATTTCTTTCAAGGAGAGTGGTATGCGAGATTAAGTGCACAGATCTACTTGGATCTTTCAGACTTTGAATGGGCAGGAAATGCACTGAAGCAGGTTTGTGAGAGAGCAGGGAAAGTTGATTACCTCATCTCTACTGGTGCGCCAGCGCTTTCGCATAGCACAACTGAAAGTTTTGCTCAGAAGAAATAGAGATTCCTTGGTTCCTCTTGGACGGGAGAGAGAAGGTAAGGTGCAGGCTCAGTCGCGGATGACATGTGAAATATGGTTGAAAAGCAAGGATTATACAGGAACCCTTCGTTATCAAGTTTCTTGGTCCTATTTATGAACTCATGCCTTATTCCATGCATGTGCCCATGCATGGAAAGGGGGAAGCGATCATTCACTCCCGCATAATCACGTGCCTCCGCCACAAATTTCGGGTGTCAGCCATTTCGTCCCTCAATTTCCTCCATCCTGCTTCAACGTGCTGCATCCCTTGTCCCAATCTCCAAAACAAAGCATCCATCCTCGAATGCGGTCCCTCGGATCCAGCTGTTGAGCTCCCGCATCCATGTCTTCAAGGGCTGTCCCGTTTCTGCCGCAAGTTATCTTGTTTCAGAACGTTGCGTTGGGTTTGTTGAGCTGCGAGGGCTGAAAGGTGTGTTGCATCCCAGAGCTCTGCCGCCTCGCCTGCAGCATTTCTTGGCTGCCTTATCATCTCGCTGCTGTTATTATTATTATTTCCAACTCTCACCGAACCTGCAATCTCCAGTCCTCCACGCGCACGAAAGCTCAGAACGCGATGCCAACGCCGCAAAAGGAGAGAGCCGGCTAGCTAAAGAAAGTCAAATGAGCGGACAACGCCAACGTGCGCCACAAGCTTCCGTGGTCAAAGCTCACAAAACAAAGTCTTTGTTTGCCTCCGATATCACTCGCGGAGAAGCGCCACGTTTAGCTTGAGCCAAGATTGGCGTCCTGGTTTGTTTTTTGGTGGCTTATCATTGGAGAAAATTGTCCGGAACTCCCCCGACCAGGTTTGTGATCGGGACGATCTCCTGCTTCTTGGAATTGTCGAAATATACGTCCCCTCCTCTTATTCGTGCGTTGGTTGAGCTGCTTTAGTTTCATGAACCGACCTGCAGGCTTCGGAGATGCTCCCTGATAACCATTCTTACCAAGTCAACCCCTCAAGATCGACGGATCGCTCCTAGATGCTCCCTGCGACCTGCTGTTGTATCCTTTAAGTACTTCTCGGATGTCTCAGCGTGCTGACACTGCAGAAGAGACTGCCGTCAACCCGCACTTTGTTCACCAATTGGTCTTATCTTTCGTTGTACATGTACAATACCCAAAATGTTTCGAAGCAGCAGCAGAAGTCAATCGGATCCCGTCGCGGCATCGAGTGAGGCTTCACAACCTTCCACTTGGAGACCATCACTCCGAGGCATTAAGAAGGGTCTGTTCTCCAACAAGGACGATCCTCAGTCGTCGAAAGACCCACGCATCGGAACTGCAGCTACGACTGGTCCACCCTTGAGCGCAAGTCTACAAGAAGCAGATGCATACTTAACACGGACAACCTCCTTTGTATCTTCTGGATACGGACCTAGTAAAGCGTCAAGCTTCAAAAGAAGTCAGACGACAAGAGGTCGAGAACAGCCTAGAACTTCTCGGGAGCCATTGGGGTCAAAGGGCTTTACATTAATAAAGCAGTCAGGCTCGAGATCACAGAGACATAGACCGACCGAGTCTCAAGGCGGACTTCTCTGCGACCTGGTTGACCTGGACCAACAAGAGACTGGACCATACATCCCCAAACACGCAGCATCCGACTTCTCCAAATCCACTCGACAAAAAAACCAAGGACAAATCGTCATACAACCTTCGTCAACGCCGTACACACCGACCCACGCAGCCTCCGACTTCTCGAAAATCAAACTCGCACCCAAGATGGCGGACGCAGCCGCGACACCCATCCAATCCCGCGACGCTGCACCCATCACTCCTCCCGCGAAACTCGACGACAGCAACGACTACCAAGTCTTCCTTGCAGCCGCTCGACAAGCCGCAGCACGAACCTACAACACGACGGGAGTCATGAGTCCCAACAGACCCAAACCCTGTCCTCAAGTATCCCAGAAGATGAAAGAGATTGTAGCAAAGCACCAAGAAACGGTTAGACAGCGAGCGACCTCCGTGTCGCAGCAATCGGTGGCGTCGAAGCCTGCGAGCATATTTGATAAAGTGGGAGAGTATATTAAACCGAGTCGAGCGGAGAGTGTGTATAGTCAGAGAACGGGGTATTCGGATGAGAAGAGTAGTACGATGGGGAGTGTGACTTCTCGTGAGAGAGCAGGGAGGAAGGTGTCGAGGGATAAGAGGAGTTTTTCGTGAGGAATGGAGAAGAGATGGAGCATCGAGTGAGCTGTGAAAGTGGTGTGGTTCTGAATCTAGGAGTCTTAGGGATGGGTTATGATAATGAGTAATGAATTTCATTTGTTCTCGGTTCCTGTTCAGTTTATATATTCTAAAGATGGAAGTTTAGAGGAGGGCGTATATTACATGGGTTCCGCAAGTGCGATATTTGTGCTGGCATAGGTAGCAATCAAAGCTTGTCTTAGAGCATTATAGCCAAATTAAGATCTTAACTTCATTTCTGTGTCCTTTTTGAAGTCCTGGGCTAGTTGACCCACGTTGTTAGTTGTCAGATACCGGAGAAGGGTTATCCTCCTCTGCCAGCTTGTTGTCTGTTGTTTCTTGCGAGTTTCCAAGTTTTATGATGAATAAATCCGAATTTTGGGGTTTCCTTTCAGAGATGTGTCTCAATTTCTTCCTTTCTTCATTTCGAAATAAATCTTTGTTGAGTTTACAATGCTATTGTGCAGGCTCAAAAGACATTCTTCCTTCAAGCCTGTCCCGAACAGTGTGTCAATGAAGCCAACTGTTTTGAACAAAGCCTCCGGTCTAGAACAAGGCTTTCTTCTTGAGTATTAGACCAAGCACTCACAGAGAAACAAACCCATCTCATCAACAACTACAATCATCAACTAAAGTTAAACTCAACAACACAACACAACTGACTTTACTACCAGCTCAGAACATCAACATGTCTTCTTACCCCAAAGCCAATACCTCAGCAGCCACCTGCCCGCCAAAGTGTACTCTCTGCTCCTGGAACCTCGAGCACACACCAGAGGACGGACATGCATTGAAACGCGACGAGGACTCCCTCACAGAAGACCAAATCTACGAATCCGTCCTCTTGAACGAACGCCTCGCGCTCCTCCTGCTGCACGACCAGACCCCAACCGTCTTGGCGACCCTCTCCCCCGGACACCAAGCCAACCACCCACTCAAGTTGCACTTAGTCCTCGCCATTGGCGCAGGCAACGCAGCAAAACAACGACGTTACAACGAGCAGATCAACTCACTCTTCACCCGCATCGAAACTGCCCCTCCCAAAAAGCTCGGCTGTCTGCAGCAAGAACTGCGTGCATATCTCTCTTCCGCGCTAAGGCCGCGATGAGAGATCCCCAGGTTACCTCGCGCTGGGCTGAACGGCTCCAGATGACCTACGTCTCTTGCGAAGGCCAAGCGGCTCTCGACGACGTCGACAAGCTGCTGCTTCCTCTCCAAGCTCGGATCAAAGATGTCCACACGCGGATCGTGAAGCGGCTAGGAGGGTACTCGCCTCGCGATCTTGAATGCCATGGCCCGGACCCGCATGCTGTTCCTCGTAAGGCGCATTTCTGCGGTGTGCACCCAGCGATCAAGAGGCATTTTGAGGACCCGTCAAACAGGCTTTGAGAAGTCTTAGCACGTAAATCGCGCCCAGAGTCCAAGTATGAGTCTGGCATAGTAAGTCTCCAACCCCAAGATTGATTGATTGACATAGAGGCGCTTGAGCAGTCCTCAAGTAGCCGTTTCCTTTTAGCTTCCCCCGTCCTCTGCCAAGTAAGAAGAGGAGAGATGTAACATTGGAACCATGAAATTGAACACTATCCCCAATATTTTCCCCGTCTTTCCTGTCCACTTGTGAATGCACTTCCCTCACCTTCCTCAATGTCTCAGAGATTCGCACTACTATCTAAAGAGCCATCGACAGAAAATTTAGTGACAAGATTAATCGACTAGTTAGATCTTGCAAGTCTATCTCAGGTGTTCAGCATATCTGAAAGTAAGTAAAAACTTATCTGCAGGTGAAGTTAGATTACAGGAAAAGCGCTGATTGCGCAGAACGCGCAAATATCGCAATATGCGCAAAAAGCGCATATCCCTCAAAAAGCTCTAGCACCACCTCCAAGATCATCGATTGGGTTAGAAGAAGCATTGAAATGAGAATTCACCAAGTGACTCGAATATACTAACTTACAAGCACCATATAGATTCACACGATAGCTCTCCAGCTTAGCTTCATTCACGTATCTCTTTCGTCCCACAGAGAACAGCAGGGAAGTAGGGCGACTAGGGTCCTTCCAACGACATTTCTGTTGCAATCTTTAAGAAGTTATTTTGAACAGCTATCTACCGAAACCACCACTTTTGCAGTACTTTTAACCCCCAGCCATCTAAACCTTCACATACTTCCTCCAATCATGCACATCCTGATACCCCAACACCTCCCTAACCTTCCTATTACTCAACGGCGCCTCAAACTCCCCCATCTCCCTCGTAACCTTCGTCCCGGGACACTCCCTCTCCAAAAACTCCCTCGTCGTCCCCTTCACCGTAATCGTATCATTCGTCGCATTAAAAACCTGGAACCCCAACCCGCTCTTCTTGATCGCCAGATCACAGATCTGGCCTAGATCTCGCGCATCGATGTACGACCACGCGTTGCGTTTACGGGAAGAGGGGTTGGAGATGTAGGATGGGAAATCACGCTCGTATTCGTGCGGCTCGATCACGTTGCCGATGCGGAGAGCGTAGATGTCGTTTTTGAAGCGTCGGGAGAAGGTGCGGGCTGTTTTCTCGCCGCAGATTTTCGAGAGTGCGTATCTATTCCAGTCTTAAGTCAAGATCATGTGAGATTTTGGGATGGAGAAGCATACGAATCTTCAGGATCGACATCATAGTCTTCTTCTAAAGGAAAAGAATGATAATCGGCGTCTCCTTGAGCGAAACATACCCCGTATGTCGTTTCAGAGGAGGCGATTATGATTTTCTTTACGCCCAGTTTGCAGGCTGCTTCAACTACGTTGTAAGTGCTGCGGACGTTGGCTTGGAAACATTCTGAGTCGGGGACTAGCATGTTTCGTGCATATGCTATTGCTCGATGTCAACTAATGGATGAAATCAATGATAATTGCAACACTGACCAGCAAAATGGATAACGACATCAGGTGCCGCAGGAATTGGTCCATCGCTGTAGCCGGTCATGTTGAAATGAGAGATTAAGGCATTGAAGACTTGGCCTGAGTCTGTGAGGTCTGTTTTCATGGTATAAACGTCGACTGAGGTGTCTGGAAAAGGAACGAGGTCCAGGTTGAGGACTTTGTGTCCTTTGCTTAGAAGGTATGGGATCACATGTCGCCCTGCTTTTCCTGAACCTCCTGTAAAGACCTGTTATCTTGTTAGTCTAAATTATCTGTAGTTTTGGAGGGTGCTACTGACAATCTTCTTCCCTCCAGCAACAGTGGGGTTTGTGTTGTTGGACATTTTCGGGGACAATAGTCTGATGAATACTTATATTTATATTTCACCAAATTTAAATTTAATATTGTTTGAAAAACGAAAATAATGCCCAGACATTTATATAACTATGCAATGATCGCCGCTGAATGTCACTGTCAATTCAGGCTGATATCAAAATCTCAAAGGCCGACGTCCTGACGTCAATGAAATAGGACTGTTTTAGGAAGGCGGTGGCAGAATACCCCGCCTCCCTTTCGCCTCCCCCACCTTAGGATGAAAATGCTTTGAAAGATCAGTTTGCTGAAAAGCAACAGTAGTAGAAGAATAAGAAGAGAGAGATTGAAATTTTGGTTCGAGTTCGGTGACGATGTGAAATTCATGCTATGCTTTTGCGTCTTTCTACCCAATGTCTCGTCTAAAAATCATTATCCAGAACCTCATCTCATAAGCTCTTGCACAACGTGAGCTGATCTGTGCTTCAAAACGCCATACGCCAAAAGAAGCAGAAGCTCTAGTACATCATCCGAATCAAGCAGGAGAGCTGGCCGCAGTTGATGCAGAAGTCGATGAAGCAGCATCGCTTCCGAAGATGCTCTGAACCAACTCTCCGCCTCTAATAGCCAAAATCGAAAGAAGGGTATCACTCAACTGAATAATCGTCAGTGCCGAAATACAAGAGTCGATAGTGGAAAGAACTTACACCGTGCGTTCCTTCATTACATCCTTGCAACCAAACGCCAGCAGCCTCATCCACCTTCCCATGATCGAAGACCACACTGTAATCCCGCTTAATACCAAACTTCTCCTTTTCTCTTCCAGGTAAGAGATCCTTGATATCCGAGAGGATTTCCTCGTGAGCATTTCTCTTGTACCCGGTCGCGGTAAAGACGTAATCAACCTCCAATTCCTCTTCAGCTCCATCCTTCTCCAATACTTCTCCCAGCTTCAACAAAACTCCAGAATCCTTGGATTGCGTAGCGGAGAGAACTTGGCGGTTATTGAGGATGTTGGCTCGCCAATCCATAGGAGAAGAGGAACGGAGACGTTGCATATAGAGTTTCTCGTAGAGGTGTTCAAGGAGAGTGAGACGGACGACGCCATAGTTTGTTCCTCGGTCCAGAGCCAGAGCTAAGGCCCGTTGGTCTGGATCTTGGGCGTAGATTCCGTCCACACGATCAGGGTCGAAGATCTCATTTACGCTAGGAAGATGTTAGTCTTGTGATATCAACGTGGCTTGCTAGGAAGGGAAACAAGGAAACTTACAAAGGGCTGTCATCGCTAGGTCTCAGACTTGCTCCCTTGATGATGAGCCGAACCTTGGAATCAGGGAATCTCTCCCAAAGATCATTAAAGATCTCCGCAGCACTCTGTCCACTACCCACGACCGCAAATCTTAACGGTCTTTTGCTTTCTCTAGCCTGTTCCTCAATCTTCGAGATTGCATTTGCGAACTGGGAGCTGTGAGCAACATGCTTGAGTCCTTGCATGATCGTTGGAACAACTGGTCGTCCACCGACTGCAACCACAACATGACGAGCTGTTCTCGTGACAAAATCTCCCGTGTTATCTCGTGCCGTGACTTCCCAACCGGTGACCTTTCCGGTAGATGGAGAGGTAGAGCCGATCTTGACGGAGCAGACTTCCATTCCATAGCCAACTTTGCCTTCTCGCTCGAAGTGTGATGCGCACCAGCGGAGATAATCTTCGTACTCAACTCGGCTTGGTAGAAACGTACTCAAGTTAATGAATTGGTTCAGGCGGCCTTGGGAAAAGAGGTAGTTGATGAATGTGAACTTTGATCTGGGATCACGGGGAGTGGCGAGGTCTTTTAGGAAGGAGATTTGCATCTTCGCGCCTGGGAGTTGCATGCCCGCGTGCCATGCGAACTGGGGTTGTTTCTCGAGGAAGAGGACTTTTGGAGACTTTGAGAGGATAGATTGGGTATCGTGGAGAGCGATCGCAATTGCAAGGGAGGCGGGACCAAATCCGATGCAGAGCAGGTCGAGAGTTTCGTTTGAGGAGCTGGGTAGAGGGTTGATGTGACCGTTTGTCATATTGCCACCAAGATGTGTATTGTTCAGTTGCTCATTGAGAGGGAATATTCCAGTCGAGTGGAAGGAATCCTGCTCGTCAATCGAGGAACTGATTGCTGAAGGTGCCATCTTGTTTATCTTGATGTTTGGAGTTTGCGCTTAAGGTAGGTAGGAAATAGTAACGTGATCGCTAGAAGGTGCGGAAGTACAAGGGCAGGTGATCTGATAATGCAAGAAATGCGCCAGGTGGGATCAGATAAGAAAGTCTGCTCGAATGACCAACTCGGAGTTACACAACCACTCCTTTTAACCTTTCAAATGTGACTTGTCAAAAATCACAAGAAGAGCAACTTTCTTTTGCTTCCTCTGTCTAGCCAAAAAAGAAGCAGGCAACTGAATTGTAGGAAAGTATATTGCAAGATAGCAAACGCGGGCAAAATGAGAAATCGCCGTTGTTCTATTGGTACTGCTGTAGCTTTGGGTTCGCGCTGATGACGAGCTGGATTTCAATTGCCCCTCATTCGTCAAGATTTAGCTTTGAGATCGAGAAGATTCAAAACTCCGAGTAATGACCGATGACGGGAGATGTTTCTTTTGATCAGTGTGGAATACTGGAGTGTATCTTTTCTGGTCATGCGATGATGGCGGGACGGGATGGTGTATTTTGAAGATATGTCTTCGCTTAACGCGGATTGGTTGAAATGATATACCGAGAGCAAAGAAGCGGATGACGAATGAGCTTATTTCGACATTGGGATTCGGATTCGGATTGCAAAGTCTAGATGAATTAAGAGAGAACTTAGGACTGAGGATGATAATGATGAAATCAGAAAGAGGAAAGAAAGGGAGTGGAAAGCGGTGATTGGCGATTTGGTTGTCATATACGACATCAATGTATTATCCTGGCCTGTCCCTTCTCTCGCCGAGGTCGTGGACTCGCTTGATGGGTGGATGGTGAATTCCGGGTTGTGCATACGAGTCAAAGGAGAGGGCAGACGGGACCTGCAGTCATCAGCTGTTCGTTGTGTACTACTGCACCATGACTGTCCATATTGACAGGGAAGAGGGAGAAGGTTTTTCCCTTTCCTCCGTTTTGCTCCCTTCCTTGACGGCGCAGTGACGCAAGTTGGATATCGTTCCAGTACTCGGCGAACTTTCCCCTTGGTACACCCTCTTGTTTCTTTTTCTCCACGCCCCTCCCATGTCCCAGCCGTGGCTCTGACTACTGTATGCGGGCTCCAGAGTGGGATCTAATCATATCAATCACGGTGCGCGATAGCTCCACACGCGGTGATCTCTGGACCTTGGCCGGCAGACCCAACACTCAGCACTGGCTGTGATTGCTGGGCTCATGACTAGGAGTGCCAATTTGACACAAGCATGAATCGTAAGGTAGTGTGGATGCAGGAGAGAAGGGTGTCGAGTATCCGTTGGGTAGCAAATCCAAGGAGTGCGAGGAAAACGATGACGCCGATATTACCGAAGCAGAATTCCGTTCGGGCACTAGCTTGCCAAGACAAATTATCTGATCAGAATTTTCTTTATCAGATCCGTCCTCGTCGTCCGTGCCTGCATCAAATACCGATGTCGGCCCCTCCCTTTTCGCGGCAGCGTCGTAGTGCAGTGGCGCTTGTATGGGTCGACTTTATCAGATGGCCAGATAATCGCAGGTGGACCTCAGGGATCCATTGTCCGAGGATCCCTTTGACTTGATGGGGCAGGTGGGGATTAGATTGACTCTTGGACGAAGATGTGACGGAAAAAGAGCTCCGCTTCGTAGGTGAGTTATTGAGCTGTAACGTAAGAGAAATCTAAAACAACATGGCTAAGAAGGAGAAAGAAATTGGATGTGATGTTCCAACGTATCTCTGGGTCGGTGTGATTTGGGGGGGACGGTGATGGTTGAGTGAAGCCGAGAATAATTTCAAGATGACAAGCGAGGAAAGTGGGATTTTGAACGACGCATACCGGATAGGAAGAGAAACGCAGTGTCAGCGTGAGTCAGCCAAGGAATGTTCATCCCAGTCTATATTGACAATCTGAAGAATCTTTCGTGGAAGCGGCAGAAAGGAGGAAGCCGTTTGCAGATCGGCGGAGTCGTCGAGGTGGTGTGTCCCGGTGTTACAACTCAATCTACTACAACTAGAGCTTCGAGATTTTGGAGGTCTCCTCCTCAAAGGGCTCTCGAACCGAGATTTGATATTCTACTTGTGAAACTTAGATTCCCTGTGGATGAATGTTCGAATCACGATTGACCTGGTTGTGAATAGACACAATATGCAACTATTTGAGAATGAGAAGAAACTCAAAATGATATCAACTATGTACATGCATAGAAATTTACTCTATTTTCTCAGCCTCAACTCCACACCAGACAATTCTCCATGTGTCCAAACTGTTAGCCCAAGCTCTGTGCCTTAACCATCTGTTCATAAATACCCCCTCCCTTCATCAGCTCCTCGTGCCTCCCCTCCTCCACAATTTTCCCTTTCTCAAAGACCAGAATCCTGTCTGCATTCATCACACTCGTCAGTCTATGGGCAATCATAATCGTTGTTCTTTTCTTAGCTGCCAACTGAATTGCTCTCTGAATCTGTTGCTCGGAATGAGTATCCAACGCCGATGTAGCTTCATCGAGAAGTAAGATCTCCGGATCACGAATGTAAGCTCGAGCGATGGCTACTCGTTGCTTTTGGCCTCCTGAGAGTTGAGAGCCGTTGTTACCACATTGAGTGTTATAGCCATCCGGGAGGGAAGAGATGAATTCATGGATTCCGACGGCTTTACAAGCGGCGATAATCTCTTCATCCGTGGCCTTGTGGCCCGGTCTTGCACCGAGACCAACGTTGAAGGCTACCGTTCCAGAGAAGAGGTCGGGGTCCTGGGCTACGAGACTTATCCTCGCACGGTGTTGAGAGACGGGGACGGAGCGGATGTCAACTTCGTCTAGAAGGACAGAGCCGGAGGTAGGGTCGTAGAATCGTTCGATAAGAGAGATGGTTGACGTTTTCCCCGCTCCCGATCGTCCGACTAATGCAACTGTCTCGCCAGCTTTGATGTCAAGATTAAGGTTTGTGAAGACAGGTGCGTCCGGTCTGGAGCGATATGCAAGAGTGACGTTCTGGAAGCTAATGTTGCCCATTGATTTGGAGGGTGTAGGCGGGAGTTTGATGGATTCTCGAGGTGCGTCTATAGATGATCTGATATCAATTGTGGGCTTCTGATCATGCAGAGCGAAGACGCGGCTTGCTGCTCCTTTTGCTCGACCGATGTCGGGTGCGAGACTGAATATTTGACCTGCCGCTTGGGCTGAGAAGAGAATTGCTGGGAGGACGGTGAAGAACTGAAGGGTGGTATTTTCTCCTGATCGAACTTGTCTCGCTCCCCACCAATATGCGAGGGCATAAACAAAATATCTACTCCACATTAGCGAGTGCGTATCTAAGAAGGGAGTTTAGGAGACTCGCGTGATAGCTAGGGAACATGCGAGGAGGAGATTGCCAAGCGCGGTATGTCTGAATGTCTGGTCTTTGAACTTGTCTACCGCTAGATGAAATCGCTGTGAGGTTTCTCTCTCAATCCCAAGTACGGCAATGGTTCGAATCGATGAGCAAGCTTCGGAAGCCAATGCTGCTGCTTCGGTGTAGGCCTTCTGATTCTTCTCTTCGAGCTTTGAGAGAATCCGAAACCGAAAAAACCCTGCAAGGATGACGACTGGCGAGGTGGCGAATAGCACGATTGCGATCTTCCAAGCAACAATATGGGCCAAAATTGCTCCTCCCACGACGGATACGAGAGCAGAAACTATGGTTCCGATGATAACTCCTGAAAGACCACTCAGATGTCCGGCATCCATACTAATGACCGAGGTCAGCAATGATGCTGATCGACCAGGTTGAAGGAACCATTCCATATCTTGGCGAAGTATGGTACGCAAGGAGAGGTCTCGAGTCCGCAGAATCAAATGTTCCGACACAAGGCCAAAGCTAGAACCTGAGATTGTGTAGCCAGCTAGAGCAGCTAATGCTACTACAAAGAACATCAGACAGAAGAAATTGACTCGATCGGATGGTACATCTCCATTGAGTAGCTCAACAAGGTGACCGAAGATGATGGACTCTCCGAGGATAAGTCCGCCGGTGGTGAGTGAACCCACGAGACCAAGACAAGTAAAAAATGCTCGAGAGCGACTTAGAGCAAGACAACGCTGAAGGATGGCGAAAGTTCCAAAAGTCTGGATCTCAGCCTCAGAAACGACTTCTTTGATATCTGACACTTTCATAACATCTTCATCCGAATCTAGCCCAGGGGTAGCCTCCACAACAAGATCTGCTTTATCCAACATAGATACCTCTGAAGCATCATCAGAAGAGAATTGCTGTGCCTCGATCAATTTGCGGTAGACACCCTCCGAGCGAGACAACAATGACTCATGGTCTCCTTGCTCCAGGATTTCGCCCTTGCCCATGACGATAATGTTATCAGCAGATCTGACAGGTGCAAGTCGATGCGCAATCATGACTGTCGTGCGGTTTCCCATTGATCTTGTCGTGCCAAGCGAGGTGAGAATTGCGGCTTCGCTAATTGTGTCAAGAGCACTCGTTGCTTCATCCAACACCAAAAGCGCTGGATCAGCAACGAGGGCTCTAGCCAGACAAACACGTTGCTTTTGGCCTCCTGAGAGTTTTGTTCCAGATGGTTCACCAAGTCGTGTATCAAGTCCGTTCGGAAGCAATTCGATGAATGACCATGCATCTGCCGCTTTGGCAGCCTTGATGCACCTTCCTCTCATTTCATCCTCGCTAATCTCTGCACCCTTGTAGCCATCCTTGATGTTTGAGTAGATTGTGCCTGAGAAGACTGCTGGATTTTGGTCGACAAGTGCGATCTGATTACGGAAGCTGGATAGATTGTATTCTGGTATCGAGTGACCATCAACTTGAATCTGCCCTTGTGCTGGATCATACAACCTGAGCAACAATGCAGCGATCGTACTTTTACCGCTTCCCGATGCCCCCACAATGCCTACTGTAGATCCAGTCTTGATCTCGAAATTGACGCTATTCAGGACAATTTCTTCGGGCCGAGCAGGGTATGCGAAGCTCACATTTGAGAAAATGATCTCCTTGTTGGGTCCAAAGGTATCATCATCCGCTCTGACTCCATCCTGAGAATACACATCTATAGGTATATCAGGGTAGTCGATGAGACTATATATTCGGTTTCCAGCAGTCGCTGCATGTGAAAATGATTGGATGAACGGCCCAGCAGCGCCGATGACGAACGACGCATCGAGAATGAGGAAAACGATCGCGTAGACCGTTCCTGCACTTCCAGTCGAGATGTTGTTTCTGACAAGCTTGGAGCCTTGCCAGTAAGCAAGGGCATTCGCCGCGTAACTGTGAATAATTAGCAAGAGGTTCCCAAGACTAGATCCAGAGTGACATACGCAATAAAAAATATACTCCCAAGCATAATGGCACCTGTGTTAGCTTTCTTCACCCCATCTTTCATCGCCCGCGTCAGATGGTTTTCGTGATCCGCTGTCAAGGACTCGAACGCATCGAATGCTTGGACCACTTGCACAGCTTTGATTGCACCCTCTGCAATCGATGCAGCTGAACTGGTACCCTCTAAAACTCGATTGGAATAGTGGTTCAGAATTGAAGTTCCAATAATGATAACCAAGATCATGGAAGGAATGACCGCTGCGAACAAGATACCAGTGAGACGCGCATTGAGGATAAAGGCAACAATGAACGTAATAACGAAGTAACTGATTGACTGAATGAATATCCCAACTTTCTCAGCTGTACCCGATTGGACTGTCTGCGCATCAGCAGTCAACCGGCTCGTAATCTGGACTTGTGTAAGCTGGGTTCTGTGGGAACTGGCAAGATCGTACATCGGGACATTGTGTTTCGAAGTAAGTCTGGTCAAGTCCAAGAGCTCTGTTAACCATCTGTGTTCGAAGCCCTCTCGAGATTTGTGCACCAATTACACCCCAACAAAACACGTATCCCCAAGTGACAACAAAATATGCAATTGCTACTCGTGTTAGTATGAAACTTTTTCGGATAGGCAATACTTACCAACGGCCAGCAATTGCCAGATTCTGTTCCGAACTTCATCTTCTGTTAGAGGGAAGTTATCGATAACTTTCGCAAAGATAACTCCAATAATTGGTAGAGGAGCACCTGCAGCAATTGCTAACAGTATGCCACATACCAAGATCGCTCTGGATTGGAAATCTTGTAGTGGTCTATAGAGAGCGCAATATGAGGATAGAGCGCTGTATGATCCTGTCTCTTGGGCCAGGAGCCTAAGATAATTGACCATCTTCCAGACCCTTTGCGCCAACAGCTGTCATCGAAACATGAATGGCATTTCAAGAGCTCGATAGACGCGGCCGAGGAAGAAATGAAACGGTCCTGCGCAAAAATTGAAGATGGGAGCTTGGGTAGACCCTCGCCACCAATAGTAGCATAGTATCAACAATGCTGTAGCGTAAGATTCAAGGAGGTACTAGCCATAGTACGCTAGTGTTCCTTGGGAGACTCACCTTGTAAGAGAAATTACTGTGAATAGAGAAGTCTGCATGAGGCATCAACACCGCCCTGTGCGCTCCAGAAGTTTTCTCTCGCCCTAGATTTTCCAACTGTCTCCACAATACAAGGAAGACAAGAAACAACGCTGCCCCAAATCTGGAGATAGACCTTGGGTGAACTCTCACCACCAATGATTGCATTGCATCAATAATGGAATTCATGGATGTGTATAAATCATCTCCATCTCCGAAGCATTTCCGCACTACGAGAGGGAGAACAGAGAACCAACGAGGGGTAGCAACATACTTCACCGTCACAGTGCATACGAGGGTTCCCACAGGGTCCCTTGGCCTCGCCTCGGCAGTGATCATCTTCCCAGCGTTAAGCTTAAGACGGTGGCGTGCTGGAGCCGGAACTAGAAGACGGTTCGAAGCCGGGGTTACGCCACAGACTTGAAAGGCCATTTTCAGCTCCTGTTCGATGATGCTTTGGGTCTTTTACCAAGTACGGCAGATGCCTAGACGTGCCAAGTTCCTGGTAAGTGACATTCCAAGACCCTTTAGCAATATTACTCATTGAAGCTCAAGGGGACTCAAGAGAATTGGAAGATCCGTCAATTAACCAAGTGGATGTCCAGATGACGAAGGTCCCATCGATCAACGGTCCCTTCGATGCATACGTGGTAATAGATGCAGCCCTCATGCAGCTTCGGGGACATTAGCTAGATTCGTAGTTCGCAGCGAAGTGCATCGGCATACCAGTCTCAAATTTCGCCTTTGGATGCTCCGCTGAACTGGCTAACTGGCTAATTGGTAGCTCTAAGTTGTGATGGAGAAAGCGGACCTTCATGGATCGTCGTCAAAAACGTCACCTTTAAGCGTCCCCGAGACCGGACCGAGGCTGGATCCTTTCACACCCCCTCCATCCCTGACAATCTGATGATCTGATAAGATGAGATTGGAGTGAAAATTCTTCCTTGCAGCCAAGTTCTTCCCGTGCCTATGTCGGTGACACGACTTCCACGTGTTGCACAAACCATTATCAGATCCTGCTGCTTAGCTTCAGAGGTGGACTTTCTTTCTTCTTCTGCTTATGAACCAAATGCGAAAAGTGGGAAACAATTTCTGGACAGAGCCGTCCCTCTTGCCTTGCCACTGCCCGCAATAGCACCACCTGCATCTCTCGGTCACCGGAGAACTTGAATCCAGGGCTTTGCTATCCACACAACACAACTCACTCGTTGGCCGGAAAAGCAACCATTGCAAGCGGGCAAAATCCCACGATTTCATGACTCCAAAAGCTATAATGCCCATTGCTATTCTGGTCATTTCGTTTGTCACGAACTTCAGTGACATTCGGGATTCTGGTCAGATGAATTTACTCCGTTCCGTGTGTTCAGCCCCTGGCTGGGGTAAGTGAAGCATCTTGATACGTCACGAAGACGAACCTGGAAACCAGAGATTGGTTTGCCGAAGCTATCCCACGCTATCAGAATGGCGCGTTTGAACAACTTCGCAAACCGCGTGCCAGCAAGTGCAATAAGCAAACATGAAGAAGCTCTTTGGAGATATCTTCAGCCGCTCGCGATCTTTACTTTGCGCCTGACAATCTACTGCCCAGTAGCAATTCTTTCATTTCAAAGCACACCAGTACAAGTACTGTCGATCACGATTGCCTCTAAGCACGTGAATATATTCAACCATTCTTTCCATATACCAGTTGCCACGTTAGGAAGTCATCAACCGCTTTCTACTTCCGTTGGACCTCAAATCTTTGAGGCTTCCAAATCTAACTCCGCTATGATCATTGGGCTTTGAAGTCCCAAATATGGCTTCCTCACTTTCGATTCTCAACGATCCTCCACAACTCCTAAACGGACCTCAACTCCTGCATGAGCTAATTCCATGGGATCAGCACATCGATGCATGCGCCCTCGATTGCACTAGCAATGAAATAAACACGACCTACAGCTATCGAGAGCTGTTATTATGCGCCGATTCATTACGAGTTAGGATACAAGACTCCCTGAGCGAATCTCAAGCGCAGTCATCAAGACAACACATTATCCCCGTTTTACTACCACAATCTCCAGAACTATATATTTCTCAACTCGCCATTCTGAGGTCCGGAGGAGCATTTTGCCCAATCAACCTCGATGCGCCCAAAGAACGAATCAAGTTTGTTGTTGGAGATGTGTCGGCAAGCGTCATTATCACGACCTCTACATTCAAACATACTGTATCATGGGAGAATGGACCCAAAGTCATTATCGTCGACGAATTTCCCTCAGTAGATCAAGAGCAGGTCGTGGAAAAGAGACCATCACGTGATGTCAACCCTGATGAGCTGGCGTATGTTATGTACACGTCTGGATCGAGTGGGAAGCCAAAAGGAGTTGCTGTAAGCCACTTGGCGGTAACACAGTCCCTTCTTGCGCACGAGAACCACATACCTCAATTTAAGCGATTCCTACAATTCGCTGCACCCTCATTCGATGTGTCCGTGTTCGAGATCTTCTTCCCGCTGATCAGAGGGTCGACTTTGGTCGGCTGTGACCGCGCTCAATTGCTAAATGACCTTCCAGGCATGATCAACAAGTTGGATATCGATGCCGCTGAGCTCACTCCTACTGTTGTGGGCTCTTTGCTTCAAAAGAGGTCAAATGCGCCTGGGTTAAAGCTACTCTTGACTATAGGAGAAATGCTCACGAGACCTATCGTGGAAGAATTTGGTGGCTCAGAGACCAAGCCAAACATGCTCTATGGCATGTACGGGCCAACTGAAGCAGCAATACACTGCACCATCTACCCGAAGATGGAGGCAAACGCCAAACCAGGAAACATTGGCATTCCTTTCGACACAGTCTCCACTTTCATTGCAGCTGCTAGCGAGACTGAGGACGATTCTTCAAAATTGAAATTCCTGCCCGTGGGAGAGCTAGGAGAGCTAGTGCTTGGTGGTCCACAGCTTGCACACGGCTACTTGAATCGTCCAGAGCAGAATAAAGCAGCTTTTGTCAACTTCGAAGGCAGAGACTACTACCGCACAGGTGACAAAGCTCGGCAACTCGAAGACGGTACCATCGAAATCCTCGGTCGTATCAGTGCAGGACAGGTCAAGTTACGCGGCCAGAGAGTTGAGCTTGGAGAAATCGAAGAGGCTGTTTATAAGCATCAGGGTGTGAAGACAGTCTCGGCAGTCGTGCTCGCCAACGCGCTTCTCGTCTTTGCACTCGTCAGCGATGTCAACATTCATACCGAAGATGTGATGAACACTTGTTCCAAATGGCTTCCAAAGTTTATGATACCAAGTGAGATCATTCTTTTGCAGAAATTCCCATATCTGCCTTCCGGTAAAGTGGACAAGAGGAAATTAGAGTCGAATTACCAAGAAGAACGAGCGAGTATGGATCATGATGATTCTATATCATCGAGCAAGACTGAAAAAGCAGTCAAGAAAGTACTCCACGACATTCTTGGCCCATTTCCCAGGTCTATGCGTCTTGCTTCTGTTGGCCTTGACTCTCTAGTCGCTATCCGAGTAGCATCCAGACTGCGATCAGAAGGCTATGCTGTGAGCACCATTGCTGTCCTTCAAGCAGACACTTTGACTTCCCTTGTTCGCCTTTGCGAATCTATCGACTCCAAGCCTCCTTCTGAGCAAAGTAGAGGTAGAGCTACCAACACCGAGGGAATTACTGCTGTACTCAACGGCCATGCCAAAGATGTTGAATTCTCAATGCCTTGTACTCCACTTCAAACCGCAATGCTGTCGGAAACTGCTATCGACGAAAGGGCCTACCGAAACTGGGTTGAACTGGAGCTGCCTGCGATGGACAATACCGATTACGTGGTACAAGCGCTCTACAAACTGGCCAGCGCTAATCCTATCCTGAGAACAGGCTTCTCGGAATCTCAGGCTTCTGATGGCTATGTTCAAGTCATTTGGAGGGAATTGGCGGAGTCTCGGATTGAGCAAGTGGACAAGCTCGATTATGGTTTCGATAGATCCAAAGACATGTCACTGCATCACCCACTTCGAATTCAGATTTTGCAAGCTACTTCAGCAATCAAAGTGCTGATACATATCCATCATGCTTTATACGATGCGTGGTCTCTGGAACTTCTACTAGACGACTTCGATGCATTGTTAGCAGAACGGCCAACACCGCTTAGGCCCAGTTTTGGAGATGTTGTCGATGCATACATGGACGGCACACTTGATGTCGATGATTGGACCCTGAAAGATTATTGGAAAGACCATCTTGCACACCTGGAACTTGCTCGCATGCCAAACTTTCACACCGATGTAGACAGCCCTCCTGGACTTGCTTTGATTCGCCAAGAGACCTCAATTTCAATGACAGAGGTCGAGGAGTGCTCGCGCAGTCTCTCTGTTAGCCCACAATCTCTATTCCAAGCCGCATATGCTCTTGTTCTTGGCTCGTATCTTGGATCTTCTGATATTTGCTTCGGATCAGTCTTTTCAGGCCGAACTTTACCTGTTGCCGGGATTGAGGATATTGTTGGGCCTTGTCTCGCGACGTTGCCTGTCCGCATTGATTTGTCTACGTCTACGACACTTCGAGACCTGATCCAAGAACTCAATGCCACGAATAGGAAACACTTGGAAAACAGCATTCTGCCGCTTCGCGACATCAAGGCTTGTACTGGAGTTCACCCCCGTCAGTTGTTGTTCGACACCCTACTCATCTGGCAACAAACACTACACAGTGTCGATCATAAGAGAGAGAATGTGTCTCTGGTAGACACTTTGGACAATCTAGAGTTCAATCTTACCATGGAAATCATCCCAAGCGCTGGAAACATCGAATTAAAAGCCAATTACCAGCAGGCACTCTTCCCCGCTTCACAAGTCAATTTATTGCTACATCAAGTAGAGCAGATTGTGCGTGACCTCGTGAGGGACCCTGATACGGCAATTACGAGTTCGTTCAGTCACTTTAGCCTTAACATTCTCTCTATTGAAAACGAGGCTCCCGACTTTAGACCGAAAGGAGAAACTCTGAGTTCACCCGTGGAGAGAATCGCAGCAGAAGAGCCTGACAGACCTGCCATAGAATTTGCGGCAAGCATCAAGGGCGACGCTATCGATGTGGACCGTGTGTCGTACTCTCAGCTCAACTCTCGCAGTAACCAGATGGGCTCTTATCTTTTGGAGTGCGGTGTACTGCCGGATGAGCTTGTCTGCATTTGTATGGAAAAATGTAGCGATTTATACACTACCATTCTCGCAACAGCCAAGATTGGTGCTGGATACCTGCCGCTCACGCCTGATGTTCCACGCGAACGTCTTGAATATATTCTCCGAGAAGCAGGAGTTAACATATTAATGGCGCAATCAGCTTCTCGATCTCTTTTCAAGTCATTGCCATCTGTCAAAGTGGTATATATAGATGAGGTCAAATTTGATCTATTCTCTCCGAGAGACATACCTTCACGATCTATGGCCGAGAATGTATCCTATTGCGTATTTACTTCTGGAAGTACTGGCACCCCAAAAGGAGTCCTCGTAACTCAGAGCAATCTTCTCAGTAACTTGGACGTTCTCCAGGATCTCTATCCCACATCCGGCAGCTCTCGTTTCCTGCAGTCCTGCTCTCAGGCTTTTGATGTATCCGTCTTCGAAATATTCTTCGCTTGGAGAGTTGGTGGATGTATCTGCTCTGCGACCAAAGATGTGCTGTTCCAGGACATCGAAAATGCGATACGCGCACTCGAAGTCACTCATTTGAGTTTGACACCCACTGTTGCTGCATTGGTGAATCCGAAGAAGGTCCCGAAAGTACAGTTCTTGGTTACGGCCGGTGAAGCCGTCACTCAAAAAGTGTTTAATGCGTGGGCGGACAGGGGTCTGTGGCAAGGGTATGGTCCTAGTGAGACTACGAATATCTGCACTATCAACCCACTAGTGTCTCGACGTCATGCAATAAACAATATTGGGCCTCCTTTCAGGAACACTTCAGCTTTTGTACTTTCTCCTGCTTCGGAGTTCAGTCCAGTCCCGCGAGGTGGCGTTGGGGAATTCTGCTTTGGTGGATCCCAAGTCTTCCGTGGGTATATGGACAGTCGTCAAAATATTGGCAAGATCATCGAGCATCCTCGATATGGGAAGCTATACCGCAGTGGTGATTTCGGCCGTTTAATGCCAGATGGATCTCTGGCCTTCACAGGTCGCAAAGACGAACAGGTCAAGATTCGAGGACAAAGGGTAGAGCTTGGCGAGATCAACAACATCATGCTCAGATCCGATGAGGTCAAAGATTGTGTTACGATGGTCATCGATGGTGATACTGAGAATTCGCAAAGACTAGTATGCTTCTGGGCATCCACATTGTCTACTTCTGAGAAACTTGAATTTCTCACCCCAGAGACCACAGTTATCGAGAGACTTTACACGAGTCTTGAAGCCGCACTTCCAAGTTATATGATACCATCTGCGCTCCTTCCAATCACATTTCTTCCATCTACAGCTCAGGGCAAGATCGATAGACGTCGACTGGTAAAGATGTTCCGCGCACTCGACCTTAACTACCTTGACATGATTTCGCAAGGTCCAAAGACGGCAGAAGACCACGCTTGGACAGGCCTGGAGAATAAAATTGCGGACACAGTAGCGAAAATCACCAAGCAGCCACGTGCAGATATCCACCTAGATACATCCTTCTTCAACCTTGGTGTCGATTCAATTTCTGCTATTTCACTGGCGAGGACTTTGCGTCAATCAATTGAGCTTCAGGTGGAGATATCTGATATTCTCAAATTCCCTTCAGTCACGAGACTTGCCCAAAGAATATCGTCTCGACTCGGAGAGGATCGCAGTGCAAGCGCCAGCGATCAGACAAGTTTTCACTTCGGACTCAAGGAAGAGTTCAAAACCTCAGTCATCACGCGTTTTGGACGAGCTGGAAAAGCAGTGCAGGCTATTCTTCCGTGTACTCCTTTGCAGGAAGCTATGCTATCAGCAGCGGAGGTATCCCCTGAAAGTCTTTATGACAACCGCGTCACTCTCAATGTCTGTGGAAACGTGAACAAGCTACAGACATGTTGGCGTGATATGGTTAGAAGACATGAAATACTGCGCACATGCTTCATGAGCACCGATATCAAGCAACATCCATATGTCCAAGTAGTGCTCGAAAAGCATGACTTGAGCTTCGACCGAGATTCCAAGGACGACCTGCTTCAAGAACTGAAGCCGCCTTATACTCTTCAGCTTACCGGATCTGAGAGTTGTCATAAGCTTTCGATTTCTATGCACCATGCTCTATACGACGGTGTCGCCCTCTCTGTACTATACGAGGAGGTTGAGAGCCTCTATCGCCGGGAGTCTCTTGCGCCCCCGGTCTCGTTCGTCCCTTTCCTGCATAAGATAGAAACGATGGATCTTGACATCGCCGACAAATTTTGGGAATCAACTTTGAAAAGCTGCAGAAATACCAGCCTCAAAGAGATTTCAAGGCCCTCGTCGGCATCCATCCAGCTACAGCCAATCACGAGAATTGATCGAATGACATCTCGGGGCCCACTTCACTCAATAGAGGCTGACATCAAGAAGCACAGCACGTCTTTGCTAGCTGCTTGCCATGCAGCCTGGGCATCGTCCCTATCAGAACTAGTCGAGGAAATTGATGTCTGTTTCGGCAATGTTGTCAGTGGCCGCACAGTTCCCGTCGAAGACGTGGAGCGTTTGGTAGCACCGTGTTTTAACACCATTCCCGCTCGTCTGCAAAATATCCACAATCTCACTTACCTCGAAGCTTTCCGCAAGCTACAAACACTTAACGCTGACTCCATTCCATTTCAACTTACACCTCTGCGTCGCATCCAATCTAAATTTAGCCCTGATGGCTCGCGTCTTTTCGATACCCTTTTCATTTTGCAGCAACCGCCTAGAGCTCTAGACTCCTCCATATGGACTATAGAAGAAGACAGTGGAGCCATGGATTTTCCCCTCGTTTGTGAGCTCGTTCCAAAGCATAGCGATGATACCCTTGAAATTATTTTACATTCATACACATCCGTTCTTTCCGACACCGAGGCCAACAGCATATTGCGTTCTTTCGAGGAGAAGCTTAGATTCGCGTTAGAGAATCCTAGGAGGCAAATGATGTCTTCTGAGATTCGAGATAAAATTCTTGAAAAGATTCAGAGCAGGGAGGAGAGCGAGTCACAAGTCTCCCTAGGCGAGGCTACAACGAAGCCCATGTCACCGCAAGAAACTCAGCTGCGAGACATCATAGCCTGTTTCACTGACGTTCCTGTTGACAGGATTGGGCGAGACGTCAGCATCTTTCGACTTGGTCTCGACAGCATCAGCACCGTCCAAGTCGCCACTCGACTTCGCAAGGAGGGCCACGCACTCTTGGCAAGTGATATCTTGGCCCACCCTACTATTGCCCAATTGAGTGATTTTCTATCATCAAAAACTGGAGGCCACATCTCCGAGATCGACGAATTCGACTTTAGTGCCTTCGATGGGGCCTACCGGGAATCCGTCTGCGCCAAGAATGGAATCAATCCCCTTGAAGTCGAGGCAATCAGGCCTTGTACGGCGGTCCAGCAGGGTATGCTCGCTCAGACTTTGCATTCTGAAGGCCATGAATATGTCAATAGTGTTTGGTTCAATGTCTTGCCAGATGTGGATATCTCAAAATTGAAGCATGCTTGGGCCATTGTGTGCAAGAATCATGAAATGTTGAGGACCGGATTCTGTTCAACTGAAGATTCGAATCATCCCTTCGTTATGGTCACTTACAGCTCAGACAAGTTTGAGCTACCCTGGGTTGAGGCTAAAGACAATGTACAGAGCTCAAGCTCCACATCTGAAGAATTGAGGCGACGCCCTTGGACACTGCAGCTCAGCGAGGAAGAGGGAAAGCAAACAATACAATTTACAGCCCATCACGCTCTCTACGAAGCTCAGTCAATCCAGATGATTCTCGAAGATGTTGCACAAGTCTATGCAGATAGTCAAATGGCAGCCCGCCCTTCAATTGCTTCTATGCTTGGCTCGATATTACGGCATACGCAAGACGATATGGAAGCAAAGCAACAATTTTGGCAGCGAGATGAGAACAAAATCGTCGTCAATCGCTTCCCAGACTTGACGCCACTTCGGCTCTCGGATACCACGAGTGCCGTGAAAGAAGTCATCTCGCAATCAACGTTGACTGAACTTGAGGCAAGATGCAGGAATCATGGTGTCACGATGCAAGCCGCTTCACAAGCAGCATGGGCAAGAATTTTAGCTGCTTATATTGGCGAAACTTCGACAACCTTTGGCATGACACTCTCCGGTCGCTCTGTTAGTGAAGATGCAGATGCGATCTCGTTTCCAAGTATTGTCACTCTACCCTTCAGATGCGATATTACTGGCAGTAATTCGGAGCTTCTCACAAGAACGATGAACATCAATGCTCTCCTTCACAAGCATCAATTCACACCCCTTACTTCGATTCAGAAATGGGCCGGTCACCCAGAAGGCAAAATCTTTGATACTTTGTTTGCGTACCAAAAGCTTCCCAGTAACGACCAGGACATCCAATTTCCGTGGACAATCGCCAGAGAAGAGGCATCTGTGAATTATGCCGTATCGCTAGAGGTACAGCCTACGAATGATGATAGACTCTTGCTTCGTCTCACTTACCGTCAAGACCTCATACCTAATGAGCAAGCAGAACTCATTCTTCAACAGTACGATGCAATGTTACTTGATTTGCTACAGAATCCCAATAGCTCGTGCGATGCAGTCCCTCAAATCCAACCTGACCTACTCTCGATCACAGCGGCTATAGAACATGTGCTTCCCGGTCCAGTCACTCTTCTTCACGAATTTGTGGAAAGAGGAGCACAAGAATGGCCAGAGAAGACTGCTCTCGAGTTTGCGACAAGCTTGGAGACTGGAAACTTCAAAAGCAGATCATGGACTTACTCTCAACTCGATCAGGAAGCCAACAAAGTTGCGCATCTCCTTATGCAGCATGATGTTATGCCTGGCGATATTGTTGCAATCTGCTTTGAAAAATGTGCAGAAGCCTCTTTCGCTACAATTGGGATTCTCAAGGCCGGCTGTGCATTTGTTGCCCTTGATCCGAATGCACCTGCCGATCGACTGAAGTTCATCGTTGAGGATTCCGCTGCAAAGCTGGTTCTGGCGGCAGGGAAACCTGGACAGAATCTTCGTGGACTGTTGGAAAACAAGATAATCTCCTTGGACTCGCCCGAAATTTTCAATGGCTACTCATCTGAGAGACCTACTTTGGCGAGAAATATCAAGCCTGACGATACAGCCTATTGTTTGTACACCAGTGGAACAACTGGAACGCCCAAGGGGTGCTTGATTACCCATGAGAATACAGTCCAGTTCATGCTAGCTTTCTCCAAGCTCTTCGCTGGTCACTGGAGTGAAGACTCAAAGTACCTGCAATTTGCTTCTTTCCATTTTGATGTCAGCGTCATGGAACAATTCTGGAGCTGGAGCGTAGGAATATGCGTTGCTTCCGCCCCTCGAGATCTGATATTTGAAGACATTACTGGCGCTATCCAGCAGTTGCAGATCACTCACATCGATCTCACACCTAGTCTGGCACGGCTTATCCATCCGGATGATGTTCCTACACTATGTAGAGGAGCATTCATCACTGGCGGAGAACAACTCAAGCAAGAGATCTTAGATGTCTGGGGTGAACATGCCGTTATTTATAATGGCTATGGTCCTACTGAAGCAACGATCGGATGTACGATGTATTGTCGGGTGCCCAAGAATGGCAAGCCAGCTAACATTGGGCCTGCTTATATCAATGTCGGTTCTTATGTTCTAAAACCAGGCACGGAGATCCCTGTTCTTCGCGGCGGTATTGGTGAACTGTGCGTATCTGGCAAATTGGTTGGCAAAGGCTATCTGAACCGCCCAGACTTGACAGCTGAGAGGTTCCCCACTCTCAAAGCATTCGACGACCGAGTTTACCGTACTGGCGATCTTGTCCGAATCCTGCACGATGGAAGCTTCATATTCCTTGGTAGAGCTGATGATCAAGTCAAGCTACGAGGTCAACGTCTCGAGCTCAGTGAGATCAATGAAGTTATCAAGAAAGGCGTCAACGAGGTCGAGGAAGTCGTGACCCTGGTGCTCAAGCACAGTACACAGCAGAAGGAGCAGCTTGTCACTTTCTTTGTCACTTCGTCTTCTGACGGTGATGGAAGTTCAATTTCGACGATGAGAGATGCTTGCAAATCTCGATTACCTGGATACATGGTCCCGACTCACTTCATACCTATCAAGAAGCTTCCTCTTAACGCGAACAACAAAGCAGATTCAAAACAGCTCGCAGCTATGTATAACGAGCTAAGCGTTGAGGAATTGCAGAGGTTGAGTCAATCTGGACTAGAAGACAAGAAATGGTCAGAAAACGAGAAACCAATAGTTGGCATCGTGGCGCGAACTCTAGGCGTTGAAGCGGGAACATTGACTCGAAGCTTGAATGTTTTTGAACTTGGTTTGGACTCCATCTCCATCATCGGCTTCTCTCGCGCTTTACAAAATTCTGGCCTGGAGAATGCGAAGCTTTCTGTGGTCAAGAGCAATCCATCGATCGGAGGTCTTGTTCGCGCACTTCTCAACAATTCTGCACTTGATACTCAAACCGAAAACGCTTTTGTGGCAGCTTCGCAGTACATCACAGCTTTCTCTCAGAAACATATGGTCGGCATCTGCAAGGAACTGGGCGTTGAGAGCGCGGATGTGGAGAGTGTTACACCGTGTACGCCAGTCCAGGAGGGCATGATTTATCGATTCCTTGAGAGCGACCTGCCTCTCTACTTCAACAGTTTTGAGTTCAAGTTGAATGATGAAATTGATGTGGAGGGACTCATGGCTGCTTGGCAGAGAGCCATCCAACACCTTGAGGTACTGAGAACTAAGTTCATTGCGACAGATGATGGCTTCGCACAGGTTGTGCTGAAAGAAGTGGATGATTCGTGGAGAAATCCAGCAACCAACTACAATACTGTGGAGAAGATTATAGCTTTGAAAATTCCTTACAAACTTGACTTCTCGGCTCGAGAAGGCTTCTCATTTCGAATATTCCATGGGCTGTACGATGGAAACAGTCTGACAATGCTTCTTCGATGTGTGGTGGATGAATATCGCGGTATGGATGTTGACTATGGACCTTCATTCACATCATCACTGCCTTATGGTCCCCTGGCACAGGTTCCTGGAGCTCATGAATTTTGGACACAACATCTTGCTGGATGGTCAGCGAACGAACTCGCAATTACATCCTACGCTACGAAAGACGTCGTCGCTACAAGCCACATCCAAGACATCAGCAAGATCGAGAACCTGCGCAAGAAGCTTGGTGTCACTCCTCAAGCCGTCCTTCAAGCTGCCTGGATATCAGTCCTTCAAAAGTTTACCTCATCAAATCTCACGCTCGGCATCGTCACTTCAGGACGAGCAATTGACTTTGAAGGCGCAGACAGAGTCATAGGACCTCTTTTCAACACAGTTCCTTTCCATATCGTCCTTCAAACTGGGACCACGTCGGCAGCTCTCATATCAAAGTGCCACGAGTATAATATGCAGATGCAGGACTTTCAACATACGGCACTGAAGGATATTCAGAAATTGAGTTCAGCCAAAACTGGGGAGCCGCTTTTCGAGAGCTTGTTTGTATTTCAACGTGAAAACGAGGAAGATGACGAGACCCTGTGGAAGTCAGAGGACGGTGGACAAATTGCTGATTATCCATTGGCTTTTGAGGCTACACTTAATCAGGACAATTCAAAGCTGGATCTGACGATCGTTGCTCAGGGCAGGATCATGGACCAAGCTAAGGCTGATGATCTTCTCACTGCTGTCGAGAGAGCACTGCAAGATATCTTGAGCAGTGATGGCAAGAATGTCGTCCCTGTGAATGAAATTGGGCAAGGAAACAAGAAGAGAAATGGTCTTCCTACCTCGGATGACATTGATAAATCATCTACTACAAACGGCGAGTTCTCTTGGACAGAAGATGCACAGAAGATCCGTACGGAAATCGCAAGCCTCGCTAAAGTTTCCGAAGACAGCATCCAAAACAATTCCTCCATCTTCGAGCTTGGTCTTGATAGTATTGATGTAATCAAGCTGTCATCTAGACTCAAGAAGCGAGGCATCGAAATCCCGGTCAGCGTCATCATTAAATGCCAAACTATTGCGAACATGATTGGCAAGATCTCCAAGAATGGAACAGAGAAAGTGGTGCAAGGCAAGAATCTTGATGATATGAGTCGCGACTTGACGGCGTATCTTCAAAGTACTGGGAAGCTTCCTGAAGATGTGGAAATGGTGCTACCCGCAACGCCACTGCAACAGAGCATGGTGAACGAGATGATCAATTCTGGATATAAGCGGTACTTCAATGTTGATGGATTCAAACTCGGCGATGGCGTGGACATGGAGAAGTTGATGGAAGCAATCAAAAATGTGGTGGACCAGTCGCCCATTCTTCGAACGACGTTCATTGAGATTGAAGATCCAAAACTGCCTATTGCTTATGCCCAGCTTGTTCATCAAGTCGGATCTGGACATGGGGCCTTCTCAAACACGAAGCTAGCTCATGGAGAATCTTTTGAGACTTTCATGGATCAATTCCAAGCCGACTCCGCAAATCTTGCAGCCAAGACTGGGGCGTTATTGCAAATCCAGTCTGTCTCATGTGGGACGTTGAATTACCTGGCGATTGCTATCTCGCATGCGCTGTACGATGGAACTTCTCTGAGGTCCATCCATGAGGATATCCAAAGATCTTATCATCAGAGGCTCGAACTACGCCCAGACTTTAAACCATTTCTGGAACAAGTCTTTGAGTCAACGTCGGAGGATGCTAAGAAGTTCTGGAAGACCACATTATCCAATCTGCCATCCGCACAATTTCCGAGAAAGAGCGAAGTCAAAGACCGCGATGGATCGATGAGGATTGAGAGACGTTCTCGTGTCTCTCTAGGTCAGGTTGAAGAGCTATGCAAGTCTTCAAAAATGACACTCCAGACCCTGGGACAGACTTGCTGGGCTCTCGTTCTATCGCATCTCATGGGTCAACTTGACGTGGTCTTTGGGTCTGTGCTCTCATGTCGCGACTCTGAAGAAGCAAATGAGGTTATGTTCCCATTGATGAACACTGTGGCCGTGAGATCAGTCGTTCATGGAACATTGAATGAGATGCTTCGCTATATGCAGGACATGAGTGATACTACTCGACAATATCAGCACTTCCCACTCGGCACGGCTCAAGCTTATGCACTTGCTTCAAGGAACAACCAAGCAGAGAGAAAGGATACAACCTTGTTTGATACGCTGTTCATCTACCAGGGAAGGAGGTCTACGAAGGTCAAAGATAGGTTGTACGAATCAGTATATGGAGCCTCCGATGTTGAGTTCCCCGTGTGCGCTGAGATGGAGATTGTCGACGATGAGTACATTTACTGGACTACGGCTTGCAAATCTATTGCTCGCAATGCTACTGAGACTGAGGGTGTCATTGATGCTTTAGAAGCAATCTTGACACGGATCATCGCCGACTCACAAGCTCCAACGATTGTTTCGGACGCTGATGGCGTTTCTGTTTGTGGATTACCTAAGTTCAAGATCCATCAGAGTGTGTCGAAGAATATGCATTCATTGTCTACCCCCGCAGAAGATGACAAATGGTCGAACGCTGAGATGGCAATTCGCAAGGCACTTCATGAAGTGTCGCACGTTCCTGAGGATACCATCAAGAAAGACACTTCAATTTTCCACCTTGGTCTGGACTCGATTTTGGTGCTGAAGCTCCCGGCTTTGCTAAAGCATTATGGTATCAAGCTAAGTGTCTCGAATATTCTTAGGGAGCATACCGTATTCTCTATGGCAAAAGCTGCTTCTCAATCAACTCCCGAGACGAACGGAACCATCGATATTGATCATACTCTGGCGAATGCGATGGAATCAATCGACATTTCCTCTGAGCTTCAAGTGCTTGAACAGGAAGTTGGAGAGGTAGACTACACTATGCCTGCTACTGCTGGAGAGGTGTATATGATCAAGCAGTGGCGAGCTTCACAGGGCGCTATGTTCTATCAAACTTTCACATATGCTCTACCTGGACCATTCAAGAAACAAGCCCTCGCAAACGCTTGGAAGACTCTACTCGCCAGTCATGATATCCTTCGGACTGGGTTCTTGGAGCTCGGAACACAGATCGTGCAAGTTGTTTTCAAGGATCCGAAGAACGAGATCATATACTGTTCAAAAGGGGAAATTTTGCCTGTCACGAGGAAGGCGAATGCTGATCTGAGATTGCCGCCACTAGATTTGGTTGTTCAAGACGCGGAAGGTGCTTCTTTTACCTTGAGGATAGTTCTGCATCATGCCATTTATGATGGTATGAGTCTTCCAATCTTGATTGAGGAGCTGCAATGTCTTTACGCTGGACAACAACCTGAGATATCCCTGCTAAGCTTCAAGAGCTTCGTCGCCGAGTCTGTGTGTTCAATGTCTGCCACGACAAAGGATAAGTGGATCTCTTACTTGAGTGGAGAGACACTATATCCCTTGAAAGTAGTTCAATCCACTACACCATCAAAGACCAAGAAAAGAACAGAAGTCTTTCACCCATCGAACAAGATCAAGCCTCTCAATAAGCTCGCACAATCCAATGGCTTGACAATCGATGCTTTGTTCCTCGCTGCCATTGCAAAGATATATGCACGACATCTCCAAGGCTCATCAGCCTCTCAAGAACCAATCCCACAAGTCACATTCGGTGTCTATCTCGCGAACCGAGCACCGTTCGGAGAAGATCTGTCATCCCTGGCAGCGCCGACTTTGAATCTGCTTCCTCTCTGCGTGCCAAATCCAATAGAGAGAAGCATCGAAGAAGTAGCGAGAGATGTCCAGAAGGGATTGAGTATGATCAGCGAGAAGAGCATGGTGGGTGCTAGTCTCGAGCAGATCCATGAATGGACGGGAACCAGGGTCAATTGCTTTGTCAACATCTTGAAGTCTCCGAATCCTGGTACTACACACGAAGATACAAAAGGAGACTGGGAAGCAGTGCAAGACTTAGGGAGAAGAGCAGAAATAGTCACAGAGCACGTTAATGAGAATTTGATTGTGGATGAGGAGGAAGTGAGGAATGGGGCATATTTGGTAAGTCTCGCGTTATGGAGTAGAGGAGAAACAGGCTAACATATAATCTAGCCATCACTAGATATTGAGCTAAGATACAAGAGTGAGGCGGGAGAGGTGGATATGGGTATTTTTGCACCGAATGAGATGATTGGTGTGGAAGAGGCGGAAGGAATGGTGAGGGAGTTTCTTGGATTTTGGCAGGGTTAGGCTGCGTTTCTTTTGTCTCGGGGCATCATTTCATGGTTCTGCGCCTTGTTTTATAGAAACAGTAACTGGCAGAAGAAGAAAGGCTACGTGATTTCTCATTGTTTGATTTGATTTTAGACTGAACCTTGAGACCGTTCCATTGTCTTATTTGCGCTTTTATCTATATTTAAATCAGAAGTTTCTGTGATGCTTTCTCCTTCTTTGGGACTCTGAGAAATTCCCGTGAGAGTATATTGACAGCTTTAACTCTGTCTGACACGCAGTTCTTCCATTTCAAAGAGCAGTAGCCTGCGGAGTTGGTAAAGGAATGACGGGATGCTTCCAAGACATATACCCCACATAAGCTTGAAACCCAGCGACGCCTAAACTCAACATCCCCAGGAAGATTGCAAAGATCACACCGGCAATAGTAGCCATCATGATAAACCTAGCACCGCTGTTTCTCTCGAACCACTTCTCGACTCCTCTAGGTGTAGGGTTCATTAATTCCTCGTGAAGATCAGCGAGGCGAGTGCCGAAATAACGATAAGGCATTGAGTCCTCCTCTGGTTTGCGAATCGCACTTGACACATATCGAAGAACATCGGTGTCAAAGTTGCTTGTAGATGTGGACGTGAGTGATTCGAGGAGCTTATATGAATCAGGCTCTGCGAGGGGAAATAGTACTTTCTGAATAGAATCCAGTGCTTCAAGAGCAAGTGCGCGAGGAAGGACACCTCTGTAGTGTTAAACTGTTAGTGCTGACTTTGCTATTTGGGATTTTGTAGCTTTGAACCCGTCTTAGTCTTGATACTTACAACTTAGCAAGGTCAGTGGCAGAGAGGCTCTCGACTTTCAAGTCTTTCGTGAATCTTAACTGCTCTTTCAAGAAAGCAGTGTGGTGAAAGATTTCAACAACAGCAGCCTTCCTGTCAAGTCTCAAATGATTTCTCAGATCATCTGTGGGCTTGAAACACAATCTCGCGTGTTTTTTCAGCTTCGTTCCTCTGAGTTCCTGAGTGATGTCCTGAATGCTAGGATGGACACTCTGGGGGAAGGTATCGCACAAAAATTGTGGGAAAGTGACATCGTTGTTCCAGCGAATTTTATGATTTCCATGCTCGAGTAATACAGATGATTGACGGGATGCAGAACAATCGACCATCATGGTGATGCGCGCAGCCAAGTTGAGAGCACGTTCCTGATCATCACGAATGGGAAAATTTGGGAAAAGCTTGCGTAGCAATTCTGCTTTAGTGAGCTCGGGATTTGATTGCAATTGCCGTATAAGTTTGAATATGTCTTCATGAGAAACGAGACCTGAGGTTTGACCTTCTTCGATATTGCATTCGTAGAGCGATGTCAGGAGCTTGTAATGCTGGAAGTATAGAGTAAGATGTGTTGAGCGAGGCCATGGGCAGTCTTTGCTTTTGCAAGGCTTTCCGGCAAGGCATTCTGTGCAAACTTCCCAAGACCACAGCACTTCTCCGAGCTGCTGAAGATGGGCGTTATTAACACTTCCAAGTGGGAATTGCGACGTCATTTCTATGGAAAGATTCTCGAGTTGTTTCTTCGGACCTCGAAAGGATGTCACCAGAAAGAAATAGATGCCAAAGCAAGAATATCGTTTCTCGAAGTCTCAAGAGACTATGCAGTATCTATAGTTATGATGGTGTGGCGGAGTGGTTCTGGTTGCGCCCGCCTTCTATGTGGCGCCCAGTCCTTTACTTCTAAAGCACAGAACATAGCCTCAGCCACCGAGCCTTGTCCCATGCCTCCCTACTTTTTGTTTTCCCCTCTTCATTACATCAAGTTGATTCTTCTTTTTTTCTCCTTTTTTTCGTTTGTAGCATTTTGCGCACAGAGTTTAAGCTACATCGTATCCTTACGTCTCGCCTACACAATTACGATGGAGAATCTAGACACCAATCACTCAGAAACGAACGAGGCTGTACCTCCAGAACCTCCAGGACTCATGCTAGAGAATCAAGACAACGACCACCACAGTCCGGTGGCAGCTGTTGCTGCCATGAATGTGCCCCACTCACCGAGGATTACTTCACCACAGCCATGCAACAAGAATCCCACTTTGGATTCCAAGAGCGTCGACCGTGGCTACGCGCCCCAAAACTTAGCCCCCAATGCTTCGAAAGCAGAATTTATTGACGGTGGTATTGTCAGCGGCGGAAAGAATCTATGGCCTCATCCATTTCGAAAACGAAAGCAGCTCAAACCGTACTCGAAGCCGATTCCGACGTTGATTCATGAACGCTTCTTGGACTTAAGAGAACTGTATGCTGACAGTCTCAATCAGTTCACGAGGAGCCTGCCTCATTGTCAAGGAATATTGATGAGTTTACAGGTCTTAGGAGAGGACGAGGCAAGCGCAGAACCGTATGTGTTTGTTCAGTGCGACAGGGCCATATTCAAGAGGGTCAACAACTTCTTCAAGCAGCCGTTCATTAAGTTTGTCTTCGAGCCAGACATTCCCACCGAGACATCGCCGCGACTGCAAGTCATTGTCTGCCCTCTGAAGCCGAGACAGCTTGCTGAAAGTTTAGTTACGCCATCGCAACACAACTCTCCTATCGCCCAGGATTTAATTCGAGTCTTTAGCCACCTCTTGAAGAAGCTTTATCGTCTGGTACTTTATGTGGGTACATATCATGAGTGGAATGTCTTACAGCCGACGTAAAGCCACAATGGGAGGCAAATTGTGGTCGACAATGAAAGAGAGAGGAAGTTATATGGAATGAATGCAGGGCACTTTCTGCTCCGCGACTCGTACGATGAAACATATGACGAGCTTACTCATGACGAAATAGACAAGGTCTCCACTGAAGACGATGGCTTTGAGCTGGACTTGGATTCGTTTGATGCTATCACTGGGGAGGAACGCACCAACACTGAAGGAACGGAAGATACTGGGGAGATTAGCGAACCTCTTGATGGAAGATCAATGATAGGCCGTATCTCCATGACTTCCCCAAATTGCATTGAAGATGGTCGCAATCTGGACTGGGCATTGACAACAATTAAGAAAAAGTCTATGAGCTTGCCAAACATGATTAAAGCCACTGGTGGTCAGCAAGAGCCAAGACCACTTGAGAAACGTAAAGGCTACGACTTGGAAGAACGTGTGGTGGTAATTTCTTCTCGTGGACCTATCTTAGGAAGCCTATCGACTGCATGGTCGTTTATGATGCTATCCCCAGGCAAGAGCTTGGTCCGGACCTTTCTTCTCACGTTCGATAATGGGACGGGTAAGTAAATTTCTTGCAATATCAAGTTCCAGAGCAGAATACTAAGCTGCTCTAGCTTTTCAGTCTGGTGATAGCGGCGCTTGGGTCGTAGATGCCATTACATATGAGGTGTATGATCACATCGTTGCAGATGATGTGCTTGGGCGGGGCTATGCTGTCCCGTGAACGACTCACTTCAAGATATCAAGAGCCAAATTTCTGCATATTCAGTATCTCTGCCTACCGAGATCGACGTTCCTGGTGTTCTTGCTTTCAACATACAGCACTACCCATTGGGCCCGCCTTCATGCGACATTTACCAACCGAATGGCGTTTACCAATCGAATCTGGCGCCGGAACAAAGATTGAAACAATCACCCAGCACGACAAGTACCGATCATACCAGTTCTGTATCCTCAACGACAACAAACCGTTCGACGATAGCAAGCACACGAAATACTAGTCTAACATCGTTAACATCCTTTAGCACACGAGATACCAGTGTTGGATCTCAGGATACATACTCGAGGCACATAACATCCTTTGAAATCCTGTCGGAACGCACTGACAGCTCGTGGACACCATGCATGGGTTCTTTGGGAGAAGATTTAGGGCGAGAAGTGCCGAGTGTTCCTAATAATGACTCAAGATACGAGTCTCTTGGTCTTTCCCCAGGAACTGAAGGACCAATCGTCACGCGAGACTCTACGGAATTGATAGATTTCAAAAGCGCAGATCAACACATGCCTCAAGCAAATGACTGTCTAGAGCTAGGCATATCAGATGTCGATGCATTGAACGAGCTAGGCCAGAAGATGGTAAACATCACTCGCAATGAAATCCGTCGGACGCGTATGCCCAAGCTGCCCTCTCCGAGAAGGTTGCTGGCGATATTTCAAAACAGAAAGTGGTCTGCAGATTGGGGAGAATCGAGAAACTGATATCTTGAGTTTATGAGTAACATGTACAGTTACTGATGATAGTATAAATACTTGACCGTCCCAAAGGTGATTCAAATACCTCAATGCATCAAGTCAACTGAACGGACATCTAAAGCACGGCGATTTGTCTCCCATCTCTCCCATTTCACTCATCTCCTTCATTTCCCTCTGTATCCCTTTTCTCATTGACTCTCTTGTACTCCGTCCTCAACATCACCACAGCCACCGGTCCTACATTCACAAATTCAATTTCCAGTGAATGGCCAAGTATATACTTCGGCTTATCAGCCACCCTGCAGAAATTACTAGCTAAATCCCCAGCGCCGATGTGAGAGGCCATTCCAACGTTGCATTTATAGCTTCTCGCAAAGTTATCAGACATCCATGTAATGTTCCAAGGGAATGCGGTGTAAATGCCACGAGTTGTGATGAAGACGCCTGCGTAGACGAGACCAGGGACGTCACCGTGTGCTGTGCCGGTAGTGGAAGACACGTAGCCGAGTTAGTTCTTGATGGCAGGAAGAAAGAGAGATATGTCGTAAAGTGGAGACAAAATTCCCCGATACATTTTAAGACTGGTTAGCGAGATTTAGCGAGGTGGAAAGGGGAGACCTACTTATAACGCAATATATATTTGCCAGTCTGTGAATTTGCTTTGACGTATTTCCACTGAAAGCCTTCGGATTCGGCGACCGTATGTCCGGATTCTCTGGACCCTTGATAGTTGAGTCTATAAATGACCCGTGCTCGTTCTTCGATAGCGAGGAAGGGAGCCGTGTCCATATCTCTTATGTCAGGTCATATTGAAAAGACTTCTGCATCTATATCCTATCACAACTCATCAAAACAACAGCCAAGATGCGCCGTTGACCTTACGTGGGGTTAATTTCTTCCCCGCGACAAAGGAAAGCGAGATGGCTCGCGAGGTTTGAATGGCGAAGAAAGGGGGTGTCGAGAATCACTACCGAGAAGGTAAACAAGCAGGAAAAGGAAACCTCTTGAAATTTCACTGCTCAACTGTTGGAGATACCGATATACATTGCGGCCGCTTCCATGACGAGTGCGACTATTTATTATTTTGATACAGCAAGCAAAGTAATCACCTCTCGCGGCCTTTATACCAGGGTAAACAAAGCCGCATCTGAAAGAAAAAAACGTGCCTACCAAATGAGAAGAGCTTATCGTAAAAATGACACTCTCATACTTATTGACTCATCTAGAACACAGACGATTCCTGTGTGTAGTCTCGAATCAAAATGTAAGCAAGCACGCGCTCTATTTATAATATTCGCGTCTCGCTTAGCGAGACCGAGCAAAGAAAAAAGTAGCAAAATTCTCTCCCAGCCCACTTTGAAATGTGAGGTGGTCGATATAAACCTAATTTAATAGGTTTCCGTATACGAATGTCGAGTGTCGAATGTCGAATGCTGCACCGCCGGTAAGGAGAAAGGATTGCCAAATAGGACTTGCTACCATGGTGAAGATGGCACTTATGAAAACACCCTAGTCGACTCTCCCTAGTTTTTATTTTATTTTTAGTAAGGGTTATGGCGACATCCTATAACTTGTTAGTCTTAGATGTTTCGCAAAGTAGGAATGGGACCACTTTACCAGCTGAGAAGGATGGCAGGTTCTGTTTATTTAACATTATTAGGGAACCGAAGAGTCGGTTGTGGAAAAGCTAATATTGAAGCTTAGCGCGAGGCTGTCACTTGAAGTTTTTCCGAGATGATAGGAACATACGTATGTTTATTTATCAATTGATACTACCATTCACTCCATACCCATCTAAAATCCTCAAAGCAACACCTTCCCCAGAGAGATAAGCCCCGGCAACAGTCCCCAATTCCTCAAACGGCGCGGTATGCTCGCCCGCAAACCACAACCTCTGCTCCGGAACCCCAAACCTCATTGCCTTGACATTTTCGGCCGCATCCTTCACCCCGACTTGGAAATTGCAATAACTGCCAAACCCCGACAATTCATCTTTCTGCCATTCCGTTGATAAAATGGCTTTCGGTTCACAATCGGGACTCGTGGCATCGTAGTTTGATAGAAGGGAATAGTAGGGTTTGAAGAATGAGTTGAGAAGGTTATGGTGGTCTTCTGTGGACTTTCGGTGAACAAGAGTAGTGAGGTAGGCAGAGCTTTCACCGTAGAGGTAGAATATTAGGGTTGGGTGACGGTTTGGGGGCGTGAATGATGCGAGATTCCAGCATTCTGCTGGCCATCGGGAGGGGTTGGTGGCATCTGAGTATGACGGCGATAGCCAATTCGTGTAGCCTGGGAAGGTGTCTTCTGCTTTCGCTCGTTCTTGAGGTGAGAGGTTGGGGGCTAAGGGAGTGGATGGTGCGTCGACCCAGAATGCGGTGGGAAACGTGATGTAGACCTGCTCGCTGATTATTATAAGTTTTCCACAAGGATAGAAATTCTTTGGTATACCTTCTCAAGATGTCCGACGGAAATAGCATCTATTCCATCAAGTAGCCTTTGTGGCAACACAGGTTCGAAAGCCCCTTTATTTCGCTTGAGGAAACCGAGCGGCGTCGTCATTACCACTTCATCGAACAAGAAAGTCTCCCCTTTCTCTGTACTCAAAGTGACCTTGCCACCTTCAGATGCTCGGCTACTGGTCTGGACATTGACAACTTTCTCGCCAAGACAAACTTTCGCTTTCTCGAGTGGTATCCCCGCGATCTCTCCCAAAATAGCCTCCCATGTTGACTCAACAAACATCTCTCCTTCTAAATTCACCTATCAATATGAATTCGAAAAACAAAAAGAATAGAACACTCACCACCACCACAACATTCCTCCATCCAAGCAAACCTCAAACTCTGCCTCGACACCTGATCCCCCACATACGCACCCCACATCTGAGACATCTGAAGCAACAATTCTACATCTTCCTGCTCTTTGATATGTTCTTCTGCTTTCGATTTCACAAAGTCATACAAACTATCTGACTCGGAAATCTCATTCTGGTGAGTAGCGCTGTACGTAAAAGCCTCTTCTATGAATTGCCAGAGCAAAGATGAAAGCCTGTCGGATTTATCATCTGGAAGAAGCTTGCCAGAAGAATCGTAGATATTCTGCTTGTCGTTCCATGGATGGAGCGGAGTATTCGTTTCCCTTGCTAGATCAACGATGGGATGACGGCCTTCGTCTGCGGACTAAATGCTGGGATGAGTTCCTTTTCAACGGCTCCAGGGGGAAAGAGAACATACTTGATGTATCCAATTCGGTCCACTATAGAACTATCAGCAATCTGGGTGTGATTGGTTGTTTGGGAAACTTACATATCAGCACGATAGCCTAGCTTGTCACTCTGGCAGATCTAGAGCTTATGTGAGAAAAAGGACTCTCAAATGTACCGAATGAAGACTCACCCTCCCTCCTATTCTGTCTCTCGCTTCCAGGATTGTGACTTGGAATCCGTGATTGAGTAGAATTTCAGCACATCTTAGGCCAGATACACCAGCTCCGACTATCCCAATGTGTGGGGTTGGAGATGACATGGTGTCAGGCTTATAAAGAAGTGCCTCTTTGGTTGTACTTCATAGCCTCAGAGATGTAACGTTAGGAAAGAAACATCACCTCAAACTCATTGCATGAATACAATAAAAAACGAACGCGACGAAAAGAACTCAAAGCCATCATCGTCGTGCTCTCCACAATACCCTATTCCGGCAAGTCCACGCGGGAGCCTTCTCCGTTGGTGGAAGAGACCACATCAAGCATCATAAAGATAAGAACTTATCTTCTAACGATGTTACACAAATATCTGAGAATAGTTGATGTCAACATTCTCTCTCGGCTTCACATTAAGTTTCGGAGACACTTTCTAGAACTCTAAAAGTCGGACCCTTTCGGGGTCTTTCGACGTTCATTTTAGCGTCCCGGGACCCTTGAAACCAAGACTCAGATGGTGGGGTAAGAAGATCTTACAAAAGCTTCATTGCCCCGCCAGCGCCTTTGCCATGACTTGACTTGACATTGAAGATTTTTCTCTGCTGAACTCTACACAGTCCAGTACCCTCGATAAAAAGAAACCTGGGCACTGCTCTCCTTTTCAATTACATTCCATCACAGCAATCATGCCTTCTGCCCAAGAAGGCGTCATCGTCCGCCACGCCGTCCGCGAAGGTACCTCGCTACCCCTCCAACCACCACTCTCCAACTAACAAACCAAAAGACGTACCCACCATCCTCCAATTAATCCAAGAACTGGCCGACTACGAAAAAGAATCCGCAGCCGTCCTCGCAACACACGAATCCCTCTCCAACACCATCGCCTTCGCGCCCTCCGGCCTCGTCTCCCCGTCAAACACCACTCAATCCACAGGAGACGCCATATCCGCCTCTCGGCCCGCACGATGTCTGTTGTTATTTACGCCTAGCGGGGAGGCGGCTGGGATGGCGTTGTATTTCTATAATTACAGCACGTGGAGGGCGAAGCCGGGAATCTATCTAGAGGATTTGTTTGTGAAAGAGAAGTTGAGGGGCAAGGGGTATGGGTGGAGGTTACTGGGGGAGTTGGCTAAGGAGGTGGTGGCTATGGATGGGGGGAGGTTGGAGTGGAGTGTTTTGACGTGGAATACGCCGAGTATACAGTTCTATGAGAAGATTGGGGCGAAGGCTATGACGGACTGGCAGACTATGAGGGTTGATGGGGAGGCGCTAGTGGGGTTGGCTAAGAATGCTCCTTCGTAGACAAAAAGTGGTGGAATAGATGGTAGACAAAATGCATTGGGTGGTATATTTGCTTGCTGAAAGGGGTATCATAATTCCAGTCTGTTCTCTCCTTCGAGTTCTTCCAGTTTTGCACGCTCTCTCTTCTTGAGAGTGTTGTTTTGTCTTCTAGTAAGGGGTCTTGCGCTGTCATCTACGCCGTTGAGCCCTTCAAAAAGCTCCAGATGTTGTGCTGAGGGCTTCGATACCACTCCATTCAAAGCTTTTGATTTTCTACCGCCCCATTGCACAATCCACTTCTTCGTAACTTCGTCTTGAATCATCAAAGGTGTCAATTGTGATATCAGTGAGTACATTCTCCGCATAGACCGAGCATGAGATGGAGAGAAGGGCTTCGGTGCAGATTCCTCAGTGTGAGCTATAACCAAGCCACGGGATGGATCAAAGTCCAGCTTGGGTACTCCGAGTCGCTCAGTCCTGGCAGGTGATCTGAGTACATTTAATAACTGGTCTCCACTTATGTGTTTTTGTTCTGCCTTGTACAGATCAGAGATCGTCCCCTTTGCTCGTCTTGGAGGAGCTTCATCGAGAGGTATAGCACCGGAGGCCAAGTCTCGCAGACGTTGGACCTCGCCTTGAGGTACAGGTGGCAGCAGCTTGTCGATCGATTCAGCCCACCATCTCTTCCTCAAATTTTCTGCAAGTTTCCTTGGTGTCGGCCGACCCCATCCATTCTCCGCTGGTATCTTGGGTTCGAGATGGCGAAGCTTGGATTTGTTATGTTCAGGATGATGGTTTTCTCGCTGGCTTTCGCATAATGCGTATAATTTCGTCCCACGCTCGAATCTTAGCGATGAATCTGCCACAGGCTTGTGGATGAGGTCTTCTAGGGCCGAATCGTCCTTGGGCAAACGATCCTCTTCTGGTTGTAATAGTTGCCGTAATAAAACACGTTTTCTCGGACCCTGTCTCCCGTGAACCTGTATAAGGACCTTCTGCAGATCCGCTATATGTCCTTGTGAAGCACTCTCAATGATCTTGGCCCAATGTCGAGCTTTTTTGAGTCGATTGGAAGCTAATGCCCTCGCATTTGGCTTGAACAGATTGGCAGGGGTGCAATTGGCCTTGAAACGAGATGTAACAAAACCGTGGATGTAGCTTCGAGTGAAGGAGTCTGGAATATAGGTCGTTGCTCGCAGAAGACGCCTGTAAAGGTGCAGGACCTGCTCTGGTGGTGCCATTCCGATTTCTCAAATTCAGGTAACCATAATGAAAGCACCAACCAATCCCAATAGAATGGCGTTTGTGTCGGAGTTTGCTCTCGTTGATGCACGTTGTTTGCTTTTGTTCGTACCTTTTTCAATCCTAGAACTTTCCCTAGGTATATATTGACGCCTGAAAATCAAGGATGCAGAATCGTCGCGCCTACGCGTAACCCATTTCGGACATCATTTGCTGTGAACGATCTAAAAAAACAAGAGGAAGAAGTATTATTGCGAATAGGTGTGGTCCACCTTTCTTAAAGCCGTGTTAAATTCTTCGTCCATCACTGTGAATCGCATTGTATTCACAGTATTGTCCTCGGGTCGTTGCGTGCATACTCGTGCATTTGCATCTGGACCGCTCGCGTCTTCGCAAAGCGCGTCAATCTCCCACACAACCAATGAACGGACGACCCCACTCGGAAAACACTTAGATCCTCCACGCCCGCTACACGAACAGCACACGTCTTCCCTGGTGGCCTTGAACAGCGCGTCCCTTATCGCGAGTGATCAGGAAAACCAACGACGACGTCCTGGACGACGATCCAAGAGTTGTAGAGTCGCGAACAAGAGACTGATACTGTCACTCTTCCTCAATCTCCCTCGGTGACTCGGACAATCCCACATACCTCTGGCGCTTCCATATCTAGAATCGACCATATGGCCTCTGCGACAATCACCACAAACCCTCAACCCCTTGCGAACACTTCACATTCTCGTCAAAATCACTTAAACCGTCCACGTTCCTTCTCGTCTGCCAGCGTCGGATACGAAGACCAAGATTCGGCGTCTACTCGACCGAACCCACAGATGTCTTTCAGTATGAGCCAGGGCTCGCAGGGCAGCGGGCTCATGATGCAGCAAGGAAACTCTTTTCGACAGTATGATGGGAGTAATGGTGTCAATCGCAGAAACTCTGCGCCCCAGATCTACTCTGTAAGCATTGTCTGACCTCATTCCATATCTTGTAGTCGCTAATAAGTTTTAAGGCCATATATTCAGGGGTAGATGTGTACGAAATGGAAGTCAATGGAATAGCAGTAATGCGCCGGCGAAAAGACAGCTGGTTGAATGCGACACAAATCTTGAAAGTTGCCGGCATTGAAAAGGGCAAGCGTACCAAGGTCCTTGAGAAAGAGATATTGATAGGAGAACATGAGAAGGTCCAAGGTGGATATGGCAAATATCAAGGCACTTGGATCAAATTCGAACGAGGTCTCGAATTTTGCAGGCAGTATGGTGTTGAAGAGCTCCTTCGGCCATTGTTAACCTATGACATGGGTCAAGATGGAGGCATTGCAGGACGTGGTGGGATTGATACCCCTACAAAAGAGCAAGCTATGGCCGCTCAACGAAAGCGACTTTACAATGCTGGTGCAGACGGCAGAAATGGAGGCCAATCCGGAACGTTCTTCAAGAATATTTCAAGCACTGCCTCTCACGCAGTTGCTGCTATCAGCAAGGCACGCTTTGATTCTCCAGTTCCACGCATCAGGAACGGCAATGTGAGTCGGCCAGCTAGTTTTAGCAGACAGTCTTCTTCACAACAACATATTGGGTCCCAAGAGTCTACTTTCCCTGGTGGCTCTCAACAAAGCTTTGCTTCCGTGGACAGCTTTACTATTGGTGGCCAAGATTCAGCATACGCGACCCAGTTTTCCCACACAGCAAGAGAGGAGATGCGCAATGGCGACTTCGAAGAACCACCAAGAAAGAGGATCAGAGCATCGCCGAGTATGGATGACACGCATATCCTGAATGGCAACTACTATGGCATGTCGATGCGCGAAGCCTCACCCACGGAGCCCAACGACTCCTTTGTTTACCAGTCCCAGTATGCACATGGCATTATCATCCCCCTCCCACCTCTTCCAATACCTGCAGGTCTGAATGGTTCTGAAAAGAGAGAACTCCTAATGACATTGTTCACCAATGAGCACCAAACAGACTTCAGTAAGCACAAGGCGTTTGTCAATTTGACAGCAGAAGAGCTAGATACACCCATTGATGCGAGCTGCAACACTGCTTTGATATGGGCTGCAACTCTTGGGCGACGTCACTTACTCAAGGCATTGATTGGGCGTGGTGCTAGCATGTTCCGAGTGAATTCTTCTGGGGAGACTGCTCTGATGCGCTCATGTTTGGTAACAAACAATCTTGAACTCGGCAGCTTCCCCGAAATTCTGGAACTTCTTGGCCCCAGTATTGAGATTCGGGATACACGTGGAAGAACTGTTCTTCATCATATTGCTGTCACGTCTGCTGTCAAAGGACGCAGTCAAGCGAGCAAGTACCATCTCGAAACACTTCTTGAATTTGTTGTTCGGCAAGGAAGTCAACCAAACAGTCAACAGTCTTTCAACAACGGCCCTCCAGCTTTGAAAACACTCGGCATTGGTCGTTTCATGTCTGAAGTTGTCAATATCCAAGACAGATCTGGCGACACAGCTCTCAATATCGCCGCACGAATTGGCAACAGGAGTATCATTTCACAACTTCTCGAAGTTGGCGCAGACGCTTCCATCGCAAATCGATCAAATCTCAGTCCAATGGATTTCGGCGTAGGTGATCCAACAGAGTTCGATGGCCGCACTGGTGAGGAGCGCGCTTTAAACAAAGGAGTTGGTACAGATGCCAAAGAGAGCAGTTCAGAGATCATCACGTGTAAGGGTTTGCATTCATGCACGTATACAACGAAGCTGACATCTATAGCTATCACGACACTCCTCACTGAGACTGAAAATGAGTTCACCAAAGAGATGGAGAAGAAGCAAAACGTTATCGACGATCTTCACTCTCAACTTCGTGCTGCTTCGGGAGATCTTGGTGAGCAAAGACGTCGTCTTGAGGGCTATCAAGCAGAAGCCAATGAGCGTGATATCTGCAAACTCAAAACCGCCAACCTCATGAGGGCATATGAAGAAGAGCGTTCACGCCTGTCTCAAATGCAAGGACAATACGGTCAAATGAACGGCGAAATTGAGCTTCAACTGGGAGACGCAGACAAAGGCTATGCAGTTCCTGAACAAGCTGCCAACATCCTCTCCAGGATCAACCCTCATCCTCATCAGCCGCTCGTCATCAGCCAACCAGAACGTCAAGCTCTAGCTTCCTCTCTACCTCCAGTTCACGTCCTGCGCGCAAGACTCAACGCCTACAAAGCCAATAACCAAGCCCTCGAAGAAAGTGTCCGCGACCTCCAAAGCAAGAGCTCTGAGCTAGCAGGCAAATACCGCCAAGTCATCAGCCTTTGTACCGGCGTCGAGGAATCCATTGTCGACAGCGTTCTCGAGAATCTTCTACGCGCTGTAGACAGTGAGCAAGATGATGTCGAGCTTACACGCGTTCGAGAATTCTTGCAACGTGTTGAAGGTGCTTAATTGTGTTTGTTCGTTGGTCTCATTTGCATTTGCATGGCGTTTGTGCATAAGCTCTAGGGTTTCGAGCGTACATAACGATACGAATGACTTGCATGGAATGGAGGAGTGTAAAAAACATGCGGGTTAGGATATACGTGTGTGTGGTTTGCGCTCAAGATTCAGCAGCATCTGTGTGTAGTAGTCAACAATACCATGGATCAGGCTTCTAATCAGTGCTTTCGTCGTGTTTAAATTGTGATGCTTGTATGTGTGGTTGCATTTCTTCAGAGAAAAGCTATCTCTGTGAGGTTAGTGTGATGACGATGAAGCACTCCCTTTCCCATGAAGTACACCCTACTCATTCCCCACATCTCCAATAATTTCAACTCATGTTTCTCCCTCACTTCACGAAGGTGAGTGAGTGAGTATCTTCGTGTTTCGAACTCAGCTTCAGAATCACCGCTCACCGTTGCCGACCTAGTTCTTGTCGTTGTCAACTTCATTATCACCGTTGTCAACTCAGTTACCGTATACAATACTCATTCAGCAACAAAGACGAATACTTGCATGCGCGATTGATACTCCGCGTTAAGCTTTGCTCTTCCGTCCGCGATGTCTACGCATGAATATTATCATTTATGAGTTTGACTAAGCTGCTGCTAGGTGGGGAATTCAGAAAGCAACGGTGTGGATTTCTGGAAGTAAGGATTTATCATAGATGCTCGAAGCCTTTCTTCGGCAGTTGTGTTTCTAGTTTGGAGTTCGGTCACAAAAGAATCGGGGAGTGGAATATGATTTGATGTGAGTTTAATTTCTATCTCTCTCTATTCTGTCTGGTATCTTCCCGTCTTCCTTCTAGAATCTATCATGATCATCAAATAATGCTCCCGAAAGAAAAAATCAATATTTACAATCCCCCTGTGAACTCCTTTCTCCCACTCCATCCATGCATCATCTCCTATCCATCTAAGAAGATCTCGAAAGCTCCGCCTCCTCAACCTTAAGATCCTTATCCCCATCATAATGAACCGTCTCAACCACACCTCCCAAAGCACCCCCAGCAGTACCAGCCGCCACAATATCCTTGACTCTCATGATGTGACGTCCAGTGCGGAGCCAGTGAGCAGTCACGTATCCCAAGACATACACGAAACCGACCAATGGGACCACATACGAGATTCTCGTTCCTGCGGAATCGGCGATAGCGCCCTGGATGGGAGGGAAGACTGCACCGCCGCTGACGCCCATGACTAGGATACCAGCGCCACGGCGGGTGTGGCGGCCCAAGTTGGCGGTACCGAGAGTGAATAGAGTTGGGTACATGGGAGCTTCGAGGAAGAAGATGGCGATCAGGACACCGACTGCTGCGTTGCCGTGGGCGGCGCAGATCACGGCGTTGAGAGCAATGGCAATAGCGGCGTAGATCATCAGGAGGAAATCGGCCTGGAAGACGGTTGCCAAAGCAGTAGCGACGAATCGACCGACGGTGAAAGTGATGAGGGCGTATGAGAGAAGGTTAGAGGCTTGAGCAGAGGTGAAAGTGGCGTTCTCGGTAGCGTAGTTGATGAAGAAAGAAGCGATAGTGACTTGAGCTCCGACGTAGCAGAATTGAGCGATGAAACCGAAGATCATGTTGTATTGCTTGTAGATGGGTCCTTGTCCGATCTCTTGTCCGAACTCGTCGGTGGCGTAGTTCTCGACGGTGGAGGAGTTGAGCATTTCCTCTGATACTTCGGGGAGCTTGGCAACGAGGAAGAGAACGGCAATGGCTACACCGGCACAGGCGACAGCCAAGTAGACGAATTGGACGTTGACCAAGTTGTTCGCGTTCTTGCCGGAGAAGAAGAATTTGGATGCGATCAAGGGACCGATGAATGAGGCAACACCGTTCCATGACTGGCAGAATTGAAGACGGGCTGAAGCACTGGCTGGGTCACCGATAACGACAGCATATGAGTTGGCAGCAGTCTCAAGGGTAGCGAGACCACAGGCAATGACCAAAGTACAGGCGCAGAAACCACCGAAAGAGGCAATGCGGTGCTCATAGGTGGAGAAGTGTGCAGTCGGCCAGAAAAAGACTTTCGACGAGTTAGCATACACCTTTTTGACAGAAATCTAGGACTTGGATTTTGACTAACTTGCGCCCAAGGAGTAGAGTGAAAGTCCCATGAGAATGGTAACCTTATAACCCTTTCGCTTCATGACTTCGGCAGCAACAGGCGAGAAGAGCAAGTAACCGCCACCGAAGTAGACGACTTGAAGACCGGTAGATTGAAGCTTGGTAATGTCGAGGACGGTTTGGAAGTGCTTGTTGAGGACATCGAGAAGACCGTATGAGAAACCCCAGAGGAAGAAGAGGGAGATGACGAGGGAGAGAGGGAAGATCAAGTCCTTTCCTCGAAGGAAGCCTGATGCCAGGGTTGGTGCTGCAATGGGGACTCCGCCTGCCATTGTGAATGTTGTTTGGGAGGAAGTGAGGGAAAGAAGGTGATGAAGACTTTCAAAGTCTGGCGAATCTCCTGTGAATGAGTGAGAAGATGTTGTTGATGCTGATGATGTTCAACTCACGATGCTGGGCATGTTGTCTTTATACACATTCACTTTCGATATCAAGCTCTCTCCAGACCCCAGCTCTCCAGTCTCCGTCCCATTGGACTAGCTGCACCCATGCATCTGGACTCCCCCAGACCTGGAAAGTCAATGTCGAGAGCTCGAGCCCAAAGAGCAGGATGTACTTTCTTCCGTAGTGGCAACGCTATCCTCCCCGATCCCATACCGGCATTGCGTCCAGAGCTCAAAGTCAATCTCTAGTGGCCAGACGGTGTCTGACGGTCTGCGGACGAGACCATCAATTGGACTGCCCTACACTTTAGCTCATCTGCCACTCCGAGAGAACGACCGAAGCGGTATTTGAGTTGCAGATCTGCTGTATCGTCTCAAACTCAAAGAGCGATTGACGAATAAAATTTCTACCTTCTGACTCGGTCGCAAGATCTCTCGCTGGTGGTTGAGGCCGCACCATTCCACAACAAGCTTAGCTGCATTTCCCCATATCTCCAGGCTTGTTGTCTCGGGCCCATTATGGATCTCTGGAGAAATCCCAGGTACTAACATCACCTGATGGTGTATCTTCAACCTTGTTTCGATGCGTTGAGCATGAAGGTATCCACAAAGGCGTTCTTGGGAGCAAGTCTAGATGGCATCTCAGAGCATGAAGACTCTAACTTCTCTAGAGGTACCTACAGAATCGATCACTTGCTCTGCTTTGAAACTTGAATAGTTTTCAACTAGGTGATTAAGTCTGACTCGCGGGATTTTCAGCCTATCGAATTGATATCGGAAGTCTCTCCTATTCAGACCTTTTCCCGGCGACAACTTACTTCTTGCATCTGCATACGTTTCCGTCCACTACCATCACAGCACCTTGATATTCTCATCGGCATCTGCAGGCGTATGCACCATTCAATTCAGAGCCGACGTCACCCCACCATCCTCCAATCCCCATCTCTCCATCGCGCCACCCCGCACTTCCTCCTCGCCAAAACTCAGAAACATTCCAGCCCAGATTCCCAAGAAGACCAATCCCCCTTCTCCGCGCTCCACCTTCGCTGAAATTATGAGCTAAGTTGCTTCGATTATTCTTCTAGCGTGCTTCTAGAAGGACTGTCGGGAAGTGGAGGATCCTTGTCAATTGCCGATCTCATACTTTCTTGAGATCGATATCGACATCTGTTTCTGCAGCGTTGCATTCGATGACGGGAAACTTAGGAAGAAAAGCTTCTGGAAGGCGGGAACATATGTTCTAGTGCTGATATCGTGCATATTTCTTGCATTATCAGTTTGTCATGGATGCTTGAGCAATCGATACAAGCTTTTGATAGTGGTCAGTTATCAAAGTTTCCTCCCTGGCTTCGATAAGAAAAAGCTTTGACTGTCGAAATAACGCAATCTGCAGCTAAAGAGTGGTAAATCGCTCATTATGCAAGCCACTTGGTGACAGCTCATGAAATCATCTCTTGTTCTCGTCACAAACATGACACGCCACAGCTTAGCTCCCTCTAGTAAGTGCCCAGTAGTCCAAAACCACACAGCAGAGGCTCAAAGTCTGTCCTTGCGCTCCGACCCACTAGCTCGTAGGCTTGATGAATGTCTGAACCTGGGTAAAGTTTTACGCCAAGGACAAACAATGAACAGAGGACAGACATAATAGCACCGAGTTCGAGCCGGAGTACAGCTTGAAGGCGATTCTGTATGCAAGATGGAGTAATACACATTGTAATAGCTTTGAGGGAGAGAAAGACAACAAGAACAACGAGGAAGAAATGAGCCCGTGAAAGCAGTTCCGAGGGATTGATCTTTGGGATGTTTTGCATGTTCATAGCACAGATAGCAGAATTGTTTTGTACAGAGCATGCATGTTAGGTTCATAGGACAGACATCGAGGCTTTGAGTAAACCTTTGAGTCGAGAACCCCGTATGATACCTAGGTGCGAAGTGTTGATTCGATTTCAATATGAACAAGCCTCTAAAACAATGATCGTTGCAATGAGCACACAATTTCTAAACACTGGAAATAAGAAGTAAATGATTGCTGGTGTAAAGATCTGTGTCTAGTTTGACTCGATATTTCAAATACTCGGCTGCAAGAACCGAGATTCTTTCGCCTCGCTTAGCAGTCCACTATAAATGTACCAGAAAAGAACCACATATTGCAACATAAAAAATATTGGAATTATGAAGAACTTTCAAAAGACATCAAAGGGTAAAAATCCAAAAAGGTTTATGAAGACCTGCGCAGAGCAGGTTTTACTGGGAATCGAACCCAGATCCCCGGAATCAGAATCCGATGTGCTAACCATTACACCATAAAACCATGAAGATAAACCGAGCGATTCAACTCAAGATGTGTCCAAAATTGCGTATCTGGGCTTATACGAGTACCGACATTAGCCGAGCTTTGAAAGTGAAAACTTGACTGTCATTGGTGGCTGATGCCCCGCGCGGCCGTTTCTCCACTTAAAGTTTTTCGATTGCGAACATGATTTATTTCATGGCGGAGGAAAATAAAGTTTGAATGTGTTTGGAACGAAGGATTTCTCGGTACTATCGATAAACCTTAAAGTAAATGACAGCAGATAAAAGAAATTTGACGAATAGTCAACCTCGCAAACAAAAAGAAGCTTTAGGTATATTCACGTGAAACCAGACAAGGCTAGCCTTAGCCTCCTCACATTTTTTGATACAATAAATTTCTCCCCACCAAGGACCCAACATTCTACAAACACAACACCGCAACCATGGCGCCATCAGCGACCGACCCTTCTCCGAGCGAAGACATCGCCCTCCTCACCCTCCGCAAAACCCTAACCTCGGAAACCGAACCCCTCGCACGCCGTTTCCGCGCCCTCTTCTCCCTCAAACACCTCGCCTGCCAAGGCAGCCTGCCCGCCATCTCTGCCATCGCCGCAGCCTTCACGTCTCCGTCCGCGCTGCTGAAACACGAACTCGCGTACTGTCTGGGGCAGACGAAGAATTTGGCGGCGGTGCCATATCTGAAGGCCGTTTTGGAGGATAGGGATGAGGATTCGATGTGTAGACACGAGGCTGCGGAGGCGTTGGGCGCGATTGGGGATGTGGGGAGTTTGGAGCTGTTGAGGGGGCTGAGGGATAGGGTGGAGGAGGTGGAGGTTGTGAGGGAGACGTGTGAGATTGCTGTTGCAAGGATCGAGTGGGAGAATTCTGAGGAGGGGAAGTTGGAGAAGTTGAGGCGGAGGTTGGTTTGTTTTACTTGTCGCAATGGTTCTTGCTAATGATTTATAGTGATTTTGAATCCATTGATCCTGCGCCCACGGCACCTGCGGAGCAGAGCGAGAGTATTGAAAAGTTGGAGACGACGTTGTTGGATACGAAGCAACCATTGTTCTTGAGATATAGAGCTATGTTTGGTCTTAGGGACCTAGCCTCACCACCCGACCTTCCGACTGCTGTTCCTGCGGTCCATGCTCTTGCAAAGGGTTTTTCTGATCCTTCCGCTCTATTCCGACACGAAATCGCATTCGTATTTGGTCAATTGTCCCATCCAGCATCCATTCCTGCTCTGTCTGCAGCCCTTGCCGATACGGACGAGGCGAGTATGGTTAGACATGAAGCTGCTGAAGCTCTTGGAAGTCTTGGCGAAGAGGAAGGAGTCGAAGAGACCTTGAAGCGTTTCTTGAATGACAAGGAGCAAGTCGTAAGAGATAGCGTGATCGTTGCTTTGGATATGGCGGAGTTCGAGAAGGGCGGGGAGGTCGAATACGCATTGATTCCCGAAGCCTCTACTGCATAGGGAGTGATAGGGAGTATTTGGGCGCATCGTTGGTTTTGGTTCGGCATCAGGTGATTTCGGGGTATTTGATTTCTGGGACATAAAATGCCAGGTACCAAGTGCTGGTGCCTTGAATAGCAACTCAACTCGAACATATACATCAAACATATAGCATCTCTGGTGAAAACGTCCGCCAATAGTGTTTCCGTTCAATTATTCGTGTTCCACCTACGCTCGAGTTAGTACATAGTCATATTTCAACCTTTCTTTTACTTACTTATGGCCACAATCACACGTGTAGAAAATAGTACTTCCTTCGTCTGCACTTCTCAATTGCACCGCAGAGTACCTAACTTCCTGCCTTCCACACACAGGACATGTCTCTGCAATTGTAGCCTCATTCTGCATATCACTTCGTTCCACTGTCTGCACATCTGATCGCTTTTGCCTCAATAAAGATGGGAAGGAGGCCGCTTTTGTAGAAGTTGTAATGGTCTTTGATGCAGTATCTAGCCCAAAGTCAGAGAGTACAATACGCCAGCGCAATCCTGTACAAACCTTTATTTTCAGCACCACAGCAGTCGCAGACGAGAATTGTATTCTTATTGCCAGTGGAACTGTCGAGCAAGTTACCACAGTCTGTGCAAAATACTAAAGACCCGATTGCAGACATCTTGGTTATCACTTGAAATTATGTTGGAGGACTGTTAAGATTTCCCCTAAGAAATTTTGCGAAGCCTTGCATGGCTTAGTCATCAGGCTAAGTTGGGAAAGGCACGATCGCAACTGACGAGGCTACAACCTTTACTTCAGTTGAAAGCAACAACACCACGATGTTTTATCCATGAGGCTTTGCCAAGTCTGCCATCCATATACGGAAAACTTTGCAATATGCTCCCTCCATATATGGATTGTCCTTAAGCCATCGTCCTCATCTTCGAACGTTCTTCCTCACGTCTGGGTTGATTGCCCGTTTCGCAGCTCAATATGGAAACCAACGGCTATCCAAACCAAAATGGCACCATCTACAGACCAAATGGGATGAATGGCGCATCTCCAATGCATGCAAATAGACAAACACGACCAAGAGTGCTTACCGTCGACGAAGCTCTACCATATTCACCCTTCTCCTCGGTGGTCCCTTTCAACTCAGGTACTTGTTTCAATTTCTCACCTCGTGGCACCTGGACTAACCTCGTCACCTTCAGACATCGTTCCTGTCCCTTCGATTGGTCTTCGATCTTCCCCCTCAATATTTTCAACACAAGAAGAACGCGACACCGCAAGACATGGTCTCGATAGCCTCAATCGCGAAGCTCGAGTTCCGAACAATACCTCCGACAGATTGCAGAGATCATTAAACGACCTAAAAGATCTCTTGAAGCCGGAAGGAATTGCTCAATTGTATGGAATTCCTTTCATCTTCTTTCTCGCTTCAGCCTAACGTGTTGCAGCAAATTCAAGATTAAACCCAAGCCTTCCTCACACCACTCACCGAACGAACTTCCAAAGCTATCTCTGACACCTTTCGCAAAGATGGTGTATGATCATACCAACGTCGAGTTCACGTATCCTTCCCCAGAGAGACCGAGTCCTCCAATTGCGAGTGGCATGCCTTCCTCACAAAAGACAAGACCACCGTCGAAGTCGAAGTCGCAGCAAGCCTCGCGCCAAGCCTCGAATCAAAAGGCTCACGATGACAATACGATAGTTGTAGCTTCCCCATCGAATGGAAGGTCAACCAAAAGACAATACGCTACTCCCCCTTACCAGGCTCCTCCTAAATCCAATTCGAGTTTCGCTGTAGTGATTCCCAAACCTCCGGAGAACTTCAATCGCCAAGAATATGTATCTTCTCAGCCGAAGGCCAAATCTCCAGTCGAGTCTCCGGTCACTGGCCCACCTCACATTAGTCCAGAACAGCGAGCTCCCGTCCACGCTGTGATCCTCCCTCCTACCAAACCTGTTCAACCCCACCAACCCACCTCCTCGCACGGACCAACAAAATCTCCAGCAACAGTATCATCACAGAGTCTGGCTGTTGTTATCCCCGATCTTCCGCCTACTTTTCGGCCAGAAGAGTATCAGCTGGCGCCCGAAGAGCCAGACACACCCAAGCACCTTTCCAGGAAGCGCAGACATTCTTCAGGCGAGAGTGATGAAGATCGTTTGTCCAGAAGCGTAGACCAGCGTGAGAAAGCCGAGATGGCTATTCGCAATCTCCGAGAGTATCTTGGGGAGATATTCGAAGCCGAAGATCAGATGCAACCGGGAGCTGTTCACTCAAGTCATTTATTTACCGCTGCGGGTGAAGGATTGAGTTTGACCATTTCTGCTCAGACAAAGGTTGAGTCTCTTCTTCAGAAGGTCATTGCCGTTGGACGTTTCTCTCAGGTGCCTTTGGACGACTTATTGAGGCTACAGAAACTCTCTGAATACGCATTGAAAGACGCTGAAAGTGTTGACGTGAAGATCGAGGATAGCATGGGGGAGTCCGAGATTGAGGCCTGGGTACCTCAACTCCATATCGCAGAACTGGGCATCAAGGCAGCTCGGACCTCGTTACGACTCATGTCTGGTGGCCGCGAGGACAAGCAGCTCTATTCGGAAGATGTCATTCTATCGGCATTGAATGCATTCAAGAATGTCACGGAGACCTGTATCGTTCCGGTGGTAGAGATACGAAGCACTGGGCCAACAGCCTCTCTCTTCAAGCTTCTATCAGCTGAGAAAAAGACTATCATCAATCTCTTGACCCAGTGTCGGCGCCTTTTTGGACTCATGGCGACGTTGGTAGCCAATATTGAGCTCTCTGAGACTGTGATTAATACACTCGAATTTACGACATCTCAGTTGGTTTTCGTGGAGAATGCTCAAAGCGAACGAGATTCAGTCCTAGGAGTGGCGAAATTTGACAGCCTGAGGGTGGTTGCCATGGACGTTCTTGCCCAGATTTTCCTTTGCAATCCTGCTCAACGCTCAGGTATCTTGGACGATATTCTTACATCATTGGAAAAGCTGCCCGTCACAAAGCAAAGTGCTCGCCAATTCAAACTTCCTGAAGGCGGAAGCATTCAACTCGTCTCGGCACTAATTATGAGACTCATCCAAACGAGTGCTACTAAGTCCGACGATGCCAAGGACAATCGCAGACGCAAGGCTCTTGAGGCTCTCAACGGAGATGGAGAGGTGAACGACTCTGCCCAGCATGCAGCTGGAAGAACCACCATCAATTCGGAGACTCGAGGCGAAGAGCAGCCAGTGACTGCGATACAAGAACTTAGGGAAGCAGTCTCACCTCTGCTCGATACCGCTCGAGGTAATGCGAACTACGTTGTAAACTTTATTGTCACCAGAGCAATGAAGTCCACCAAAACTGGAGACACTCCCTATCGCAATTTGTTAGATTTGTTCGTTGAAGACTTTATCACATGCCTGAGCTCAACCGATTGGCCCGCTGCTGAACTACTTCTTCGATTCTTTCTTCATAGAATGGTTTTACTCGCAGAGGGGGAGAAGACGCCTGCGCCCGCTAGAAACATGGCATTGGATCTGCTTGGTCTGATGGGAGCCGCAATCTCGGAATTGACTTCGCATGTTCGAAAGACCGCCGGCTCCCTCGAAAATGGGGACAGCGATCTTGCGAAGTATCTTGCGAGACTAGCCGAAGCTTCACTTGAGAGAAGAGCATCCGAAGGAGAGATCGTTTCCTGGGCTTGTGGTCCGTATCGCACATGCTTAGAGTTTCTTGAAGATCGTGCTTCTGCCGATGGCGATCCACAGCTAGTTAGTGCTGTTGGTTTCTTCACTGCGGAATGGGCTGCAAAAGTGTGCTCAACTTTCGATATGATCGACGATGAGAACTATGATCATGCCAACATCGAGAAGGAATATGGTCGCTTGGCTTATCGGATTCGCATGATGATCAATGATAGAAGCTGGCTTTCCACGGAATACAGCTTTGATAAAGTCAGCCCGCCACACGCTCGACTTGCATACTCTCTGTCGTTGCTGCACTCGCCTTTCTGCAGTTCTTTCGCTCGAGTTTTCTCAATCCTGCTGAAGTCAACGACTAGCGATCAAGCGACTGTACGCAGCAAGAGCTTGAAGAGCGTCAACCAAGTATTGGACACTGATGCTACGATCCTCGATACCGACCATAATGTGATGCATCTTATCAAAGATTGTGCTAGTGATTCTTCGGTTCAGGTCAGGGATTCTGCCCTTGGACTCATAGGCAAATGCATCGTTCTACGACCTGCTCTCGAAGGGGCCATGATCGAGAGCATATTGCACCGTTTATGTGATAATGGTGTTGGCGTCCGCAAACGTGCAATCAAGCTTTCTAAGGACATATATCTCAGAAATACCAACCGTGAGGTTCGAAGTCAGATTGCCGACTCATTGCTCTTTCGTGTTGTCGATTTAGATGAGGGCGTCCAGGAGCTAGCACGCCAGACCATTGAAGAAGTATGGATGTCACCGTTCTACCAATCTTCGGCTTCGGGCGAGAATTCTACGCACTTCAAGCTCGCTATGGCGGATCATGTCTCTCTCATGGTCAAGACCGTTCAGCGTAACAAAGGCGTCGCTACTGTCCTCGACAAAGTCTTACAGCATTTACTTTCGACGGAAGCCAAATACAAGGCTGCGAATATAAAAGTTTGCAAAGCTTTAGTAGCTACAATGTTCGAGACCATTATCGACAACCCTGCCGGAGAGGGCGACGATGCACCATCAGCTCGCGATGCACTCCAAATCCTTACCATCTTCGCGAAGTCTAATCCTCAACTCTTTACAGCAGAACAAATCCAGCTGCTGAAGCCATACATCAAGAATGTTGGAGCAGGCGATGATCTAGCCATTTATCGGTCCGTGGTCATTATTTTCCGTCATGTACTTCCGGTTTTGGCGCAAGTCCATCAAACTTTCCTTTCCGACGTCAAGATAGTACTAATTCAATCCGTCTCTCGCCATGGAAAGGCGATCTTAGACGATATCATGGCGTGTGTCTGGATCATCAGTGTGGCTTTAGGAGGTGATATCCAGCACCTCACAAGATTGGGCATGTCAAGTTTGACTGGGATTTACAACATGAAGAATGTAAAGTTGGGAGAGATCGAGGCAAAGAAGGTATGCAAGCTGTTACTGATCAATGGTACATGCGGCAAGCACTGCAACCTTGATCCTCAAATCGATGCTTTTCGAAAAGCCTTCCCCAACGCGTTCTCTTCAAACAGAGAACCCAAAGATGATTCGGTTTCCAAGTTGATGGTAGATACCTATGCTCCATTCGCTGCACAGACACAGCCAGAAGAGGTCAGAAAATTTGCTTTAGACGCGATTGGGATGGTCTGTCAGTCATGGCCAAAGAACTTCTCCTCTGCGAACATTTACACGACATTTCTGGGCGTCTTCGACGAACAAGATGCTGCATTAGAGTCGATCATTTTGAGATCATTTAAGGAATTTCTTTCGCTCGAGGAGAAGCGTTCTGAGGCAGGAAAAGATGGAGCGCCTAATGCAGCTGCTGAATCTGCTGCTAAGCTCGGAGTCATGGGTGGTGGTCAAGGTGATGGCGTTGCACTTGGTATTGCCCAAAGATTCTTGCATCACATCATTCGCATTGCTCTCTCACGCAAGGACGACCTAGGCCTGCTTGCTACCGAAGTAGTGTCCAGCATTGCTCGCCAAGGCCTAGTCCATCCAAAAGAGACTGGCTCATCATTGATTGCTTTGGAAACATCATCAAATGCAAAGATTGCTGATCTAGCTTTCAAGGAGCACAAAGCACTTCACGAAAAGCATGAGACAATCCTTGAGAAAGAGTACATGCGAGCTGTACAGCTTGCATATACCTATCAACGAGACGTTGAAGATAATACACATGGCGCTACATTGAACCCGTTTGCATCCAAGCTGGCGATGATGTTGGAAATGAAGATCAGCAAAGTCAAGAATCGCAAACGATTTTACGATAACTTGTGCGCACGCATCGAATTTGACCCAGCGAAGATAAATCTAGAAGATGTGCCTCACCATCTCGATTTTTCGCAATTCATCATTGAGAACATGGCATTCTTCGAGTACGCCACTCTTGATGAACTCCTTTCGGCTATCAATGGTATGGAAAAAGTCGTTGCATCTACGGGTACGGGTATCGCACATTCGATTGAAAGCGAAATCTTCCATGTGAGCCTTGATCAACCATCTCTGGTTGTCGATGAGAATGGCCATGCACATCCTATCCAGCAATCGATAGACCCGATGCGCCTCAAACTATTGACGGCATCCTCAATGCTACTATCGACACTCTGGGAGGCACGTACCTATCTGCGTCGACAGTATGGGATCAAGTCGAATCGACAAGAAGGAAAGAACAAAGGACAAACGAAAGACCTTAATCGAGCTCCTGTCAAGGCACCATTCGTTACTGGCGACAAGTTCTGGGAACAAGTTGGCACAATCATGAACTCGATGGCAACAGAGGATAGCATGATCAACCAGTGCCGTGCATTTGTCGAATTGTTGAGCGTCGATCAAGAATTCAAGGTTGCTGCGGAAGCGGACGAAGACGCAGAACAGACTCGTCCCAGCACACCTAGTGATGATGAAGATAACGGCACCCCTGGTACGCCTGGTGGTCCGGGAAGTGGTAGAGGAAGAAAGAGAAAGGGTTCTGACACTCCCGGAGGACGAAAGAAGAGAGCTCGCTCGTCTTCAGTTGGCCCCGGTCGTGGACGTGGAAGACCGAAGGGCTTAGGGAAGAAGCAGGGCGCTGAAAAGAGTGACGATGATGGTGACTGGTAATGAAGCGCCAGTAATTCAAGAGAACGGCGTTTGGGAGGCGTTAATCTGCCACGGAGACACCCCTGTATTATATCTCTATGGCGTCTTTTTGCGGAGAACCCTGAGGCTGGGTTGCTTCTCCCAGGCTTGGGATCTATACATTTGCAGATGGCTGGGCGTATTACTGGCTGTATCATCATCGGGCACATATCCAAACATAGGTAGCAAGAGAGGAATTGTCAAGGACAGACATTTTGCTCAAAAATAAAATATAGGTGTTTCACCTTCGAACTTACTGTTAGCCATCGAATAAATTCTTGAATTATCGTGAGACGTTAATTTGTAGTTTGAAGTCGCTACCAGGCAGATCAATTGAGCCATTAGGCATGGCTGCTGGTATTTCATTTAGACACAGGGTTTGAAAATTCACAAAAGCGTCACTGGTCGGCCCACATCTCTCTACTTGAGCTTAAGAATCTCAGGAATGTTATCATAGCGATAGTTGCTGTAAAGGTTACCACACCCTAAGTTCGAGCCTCCATATGGAGGGACACCATAGGTTCGTACTTGGATTTTGTGAAGAGAATACAGGTCTGCGGCCACTAGAACAATGTTACGTTTTTGCAAAAGACGAACCCGACAATCGTGTATTCAAGAAGGAAATGCAGGAGGGAGTTGGGAATTAGAAAGCTTCTCTTGATGACATAGATTCGGCATCTGTGAAAAAGTGGACAGATCCGAGGATTGAAACGATGTTTATTGAACGTTGGTTTGCTAATAAAACCTCAGTCACACATTACAGACATCGAACAATACCTAGCATTAGACAGGTTATTTAGCATGGAACTTCAATCAGTACAGAAAGTGTTCATACCTCAATGGCTTTATGATCGGGAGTTCTACAACTGATCTTTTCCATGATGGGAGTGGTCAAACCTTCTCTTTAATGTACGGGAATGAGTTACAACTTTTGACAGGTGTAAGTCCTCCGCCTTGGCTGGACATTTTCAGCTTAGCAAGCTCTTTTTAAGTGTTACCTCAAAGGTGTAATCGAGTCTAGCTGTGCTTCATCTGCAAGCCCCACCACTTATATAAATCTTCATCTCTACTAAGAAAATCTCTAAGCTCCTTCAAAGATGTCGTTTCTACAAGATTCCCGGGCTCAACATCCAGCCTGCGTCCTGGAATCTCCTCTCTTTTGACGAGACGGTAATCTTTATATCTTAATTTCTGTTCCTTATAATTAGCTTTGATGTGATTTGAAGATCAGATAAACATACCCTAACGACCTCTAGCCAGTCTCCGGCGTCCAGCTCCTTTCCTTCAGCTAACATGATTCCAGGTGGGGCTCCAGTTTTGATGACGACGGAGCATGAAAGTCTTTTTGCGGCTTTGGTGATGGCGATGATCTTCTTTCGAGAAGTCATATGGTGCGTTCTTATGAGAATACGATGAATAGCTGCCATTGGACATGTTGGGATGTTGTTGATTGCAGTGGAAGAGAAAGGAATGCAGGTGTCGTCCAGATGAGAAGCTATACAATCACATGATATGACATCCGGTCGTTTTTTCATCTCTTATTATTATATTGGAATTACTCTCTCTTGGATAACTACATGGCTCTATAGTTCGAAATTCTGCTGAAGTCCTTCGCCTGCAAGCTATGAAGTTCTGATTGATTTGATCTAACACGTGACTCCTATCTTTCCTCCAAAAATTGAAGATCTCACGACATCGAGCTTGAGAGGTTCAGACAGCAACGACACCCTGCACAACCATGGCTGTCTCAATGCTCCGCAGATTCCTAATGCCATCTGTACGGATGCCAGTTTCATTCACAGCGTCCAAACCGACAACAGCTCTCTCCTCTCTGAGCCGCAATTTCTCCTCGACTCCAATACCATTCGCAACCTACAATCAAGTCGCGAAGGTACCATGTCCTGCTCAGCTTGAATGTCTCCTACTAACCAACTGATCAGGGATGCCGTAAACAACAACGCGCACGAAAAGCCGTCTCTCCAGCCCTCCGAGACGTCAATGCCCCCGAGCTCAAAGGCGTTTGCTTAAAGGTCGGAATCACGAAACCCAAGAAACCCAACTCTGCGGAGCGAAAAACGGCAAGAGTGAGATTAAGCACGGGGAGAGTGGTGACGTGTTATATTCCCGGAGAAGGACATAATGTGCAGCAGCATTCTGTGGTGCTGGTTAGAGGAGGAAGGAGTCAGGATTGTCCTGGTGTGAGGTATCATTTGGTTAGAGGGGCTATGGACTTGGTGAGTTGCGATGCTCTTAGGGACTCTTGGATTTTACCAGGCAAAGTTTGGGAATAATGCTAACGGAATACTGTAGGGTGGTGTGGGAAACAGAGCTACGAGTCGATCGAAATACGGAACGAAAAAGCCAAAGAAAGCAGCAGCATAGACCGACAAGCATCTAGGAGACGATAGAGTGCTCTGGAGAGACCTGTGATGAAATGGAATAATGTTGGCATAAGTCTGCATTGGTGGCGTTCAAGGAGGCTGCTGTGTGTAGATGTATAGTATTGTATACTACGAATAGAGCTGGCAAAGCCCACCCACAATAGAGGGCGTGCATTTTCTGTCAGCGAGTATTCCTACTTTGATAAAGCTCTCAACCTGTCAAGCACCTTTTTACATCTCGCAAGTTATGGAAAAATTTCAGGCTTCCAAGAGCCAAAGTACATGCAGGAAGAAGTGGTCATATATCTCGTCATTTACGGTTTCTGCTTCCGTGGAAGCATTTTTTCTCACCGCTGACGCCTTTCCCTGTTACCAAATTTCTACAAAGGGTCCATCATCACATTGTCCATCAATATGCCAGGAAGCAGAAACATCACACCCGGACAGTTGAGATAACCTTCTCCTGTTGGCCTGCTCCTATTCTTTTCACAACTACTCTCCTAGCCCAAATGTCGTATATTCATATCTTCGTGCCAATTTCGTCACCTCCCTAGCCTTCTTGTCATTATTTCTGGTCGGTAGACTCCATGCTAGACCTCGAACTCCTCGGTGAGCCAGGACCAACAAATAACCGAATCGTCAAGTGCGCCCTCTCATTTATGTTGTCATTCGCTTTGCTACTCTCCTCCGAGCCTCCTACTTTAGCAGCATCTTCGGCAACCTCTGCTTGGTTTTCTGTTTGGTTTTCTCTGAAAATTGCTGTGAATGTAGTAGAGCGGACTCCGGCGATCACACGATCATCCGTGATAGTACATCCTTTCAAGACGATTTGACTAGTACCAGCATTTTTCCTCGCTGCTTCAAGGTATGTAATAAGTGTCCTATTTCGGATCATCAGTTCTTGAATTGCCAGGAGGGGTAGTTCTCTATCTTACTTCGAAGCATCATCACTAGCTTCCGCCAATGTGGTCGGTATCACTTCAGCGGCGGACCATTCTCTCTCATATATCGACATATTGCCCTTTGATCGGCGTTGAAGATTCCATTCTCGAGGCGTGGAATACCCGATTACTTGTATCTTCCATGACGTGTCTGAGACTTTCGATAATAGTGTTTCTTTTGCTGGGTGTCGGTTTTTGGATATGTGTCACGTGTAAAGGGGAATGTTCTGTGGTGGCTGAGACTTTGTTTTTGGGGAGATGTCCAGGCTGTGGTCTATGCAGGTGTGGTGGCATCCGAATTTCTTCAGCTGTGCAGGTAATGGAAGCAGGTGAACTTGAGGGGCGCAGTGGTAGAAGTCAATGATTAGTACTCATGTCTGGGACTTGATGTGCAATCTCGAGAAGGACTTCCCAAATTGTGTGAAGTAGTTGTGAGAACCATCAACACTTATTCTTCCGATGCAGCGTTTCGACGCACAGGGCTGGGGAAATTTTTGCTTCTAGAACAAATATTGCCAATATCTCTCGCATCGCCAAGATCTCATGTCCAGGCTGGCTTTCATGATAGACATGATCTTGCAGTTCAAGACAGCATGTAGCAGAAACCGAATCTGGACTTTGAAGAACCCTCACCGCCTTTGCATTGGACGTCGTATGCTTTGCAAAGTTTCATTTAAGGTGAGATACGCTGTTCTCTTTGGACACTCAAAGGACTTCAATGTTTGGATATGTTTTGGGCTAGGATCTCGAGGAGAAAGTCAGAAATGAATCCAGTGCTTTTAGCTATGTCGTTGTTCCAGAAGAGCTGAGTGCTTTGGTCCACAAAGTACATTTGGGTCAAATCCAGGGAATGGTACAAGTTAGCCTGAACGTCCCTCAAAAATCTTCGGGTCTTGCATTGCTGAGATAGATTTCGTTACATGACTTGCGAGCATAGCACTCGCAAATAAATTCTCAGATTAAATGGTGCAGTCCCGATCACCAACATTTGAGTATCAACGCAAACGAAACGTTTTTGGCCTAACCTGTCCAATCCCACGAACCTATATCTACATACGCTTGAGTTCGAAGTTCAACACACCAACGCCGCCCTATCATGCCGGATTAGATCCTCAAGCTGCCCCAAAGAAATGCTATCCCCTGAAAATGCACATGATGTTGCTTATTAGTCTTGTTGATTTTCATAACCCTCTGGCTTCTCCATGCCGTTAATCTCAAAGAATCGAGATGTACCTGATTTTGTTAGAGGATAATACATAATCAGAATTGGTACACTTACATGAATATCCCTTCCAGTCGAAATTGTCCTTTGGATTACAGTGACATTTTAGATCCAGACGAGTTTTCTCGCCAGTTGGGCAATGAGTGAAAGGAACGTGGTAGTAAGCAATGTCATTGAAGAAGTGAATCTCTTCTTTCTTGAGCAGGAGACTGGCAGCAATCGAATGGACCGGAGCATCACCCCATCGTTCGTAGAAGAATCCTCCATCCTGATCGAGGGACTCGAAGTAATCGATGTAGGCTTGCGATCGGAGCCAATTCAAGTTTCCGACTTCAAAATTCGACCACTAGATACCGTTAGTGCCTTTAGAACCCACAAATACTGCAAAACTCACCATATGGCAGTGATTGTATGTATCTCCACCATCATCACTCAAGAAGCCCATAGAGTTACCCTCGGCGATATGTTCGGGATGTGCCTTCATGAATTTCTTGGTGCTATCCCATAGTGTCGGAATAGTCTCAACGTATTCGTAAAGACTCAATACGAAACTGTACTTCTTCTTGTTATCCGACATGAATTTGAAAACGTCATAGTCGATGTCACAAAAGAGCTCAATGCTTGGCTCAACTCTCCAGTACCATTCGTAGTTCTGCATCAAGGGCTGACGGAAGAAGAAGCCTGATTCGAAACGGCACATATGACGATAGCTGACAGAGTCTCCGTAAATGATCTTGCGTTGCGCCATATCCTCACGGACTTTTCGTGCTTTGTCCTGGTCGATGTGTTCTGGGAAAGACCAATGCTCCTTTGGAATTTCTCCATAGTGTGTAGTTCCAGATACGAGGGAGGTGGTAACCTTCTTGAAAGTCGCATCGAAAGGCTTATCGTTCAAGAACACCCAGTCGTAGTGGTACTTTCTGTTGAATCGATCCTCGACTTGACGAATAGATCTAGCAATCTCCCATATATCTGAGTTTCGTGCCAAAGTAACGAACGTCGCATTCATCTTGGGGCCGTCCGCAGTCGCAGGTGGGAAAGCACCCAAATTATTGGGCGTCGTGCCTGTCAAAGATGTCGATGAGTCTGTTGAAGGCGATGGAACACCTGTCGTGCCGGCTTTTGGTATGCCATTGTAGTCTTTATTTCCACCTAGTATCTGCCCCGGGGAAGGTAATCTTTGCGTCGAGGAGGAAGAAATAAAGTAGAGGACAGCAAGCCCCTTAATGGGGATTAGCATCGCAACACCATTGGGAGGAAAGTCAGACTCACAAAGAAGGCGAAGAGAATATATCTCAAGTATCTCGCAGTGCCTGATGCCATCTTGGCAAGATTGATTTGGATGATGTGGTTTGAACGGAAGAGGCCGTAACCAAGAATCAGTCGTCAGCACCCAAAAGGCTGCGACCAAACGACTACCCAAAGACGTTCTTAAAAAGAAGGAAGAGAAATTGACACTGCGAATGTGTCGTTGTTGAGAAGGAAGAAAGAAGAGCAGTGTAAAAGGGGTCACACCACACGCGTCAGCCAGAATAGGAGTCGACGATAGCGGTGCGAAAGAGAGTTGCTGCCCGTATTCAATGCAGGGCGAGCATGGTTCTCAAAGACTCCAAACTGAAAGGGGCTTAGCGCGTTTATTGCCATGAGCTCAAACCTCAAACCTCTCGAGCCCCACTCCAAACACCATCACCACTTTTCGATAGCAATTGGAACCGCAGATACAATTCTATTCTTTTGCCTTCTTGGCCGGCTGGTGTTCCGACCTCAATCTTTGAGCTTTCGAATATCTGCCTTCTCCTTGATCTTTCTCGAGTCAACTCGACTTCCACAAAAGGTATGTACAAGTTGGTCACCGATTCCGCGAGTTTACATTCAACTTTGTTTCATTGTCCTCCACAAGACTGTATCATCGCCAAGCTGACGCCAAGCACCCAGATACAGAAATCACTTTACCCACACGTACTCGTTCGCTCTTGTATGGAGGCTCTGCAATTATAGCTGCGAGAGAATTCTGAAGAGATCAAGGAACCATGTCGTTCTTCCGTTTCGACACCAATCTGCCCCGCGATCGCGGACACAACAGTGGTGCGCCTGGCTTCTCACAAGCTGCAGATCCTTTTGCAGGCTTGTCGGGAAGAGACAATGACGATGATGATGCGTGAGTTACGCAGTGGGATTTTTTGGCATTTCAAGTTACTGATGCTTTGCCCCTCAGACTCGATTTCGAGGATACGTACGACGGACTAGGTGACCAGTTAGATGAGACAGATGATGCTTTCAACGACGATACATTCGGTGGTGGTGAGGCGGTTGCTGCGAAGAAGCCTGTGGGCATGGACTTTGACTTCTTTGGACAAACTGCAAAGGTGTCGGATGCTATCAGTGAAGAACAAGCTCGATTCAGTCGTCAACCGCCCCCTGCTAAAGTTGCCCCGTCGACCTCAATGTTCACACAGCCGTCTGCAAAGCCTGCAAGAACTGGTTATGAGCGGTACAAGGAACCTGAATATATGCCCGAGATGCAAGTTGATGCCAATCTGTGGGGCGTTGCGCCAAAGCGTTCTACTCCAGTTGTGGCTCAACCGCTTGAATCACCTTCAACTCCTGGTCTTGCCTCTGGCGGCCGCAAAATGATGAGTCTCGAGGAAGTCGAAGCTGCTATGCGGGCACAGGCCAAGAAGCCAGCCCCAGCGCAAGCCCCTGTCCCGCAACAAGCCCCGGCACCTTCTCATCCTCAACATCCGCAACAATACTCACAAGCTCCCCCGCAGCAGTATCAGCCTTATCCTCAACAACCTCGAAATCCAGATTACCCAGTTCAAGGCAGCGGTCCACCAAGAGATGACGCTCGGTCGGTTCCGGTTCCACAACCAGTACAAATCTTGCAACGGAACCAACAACAGCCGTCTCCTTCCCAAGCAGCACCACCGCAGCCAACCCAAATCCTCCAGAACCCCAATCGCTATTCTGCTGAACAACAAAATCGGGCTCCTGCTGTACAACATCCAGGCCACCAATCACGCCCATCTGGCTCCCGACATATCATCACCCATCCACAACAGCTAGCTAATCTTACTGAAGAAGAGAGGGCTGCTTTTCTGATGGAAGATGCAAAGCGTGCAAAGAGAAACCACAAGATCTTCCTACTCTCCAAAGACAACGGTCTGATGACTCCGCAAGACAAGAACTTCATCACTCGAATCCAGCTACAACAATTGGTCACTGCCACTGGTAACCCAAATGAGCACGGTACAGATGCTGGCTTATCCGAGGATTTCTACTACCAGGTCCACAATCAAATTCGAGGTGGTCCTCGTCAGCACCCTGGTCAACCTCTAAGTAACTTCGCCCAGACCTATCTCTTTCAGACGGGTGGCCGGCATGGAGGCATGCGACGTCAAGCTCGGGGCGGCGATAACCACATGCAACGGATGGAGCAACAAGTCCAACGAGCCGTTGAAGCTGCCAAGAACAAGCCAAAGAACAAGCAGTTGGTTATCGAAGGCAGCTTAGGGAAGATCTCTTTCAGTAACGCAAAGACCCCGAAGCCCTTGCTCAACATCAAGCGTCCTGAGAGTGGAACAGATGGACACAGACCTGGTAGCTCTGCTCGTGATCGCAGACCGCCTGGTGTCAATGGTAGTGACAGGAAGACCGTCTTGAGGGACATCGAGAACGTCTACAATACGTTGATGAAGATGGAAGATCACGCTCGTCATATGCCTCCTCCTATTACTGATGACATCAACCCGGAGCTTGTTGGTCTACATATGGATTGGCAAGAAAAGGCAAAGTCTCTGAACGAACAACTGTGGCAGCAACTCAAGATTCACGAACCAATCGGGGGCCCTAGTACGCATCCTTTCATTGCTTTCTTATCCTACAGCAAGGGTAAGAAGGCCATCCCCAGAGTGTTCCGTCACATTACCCAAGAACAGCGCACTACCATTTTGACTATGATTGTGGTACACTTGGATCAGTTGGATGTTGTCCGACAAGCTATACTCTTGCCAGGAGAAAACCAAGTCAATGCTGCAGTTCGTGAGCAAGTGGAGCTATTCTCGTTAGCAGTCATGCCTCCACTTTTCGGGTTTCTCAATGAGGCTGAATTGAACATTGTTGCCGCTGTTTTGGGTGTTATCTGCTCTCGCGTCAACGTTGACGTGATTGCACGAACTAGGATTGGTGTCAGCATGTTGACCATGATTTTGAGTCGTGCCGAGCTCATTAAACAAGGTGGTGATATTGCGGAACAAGAATGGGAGCACTGGTAAGATCGATTGAGTACAGACCGAATATGCACTAACTCGCTTGTAGGGTCGGTCAATACAACACCTTATTTGACTTGCTCGAGCCTACGCTGCCAAATATTTTCCCGGGTACAGTCCATACTGGCGAGGATGTCTATGTTTGGCAATTTCTTGCCGCAATTGGTATTGGTGCCAGCCCCGAGCAGCAGCAACGACTTGTCATGGCTGTCAAGGATCGTGTCATGGAGACTGTTGCTCTCTCCAAGACCCTTCCTGCAGAAATGTCGAGCCAACGATTGGCAAACGTCAACCTCTTCATGCGATCTATTGGATTGGACGTCGACCTGCTTGTTGCGTGAACGAATAACGTGACGTGTTTCTAGATTTATTAGCATCCAATTTTTCTTTTCGGTTTTTAAGATATTTGAAAGGGTGGCAAGCATTGGAAGAAAGCGAGTGGTATTTGATTAAGATGCCATACATTTGCTTTTGAGAAGCATTGCACTGTTTGCGTAGCGACTATAGCATGTCAGTCACTGGAAGTGACCGAACTTATGATTGGAATGAGAAAAATGAAGCGGCTGTCTTCTGGAGTGAGCGAACATACATTTATGGTCTACTTCTCACGGCTTGATGAGATCCAACCGGGCACTATGATGCTTTGCAGCATAGGATGGATGGTGGTCTCCAAATCTGACACAGATGGCGAGACATTTAAATAATAAGTAGCAATAAAATAAACATCAATGAGGCCCCAGTGGCATGGTACATGTTTGTGATGCCCTCTGTCCAAGGGAAGTTGCTACGCTCAGTGGTTACTGATTCTACGCAAACTTTGATGTATCGCGCTGCCTAGTATTTTTATTCTTTTGTACTCAAGTTTTGATCAGACCCTCTGTTTATGTTCCACCAGGTTAAGCGCAACAGGGGTAATGACTTAAAAAGCTTAAGATTCTATTGCTCAACTCAGTACAACCAATTTCGAACTTGTCTCTGCCTCTTGCCAGTCATTTCTGTGGATTATTGCGATGCCCATTCTGACTGCCACACGGCAATGCGGTCCCTCCTTCCAGTCAACGAGCATGATATTGTAGCCGGACTGATGCTCACATCCATCAACATGCTTGATACCTTTACCAATTCTTTTATTAGGGTAACGAGGATCAGTGCCTGGCGTCCACACCTGTTGGCATGTTTCGTCTTCAGCGTTTTGAATATGCTTGGACAGAAGGATAAACTCCGCCTGGCTGGCACTACGTGCCTCAAACCATGGCTTTGGCACCCATATTCCACCTACGTTCTTTCCTGACCTTGCTCGGATGTGACACAGAGACCATTGCTTGCAAAAAGCACAATCTTTAGTATGATCCTCATGAGCATACGCCCCCTGCGCCTTAAGGTCAAAATAAGCGGTAGCGGCAGTAAAGCGCAAGAGACCTAAGGCACGTTCGTCCATGATAACATCTTCCGATTGCGTTGACTCGCTGCTGTGTATAGAAGTTGGCGAATGTTTGTCAACTTGGTCCGAAAGCGGATTTTTCGGATTCACTGAGTAGTGAGCAGGCGGGTGCCATTCTACCAGACCTGTCACCTCCTTCTCACATTTCGCACCATACACAACCCCGCCGCGCCAAGAGACCCAAGCCCAAGTCGGAAATGGCAGTCTAACGGTGTGATGATCAAGGATTGCCGCATGTAAGCCCTTCCGCGAACCCTGTTGGAGCTTCAATGGACACCAGAGCAATGCGGCATCGAGATTTTCGATGGGCAAGCCCCAAGCGAAGCCGTTCTGGAACTGAAGTTGGAATGCTTTCGTAATTCCTGTAAATGCCCATAGTGCATCTGTTTCGAGTGTAAGATTCCTAGTCGAGTAAGCTTCAACGGCGTCAACGTATTGGTTGAAATCGCATCGTATGAAAGTATCTGGGTAGTCGCGAATATGGCACAACGCATTACCTACAGGAGCTTTCGGCTCAAGCGGCTTAGCACCAACCCAACAGGAATCTTCGCACCACTCCTCGGACTTGCACTGGAAGTATGTTTGATAGGGTGTGAAGACGAGGCAACGCGAGGACAAGAATCCTTCCTGGAATGTCCAACCACGAGATGACCAGTTCAGCATGCGTATAGCAGAGACAAGATCCGACTGAGTTGTGACGAACCGTTTGCCACGAATGACCTCGCTGTGTTGGAGCAATTGACGGGTGTCTGGTTGCACGCCTGGTATACAAGCATTTGAACCACATTGACAACATGCACTACTGGTGACAATAGTCAGAACAGCAGCATTGTATATCTGATCCATGTTCGACATTTGTTCCAGCTTATCCTGCTCATCGTCCATAAGGATGCACAAGCGGTCAACCCATAGGTACCGCTCGCCCATTCTGGCAACCGCGTCAAAAGCATCCTGGATCGTTCTTATCATATCCTCACCTTTCAAACTGTGAGAGGCTCGCAGATCTCCGATGTTCCGGCTGGTCAAAGTGAATTGTTCCCAAGAACCCCAAACGTAGCTGAGAGTTAGGTACCGCTCGTTCGTGGTGCTATCCACAAGCTGACGGTTCAGCACGTCTATGAGTCGAATCTTTCTTCCCGTTTCTGATACCAAGCTAGACTGACTGCACCGATCGCCATGTTCCGTCTCACAGAGATGGAGCCAATTCCTCAGAAGGCCAAAGTCCACCTGTCGGGTTTATCAGACGCCCATAAAACCCATCGTGGTCTTCATTCAGGCTAGAAGCTGAGTTTTGCCCAGGAACGGAAGGAGATACTTCTTCGATACATTGTCGAATAACATGGACGCCGCTTCTCTTATCCCAGGCAAACTTTCCAGCGCTGAAGTGAAGTTCAATGCCCACAGAAATTCCCGTAAAATCTTTTGAAAATTACCTTGCAACAAACCTCACACAAGTCGTCCGTGGGGTCTGGTTGTAATGAAAGGCCGCGAAGTGTTGTGGACAATGGGGTGAGATCTACGCATTGTAAGGGTAGATCATGAGAATTTCGACTTTCGACTTTGTCTTCCATCTCAGCAGATGAAGGGTCTCGATGCGAGGATGTCCCTGGGTTGGGATTAGCTGGAATGTGGAATTATGTCCTTGAACATGGAAAGAAGTTCGGCTAGCGTTGACGATTACCCTTGGGGTTATCAAGAATGAAACACTAAATATGAATTGGGGTTGGCATGAAATTTATCTTCCTCTTGTTGAATTCGCCTGACTTTAGGCAGCTACTCGGTCGACGATAATCAGAGCCTTGCATGCAGGTGGTCATCTGCTTATTCCCGCCACAACCACACCGAAGCAAAATGACATGCCTTTGTAACATTTCACAGGCGTTCTTACTTGTTCAGTGATCTCACTTCTCTGACTGGATTACTTCGTGCTACTTTTCTATCAGAATACTAGATATCTAATTCTCTACTTCTTCACCCTTGATTATATTCTCCATCAAAAGGTACTCCTGGTCAAAATATGAGACACGTAGATCGTAAGTCTCTTTTCAACATCCTTTATCGATTGGCAGCCTCGGACATTTGTATTGTTTTTCACGACAAATAGGGAATCGGTGAGGCTTAGCGTGTATTTTACAGAGAGGCTGCCACGGCATCTCGCAGACACAGCCTCTTCACGACATGCCATTTCACCGAGTCATAATGTCTTCCAACCAAAGAAATCCGGATTTCCATAAAAGGCAGAATATGTTATCTATCCTGCTGTTTGATAGAGAATGACGAGGCTCACATCGCGGGGTAAGGTTGTATACATCCAGTATGCCTAGGTAGATGCTCATGAAGAATCTAGCTCAACGATCCGGCTCCGTGGTTAGCTTATCCAAGTACAGAGAATATCTTAGATCCACTGCACCATTGTCTCATCAAGATGAATGAAGTACAGAATTTTCTTCTTGGAAAGAGCTTTCTTTGGAGTCCGCTTCAGTGGATGACAATAGAGCGTAGGAATTCAAAAATCGGATTTTTTATGCCGCTTTTCAAACCCTATTTGGAAGTGACAACTCTCTCCGCATTTCGCGCGATTGGGGCCATTCGCACGATTTGCGCTATCCGCGCCGGCATCGATAGCAACATGTCTTTCTTGACGCACCTCGAAATTTGGGATTCGATTTTCTCAACGAAGATGAGTACCATTTTCGTGAACAAAGATCAAGTGCAAAATGAATAGCGAGAAGTGGTGGCTTCACTTGACTTGATGATGATTGGCTGAAAAGCGCTAAGAACTTAAAGGAAGTCAATTTCCAAAACAACATCTTAGAATGTGAAGACTCCAGTTCTTCTTGGGGTCAATATTAAACTACAAAGTGGATGATTATCTTAGTGCAATGTAAGAGTGGAAATGCTTGGTCTAAAACATGCCAAGACGCACACCAATATACAACAAAAGAAATGTTTCGCTTCCATCATGCCTCTGGCTTTACCACTTTCGCCTTCTTCACACTTTTCCACCCCATACCCCACGCAAGGAAGAACGTCGCAATGCTAGTTCCAATCGTGATGTAGAACACATAATTGATGGCGTGATCATAAGCCAGTATGACACCTTCTACAGAAGCCGCGGGAACAACACTCCGGAATCCCGTGGCGCCTGCCTTCAACACAGCTTCGACATCAACTCCCGGAGCGAACTTTTTGAGGCCGTCCTTCAGATTGGTTGTGAGGTCCGTGTCAGCAAAGCTGAGGAACAAAGAGCCTCCGAAGGTCTGGGTGAAGACTAGGATTGCCATCGCAGTCGAAGTTTGTTCTTTCTTGATGGAGTTTTGTACGGCGACCAGTGGCTATGAGCCATTAGTCTGCGAGCACGGGTGTCGTGAGAAGGGAACTTACGGTTTGCATGCCGATGCCGCGGCCAAATCCACCCAATAGCATGTATCCTACCCACTTTGCTGTAGACGTGTCTGCCTTGAATGTGCTCATGAGGCCTGAGGCGATGGATGTAAGAGCCCCTGCTGCGACAGCCCATGGCAGGTAGTAGCCAATTCGACTAACTGCTCATTGTTAGCACCTTTATCCTACAATTGAATAAAATACCCACTCAAAACTCCCGATAACATAGCCCCGAATATTTGAGTTCCAATGAGGGGTAACATGTAGATGCCACTGAGGGTCGGCGTTGCATCACGGACGGTTTGAAAATAGATGGGGAGATAATACGCCCACATCATCATACCGGAGTAGACTGCAAGAAGTTAGTATATACTTTCATAAAGCAACCAAGAATTGAGTCCTCGGAGAATGGATAAAACTTGTTCAAGAGTCCAAATATGGCATATATGAAAAGAGGTAAGGACAAGAAACAAAGAAAGGGGATTGTTACAGAAGAACATGAAGAGGCAGGAAACCCAAACGGTCCTCTGCCTCAGCATGGAAAAAGGAATCATAGCTCGATCTCCAACGCGACCTTCCCATAGAAGGAAGAGTATAAAATTGACCCCAGAACCACAGAAGAGACCAATGATAGTTGCGCTATTCCATGCATATTTGGTGCCGCCCCATTGTAAAGCTAGGAGGCACATGATAGCCGAAGGAGCGAAGAGGAGGAAGCCCGGGATATCGAATGAGTGTAGAATTTGAAGCTTGGTCCCCTTCAACGCTGTCTTGGCTGTGTTGTCTGGAATTCGAATGAGGCAAAGGATGCCCACGACTACTGCCCCGCAGGGCAAATTTATAAAGAAACCTGGGGTATTGGTCAGTTCGAGGACATTTATGAGGATTCAAAGATGCATACACCATCGCCTATATCAGAATCTCGGAGTCAGTAAACTTCTTTTGTGTGCTTTGGGAGTACATATGCAAGTCTCAGGAGTGCATTCAAAGCACCAACACCAAAGTATGACTCCCAAGATAGCAAGGAACAGGAAATTATCATCCAAGAACTTGAGACTTACCAAGTCGTGTATTGTGTTAGAGAACCGCCAATCAGAGGGCCTAATAAGACTCCAAGTTGGATTGCTGAGGTAGTCACTGGTCAGTCAAAGCCCCTTTCGTCAAATAGACATCACGACATACTGGACATCATGAAACCGAAGTACACTAAGCAAAATATGTTAGCGAGTTCACTGTGAAGAGTCATTACACTTACTAGCACGTATCTCTAGAGGGACGGCAGCAGAGAGTATAGTCAGAGCCCCATTGACCAACCCTGAAGTGCCAAGCCCGGCTACCGCTCGACCAACAATCAACATGTTGGATGATTGGGCAACTCCACAGATGAGTGATCCTAGTTCGAAGACGCCAAGGAAGGCCATGAAGGTATACTTTTTTAACATCAGAGAAACTCACTAGCCTTCCAAGTGGGACTTACCTTGCTGACGAACTGAGTGTAAAACTTTCCTGTCAAAGGCTGAAGAGAACAACTGGAAAGCTATGAGTGATTGAGATACAAAAGAGGAGAGGTAATTAACTCATACCTGGCAACCAGGAATGCACTACCGTACCACCCAACATCAGCCACCGAGTGAAATTGATCTGTAATCTTGGGTATCGCCTAGTTCGAGAGTATTAGTCGGATCTCACTTTCCACGTCATTTGACCTACAGTGACAATGATGGAAGAGTCCAAAAGCATGAGGAAAGCCGCCAAGGTCACAGTCCCGACGACTAGTAGACGTTTGATCCCCTCGATATACTCTGGCTCTTCATCATCGTTGTTGTCTTGTTTTGTAGGATCTTCTTTGAGTGATTCTAGGTTGGCTTGGCTTTGGACATCGTCGCTTCGTTTCTCGTCGGCACTCGGGTTATTGATTCCGCGATTGTCTTCCATCTCTCTGTTCCGGTCAAGAGATCGATTATTTGTTGATTCCATATCCGCGATGTTGGATAGGAGGGGCCCGGGATCTGATGCACGGTTTGAGCCGGGGGGCGGTAATGTCGAATCGGTAAGGACTGGAGGACACCAAGATTATCCAAGTACATCAGAACGAGAGAGTGTTTTATCATCAGATGGTACAAATCACAATCGGAGTATGTGGTTCATTCGGTTCCGGTTGGCAGGGGTTCAGGTGCTGCTAGCATTCCGTGGGGGCGGCAACGGGATCCTAATAGACCTCCGCTCCGGTGCCTTATCCCGTCAACCAAAACTCTGGTATGCAAAGTTTTGATCATCCCAGGAGCCTAGAACATCCATCATGAAGGCGTCATCGAGCAGATCAATGTCTCCTATTTGCGGGTAAGCAGGAAATGTGTTGTCCCGATTCACCTCTAGTTCAGCTGCCTCTTTCTTTTCCCAGTAATCCTTGACCCGATGAAGGTGTTTCCCGCCTCTCGTAAACCAATCCTGTTTTTCTGGCTTGTGAGTGTCGAACCCCAACACAACAGCAGCTTGTTCGAATTGAACTGCAAGTTTGCCGAGCAAGTCGCAAAGAGAAATAGTCTGTCGACACGAGTCCAAATTCCAGTCTGGGTGTTCAAAGGTGACGAGCTTATGTGACGTGAATAATGAATGTCTAAATAGGCATGTGTCAGGCATCGACAGGCTCCGGAATTTGTTAGGTGGGGTTGCCAGGAATGTGTCGAAAAAGGACTTGACGGCCAGGAGGCATGAATAGACAAGTTCTAGACGCTCAAAGCTGGGTGCGATGGGCCCCAATTCTGCCGAGTATGCTGGGAAAAGGCCAATCTTGTAAAGGTATATGTCCATGTAATCGCATACCAGCGATAGTTTGACTACCAGTGTTATTATCCGATATGATATGACTGCAATCGAAAGACTTACAACTGCGCTGGATTTGGTCTGCTCTCTTCGCTCGAAACATTCGCAATTGTTCTTGGATTGTCTTCACAAAGAAAACTGACGGTGTTGTGCTTAGTGGTGATTCACCATTCCAAGGAGCCTGATTCATCCTTTCTACTATCAATTGCGATTCAACGAGTGCACATGCATGTTCATCGTTCGGATCGTTAGAAGCACTCAACACTTGATAACAATCTTCGATGTACTTCGTCACTCTTGGGGGTTCTGCGGTATAGAGCAGTGAAGATGCGCTAGATCATGTCAGATGATGAATCGTAGATCAGCATGGCTGGACTTACATCGACGATAGGTAGAAATATGCTAGCAACGCTCGTCGTACCTCCGGAGTGTGTTCCACGGTCTCAAACGACTTGATTTTGAGGCGGAATTGGCTCGTACTTGGTACAGCGGCTTCGAACAGATTGGTATCATTGGCTGAGGCTTTCATGCGCGAAGGCCGATTAAGTTCTAGATCATTGATCAAAACGGAGGCGGAAGCAAAGAGAGCTGTTTTCTGGCCTTTATACATGACAAGATGATATGACCTATCAGAAAATCAGCAGAGTTCAAGCTGTGTGGATGGTTGGACAGGAAGAGGTACCATGCTATATATGTGAGGATACCGAGAAGCATATCCAAGTCTCTCTCAGTATGCACATACATTCTACTGGCCAGAGTTTCCATGACGAGGTTCGTCATCACATTTTTCTGATCTGTGTTGCCACTCGTGATTGCCATAATGCAAAGGAAAAAGAATGGTCGGTCTCGGCGTAGATCGGTCGCGGTTACAGACTCTTCAAGTCGAATGAATGGAAACGACGGACACATCTCGTTTTTGAAGATGTTTAGGAACATCTCGACTTCTTGAGCACTGAGCATCTCATCCACCGGGTGTGAGGATGGTGGGGTGGAGACCGATTCTGTAGAATAGGATCCAGTGTTGAGCATAGATGAAGCAGCGATGCTGCTATCTAAATAAGCATCCGAACCCATCTCATGGCTGCCAGATGATTTGTTCAGATGGTCGTGCACCGTCGGATCACCGAACGAGCTGCTTTGGGCTTCAGCACCCAGCTCTCGTGACTGGATCAACGAGACTAGACCATCCAGCTTTTCTTCTAACTTTTTGACATAAGCTCTATTGAGCGAAAGAAGAATTATCAGTGAGGAATTTGAGATGGAAGTTCCGGAGGTGCTTACCTTGTCTCACCAGTCCGTCTTGTTCGAGTCCGTTCCCGAACTACGGCTTGCTCGCACGTTTTTTGTAGTCGAACACACCTGGTGCTATGTTAGCCTTTCTGAACAGGGTCGAGGTTCTCGATACTCACCTTTCACATTTTCCATCAAGGCCAGGGACAAGCACGCATCCTGCTTTAGCACGGGCGCATGGGATGCAGGCACGGTGACCTGGAGCACGGCTTCTGGTAGGAAGAGAAACGTTTGTATCCTCCATGATATTACTATAATGGAAGATGTCTTTCTAGCAATTCTTGGAAGATCAATTCATCGTTGTGAGCATTAACGCGTTGTCGGCGTGGAGTGAGTTTCCTGATCCAACGCTAAACCCAAATTGAAATTCGTTCATGGGGGATTTTTAGGCTTAGCTCGACTGCCCTGTCCTCTCTAATCCTTTTGACGACGGATCATCATCTCTACATCTGAGGTATGAATATGCTGCGTTATTAGCAGAATCGCCCCTTCGAACTCGGCGGCATAATTATCTATCTGTTAGATGCTGCTATTTTTTCCAGCAGCAATTATGCAGCATTCGGATCTTTTGGCTGCTCCGCAACCCAAATTAGATTTGAATTTACGATGTCTAAGATTATTGCATTGCCATGGAATCCCAGGATCTTCAGGAAGCAAGCTGGAAGAAAAATTTCGAGAGGGGTATCTGGAGGGTCCTAATATTTTGAGAAAATGGAATCCGTCATTCAACGTCATCGCGTAGCACTTTACTTTAGAAAACAACGACATGCGCTGGAAAAGGATTAGAGACAAATGCTAACGGCACCTAGACCGCACATAAAATCACAGAACTTCTCTCTCTCTGCATGGTCACTTTCTTTTCACAAAACTTCTTTGGATTCGAGGCAGCATCGTCGAACAAGTCGCAGCCACTCAGCCCAAAATGGCACCTACAGATGCTGTACAAATCAAGTCAGAGACTTTCGAATCCTCTTCCTCTGAAGCTCTCACAAGAATCACGCAACGGAGTACTGAGCGTCTCTCTCCGTCTTCAAAAGTGGTCTTTCGCCGATTTCGTCGACATGCCTCCTCAATGATGGAGACCCAAGCTGCTGGCGAATCTTGCTGGGAACTGTTGGAGCAAGAATATCCCGATCATCTCGAGTGTTATTACTGTCGAGACATGCATTCCATGGATGAAATACACAAATACGCGACTGGGTCGGCTGAAAGTATTGTCTTCTCAGACCCGTGCTGGAAAATGAATAGCAGAGTACGCACAGCAACATTCATTCATCCGAATTTTAGTTTCACCGTTTTCCGAATGATCATGAAACGTCATCGCCAAGGAAAGAACTGCGACAAGGAGTTGAATTTGCTTGCTTACCGAAGTGGAGCTGTAAGAGAAGGTGCTCAAGTCAAGCAAATCGTTGCTGTACCGAAGATCGTCGATGGGAGAATGTTCATGCGCTCACAGACTATATATGTCATACCATCGAAAGAGGGAAGTCAGATGTACCTTGTGTGTAACAATCTGGTCGAGTGTCCTCATACGGATGCGTTCAGTCGTGACAATGGAGAAGTCACGCATCGACTGTACCAAAGGCTTGCTGCCATTGAAACGATTCCGAGAGGTCGTTTGGAGAAGGTTATGAGTTGTCAGTGCAGATTCTGTCCGACTGAATTCGAGATCAACCTGCAGAGGTTCGAAGGACAGAGTGCTGTCATTGTCGTCAATAAATGGCAAGATCTCGGAAGTGGATTGTCTCCCCTTCCTACAGAATTGCCTCCTGTAGTTGGCCCGTCCAAAGTCATCCGCAGGGCTCGAAGAGCAGAAACGCAAAACCTCCACCCTTCGCCACGAGCCGGATCAGAGGATTCCCAAGCTGTTTCTACTCTTGAACACAAAGAAGTAAAGGAAGTTTTCCGCAAGAGCAACTCGATGCTAGCCAGAATCAACAAGGCCCAGGATTCTTTTTGGTGGGGATACCTTGCCGCATTCGGTTGTGAGGAACTACCCTGGCAAAGTACAAGGGAGGGAAGTGGGGATCGATTGTAAGCATGATGAGTATTGACTTGTCGAGGAAGAAGAAGCCAGGTGGATGAATGTACTATATAGTAGGAAAGTATGGAGACGTGAATATTCACTGGATTTAGATTCCATGCCATTATCTAAGTTCTTCTTCGTCTCAATTGCCCTCTGCCATTCGATGTTGGGTATCTAGAGAAAAACATGTGGGTTCCTCAACTACGGAATTCTACTCGGAGGTGAAAAAGAACTCTGCCACACTTCATTCACGGCGGTGGTCTAGGAATTGACACCTTGGTTATTAATGTGGTTGAGCACCTGGCTGGAGACAAGTGTGTCAAGAGTACAACAAAACTTGCATTTGTCTGAAATTTTTGCCTTCTCTGTAGTCTCTGGGCTCGATTGAGGGCTTTTTGGTACATACTCTTGCAAAGACGCTAGCGAATGAAGATTACTGGTAGATAACCCTCCTCGGGAGGAAATCTTCGAGAACTCAATATGTCTTTCACAAGTGCTCCGTATAGATCTTTCTTGACTTGTTCGTGATCGCAGATACTACTCCATCCCTTCTTCATTCTCTTGCCGCCTCGCAAGACTACCAGGCAGGACATGGTCCGCGCTGGACATCATCGACTGTGCAGAGTGTCAACACCACAATTCTCGTCTTCTTCAATCTCTCGGAACAATAGGATGAACGGATAGGCAGAGCGGAAAGATTGTGTCTCGACTGTCACAAGTACTACTTTTCAATTTTATGGAAAAGTGTACTCTGGTAAAATATCTACGCTCGTTAGTGAGAAAGCATGCTAGTAGAAGAAAAAATGAAGGAAGAGAAAGGAGCTAAGCTACAAGTAACAAGAACATTGGGGGCGAAAAAATTATGTTCATGATTCAACATTTGTCATCGAGTGACTGACAGCGTTTGATACAAACATGGCGGCACGTGGATCTGAAAATGTCGTGGTGCAGGATCACCATTGCCAACATGAGTTTCAGTAGCATTGATTAGGAATCTTGGTTTGTCATATGTAAGCCTTCTTTCCTTTTGGCACCTGGCTCTTTTACGCAGAGAAGCTATTGCTTTTCTCCCTTGAGCTTCCGTTGACCACGGAGACTGAGAACAATGTTCTCTCCAGCCATGAATGTCCATGGAAGTCCAATGTCTGTATGCTTCGTAGCTGCTTGTTCTGCTTCTATGCTTGGACGACGAATGTATAATTTCAAAAATACTACATTGTCTATGAGAATCTAGGACATCTAGAAAGCTAACTAAGCGAATGACCCCAAGAGTGAATTGTATCGTCCTAGCTCTCCTTGATATTCAGGGGCTCGGCTCGGCACTTCTTGGCCCTATGTGCCAAGACTACTCACATGCCTTATCAACTGGCTCCCACAACCCCGCCAAGCCTTCTATCATCCTTCTTTGCTCAGTCTCAACCACGAAACCTATGTCGTGCATGCGGGGTCCGGCGTGCGCCGTTTCTTAAACATCCCAATAGAGAAGGTAGACCTGTAGCCAAGAATCTCAAACCAGGACTTAGAGCTGCAAGTGCCTGATTTCGGCACCATGTGCCGGAGCGATTCGATAAGGGATCTGAAACCCCTGAGATAAGCCGGGAGGCACGGAGGGCAAGTAAGCTTAAATCTGAGGGGATCTGCCGGGGAATGCTTGGAAGGCAACTGGATGAAGTTTATTCGTCGGAGAAAAGACTAGATGTAGAAGCTCGGATGAGGTGCCAAGAAGGTAATCTGGCGCGTGCTGTCAGGGAGAGCGATTGCTGGTTGAGAGATCCTGAGAGAGATGAGGTGCGGTGATCATATCGGGTAGTTTGGTAGGACAACGTGGGACAGAGTATGTCTTCAAGCTGAAGTATAAAGTGCCGCGTATCCTACGGAGAATTGTTCTTGTTGCTTAAGCAATTCGCTCCATCTAATTTTGTCTGCCCTGCTGTCCACGATGCATTCCTTCTTTCTGCTGAGCACTCTACTTCTCTCCTCCGCTGTTCTCTCGACGCCCATCCCAGCCCCGACAGGAATTCCAACCACAACTGATGCTAAGTCCGAACTCGCATCTCTCACAGTAGCAGTCGCTGGCTCGCAGAGCGGCTATGCACGCGATTTGTTCCCAACCTGGATCACAATTTCCGGAACATGCGATACTCGAGAAACGGTTCTGAAACGTGACGGCACTAACGTCGTTGTCGATTCGGCTTGCAAGGCTACCTCCGGCACGTGGGTGTCTCCATATGATGGAGCTACATGGACAGCAGCTAGTGATCTTGATATTGATCATCTTGTGCCACTGAGTAACGCTTGGAAGAGTGGTGCTAGTGCTTGGACAACAGCACAGAGACAGACTTTTGCGAATGATCTGACGCATCCTCAACTTCTCGCCGTGACGGACAATGTGAATGAGAGTAAAGGCGATAGTGGACCCGAGGATTGGAAGCCACCTTTGAGTAAGTCGCTCTCTGTTCGGTCGAAAACATTGAAAGGCGCTTGTTGACAATGAGCAGGCTCATACTGGTGTACATATGCGAAGATGTGGGTGAAAGTCAAGTCGGTGTATGATCTCACGATCACTTCTGCTGAGAAGACGGCACTCACGAGTATGTTGAACACTTGTTGATCGGAAGTGAAGCATGAACATATGAAAAGAGATGAGAGGAGATGCGATACGATGAGACGAAACAAATTGAATGAATGGTGTTGGGAAACTTTTCAGTGAAGGATTTGTGCTTGAAGAACGGATTGCGTTTTTGAGACTGAGACACCGAGGTGGCCAGCGGAGGACATTCGAGCTAAAGAGGAATATTTTAAGGACATGACTTAGTGAAGAGTATGATGAACGAAACAAAAATAGGCGCAATGTGTGTGAGAGAGACCGAGTCTTCAAGCATTCTCAGTAGTGCTTTTGTGCAGATATTTCTTCGAAGTAATGTGCAAACTTCAGACTAGGAAAGAGGACCTACTTCCACTACTGTAAGTGAGAACAAAGTTCAGCTTACTCGAGCTCTGATAGTTCTGTCTCTGTTGTCTCCAGATAGAAAGTTTGCTTACTGTAACTCGGGTCACCCAGTTCAGTATTATTCAGCACAGCCAGCCCACAAGCGGAAAAGAGTTTAGTGTCGGCAGCTACTCGGCTATCTGGTCGAGATCTGGGGCCCCACACCACGAAGCTCCCTGCCTGGCTCGTGTGCGCTACTCAACAGCTCCAATTGCCTCCCAACAACTCATTTGCCACCTGCCCATACAGTTGTCCTTCTCCTTCTCCCACCAAGCTCGACACCTTCTACTACGAATCTCCTTCAGTCCCCTCGACATTGAAAGCAGAACTTGTTCACCATGGCGCCACCTAGATCCGGTATGCCGTAAGTGCCCCTCCATACCCCCTTCAGCTCCTGTGGACAGGGATAGCGTGTGCTAATATCAATGACCGGTAGACGTGGAAGAACCCCTTGGCTGATTGGAGCTGTCGTGGGTACGGGCGCTCTGTTCATTGGCCTAAAGTGGAAAGCTGTGCTGGCGAGAAGTGAAGCTGCGAAGAAATCGGGGACGAAAGAGATCAATTATTCTGTGGCTCCCAATCGAAGTGGTACCTTTCCCTCACAAATCTGCTGTGATCGACATAGGCTTCTGCTAACGTATGTTATGGTACAGGTGGCGGGGTTTGATCGATAATGAAGCAGCTAAGACGGACGAGACAATCGAATTAGAACACGAATAACACCTGTACGAGGAGAGAGGGGACACGTATAGATTGGAACACTCAGTGTGATTGGGGGTTGGAATTCTATTGCGCTGGAGTTGGTGGTGAAATTTTGCTATTGTAGCCTTCGAGCTATGAACTAACTTATAATGCAATCTTTAATGCTCGCAGACCTCGCAAATGGACATATTGTTTGTGGTTCTTGGGATACATGGATACAGGAGGCTTCGTTGTGGAATCCAATCAGATCAAGAAAGATATAAGAATGCTGGAATAATCTTCAAGTGGAGGAGGGACATTTCTGTCTAGCTACCAAGGCAAGATGTCTGGCGGCGAGAGTGCAAACAACAAGATCCCTGCTTCAATGCTTGTCCTTTCAATAGTCTTGGTCTTCTTGTTGTAATTGTCTAGATATCGGAGTCGATTTTTGAAACACATTAGCATGCCTTCTGATTTGTCAGCTCGGCTTTCCGCACATTACAAAGCGGCAAAGTATCTCACTTTATCCCGAACATTTACACTTATATCTAGGATGTATTGCATTTTAGTTCTCTCATTGTTCGAAGTCCGTTCCATCATATCCCGTGGTGTCCTCATCGGCATCAGACTCCGAGTTGAATTCGATGTCGGCTTCCTGGTAGTCTTCGCGCCAGCCACCTTCGTCTTCTGATTCTGAGATACTTTCATCTGACTATCCTCATCAGTATCATTTGATGAATCGCGATCATACAATCTGTTCCCAATTCATCTTTGACCATTAAATGATCTATTTCTCACTTTCAAAATGTCTGTCGTAGATCCAGTCCCCCACCTCATGATAAGTAGTCTCCTCATATCAATACATCATTAGTGCTATAATATCTGGATGACCTTCAATGTTGGTTTCAAGCAAAGTGATTGATAACCAACAGAAAGAAGGCAAAGGATTTAAGTACAATATATTGGCTTTGAAGTGCTATTACAACCTCCAATGCTACTGGCCCAGAACCGTACTATTGTGCTACATGTAGAAATATTGTTGGATGGGTTTAAATCTGCGTTCTGGTATGGAGAAGTGGAGGAAAGCGCCGCCCAGTTCCCATTGTACCAATTTCGTGCGATTTGTGAGACATGTTGCTCCTCGATGTTCTTCTCAAATGAGCACTGCCAATCCAATGTAGCTAGAAGCCTAAAACGAATATGGCTCAGCTCATCGCTCCTTCTTTGCTTAGATGGCATAATTGATAAGAACAAAATGCCAAGATACCTGGTACGTTGTGATGTCAAACTCATTGATGCACGTTTAATTAAAGCAACCAGTTTACGAGTCAAGAGAGACTGGAGTAATGATCGTAGTTCACGAGAAGGAGAATCTAACATTCTGTAACTGGCCGCCCACGCTGCGTGTACTCATAATATCCATACAAACGAGCGTATCGTGCGTAAAGTCATAACAACCGAAGATATCACCAGCCCTACAACGCTTATCAACAGAGAACAAAAACTACAAAACATCTAACTAAAGCATATCATCACTTTCATTACTGTCATGATCATCATTCATCAAGCCCTCACTCATCGTGGGCAACACCCTATCAAACCGACCCAACACCCAAACACACGCAAAAACCACAACCAACAACGAAGAACTAACCATAAATGGCAACCTCATAACCCAATACTTCATCTCCAGCACCTCCGAGAATGCCGCGCTCCAACTCGCCGTCGAAACAATATTAGCCAACGTCTCCATCATCCCAATCCCCAAATAAATCTCCTCAATCGCCTCCCGACTCTCCATCATCCCCGTACAGAAACTCCTCAAACTAGCCCCCAACCCACTTCCCAGCGTCCATATCGTCATCGAGAAGATGAACCCCACTCTACTCGGCGCGAACCCGATCAACACCACCCCAACAGCGTGCGCCAACACCGAAGCTTTCGTGACGAAAATGTCGACCGAGCTCGAGGACCCGAGTCTAGGCTTCAGGAGCGAGTGCGTGATGTACGGGAGAGAAACGAGGATGATGCCCGAGACGACCATCTCGAATCCTGTGATGGCGTTGACTTCCGCGAACAGCCAGTCGAAAGTAATGCTCCCCCATTGCGCGAAGATGATCCGGATGCCGGTGCCGAGCGTGAGCATGAAGTACGTGAAGAGCGTGTAGCGGGAGAACTTGTTTGCGTAGATGATGGAGTGGAAGAGGGAGAGGGAATGTGTGGTGTGGGAAGCGAGCGCGGAGAATATGGTGCGGAAGAGGGCGGGTTGGGAGTCTGGGTCTTCTGGGGTTAGGGGGCCGATGGGGAGGAGAGAAGTGGTTTCGGAGCTGGATTGGGAGGAAGTTATGGAGTCGGAGTCGTCGGAGGCTGAGTCTTCGGGTGAGGATGGGATGAGGGTTGGTCGTTGGGGAGGAGCGAGGAAGGTGCGTCGTGAGTCGGGGAAGAGGAGGCAGATTGGGATCATGCAGATTAGGACGATGATTCCGATGAGGCATTGGACCCAAACGTTGCGGCGGAGGGTGACGGAGCTGACTAGCATGGCGAAGAATGCGAATAGTAGTTGCAGAGCGCTTAGTCTGTAGAAGACATGGCTCCTGGATGTCGTGAGCGGAAATGGTTAAGAGAGTTGGCTTCGTGATACTTACAGACGCTTCGAATTCACACACTCTGAGATGTAGGTCATGATGAAAGACGCCATAATGACTTGACCTCCGCCAATTATGTCGAGAAATGGTGTCAAGTAAATCCATCGAATGTCGAAAGTATTGTAGAAATAGCCTGTGTTATCAGTCGACATGTTTGAAACGGCAATTTAGTTACTTACAAACCAACGTAAAATACAAGCCAGCCAAAGTAAGACTACTCACGTTCAACAACATGATCTTCTTCTTCCCTAGTATCTTCGCCATCTTCCCGTAGGGTCCTGTAAGAAAGATGGCTGCAAACTTTGCTTAGCAATCGCTCTGGCAGATTAAGTAGAAGATGACTTACGAGGAATGAATCCCAAGACAGCATACAATCCGTTTATCTGCGCGACCTGGGTCTGAACTGGTGCTATTTTGCACAACTCCTCGTCCATCAAGCCATTAAAGCCGATTTGTGCAGGATCATAAGCCCCAAAGTACTTTCTACATGCTGCTTGTTCTATCAAGTACATATGCGTACTTGTCAAACAAACCTCTCCAAAAGCTCCCATTGTACAGAGTATGATAGCTGGCATCAGCGGCGACCTCCCTTCAGGAGGATTCGACACCACCGACCATCGTCGCCTCAGCCCTGTCAACATGGTGACATCAAATATGAACGATATGTACTTGAAGGTAAAAGTCTGACTTGCGACGAATACATAGGAAACTCGAATATGGACAAGAAGTACATCAAGGAAACAAGGGAGGCTGGGGACAAGCTGGGTACTTCTTACAAACCAAGGAGCAACAGGACGGTTGTGGTAGGACCAAGATAGGCAACCCGTTTTGGTGCTAGTACAACTGGGTACACCAACCAACCTCATGCTGGTAGGCACGCTGCTTGACACGTCGTCGGTCGCACTCGGATTGGAAATAGACGATTACGACCTATCTCATTCGGTGCTTGTTTCGTTTGGGAAGCGCTGGCTTCGCAGATTGACTTTTCGTCCGCTTGGACGTCTGGCTTGGCTATTTCTTTTTCCGCTTCCGCGACGTTTTATTTATGCTGATGAGGATTCTGGAGTTTTCGAGAAAGATGATGGGGTCAAAGATGTGATGTTGGCACAGAAGGAATGGAAGGAGGCTGGAATCAGCGAGTTCGGGAGCTTATGTCGGGAAGTGACTTGAGCTCACCTGCTTCTATCAACACCTGCAGCAGGTAGACGGCATGATGCAGCTGTGCAACATGAGAAAGATCAAACCAGTTCCAAGCTCCCAAATCCGGCACGTCCCGGACCTCGCCTGCTTAAACCAAAACAGGGATGGACCATGGGACGAACAAGCAGCACCAACCACTTAATCCGCATGATGAGGCTGACCGCCAAGTTTGATGCCAGTTGGAGGACCTCGTGTAACTTTCCCAGCCAGCTGACTGATTCTGACCCAAGGAATTCCTGTAGAGCTGGATGGCGTTGATCATAGGAACGGAGAGTTGTCGTCTGATGGATTCGCTTCGTCCCAACACACGCATGCATGCACTGCTGACGATGCAAGGTCCCATCGAGGGATGTCAACAATCATTTTCATTATATGCTTCGTGACAAACATAAACACAACTTGCTCGTAAAGACGCCGCTGAAGAACGCCGTTAAAGACAATGTCTTGGTATCCATCCCAATCCCCCATATCAGTCATCAGCTCAGATGTGATTCATACAAGGTTTCTATTCATCCTTCCACTAATACTCCTCGACTGCACAGTTAGGATGCAATACGTAGACAGTCTGTTCGGCAGCACTTGAGCTACCTTGGCCGTCATCACCGACCAAGCCTTGACCTCTGATCGCCATCAGTATATTCTCCTAGAAATCTGTTAGTAAAATACTCTACAAATATTTGCACAGCTGCCGTACCTTGACCATTCTCTTGATGATCTTTCTTGTTAATGCCATCTCAGCGTGATAATCTTCCTCGCCTGCCAACTCGTCCTCTTTCTGCTCCAGATACCACTGGATGAGAGTCTCGCCATCGACTCCTTCACCGCTGCTCAACTCGTCCTCATTGACTCGCTGAACCAGGAGATTGACTACGCTGATGTACTTGTCATACGTAATCTTCGCCTTCGGTCGCTCTCCATTAGTAGGTGCTGGAGTGGTGCCATTAGCCCCAGCGCCACCATCTGGACCATTGTCCCCGTCCTCATCATCATCATTTCCATCAGCCATGGGAGAATCACCATCGCCATCTCTGCGAGACGCTCCATTCGCACCAAGAACTTCATCATCATCTTCGTCGACATCCACGTCATCTTTCTCGACTGAAATAATACTTTGTCGGAGCAAGTTGAATGCCTCAATGACCATGCTTGGAACAATTTCTTCTACACAGTTGGCCTTTGCAATAGCTTCTGAAAGACGAATCATTGACTCAAGTTGTCTGACAGTGATTCTGTAGCTGTTTCTGCCAATGCCACCTTGAGCATCATCGCTTCTGAGTTCCTTGTACTTCTGCACTAGAACCTCTTTCGCCTCAGGAGTAAATTCTGGCTTGAATGTTTTTGCGAATCTGATGTATCGTTGTAATTGCTCGGTAGTGAACTCTGGTTGGACAGCTTCGTCACGTAGCTGGTGAATCCCAACAATATGTTCAGCAAGATGACGATCCACGGTCTCGTTACACTCGTCCAAGATGACGAAGAAAAGATCAAAACGAGACATGATGGGTGCTGACATATTGATGTTGGCTCGGAGTGTTGTCTTCCGGTTGTATCGCCCTCCTACAGGATTTGCAGCAGCCAAAATTGAAGTTCGAGCATTCAAGGTGGCTTGAATACCTGCTTTGGCAATGGAGATTGTCTGCTGTTCCATGGCTTCGTGAATAGCAACTTGATCGCTAATGTCCATCTTGTCGAACTCGTCAATAGCGCAAATGCCATTGTCTGCCAACATCAGGGCACCAGCCTCAATTGTAAATTCGCCAGTCTCCTCATCCTTGACCACAGCTGCCGTCAGACCAGCTGCCGAAGATGCCTTGCCGGAAGTGTAGACGGCACGAGGCAAGAATGAGCAAATGTACTTCAGAAACTGGGACTTCGAGGTAGATGGATCGCCAACAATACAAATGTTGATGTCACCTCTCAAAGCCATTCCTTCAGGAGTGGTCTTGCTCAAACCGCCCATGAGTTGAAGCAGAAGACCCTTCTTCACAATCTCGTGGCCATAGACCATAGGAGCGAGAGAGTTGACAAGTCGAGAGTAGATGTGATCGCTGTGAACCATCTTTCGAAGATCTTCAATCTCAGCATGTGTCATTGAAGCAAGTACAGCTTCTTGAGCGTGGTCGCCAGGTTCGTTGGGATCAATTGGCGCAGTCTGGTTGAGAGATGCCAGAATATTGTTGGACTGTCCATTTAGGTGTTGACTTGATGCTGCTCCCGTGGTGGAAGTATCTGGAGTGACCATACAAGCCAGGAAAGCAAGTCTGTAAGTCAAATCACGAACTCCGAGTGACTTGAGACCAGAAACACCGCTTGCATCTCCACTTCTGTTCTGGTTGTCTCGAATAGCCATTGGGCGCACGCCTGGAAGACCAAGTTGGCTAACATCTGGAATAACGATCAGTGCACCTGTGAAGATACACTTCTCTCCAGCCTTCGCACGATCGACAATTTCTCCACGGAGAATGACGTCCATCGTTCGTGGCATGCTTCCAGTTGGAATCTCTGAGCTGTTTTCTTGGACTCGCACTTTCTGCCAATCCACAAAAGTACTTTGTCTGATGTCCAGTCTCCATCCCTGACGATTCATACATTCTTGATTAGGACATTGTGTGGGCTCGGTATATTTGAAGGTCTGCTCAACATTTGGCACAGTACTCCTGCAGTTTTCGCAAGTGAAGGTTGCTAAAGAAAGTTCAGGTCGAACTTCTGAAGTTCTTGTGACTGTTCCAGAAATTGACAAAAGCTGCCCAATGTTGGCCGTTCTCAAATGTCGAACTCGGGATACGAGAGGGAGATTGTAAAATGCCAATGCAAAGAGCTTATCTGTCTGTTGATTTGTGGTTTTGCGGCCCTGGAAATCTGACTCGCTGGCAGAGGCTGCATTACTCGCACCAGAAGAAGTCTGATTGCTTGAAGATGTGGGCTGTCGATGGTCTCGGAAGTATCGTGGTTCGTACTTAGCGATCATATTGTGTAGGCCCTTTGTCAAGAATGGCAGAAATCTGTAGTATTCCTCGACAATACCTTCTGCCAACGCACCACCCTTGTATTGTGACAGATGTGTGTAGTCGACATAGAGTGTAGAGAGTGAGTAGGTTCTTAATCCGTGAATCTGTGCGATGTAGTATTTGTCTGTGGTAACGGCACTCGACATAGGGACTCCTGAGGATGATGGTTCTTCAATGAAGCTATATACTGTTAAAGAGGCCGCGACAATGTGGAGGTTTGCACTCACTTCTCGAGGAAATCTTCAAAATTGCTTTGAACATATTGGCCGATAATATCTTCAACTCTTGGAATAGCACGATCCCTTTGCCTTGGTCTTCCTGAACCAGTTGGCACTTGATCATCCGCAAAACCCTCGTCGTCACTCAATGGCGCAACGCTCTCAGAGGGGGGACCTCGAGGTCGAACGGAGGAAGCCCTATTTGCGCGCGCTCTCGGTGTACCGCTCCTGCTAGACATTGCAGGAATATCAGACTCGACAGCATCAGACATCATGACAGAAGCCATTGTGGCGATTTGAAAGGAGCGTTGTTGTGTGAGGATTTTGAAAGACCGGTGGTATCTTTTTTCAGGAGTGTTCAAAAGATTGGCGGTAAAACACGGTCGCGTCGCGTCTTTGAAATTGAAAAACGCGAAGATGTTGGTCGCCGTAATAGAGTGGTTTTCCTAAAAGGGGGTGCACGTGATATTATAGGCCGAGAAAACAGAATTTGCGATAGAAAGATTTATGATTCTTTCTAGTGTACAAGATGTATAGCTTAACAGATTTACTGTGCAATGTCAGAGCGTGTTTATGTCAGAACATTGATTTATGAACATTGGCATTTCACTAGCTCATGTGTCTGGATACGTCATGTAGCTCTAATAGCCTTCACAATTCTCCGTAAGAATTCTGAACATTTTCCCATCCATAATGTCCGACTTTGTCAAACCCTCCAAATCCCATTTAATGACCTACCGTATCGCCCGTGGCGAACAAGGAGTCCTAACATACGAACCCTACAAATCCTACCTCCTCCCACACTGGCGTTTCCGGACCGTCTCTATCGCACGTGCCTCCTCACAGACTCTCTGGCAGAAGTTCCTCGAGTTCTACGAGCAAAATGACTTTGTGGGAATGGATATGAGTAGGAAGTTCATTCAGATGGGCATGACAAGGTCCAAGAGGTATGCGAATTACAAGGGCGGCAGAAAGTATGTGGATGGCAAGGAGAAAGGGGAAGTGATTGAGAAGAGTAAAGGCCATGAGGGGAAGGAAGAGAAGGAGGAGGCGAGTCGGATATTTAGAGAGGTGTGGGAGAGGTGTAAGGAGCATGAGGGATATCAAGAGATGAAGAAGACGTTTTTGAAAGAGCAGAAGGAGTGGCTGGAAATGGAACCAGGGAGGGTGAAAGAAGAAGACGATGAGACGAGATCTTCAGCAAGACCAACTAGCAGACAAAGCAGTAGACGGAAATGTCAAGCAGAGGAAGAGAGCATCAAGCAGGAGCTTTCTCCGAGATTAAAGTCCGAAAATGATTGACATTCCATTCAGCCTGGTATCTCCCAACGCCAAACAATGCACCCTGAAAAATTACGCCGTACTAGAATCGGCTGGCTTGTACGAGTGAATCTGGGACAATCAGCATTGCCCAACAATCTTACAGCAGAGGTACATACCTGTTGCGAGAACGCAATCCACTCATCCATTCCCTTCACATAAGGATCCGCCGCATTTTCCGGTACAGACTCATGTCCCCAGACCATTATCTCATCAAAGTCCGACTGTTCCTCCATAATTTTGACCTCCGGCTCTTCCTCCGCATCCTCCTCATCTTCGTTTGTTTCTGCTGCGGGTTTTGGGAGTATCCGATCAGTGGTAGAAAGCACAACTCCTCGGTACCCTTCTGGGACGGTGACTTTCTTGCCGTATAACTTCCGTCCTCTGAAGTACGCTGAAGTTTTATCATCTGCAATTCTGCGGGTTAACTATAGTCTGATTGACGCCCAACACACTTACCAGCAGTCTGAGTCGGATTCCAGTACCTTTTGGAGGCGTCGACGGGTCCATTGTGATTTATCCGGCATGGCAGCACATTGGGTGTGCATTTGCCCTCATGGCCTTTGGTTTTCTTTTCAATTGCAAGCATTGTTGGATTTTGCGAATTTGGAATGTCTATCTCAATTCTTAGCATCTACCTAGGTTCATTGAAATCTCAAAATAGCCTCGTCGCGACTTGCATGCGACACGGAGACGCGTTGACGCGTTCCACGCTAGACCTCGGCAATCTGCCAAGCTACGTAAGAACCTTAAATCCAAGGTCGTAGCCGTGTCATCCCGCCTGTCGTAAACCCCAACATTTGCTTCTCGAAGCACTCAAAGAAGCATGCATCGCCAAAATAATTGTTCCTCGCTGGACACGAGAGCAGATCGGCAGGAACCCAAATCGGGGTGTAGATCGCAGGTGCTCATTCATGCAAGGCAAAACTCTCTCTCACCGCTCCGCTCCGCAACGAAACAGAGCGCTCTCGGTGCTATCTCCTACAGACCGAGTCACGTTTCAATACCTTACCCAATCACAGTGCAGCGGTTCAAAAGACTTCCGAGCGTTGCGAAAGGAAGCGTGAGTCCCCTTCACTTCATGCGGCTATTGGTGATCAATGACCCTTCGTTGCAAGGGCTGGCGGAGAGGGGAGACATGGCTCTGCCGGGAGATCCTTGTACATTACATACACACAACTTGACCCTTCCTCTTTTTGATATTTGACAATTCTTGACATGTGGCCAATTTGTCTACGAGATTGAGTTAATGAAAGGAGTCAGAAAGTCGCTCTTCGGAGCATCTTCTTGTCCGGAGTGAGTTGAGGTAATTCAGAAAGAAGAATGATGATGTCAAGACTGCTCGATCGGGAGACATATCCAATACTCGTATCTCTCGTGGAATCAGAATCAGAATCAGCCTCTGTGCCTCTGTGAACCAACACGGCCCAGCAGCTGTGGAATCACACCACCATGCTTGCTTTTGGGCAACGGTAACTGTACAGCACATCATATGGGTATGTACTGTACAGGTATACGGGATGATGCTAGGGAGATTCAGGCACTTGGCTCGCTCTATTGGCGGGGTTGGCCGCTATGCGAAAGAAGCTTTATTTTCCGCCACAGTCGAGGGCCCTCCTTACCTCTGTTCGCATTCGCCAGTCTTTCCGGAACATGCTCTTGTCCAATTGCAACATCAGGGCTCATCTTATCATAACACTTTCTCAATCATTCTCACAATTTGGCCGAAACTCGGAAAGTAATTGCCATGCACAGACGCAGACGTAAAATGCACTAGTAGTGGGGCAACATGCATTGGGTTTACCTCCCCTCCCTTGTCCCGTTCGAGAAAGGCTGGAACACTTCGTCATGGCACGGTGTTCCTGGAGCGCGGAAGATTATCCAGTCCGTGGACGGATACTTTATTTTCGATCGTTGACTTCATTCTTTCCTTTCTTTGTATTTCTTTCGTGTGCTTTTGGTTACGTTGTGCGGCGAAGTCGAAGACCCGGTTCTCTCCCACCTCACTTAGTGAATGAGTTAAATTTTGCGATTCTGCGCAAGAACTCTTCAACCTCATTTCCTGCAGAATCCTCAACGTTTTCTGACACCTCCCACACTGCTGCCGAGCGTGCTACTCATCGATCGACCGGGAAGAGTAATATACGTAACTCGCAATGGCATCATATATTCCGGCAGCGATCACGAAGCCCCTTGCCCGCGGCACCGACTTGTTGCGAGGTGCGATCGGAGGAGTATCCTGGGGTCCAGCGTTGTCAGTCTCGAAGGCAGCTGTCGACTCTCTGCTCTCCCGCATCGAAATCGGACAATTGATTATAAATGACGAGACCACGGGAGAACGGATCGTTTACGGGCAGAAGATTGCTAAGGAGCATTCCAAAAAGGCCAATGGCGTGAATGGAGTTAATGGTACAAAGAAGAGTGGAGGAGTTCGCAGGGTGGAGATGATGGCGAAGAGGGAGGCTTTTTGGGTGCGATTGTTTTTGTTTGCGGACATGGGATTCGCAGAAGCGTTCATGTTGGGCGATTTTGAATGTGCCGATTTGACCGGTTTCTTCGAGGTTTGTGGACCAAGAACACAATCCTCAAAGCTCAAAGACTTACAGACAATAGCTTTTCATTTTAAACCGTAGCCAATTGGCTAATGCGACAACATTGACCTCGTCGATTGCGGCTACCATCACAGGACTCGCGCGAAGCACCAATACATTATCCAATTCACTATTGAATGTGTCAGCACACTACGACATTAGCAACGAAATGTTTGCCGCTTTCTTGTCAGACGATATGACTTATTCGTGTCCGATATGGAAACTCGCTTCGAGCGCGGACGAAGAGGAAGAGATATTGGAGGAGGCTCAGATGACAAAGCTGAATCGCTTCATTGATGGAGCTCGTATAAAGCCAAGCGACCACGTGCTAGAAATTGGGACCGGATGGGGATCGTTTGCAATGGAAGCAGTACGAAAAACAGGATGCAGAGTAACTTCTCTGACATTGTCAATCGAGCAAAAGGCACTGGCCGAGAAGAGAATCGCAGCAGCGGGATTCGCAGACAGGATTGAGGTCCTGCTCATGGACTACCGAGCACTGCCAACTCCCAAGGTGCTGTATGACAAAGTAGTCTCCATCGAAATGCTTGAGGCTGTTGGAAAGGAATATCTGGAGACATATTTTGGTTGTATACATCGCCTCCTTAAGAAGGATGGTATTGCTGTCTTCCAATGCATCACAATGCCCGAAGGAAGATACGAGTCGTACGCGAAAGGCGAGGATTTCATTCGAAAATACATCTTTCCAGGCGGTCATCTACCATCCATCAACCAGCTCGTCGAAAACATCAACAAGGGATCCGAGGGTACTTTGGTAGTGGAGAGGATCGAGAATATTGGTGGCCACTATGCGAAAACGTTGCGATTATGGCGCGAAGCATTTTGCAGGAATTTCGAGTCAAGAATCAGGCCAGCTCTGATGATCGAGCACGAGGATATGGGCGAGAAAGAAATTGAGGTTTTCCGAAAGAAATGGTGAGTGGATTCAAGCGGTTAATCTTTCTGGTCGTGTTGCTCAAATCGTGTGTATCGCAATTGCTGTGCGATACATGAGCTCGAATATTCTTCTTGTCCTCCCGAGACCAAGTTCTTACTGACCGCTCTACTTTTAGGATCTACTATTTCGAGTACTGCGCGGCTGGCTTTGCCACAAAGACTTTGGGAGACGTAATCATCACAGCTGGCCGTGAAGGAGCAATGGAGTTAATGGAGGGTATTCCCTTATAGTCGTGCGGAGAAAGGGAGCGGATTTATGGTTTGCAGCGACGGAGTCTGGCCGGGGATGACCTATTTTAGACAGCAATGTCTACCATCTGGGTGGGGTTCCCAGTGGTTTTAAATATTTGATGAGGTTTCAGGGAATTGTGATACAACTCCTTCGACATGGCGAGACTTAGACCAGATAGATTCCAATTGCATCGCTATTCGTCCCTCTAGACATCTGATTGGACATATCGGCAATGGTCAACGCTTAGTTCTCTTCTTTCTCTTGAGATTTGGTTTAGCCTTCGAAGTTCCCTGAGCAGTCTGAGGTGGGTATCGCTGAGCATGTTCAACGTCGAAAGCAGATTTGTGGCGTCTGAAAAGTAGCATAGTTGCTCGTGCATCCTCAACACTGGAGTGCTCGCCCATCTGAATATCGACGCCAAGAATTTCCTTTGCAAGCTTTCTCAGGCTCGGGGTCCTTCCCGCACTATACTTCCTGAACCCTGAGAATCTCGATGTATCCCTTATATCTCTTCTTGGATGGCCCAGCATCATGGCTGCCAAGTCGTTCTTGATCGCATGTCCCACAATGATCCTGTCCTTCAATATTGCCGCAACGTCCTCTTGAACTTGTTCGAAATCTCGTGCTGTAGCCATATTCTTCGCTGATACTCCACTGACATGCGTTCTCCAGTCCGTGACAAACTCCTTTGGTCTGACGAAGGAATCATACACCTGTGTGCCGTGGAAATTGACAATACTGACTCGAGCCAGTACTGATCTGTCTTCCTCACCACCAACTCCTACCATCTCGCAATCGATCCCCACATATTTGCCAATCTCCACATCCCTCGATAGACCTCCATTGATCTTATCTGGCTTGGTGCCCTTGAACGTCGTGTCCTTCAGGCCTCCTCCGTAAGCTTCTGCAAGGTCCTTCGCAGAGATATCATTGTCCTCAGCCCAGAGAGCCAGAGAGGCGGAGGGCGCATCATTTGCTGGCTGGATAGAATCTGTGGGATCTGGGCTTTCTGATGCTTCAACACTCATTGCACCGCCCATTTTGCCCTTCTTCGCAAGCTGCAAAGGGCGTGCTGTGACGGCTTTTGATGGCTTCAAATCCAATCGGCGACGCTTTGCTGCGATCGTATTGCGCTGCCTCTCCGTAGGAATTTCTTTTCGTTTCCGGTCAGGCTTGTCCTTTTCCTCCTGCTTCAGTATAGCTTGAAGCTTCTTCCAGTTGCTTGAGAGCTCTGGTGCCATTGCGCGTGGTGCTATCGACACATTGTTCTTGTTGGTCGAATAATGAAAAGTTCAATTTTCGTCACAGGCCAAAATTTAGGCGACAAGGCTCAAGGTTCAGCGCTAAAGAAACATCGCCAGCCTTGTTCTTGCCCCTCCAAGAACATCAATCACGGCAGCATCAAAACCATCCCACAACAATTAAAATTTATCAAATAAATCGCAATTTCCATCATGGCGGGTGGCGGCGACAACAAAGATTCGAAGGGAGAATCGCAGGTACCGAAAATCAATGGCAGAGCGACAGCTGATACTCTGAAGTGAGTCCACCAAACCGGTGTGCGACCGTGTGCTAACCTCGCTACAGAATAGGATGTATCGCAATGGTGCAAAAAGTGAGTTTCAACGCAACCCTTTGCGCAATCAATTTCACGCAGCATCCAAATACATTATTTTGAAAGCATGAACTAGAGCAAGATTACTGACAGATTCTCAGGATGGCCAACATCGAAGAGCTGAAATTCTCAGTATCAGAGATATCAAAAGTGGCCGGCAATTCTACTGCAACTTTGACAACTTCAATAAACGTTTGGACGAATGGGTTCCTGTTAACCGTATCGACTTCAGTCAGGACGTGGAATGGCCAAGTCCAGAGAAGCCCAAGGAAGCTAAGAAATCTTCAGCACCTGTAGCCAAGAAGACTATCGGCCAGAAGAAAGGTCAAAAGCGACCAGCTGTCACGAGGGAGGTCTCTGTCGCATCAGAAGCTAGTACACCGCGTCCATGGGGAGATTTCGACGATTCTCAAAAAGGGACACCTGATCCTGAAGGAGAAGAGAAGCTTACTACCCCTCTCGACCTCGACAACACCCCAGGTGCCGAAGATGACGATCCTATGGATTTGGATGAAGTAGCAGCTCGGGCCGTGTCAGCAAAAGCTGAACCTCCTGAAGCGTTCAGCCGTCAAGAAGAGATCGAAAAGCTTCGTGTGGGAGGTTCCATGACCCAGAACCAAGCCGAAATTTCACGCATCAGAAACATCACCAAAGTCCAGTTTGGCAAATACGACCTTTTCCCTTGGTACTTCTCTCCCTATCCAGAAGCTTTTACCCAAGAAGATCTCATGTATATCTGTGAGTTCTGTCTCTGTTATTGGGGCGATGTCAAGTCCTTTCAGCGACATCGACAAAAGTGCACATTGCAGCATCCTCCTGGAAACGAACTTTATCGAGACGATTATGTATCTTTCTTCGAGATAGACGGTCGACGACAACGGACGTGGTGTCGAAACCTTTGTCTACTCTCGAAGATGTTCTTGGATCACAAAACCCTCTACTACGATGTAGATCCCTTCTTGTTCTACGTGATGACCAGCCGGGATGAGAAAGGCTATCATCTCGTTGGATACTTCTCGAAAGAGAAAGAGAGTGTCGATGGCTACAACGTAGCTTGTATTCTCACGCTACCACAGTATCAAAGACGAGGTTACGGTAGACTGCTGATCCAATTCTCTTACGAATTATCAAAGATTGAGAATAAGCTCGGCTCACCAGAAAAGCCTTTGTCGGATCTTGGTCTCCTTTCATATCGACAGTACTGGACCGAGCGCCTAATTGAGATATTACTCGAGTGCAATGAAAAGGACGAGAAAATATCCATTGAGATGCTCGCCCAGAGATTGGCAATGACCACGGCGGATGTTGAAAGTACACTGCAAGCGAAGCACATGCAAGTCTGGCACAAGACAGATCACAAAATCGTCATTCCGATGAAGCTGATCAAGGAGCATGAGGCTAGGGTAGAGAAGGCAAAGACGAAACCAAAGCGGGAGATCGATCCAGATTTGATTCAGTGGAAGCCACCGGTGTTCACAGCAAGCACTCGTACTTGGGGCTGGTAGATCGGGATTTCATAGATTTGTAGAACACTTCACAGGTCTCATCTTAGGTGGCGCATGGATGGGTGGCAAAGCGCGGAAGGTGTCAAGGAGTTATTGGTGGCTTGTGTGTAGCAAATTAAAACAAATCGCACTACGCCTACGAGTCTATAACGCGTTTCCCTTGTGGTTTGGATGTATTTGCAAACTGCCGTTTTCTATTCTTCGCCGCAAACATGAACGCCTGGCTTAGGGATTCAGAAACCGAAGGGGGTATCAACAAACATATCTAACTCTCTCTTTTAACCCTTCTCCAACAACACCCCTCACATACCCCGCAAACTCTCTCGAAAACAAAGCAATCCCCAATTCCTGACTCGTATACCAACTCGCCCGATCCATATTCCCACTTCCCAGCACCGTAACCTCCTCATCCATAATCACACACTTCAAATGGCTCTTCACCGGCTCCTTCTCATCCCTCCTTCCCTGCCTAGCATGATAATACCCAATCCTCAACACACCCGGTTGCTCCATCATATTCTCCGGATCCGAGCACTTGCTGTAGTTCCGCAATAGAGCCCGATAGCGTCGACCGAGTTTCCAGATCTCGTACTCAGTAATAGTACCTGCTGTAGCGAGTTGTTCTAGAATCATGAGCCCGCTGCTCGTGATGAGGTGGATATCCACGCCCCGCTCGAGGGCGGAGAAGAGAGCATTTATGACGGGTTGAGAGGTGAGGTTTGGCGTTTGGATGTAGATGTCCCTCTTAGCCTGCGTGAATAATTGTAAGACGAAGAGATTAAGTGGTGTTGGTGGAGGTGTAGACTTAGTGAAAGGTTGGAAGCGTGGGTTGATGTGGTGAGGCGACGGGAGGAGAATTGTTTGGATTTCTTTCTCTTCGTCGTCGTTCTCGTCTGAGGTCGTTGATTCTTGGATATCCTTAGGTAAGTAGGGTAACGAGGCACCACCTCTTGACCAAAAAGATGACCAGAAGTTGAATAGTTTCTCAGTGATCCCACCTTCGAGCTCAATGCTCCCTTCGAACCAGTTCTCCCAGCTGACGTTGCAGGAAGGCATGAATGCTAGTTTTCGGTCCATGAGGATAAATTTGGGGTGCATAACACTGAATGGGAGCACGAAGACGCTCTTTATGATCATTTCGAGCCCTTCCAGTTGTCCCTGAGGAGGAAGACCAAGACTGGTCCATGAAGAAGGGGGCCAAATTTTGCCATCCAAAGAGGATGTCTGAGTCAGTCTTTGAAGGATAGAAGAAGAAGAGAAGCATATCCTGACTTGGATCTTGTGGTTTTGTGATAAGGCTTTCTCTGATAGCCCGAGAAGTAGTGACGATATAGCTTCTTGAGAGGATGATTTTGCCCAGAAGCAGGTTACTATGATGAGTTCATGATTGGTCGAGACACACTTCGAGAAGGCTTCGGTGAGTATTCGTTCGCCTGTGCCAATGCTGAAATTGGATGTTATGGAGGTACTTATAAGAGATTCAGGATCTGATGCGAAATAGTTGGGTTCGTCGAGCTCGTTCTCGTCCGCATGGCTTCGAGCATCTTGAAGCCACGCATTTGTGACGGCCTGTGAGGCCATGGAAGGGTGTCGAAATGAACGACTATCAATGACAATACCGCATATATAATCAAGAAGACGACTGAACACACTTGATGTGAAGCAAAGCCAATGAATGTCACGTTGTTCGAGGTTGTAGCGCATCACGTGCAGGGCTGACGCGATATTGTGGTCCGTGCGCATCCCTCTGCCATGCAGGTGATCTTCAGACTGAGCCACCTCTTGACGTGTCGTTTATCATTTTTGACTGTGTACATGAGAAATGTAACTTTCATCTCTGCTCTGTCTCTACCTATATGTCTGTGCCGCATATACCTATTCTTGTTATGCCGTTAGCGTCGTTTGTCAAGTTGTTTTTGATTTCTCCAGCTCTTGTGCTTGCTTTGCACTGCCCAATCGAAAGCCCGGTCTGGTAGGACACGATTGATATTGACTGAAGTCTGAGAGTTCTTACATCATCTTTGGCATGACAGATCACTGTCCAATCTCTCATCTGTGATGGAGGAAACTCAAATGTACCAGTATAGTGAGCTTTGGGGTTCCGATGCCATTCGAATCATCAAGCTGTACCCTTCAGAGAGCCTAGACGCTGAAGTCCAGTGCGAGCTCCTATGTACTAGTCTGACTGAATGTGAAGAAGATATTCATAGCCTGTACACAGCAATCTCATACGTTTGGGGCGACGTCAACAATACCCGAGCAATTGTAATCGATGGAAAGAAACTCGAGATTACAGCAACCTTACACTCTGCTCTTTGCCATATTCGTCTAAAGGCGGAGCCCGCACGACTGTGGGCCGACGCAATATGCATCAACCAGTCTGATGTGGAGGAACGAAGCAGGCAAGTTCGTCAGATGGGGGCCATTTACGCCTGTGCATCGCATACGATAATATACTTTGATTCCCCAACTCCAGAAGCTGCGCTCTTCCTCGAAGCTCTTCGACAGTATAACGCGAACATACGAAAGGGATTTCCTCCCAGTGCTCTCGCATTACGAACTTGTAAAGATCTTTGGATTCTGTCTAGAGAGTCTTTCCTCATGCAAGATTGGCTTTCGAGGATCTGGGTGCTTCAAGAACTGTTGTTCTCGAGAGATCCCTGGGTTCAATGCGGCACTACCCGTTGCAGATGGGACGATTTTTGTCAGCATGTTCGATCTTTCCAAGAACCTGAGACAACCCAGCTCTCAGCAATCGAGACTTCAACGTCCACTACAACTCCCAAAAACACCTCCGAATCAAATCTGTTGGACTTCATCCCTTCTTATTCCATATATGACATCGGCGCAACATCGAACGGACTTGAGCTCCTATTGGCTATGGCGAGGTTTCGCAACGACTTCTACGACCCTGGGTCGAACATGTATGGGGATCTTTTTCTGTTGACCCTGCTACAAGCCCGGAGAGCCCTTGGCGTGACCGATCCGCGAGATATGCTATACGCTCACTCTACGATTGCCCGATCAGCAGAATTGGTCGACGGGTATGGAGAGCTGATTCGGGTGGATTACAGCAGAAGTTGTCAAAAGCTTTACATGGACACTGCGCACTACTTCTTCGAGAAGAGGAGTGGCTCTGCTATACTGTCATTTGTGGAGGACATTGAACTTCAGAAACGGCGTGCTGGATTGGTATCTTGGGCTCCTGACTGGACAGTTGCCCAACCGCCGAAACCATGGACCTCGATACACGAGTGGTCGGCAAATCATGCAAGGTTTCAACACCCTCGGGAGCAATACTCTGAAATTAGACCGCTGGGATTAGATTGGTCAAGCCAGTCTGTTTTGACTCATGCTTGGTATGAAGGCGTCCTTGCGAATCTAGGAGTTCACGTTGGTTCAGTTAGTGCAATGAGTCATGAGATCAAAGGACGCCTTAGCAACTTTGATATTAGAAGGTTTTTCTCTGATGAATAGTAAGTGCAAATCCATATATCCGATACAATGTTCAATGAATTTCTTGCTTTCTTGGTCTAGATCCCGAGTAACCCTAGAGATGAAATCTTGAACGTTACTCCAGTACAACCAGATAAGGAGGATCTTTGTTCATTGACGCTTGCTAAACGATGACACTGAATCTTATTGTTAATAGTCCGGATCCTCGGAACCATACCTCAGCAATCGACTTCAAGGTTTATAACAAGTTCTGCGCAGCTTTGGATGAAGCCGTCGGTCCCGGGCTATTCTCTAGTCCACCAGACAATCCCCCTTTAAGTAACCCATTTTTCCTACCTGCTGGACTCTCGGCCGATAAGCAGCACTCCGAATGTAGAGCACGGATCGTAGGCGCATTGTACACTGTTGGTATACTCAAACGAAATCACACGAGAATTCTTGCGCCCGACGGCCCGAACCTAAGGGCCGATACTCAGTTCATCTTGCCAAATCTCGTCAAAGATACCTTAAAGCCAGACAAGTATTCAATATTCCAGAACCGCCGGTTGACGCAGCTTCCGGATGGTAGGCTTGCTCTGGTTCCGGCTTGTACCAAAGAAGGCGACTTTATTGTCTGCCTTGCTGGTTCTAAAATACCTTATGTCCTTCGTTCTTTTGAGGAGGGTGGGGCAATACCAAATAAACTAGTATATGATGCTTTTACCAGGCCAAAAGATTTCAAGAAGCACGCTCTGAACGGGTGTAGAACATGTCAGAAAGGATCGGTAAGCCATATGAATGTAAAATTAAAGTTGATACTTACGACCCCTAAGGAACTTTGCGATAGAAAACCTCCTCTTTGTGGATACTGTGAAACACTTAGAACAAAAAAGTGCAACTATGGTAAAGGAGATCTAATAGACATGTTTTCAAAAACTGACAATAGCATAGATAATATCGAATCCATCAAAGACTTAGCTATCGAGCATTGCAAGCTCATTGGAGAATGTTTCGTGGAAACATTGATGATGGGATGGACTGCCCCCGAGATTGAAAGGAAGCGGAAGGTGATTTTTGCTATCCACTAGGAAGTCGATCAATTCTTCCCGGCTTTGATGTAGTAATATATTTTAATAGATCATTACGTTCTGTTTGGAGATTGTGGTAATTAAGATTAGACATTATCAACGCTAGTGTCGGACTCTCGAATATCCAAAATCCAAGAACCTCGTACGCTAAGAATGTACTTATACGGCTACAGTGTGTAGGTCATCCAGGATCAAAAGCTCTAGATCCAAAAATCCACGCTCAAGGACGAAAGGAGAGTGGAAAAGTCTTTCCTCGCTTGCCTTCGCTTCATGCTAGTGGGGCCACAAAAGACGTCCCGGGACTCTGCAGGCACTCGTATGGATCCTAATAAGCAAAAGAGTTGTCATCCAATCAGAGGCCGGATGGTGTGTAAGTAAACCCTTCAGCTACAGAGTCAGAATGTGTATCTAATATCGTTGTAGAGTTGGTTATCACGTGTCCTTAACACGGACAAGGTCCTGGGATCGAGCCCCAGTCTGGTCATTCCTTTTTGATTTTGTCTGCTTCAGTAGCTTATATTTATGCTGATGGCAGTTGGTATATCTGTTTTCTCATGTTTTTTCTTGAGATTCGCTAAGTCTCGGTGGGCGAAGAGCGAAGCGCAACTGCTTAGGACTCCACTTTAGGAATAGTGCTAGAAGTATTCAGTTGAGTCTTTCGCTCTAAGGTCGAAGTCGTTATTTTGAATCTTTAAAAAGGGGCAAAGATAGCAGTTTTCATGATGTATAACAAGATATACATGAAAATATGGTCCGCAATGGTCTGATATAAGTATCATACAAGTTCGCAAAGATCGGTCATGAGAGTTCATTCACCAGGACACAGTCTCTCGTGCAATAAACTCGCAGAGGTCTACTCAAAAGCAAAGTATAAGTACAATTGAACTGCGTTTCTCGTACATCGTTGACTCCATACATCCGGGGCTGACTCGATCCGCGAAAGAACTCCTCACAAAGGCATCAATCTGACAGTATTTGCACACACCCTTCTTTCCTGAAGCAACGTCGGAGACATCACTGCTCCTTCATGCCCCAGATAAGAGATAACTTCATCGTACTCATGCAGCTTCACTGCATCCTGGGTGTAATCACTTTCGAGAGCACTCACTGTTGCCTCAAGTATGCTCCGAGACTGGCCTTCGACTCCCACGCGAGCATTAGGATTGGCCCCCGCATCAAGAAGACTCCTAACAGAGTCAGGCCTTCCTCGGACAGCAGCATAGTATAAAGCAGTTGCTCCCTTTCCGTCTCGCATGTTGACATTGATTTTGTTCGGGATGAACCGTCGGCGGTCTTTCCACAGAAGTGCGTCGAGGTATTTCGACATCGTGGCTCCGGTTTCTTGGTTTTCGAAACCGGGCCAAGGTCTGTTGAGTATGAATGCTGTAAGCGGGGACTGGCGCTCTCGATTTAAGTGGTTGAGGTCGACGTCCTTTGAAGCGAAGTCCTCGATCCTCGATATGAGAGTATTATTTTCGAGGAGTTTCAATCTGGACAGTGCATGGAAGACGTTATCTCTGGTCGTAGTGTCGACATAGTTCGGATCAGATAGGGCGTGGTCGAAAGTTGTGCAAGCGTTTTGTAGTTTCTTTTTAGTAGTAGAGACATCATCACTTGCGTTAAGGGGATCCCGCACAATCATTTCTAGGAAGTGATCAGAAAGCTGCATGGAATAACCTGCATTCAGAACGAGTCTGAAGTAAAGTGTTAGCGACCAGATAATCTATCAGTTCTAGAAGTACACACTGAAAAACTTGATCTTTCGTATTATCATCTTGTATACGAGAGGCAATGGTATCCAGGAACGTCCGACCTTCATTATCTCGCCAACGAAACGATGCGACTGATCCAGTTAGATCCAAGTGTTGTAAGAACTTAAGTGTGGTAATGAGATTTACGCTCCACAATTGGACAGAGTTCTGTCCTGCTGTCCAATTTGGTTGTAGGCAATGTAAAAACAATTGGCCTTCAGTGTTGATGTGATATGGATTGACTTTAGCTTGTATGAGCGAAATGATACACGCCACATGTGCACCAGCAGCGGCAGCATAATGCAGAGCAGAATTTCCCACAACATCAACAGCTGTGGTATCAGACAAGCTGGTCAATTTCAGCTCTGCCTGGAAAACGTGAAGGCTAAGATATGTAGCAGACCAGCTTAAGTTATGGATGGCTGAATAAAGACAATCTGGACAGGTTGGTACGTTTTTGTGCTGAGCTTGAGATCGCGTCTCGAAGTCTGATTTCTGGGAAGTCGTGGTAGGAGGTGAAGCATGGCGACGGCATGGAACTCGGTGCAAGCTTTTGAATTCCCCAACAACTATTTTATTCTCAAGCTCTTCATCGATTCGATCGAAAGCTGAAGTACGGACAGATCTGGAGACGGTAATGGATTTGTAGGACTGCCGGGGTGTGGGGTCTCTGATACTGTGTCTCCAGCTTGAATTTGTGGACAAAGATGCGGTATCTGATTGGGTTTCAACACTCAGTCTAGAGACTCGTTCGTATCTGGAGTCGAAATGAGCTATACTAAGTAGTTCGCCATCCACAGATGCGTCCTCCTCTTCGAATCTTTTTCGATGATCCAGCTCGGTAACGTTGCCTGGTTTGGAATTCATGGCTTCAGGGACCGGTGTCTGCTTCGTCGCTGGCGGCGGCATGTACCAGTCCCAATCGTGGTTGATACCAGACATTGTCTCGCAATCGAATATAGTTGCCCTGCCTGGCCCACGAGGCAAGGTGGAAAACTGCGCGTAGCCCGTGTACACGAATTTGCGGTCGAGTCTTACAGCTCAGTCGAAGGAGATACCAGAGTCTGCGGGTGGAGACGAGACTCAGAGGAAAGTATATTTCGAGAGATTTGCATGCTGATACAAGTCTCGCGAGCAGACGATAATATCTAATAGTAATATTTGAACATTTTAACAAAGCAGTTGAATTAATCAAAGAGCAACAAGAAGATAGCACGGAGAAGGCAAAAACAAAAGAGATCCAGGTGGTCAATAAGGCTACATATTACAGGCAATGCACAGCCTGGTGCTTGGTGTGAACTGGTGTTGTTTTGGCTCACCGACGGCCTCAAACCTCAAGTTGCGTGGACAGAACAAGGGATGACTATACATCGCGGGGGAACGAACAGAGAGTGTTTCAAGGAGGCTCATGCAGAAAAGGGTAGATGGCATTCCGAAATAGGCGAGGTGTAGAAAGCCTATTTCAGCATGTGAGACCGTACTTCAAAAAGAATATAATCAGATCTTCACGGTTGCACTTCCGGGACATACGGTGAATAGAGGAGATCTTCGAGAAGGCTTGGAGAAAAGAATGGCTGGGTTCACGTGCCGACGCTAAATATAGACCAACCCTAGCAACCAGACTCGAGGAGCCGTGATTCAAGGTAAATATGAATGCAAATTATACATGGATATCCGAGATCTGCGTTTCAATTGAGCCAATTGCCAAGTTATTGTTGTTCCTTGCTGTGCCGTTCGTTGGTCTAGAACTTCTACCTGGTGGCGCGAGGCTGAAGATAGGCAGCATGAAAATCGTTTTCCCATACGCACACCGCTGTGAGAGTGGAAATTCTGATCTTGAGCTTGATGCACGCCTGGAACTTCTATACTTTTTTGTGTACAACTCTTATCTGCTTCATTTCGGGTCTTGAATGGTAATATCGATTCGAGTGAAGAGTAGATTCAGCATCCGAGCCATCTTGCTGTTACCCGAAGCTGAGGAATTACGCAACTTGGCATTGACACCACAAGACCTGTACTTAGACTGTCGATATCAAGCTGCGGGACCAAGTCAGTACAACCCAGACATACTTCTATTGACTCATTTGATGAAATGAATCTGACATTGCCATAGGGACAAGTATAACCTGGTGAAGGGGTGGTATACAAGAGAGTCTATGGACTGGCTAAAAGGGGGTGATGGTGCCCGACATATGGAAAGTGAGAAGGTGAGTTTATGGGGAATCTAAGAGAGACGATGCTAATGTCTTCCCCATAGATGAATCTGCAAGAACAAGATACACTCCGAGTCCACGATCACGACCAACTCCCAATTCCCATCGAGAACGAACGAACAATTCCCCTGAATGATTCTGCGTATGCTTCTGTCGCATTGAGGGCTGGGCAGGACCACCAACAAAGTCTAAGATATTTCGATCAGCAAAACGGGCCAGACGTCAGCGGTCTTGGTACTATTGCTAGGCCAATAACTAAATCTCCAAGTATCGATGATGGGAATGCTGGCAACATAGGAGATTTATATGTTCAGCAAGGAATCCTTGGTAGGGGAGCATATGCAATCGTGAAAAAAGTCGTACACAAGACCAGCGGACAAGTCTTCGCGCGAAAGTGCTATATAGTGGCAGGTCCAAACGCCGAGTATATCAAGCACCAATTCACGAACGAGATTGAGATCATGAAAAGCTTACCAGAGCATCACCACATGATTAGCTATGTGGCTCTTATTCGGAGGGCCGACAATTTTCCATTCTTGTTCAGCCGGTTGCCGATTCTGGATCATTGGCAGACTATATCCATGACATCCGAGAAAGAGGTCTCCCATCTAGGGAAGAGCGACTGATACTTTTGATGGCGACCGGGTGCTTAGCCAGTGGTCTCGCATTCATACACCAGAAGACATTCGCCACAAGGATGTCAAACCGGAAAATATTCTAATTCATGGAGGAAATGCTATTTTTACTGATTTCGGAGCTTCATTCGATGCAACAGGCTACGATACCACTACAGATGGCATACCTTTTGGTTTCACCAGACGATACTGCGCCCCGGAAATAGTTGCCAGCCCTCCACTTCCTCGGAATCGCAAGTCTGACGTTTTCTCTCTCGGCTGTGTATATTGCGAAATCTTGTCGGCCCTGGAACCTGACCTGATACCAGTAGATATACTGTCGAGATGTTACAGCGAAAACATTGAGCTTCTCGAGACTACTCTTTTTTCTGCTCTTGATAGGAAGAGAACAGAGAATTACGTCATCATCGTAAGTTCTTTCATTATTCAAGCATGCTGTGCAATGTTGAGGCGCACCAATGAGAGACGTCCGCATGCCTCTGAGATTGTGCAATTTTTCGCCTCAGACTGGGAGCCATTTCTCTCATGTCATGAATGTGCGAAGCGCAAGCCATCAATAACACAGGAGAGGCTAGATAACATTACGCAGAACGTTTTCCGGACCAGAGGAAACGGAGTTGTCTAGCCATTTTCTACATGCAGTCCAACTACACTGGGACGATCCAAATACTCTCTGGACCGAATTAGTACTTCAACTTTCGATTGGGGCGATGAGATTCCAGGTTCTTTGGCGGCAATCATAGTTTAGAGAATTGTAGCGCATGTCAGGCTATTTGGATCTACTGCAAGCTTCATCGTATCTCGCGCGTGATCTATGACAAGACAAGCTCAGCTTTTCGACACACGAGAGGAGGTCAGATCCATTGAGCAGGCTTCTTAGCAACAACTACATAGTCAGAGATCAGATTCGACATGGGATTCAGCAGCACCATCCTCAGGTTCGGTCTCTTTCCCGGAGCGTTGACTCGACAACCACTACAGGCATCATAATAGTTGCTTCATCAGCGCTTTCCTCACTGCCAAGCGTACTATTTTCTTGGTCATGACATCCAAACCCAAAAACTTCCTACTTGGTCAGTTGCAGTTTACCATAACCAATCTAATTTCGACTCGCAAATATTGGCAAGCTGAAGGGGATGAGAAGACAAAGGAAATCAAGCTACAACACATACCATTTTCGACAATGTATTTCCCAGATCACAGAGTACGGTCGATGAGTACGTCGCCACCAAAGTAGTGTCAATTTTCAAGTTCTCACATGGGAGATCAAGGAGAAAACGCCAAGGAATCTTTAAAAGCGCGTCACTTCGAGAACCGTTCTACAAAAGATGACTTCATGGAAACCAAGAGGAGAATTGTGGCTTACTCGTGTATTTCAATGACGTTGCTTGTTCGAGGTTAGAAACTTGTGTCATGCAGCTGAGCTGAGGTCATTCGCTTTTGCCTCTTGCTTGTAAACAAGTTTGGCCCCCTGTTCTGTCTCAGTAACATTGCATGTATTCTTCTCAAATTAAACTTTCACTAGTCTCAAAGTCACCAACAGACCTTGTCCCTTGTCCAAGCTCTGTTCAGAAACTTTATTGAACTCAAAGTGCTCTGCTTAACTCGGACTTTCACCTAAAGACTTCTGCTTGTCTGAAGCATTGTTGTCAAGTTAACGTCTCAATTAAGTGCGCATAATATGTCCTTGTAACCTCGCTTTCGATCAGGATTTCAGACCAATTGAAGTTATCTCTAGTTTGCTATCAAGAACTTTCGCTTTCATATTTTCGAGAAGAGATCGCTGTACTAAGCCGATCAACGAAATAACCTGAAAATTCTCTTGTCAGCATGTGCTTCAACTTTGCCTGCAACAACGCAGAGCCAGGCTGTAGAGCTTCTGTGAAAGCCTATGTTACGTGGTGGGTCAATGGCAAAAAGAGTATGCTTATATACTTAGGATATATAAAACTGCGGGGTAGTGCGGGGTAAACATTCACAGTTAATTTTCGAGTTTGCACGTAAGAATAAAGAAAGTTCCAACCAAACTTCTCGAAATTCACTTAAATATGCTGTCTGTGAGGTTCAAACCTCTCACCTACCCTTTCATTTTCCAGCTCGATTCAATCTACAATTCGTATTCACTCCTCGAAATCGAAGCGGGACAGAGTCACAAATTCTAGGAGCCACAGTCTATAAATACCTCGGCGCAAGACGTTGACAACAGAAGAAGACGTTGACAACAGGACTAAGATGACTAACAAAGGGTAAGGCCACGAATGGAATGATATGTACGGCGATCAATTGTGAGAGTGCTATGTAATATCTTGAGAGTTGCTCTTGATTCCAACGCCCGTACGCCTCAATGATGAGTTTCGCTTGATGGCGAAGTTTTCTTTGATATAATTGATATGGAAAGAGATCTTGGATCTTATATACCTGTAGAAAACCAGCTCTCAATGGCGTAGCGGTATAAGGTCTTCTGGGGCACGTCAGACAATACAGCCTATTTGTCTTCAAGGGCAGCAGCTGTCGAGTCCAGGATGGATGGATAACTCCCTTGTACCAAGACCCTTCGGCGTGTCTGATCCCGAATAGTCCCAATCCATCGTCGAGGCCATGTTTGTGTGCAGAAACTTGAGTGACTCTCCGTGAACCATAGTGAATGCAAGGAGGAGAAATCTTTTCACAAGAAATTGTCCCTCACAATGTACAAACATGACAGTTTCATAATGTCTATCTCTTCTCCGTGCTTTTGAAAGTCACTCCCACAATGAAACAAGTAAAGGTATGCTTAGATTGAATGTACGGCTTGGAATCCAGATAAACGAGCGACAGAATTTTCGTTTACATTCAAGGATTCAAGATATATTGGCCATCATAGTTCTAACCAGAACGAATCTATCACCTTTCTCAGCATCACCGGAGCCAGCCGAAAGTAACTTGTTATCCGAGCCGGTTTTCAGGTATACTGGAACTTGGCAGCCCCTCAGATCAACTTAAATAAGCCGAGGAGAATCTAAACTACAACCTTGACAGCCAATAAATGTCTGTCAATGTCCTGTAATCTGTGAGCTATAACCTCAAGAGTAGCATACTAAATGAAAACACGATATTCTTTTTCTAGGAATTTCTATTCCTAGCACTAGAGAAATGAAATCCTGATTGTCTGTCTGCTTCATGTATAACAAACCAAAAATAAACAAATCCTTTGTCTAAATATCTGTCTCAAGCTCCCGACATAACAATGCAAAGTCATTGCGGGCCTTTCAGACATCTAGACTCAATATTAAAGCAGAAATGAAAGTCTATTCCCAACACCAGGTTTCTGCGTGTCATAAGATTTTTCATGGGGACGGACATCTTGTTGTTTTGCTTACATTAATGTTGCTCCACCACCACTGGTGGCAAGCCAATCTACCCCAGATGCCTGGGTCTTTGGGTTGTACCACTCTGTACTAGACTCGTTGGCCTTGTATAGAGCGGCTTTGGTGCCATTATCCAGCTTTCTGATGCCGATGTAGCTTGTACACGCTTGATAGTGTTGCTTCTTGCTGTGCGTTTGAAGCAATCTTACACAGATCTAGCAAATTCTTCAGCAACTGCAGACCGGTATGGGAGCTGTGCGTGCAGACATACACACCATCCGCGGTGATATTCGTACTCTGCAACAAGATTTTGCGAATATACACAATGGAACTAACATGTTGTTGACGCGGACCGTGGCCCTGTAAGTAATAGTATAATCTCATGGCTACAAAGACTAATAAACATATCAAGGATTCGAATGCCCTTGCGCGTACGATGAATAGTATGCTGCCTGGCCGTGATGTCTAGGGACGAATCAAGCTTCTTGTGAGCATCAATACTGGTCTGCCGATTGTCAATTTCCCGGCCATTATTGATGATATTCGCAACCTCGCTGTCTTTTCAGGAGGGGAAGGGGCCGCCCTAATATCGAGGCTCTAGTGCTCCAGATTGCGTTTGAAGATTATTTCACTTGAATTATAATAAACCAAAGATAGTGCTCAAGAGAATGTCAATTCCCAGATCTATACATAGCAGATACAGATGTCTGTCCGCTTTTCAAATCTTTCATCACAAGCATAACTTCTGAGTGTCTGTCCCTTACTCCTCACTTCTCCAGCCAAGATGTCTATCCTGCATCTAAACGTCTTCGTCCCAACATCAAACCTTCCTAACCCACTCTTCACCCTCCTTCAGCCATTCCTCTCCCTTCGTCCTCAATATACTTCCTTTAATACTCTTCAACCCCTTCCAACTCCTCCCCAACTCCTCCACGTCTTCTTTCCTAAACCCTCCCTCCTCCTTCATAGCCTCCACGACCTCCTTTCCCGGCACACCTACCAGTTCCAACACCTCAATCTCTCTCTCCTTCGCCCCTAATCCATCAAAGACCTCCTTCCACCCCTTCTCTAACCCGACACTAACACTCAAAACCCTAATCTCCTTACACACCTCCAACAACGATCCCACCTCCCCAATCCTCAACTCAAACATCGTCAAATCGCACAATCTCAACTCCCCACCTCCCTCCTTCAACACATCCACCACCCTCTCCCCCAACCCTCCCACAACCAACACACCCTCCTCCGTCCCCTCCCTATCATCCTCATCCTCGACCCTCACATCCGGACTCTCAACCCTAACACTCAGCCCCAGCATTCCCTTCCTCCCCTCCACCACGCCCAAAATCTCCCTCGCATTCAGCGCCCCCAGAAACTCCGGATCCGAATGCCGAAACGTATAACTGACCTCCAAAAACCTGACATCCCCTCCCGACTTCCCCTTAAACTCAGTCAAGAACCCCTTCGGCAGGAAGACATCCAGGAGATGCAACTCCCTCAACTCCTTCTGCTTCTCGATAAACATAAGAGCATCCTCCCTCGACGCCGTCGTCGTCCCAGCAAAAAGCTGCGAATACAGCGTCAAAGCCTTCAACCCCCTCAATTTCTCCCCGAGAGCAACCAACCACCCGGACGGGAAGCCCAGCGAAAATAACTCTAAAGTAAGAGTCTTGATGCCCGCCGGTAAATCCGGGATCTCGTACGGTTTCTCTAGTTCGGAGGAGTATTCATCGAGCTTCACGTCGCTGGTGAGAATCAGCGCTGAGAGGTTCGTGGCGGTGGAGAAGGCTTCGGGTGGGAAGGTCGGGAGGGTGAAGGATTGGAGGGGGATTTGCGCGGTGCGGGCTTGGGAGGGGGGGACGGGGGTGGTGGATTCGAGGGTGTTGGTTTGGTTGTGGAGGTGGGAGGCCATGTTGTTGGGTTCAAGTATATGGTAGAGGGGGTGTTTTATGGAGTGAGGATTCGGATGGGTGGATGGATGGTAGGTGGTGGTCTTCGTAAAGCAGCAGCAGCAGCAGGGAGATGGAGATGCGGATCTTGCAGTGAGTGCTGGATGATGTGATATCGGCTCGATGCTAAATGAGATTCTCAAACCAGAGAAAAGATATAGACAAATAAATCGATCCTCAATCGATCCTCATCAAAATAAAAACAACAGAACAGAAGAGAAAGCAAACAAAAGAATCAAATAGAACAACCTGAATATTTACCCCTCCTACCCCTCAATCATCATCACACCCTTACTCCTCACCTAATAATCCCTGTCCCTAAGCTTACCCCACACTTCCCTCCCCTACTCCCCGCGCGCGCGCGCCCATTCTAGAAATTCTCCGGACCAACCGTCAATCGACCAATGGAATCGCATCACGACCTGTCTTCAATTGATTCATTGATATTAACAATTTGACAGTACTTATATATGAACGGGATGGGATGGGGAATATGATAATGTGGGGCATCAGCAAGTCCAAGCACCAAGGGACAGACAAGACAAGACAGTAAATGTTTGAGCATCAGGCTGAAATGGGTGGGCGACTTCCATCCATGCGTCTGTCTATCCTCAGAAATTCCTCTGAGATTCAATTTGAATAATTACACATGTTAGACAAATTGGCTCGAAAACTTGTCTTCCTATTCGATTTACTTCACTACACTACACTACCTACATCCAGCCAAGCGCCGACCTCTCAGCCGCAGGAACCGCTGCAGGGGAGAAGCTTGTCCGTAAACTAGCTTCCTCAACACCTCCTCACGCAACCTCCAACCACAAACACTCGCAAACGAAAGAAAACAAATCAGACGAAAAAAAGGACATCATTCATTCCCGAATACTATTCATCAACACATCTCGATTCTCCATTCCGTATCGTACAACAAGAAGCCTACCCCGCCTAGGATGGATGCAAAAAAGACAACGCCGTTGTGATGCACGATTAGCCCCCGCGCGAAAAGCTCAACCAGGAAAAGACAGAAACCGGGAAAAAAGAACATGGTAATATACAGGTTGGTATCTTCACATGAGAGGAAAGAAACGCTATCACATCCACAACCAAGTTATAGTACAAGAAGTAGGAGAGGGTACCATCTAGAAGATCATTGTCGGATAGAAAAGGTGACACGAGACCGTGTCAGGAACGCGACGAGTACAACCATCGCGAAAGACGAAGAGAAACACTCGTGTTTGGCGCCGAAGCAAATTTCAGACCGAGTAGATTCACATGCCGAATCCGGTTTTGCGAAAAGATCAAGGTCCACCAGGTCCCCTTCGTGAACGGTCTGGATTCTCGAGAAGTCCACCAATGTCAACGCGACCGCTGCGATCATCCCTGCGCCGCATGGGATCGCCCGAGGAGCTTTCACCTCGTTGATCTCGTATTGGGGGCAATTGGAGGTCATGTTGTCGTTGCGGTTGCGTTTGCTGGAGCTCGCTGCGTGGCGTTTGATATGGAGTTTGACCTTGAGGGTAATCCTGTCTCGGGGGAGCTTGGGCATAAGACATACTCGCAGATTGAGGAATGTTGGCTCCAAGAGGTCCTGGAGTTCGATAAGCTGTCATATCACCACGAGGGTCGCCAAATCCAGGAGTAGCGGTGAAAGGAGAGAGAGCAGGGTTCGGAGCGAACGATTGTTGAGGGGTCTGATAACCATATTGCTGCTGTGAATCTCGAGACCAAGAATCTTGGGGATATTGCGACGCCACTTGTTGGGGGAACTGCTGTTGGGTAGGAGGGACATGTATCTGGAGGACGATATAATATGTCGACTCCTTCTTGGCCAGGCCCATACGGATCTGGAAAGTCCTTTGTTGCCCATCTGGTGCATGGAAAGTGAACATCTCCGGCTTGTCAGCTCTGGGTTGTCCCATCTCTTCAGGACCAAATCCCAACGACTGGATGACGCGATCATCCTCGAACTTGACGAGGTATATGGGAGGGAGAATGTTTGGTTCTCTTTCACGACGCTCATCCTCGAATATCCTTTGGAGACGAGCTACTTTATCCCGATCGTTAGGACTTACGATGTCCTGTAATTTTCTTTGGTAGACCGAAGGAACACCTATTGTTTCGCCAAAACTCGGAGTAGCCTTGACGATCTGCATTTCAAGGTTAAGATAAGCGCAAGCAGGTTCTTGTGATGGACCCATTCTGGCAGTCAGAGGCATTGGAGCCCCATAGATGTTAGCATCTGCAGCACTTGCATGATCGAGATACCTTGGAGCCATTGGACCACCCATCGGACCACCTCCCTGCGACTTCAAGACCCTATACGAGTTCGATCTCTGCATAGTATCTGAGAACCCAGACTGATCGCTGGGATTATAGGACGAAAGCGGACGTCTCATCGAGGCCTCAGGATGCTGAGGATATCCTTGTCCTACTCCTTCGAATCGCGGCTCCCGTTCATCCCGCAAACGTGGTCGACCTCTCTTCTTGTGCTGCACATCGACGCACGCATCCTCCTTTCCGTTGCTCAAACAGCGTGAGCATGGTCGCTGAGCTGTTGCGCTAGTCAGCAAATCTAGGTTTGGTCTAAAGACAAAAACAGAAAAAGCTACGAGATGCGACGACGTCGTAAAAATAGCAAACATGGGACGTAGTTCCCTCCAGATGCTGCCAGATGGGACGCCACTGCATCGAACATCTCGAGATTTGAAACCACGATCTCAAAAACTCGTCTGCGCTTGCCCAGTATCATGTACCGATGAACGGCCACACGACAGTAGTTCCGGAGAAGCCTTCTCACATGGTCGTGCGAGAGGGAATTTTCACTTGAAACCGGCTACTATTCCTGGACCAGCCTCGGACATCTCAAGTCTGGGGATCAGATTAACTTTTCGGCTTTGGAAATCATTGAGAAAAGCCAAGCAAAAATGAACACAACGGTCGATCTGCCGTCAACCGTCAAACCGTGACGCATCATTATTCCCTGCGCTGCCCACGAATGCGGAAGTCGAGCGGGATGGACAGTCGTTACCAAGCTGTGCCAGGAAATGGACGCGAGACGGCGGTCTGATCCTGCTCGGCTTCGTTACCAAGAATAGGAATAGGGGATGGGCATCAGATGTCTTGCGCTTGCATAAATGGGAGACAACTGGGATAACTTCGCCCGCTAGGTGCCATTTATGCGTCTGCTTATGCCACTTATGCCACGCTGCCATTCCATCGGTGCTGGACCCGCCAATCGGGCCGGGACCCCGCCATCGTCTCGCTCGTGGCCGGGCGGATCAACCAATTTTCCATCAACCTTGATCCTGCGAGCGATCAAAGGACCAGGCCAGGTCAGCTCGATTTTTTTGACGTCTGCCGCCCGCAACGATATAAAAACGCTAGGGGAGTGACACCGTGCGGTGGCGCAGGAGAAAGGAGATCATTGCGCGCAACAGATTTCAAGTAAGTGGCGCCGCATAGCAGCTATATGTGCTCGCTTGAGCGGGGTAAAAAAAAACAAAGAGGATGGCCCTCGGAACATATCGATCATCTCCCAATCCAAAATTGGCTGAAACAAGACACGCCTGTGCCAATGGCATGGGAGAAACACGGTAGTACTTTCTGACTTGTCGTGCCCGGCGCCGCCAAATTGGATGAGCACAAAAAGCAAGATTGCACGAGCACGCACTCGATGACAGATGTGGGCATGTTCGGGGAGAAAAGCAAAAATCGCGGTATCATAGCTGAGACAAACGTACCATCACACCTGTTCACGGGTTAGCTTGCCTTCCTTCAGAGAGGCGTGTCTGACTTGCCTGAGATGCGCCCTCTTGCAAGGCACGCAAGCCGACGCTACGTGCCCTTTTGTCTTTCTTTGCTGTTTCGGGGAGGTAAATTCGGAGGTCTGGCTGATTGGCGGTCGGTCAGGCGTTGAGAATGGCGCGGGAGGTTGCGGGGGATGAGGCGCATAGCCATGAAGTTGCTGCTGCTGTTGTTGTGGTTGTGGAACCATCTGTGGAAGTTGTGGTTGATATTGCATTTGGGCGTGTGGCATGTTGGCTAGACTGTACGGTCCTGGATATGGCATCGAAGGCCCTTGATCTGGCACGTATCCGCGCATGAGCGGCCCTCGCTGCTGTTCCGCATGCTCCATCTGCGGTGTTTGTATTCCCCTATAGACGTCCTGCCCACTCGATCCATAGCTTCCATGACCACGATCGCTGGACTCGGGGTTTCGTCTTGGTGGAAGCGGCGGAGATCCTGACATGGGCGGAGAGGGGTATGCCCTTGAACGAGCACTGTCGGACACCGCTCTGGCCCAACTCAAATCCAGGGAAAACCGCGCCAGGTCTGATTTTCCTCGACGCTCGCCGAGTGATGTGTACGAATGGTCGCGGCGTAGAGTTGAGGATTGCATGGAAAAGACGGGATCAACAAGAGCGACGTCGGTCTGGGGAATGCGATCCGAATCTCGCAGACGTCCCACCTCTTCTCCAACGGGAAGAAAGATATGTAAGTCGCTGGTAAGGCTGTTTACTCGGTATCTGCATGCTCTGGAAAGCCCTTGGATGATTCCACCGGCCTCGAGAAGGTCGGGCTTCTGTTTGCGACTGGATTTGAAAAGAATGGTCTGGACTGCTCAGCATAAGATCATGAACGTTCCCTTCTGTCTGTTTCTCACTACTCACCTCTAGGACGGGCAGAAGCCTTTGACGCGCGGGAAGAATGCGCGCAGCTTCAATGCCAAAGAATGTGATGGGGTGGAGGACAGGACCAGCAGCTCCGGGTGGAGGAGATCGAATGTCTGTGTTCGGGAAGAGCTACCCAAGTGTGTCTCCGAATCGTATGCGCTAGTTTCGCAGTCAGATGAGACAAGACAAGATCTCACAAGACATGTACCGCAGGTAATACCGCAGATGCAAAATGTTCGTGAAGAACTGACGTGGTCGGAGAGCTGCAGCAAGAGTAGAAAAAAAGTGCGGGATGTGCAACGTGCGTAGGTGATCTCGAACCCTTGCTTCGGTGATGGATATGAACAGAGCTTCGAGCAAGGACCAAACCCCGAATTGCCGTTCGGATTTCGGAAGGGAATTCGCGGTAATAAGACTTAAAAATTAATCGTGATCGCGGCCGTGAGACTGTACAGGTGGTGGTTTGGTGGTACTGAACGAAAGCGTGGGTTGAGGGAGTGCGTATTAGAGTTGGAATGGAACAAGAGTCGTTGCCAGGATGTTCGGCGTGGTACTGGAAGCTGGATCGTGGTACGGGTTCGGGACGACCTCGATTTGGCTTTTTGGTGCTTGATTTTGGGTTGTCGGTGTGCAATGGGTGAAGGGTACCTTGGAGAGTTATTCTTGTATGAAGAGCGGCAAGGTATATCGATAAGGTATGGTAAGGATATGTAGGTGAAATAATGAGGTATGGGTGAGGCTTGTTAAGCGTGGTCGGTAGCGTCCGCAAATCGTCTGGAAACCGGGGAGAAAAGCAAAAGCAAATGCAGGCGCAAAGTCTGATGGGATGAATGGAAACAGAGCTTGTATTGGCTTGTCTGACAATTCAATTGGACTCTGAGATGGGGCAACAGAGCAGAAAAGGGAGCGTCCCAGCGTGCGTGCCTCGAGCAGCGCGCACTCGATTGGATTGGGAATGGACCGAGTTCGAGAGGCCGTGAAGCAACGCGGTGCACGACGTTGGTATGTCGGTTGGTCGGTATGGTACAGCTACCAGTCAAGTCAAGTCAGTCCGCAAGAAGGAGGTCCCAGTCGTATCCGTCCGTCCTTGGCTCCTTCGTCCCTTTTTTTTCTTCTTTTCTTCTGACACCGTCGTGTCGGGTAGTGGTGAAGTCACGTCGACCCAAGCAGTTGTTCAGCGTCCACCGTTCGCGCGGCTGGTGGGCCCTGGACAGCGGGCTCTGAACTGGGGGCCTGCAGCGTGAGTGCAGCTTAGCGTAGCGGTTTAGTGAGTGTTAGTGACTTAGCGTTGTTCGGGTTAGGCGGGTTAGGCGGGCTGGCCAGTGCTAAGTAGGATATGCCAGGAATGTCGGCTAGCTAGTCAGGGTTCGACAGGGGCGTTGACGGACGGTGGCTCTCCAGGGTAGCAGGAGGACGTGCATTCGCCTGCGGTGTCGACTGGGCGGGGGGGCAGCTCGAGGGAGGTTGATCTTATGGAGTTAAAATTCGACACCCCTGCTGAACTTTAGTTTAGGTCTCCGAGATTCAGTTGCTTGACCAAGTGGAACTGTGGCAGGGTGAGGGTGATGGATGATGGGTAGTGAAGGGAGGGAGTTGGGTTGGCGGGATGGCTTGCTTGAGTGGTTGCTGGTGCTGCTGCTGCCAATCTAGTCTGTCTGGCTCTGCTCATCCCGTTCCCTAAACTTGGGAGGTGGAAATGTACGGAGTCTGCATGCCTGGGAGTTGGGTACTTGGGACTGGGTTCTCTGCGGCGTGTGCATCCGCACGCAAGGGGGCCCAGAAGAGAAGAGAACTCAGAAGAGGCCGTGGAGACAGACCAGACTAGAATTGACCTGCAGCTGTGCAAGGCCCGCTGTCGAGCAGAGACAGCCGTTGGGATGCTCCAGGGCCTCCACGGATTGGCGATCCCGCTGTCGAAGGAGGATGCATGTCCCTTGGGGATCTCGACGTGCGCTCCAACAGCTGCAGCCCGCAGATGCTATGCAGGTGGAGGTGCAGATGTTGACTCCTCTGGACTGGACTTGCACTTCTGACAGACAGCGAGATGCACCTCACTTCTGCTCGCTGCCACCATGTCTGTCCGCTGGAACTCCATGTGAACTCTCATCCGAGCATTGATTCTCGGCCTCTGATCTGGGCCTGGACGACGAAGAGACCAGAGTACGTAATCTCAAGACGACAATAGCTGAAAGGCGAGGGTAAATGGTTGAAGGGGATAGGACAGAAACAGCAGCTATGAAATTGGTCTGCGTACCTTCTTTGCGCCGCCTGAAACGGTGATGTGATCACACAGTCTCTGTGAATAATCTCCGTATGGTGGTTCTTCACTTCGGAGGATGTCGAATGTCTCTGATTGACCCGTTGTCGTTGAGATATGTTGTGGATGGCCGTGCCGTGATGCCTCGCCGTGCCGAACTGCCAATGAGTATCGGCCAATGGAAAGCAGAGGAGACAAGAAGAGGAGAGAGGGAAGAAGAGAGAGTAAAGAAGAGCACAAGCAGTCAACCCAGTACAAGTACAAGTATGTTGAACTTTCGGGTTAGACGTGGAGCTGGAGCTGGAGCTGGCCAGGGGAGAAAAAGGTAGAGGAGAGTCGAGCAGGGAGGCAGGTCAGGTAGGTATGGTATATACAGGCGTGGCGGCTTCCTCCTCCCCCAACGAATGAACAGCTCTCGGACAGGGTGAAATTGACGGCAGATCCACCATCGAGCAAAGTAATGCAATATATATTGTAGCTGGCCGCAAAGTATATGCCGTAGGCGACTTTAGGTCAGGTACCATCGCCGGCACCTCCACCAGCAAGCAAGAGCTGGCGAGTGATCAAAGTGTTTTTCATGCTTTACGGCTTCTCATCCCAGTCCCAGTCCCAGTCCTAGTCCCCGTCTTCGCTCTCTCCCTCCCTACCATACAGTACAAGCACAATCCTCTATGACACTCGACTCGACCCATTCCGATCATGGCGACGACTGGGTTGTCCCAATGCGGACAGCCCAGGAGTTGGCCCGAGTGCGTATCGGAGCTTTACAAAACATGCTTCCTGTCCATCAAACCCGAATCTTGAGCCTCTAATTTCCTCACCGCGGCCATCGTCATCCTCCCCCTCCATACCAACCCTACGACGCCCTCGCAGCTGTCACAGAACCCCGTCATCCCATCATAAACCACCGCACGGCACGCCCGTTGCAATCTTCACCGGACAATAACGAGGACCTGGTCGGCGCGAGCTTGTTCCAACATCGTTACAGTTGGATGTCGATGGTTGAAATGAGATGAGAGCTGAGCACACAACTTTCAATTTACCCCTCCATCTCCAATCCACGCCATCCCGCTCTTCTCATAGGCCATTGCGCATGGCGGGCGCAGAGCAAACCAACAGCGTCGCCAAAATTCGCCAAAATTCGCCAAAATTTGCCAAAGTGTTCGTGTTCTCTTCTCGTTGCAACATATTTCGACAGTGCCAAACAATAGTCCGACCCTTTGGGCGATCCTGATGATCCATCCCGAATCTCCAGACGGGCCATGCCAGGACAATAGCACGACCGGGCTCAAGCAAGCATCAAGGACCCGGCATCAAACGGCTGCGTGCAGACTGAATGCAGGTGAAGGTGCAGGTGGCTTGAACTGCTTGACATCTTCTCAGACTGCCACCAGTTCCACCTCCACCAGATTGAGTTTTTCCACCTTTGCATCAGCCAGTGAGTGGTATTGAGTCAGTCAGTCTGTTCATTTCTACCTACCTGTCTGTCTGTCTTCGCCTACGTAGCTGGGTGCTTCAAGCCTTCAACGTCCGACGCCCACGCACGCCTACGCAAGCATCCCCCTCGACAGTATCCCAATCCCATCCGCAACCCTCGCTCTTTCCCCAGTCAGCCGGCTGTGCCAGTGCGGTCGAGTGGCTGTCACCAACCATATTTGTGATTTCCTGGACACACGCACACTCAACAGATCCGAACACACATACAATACAATACAGTACAGTACACACATACCCGCATACTCAACCGATCTTGCTGCTCGTCCCATCTCCCCAATTTCCTCCATCCATGATCCCTAATCCCTAATACCTATCCCTATCCCTATCCCTCCTTCAATCTGCACCCATCTGGCCTGCGTTTCGGTAACTACGGCAAGCGCCACAAACGATGTCAATATCCATGACCCGGCCACGACCATGTCTACGTAGCTACGGCGACACGTTCTACAGACAGGTACAGGATTCTCCAAATTGTCTCTTATCCTCGAGGGTTCAAGAAGATATCCTTCCTTCCTTCATGAGCACATCCCGTCCGAGGACAGCCCCGGTCTGCAGCAGTCAAAATGCACCTCGCGCATCTGCAAGGCGTCTCCCAATCTGAGACCCTTCCAGCGTCGATGCACTGCTCCATTCGAGCAAATATCGTGTTCTATGTTAGGTACTCTCTCCTCAGCTGGGACATCCATGGCAGCAGCCAGCAGACACCTAAATTTAGACCACCACACGCCGTCTCACTCTCGTCTCTCGTCCCCGATGCGTGTGTCTACAGTGAGTGTGCAGCCCGATCCGCATGAAGAGTCCCGACTCGAGGGGATCACGAACCACAATGCGCCTGTGGTCCGATGTCAGTCAGCATCGAGTCGTGAATTGCTCTAAGTAGTTAGCCGCAGCAGAGGGATATTTGAGTTTGCCAGCTCCAACTTCAGAGACTTTGACAGGGAGTGAGATCCCTGATTGCTACCTGCAATTTGCTGGAGGACGTGGAGCTAGAGCAGCGTCAGAGCACGCCGGCGACGCACGACTTGACCCAAACGGCGGACCTCTGCATCACTTTAGATTTTCTGCTCCAGTTGCTTCCCGCATCTAGCGACGCCATCGTCCGCGCTGTGGCCCACCCTCACCCTCGCTATTGTACTGCTGGACAGGATACCGTACAGGACTAACTCCTACGGCCCACGCCCTTGGTCCAGTCCAACTGACAGCTGCCCGATGGGCTTTAGTGTCTGCCACTCGCTGCGAGCAGAGCTTGCGTGCAGCAGCCAGCAGCATGCCGTGCTGAAGGAAAATCCAGAGGCGTCGTTTTAACTTTGCCATAGTGAGGCTTGGTGGATGTTGGAAGCCGTTGGACTCGTTACCCACCAGAGACTTGGCTTCTGGAAACTGAACGCTTCCCGAGACGACGTGCGCAAGTGGATCCCCAAAGCCAAAACTGCTGTATGAAATACTTCGGACGACAGCTGGACCGGAAGATCACGCCGGAGAACGCTCACGCCTCTGTCACCTTTTCTGGGTCCTGGAAATAAATTGAGCCTCGACGTTGTCAAAATCACCGTCACGCTCAGGAACAAGCATCGCCGTTCAATTGTAGTATAGTAACATCACGATCGACGCCCCCAGAAAAGCATAAAACGGCCTCAGGCAATAGCCCTGCCAATAGTTCGTCTAATTTCGCTCGTTTTGAGGCATAACTCGCCGCCTGGCTCGCGATCCCGAGCGGGGAATAGTCCGATGAGATGAACACATCGCCATCAGCCTCAACATCCACGCAGTGCACGTTTCCACAACATGCGCATCTTCATTATGCCTCCCAATATTCGCTATGAACAATAGCTGATTTCGGCACCCTCAATCATGCGTGCCTTGCCCCTTCCGACCAGCAGAAACGGAAACTGGGAACATCAAGGTTTGCGAGCTTGGACTTTCATTATGCATCTGGCTGTGTGGACGAGTCAGGGCTTCAGGATCGCAGATGACAACCTCTTTTATTTCACAGCGACCTGGCTCTGCGCGCGCTCGTCCATCCTCTATCCTTGATGGCGGGGTGGTGTTTTATGCGACCCTGATCGTGCACTTGTGCGGCTATTGGAGGGCTCGTGAGGTTGCATCCGCTGGTACTGATTGACGGTGTGCAGCCGCAGATTGGAATTGGACCCAGCAAGCACACGACACTGTACGTCTATTATGCCTGCTTCCGGCGCTGGAGCGGTTCCAGAGAACGAACGATCCCAAACAATGCCAATACGAGAGAGAGCATCGGAGCAGATTCTTCTTTGGAAGACAAATCTCAGACTCGTCGTACTGCAATATCAAACCCGGGGACCATTCATCAAAGACACGCCGCCGCCGCTCCCAACTTGCCGATGTTGCCAGTTCACGGACGTCACGACTCCTCGGAACCAAGCGAAAGAGAGAGAGATTGCCCTGGACATGGAAATTTATATCCTTGTCTTTCCACATATGGGAATATATTTTCGGGTATGGATGAAGATCCAAATGGGAACAAGCCAGACAACACGGACATGGCAACGTCCCCTCTCCTGGCTCGAGCGCTCAATTTCCCGCCATTAGCAGACGGACACAGAGGAAAGGGTGAGTTATTGGACGCTATTGATTCCCTGGATCATGATGCGTTTGATGGCCCAACCGAACCATGTGTAATATGAGCATCACGATATAGAGCGACCAGGCCAAGGTTCGGGCTCGTTTATTATTATGCATGTCTGGTAAGAGCCAAAACCTGAACCTGAGCCCTGATACAACGCCTCGTGGCGGTGGCATCATCTCTCGCTAACGGGATGGGGCCCGTCACAAAGTTTTTTCCCTTATCGTTCAGATCTCATCTAATCTCAGATCCACCATGCCATGCTATCTCGTACGACGCAAGACTCTGCACAGGCGTGTTCCTCTTTCTGGGAGCCGAGATGGGATACCAGGACGATCCGTGCTCCCGTTCATCGCTTTGTCGCTCCTTCAGGGGAAGATGCACACGAATGGAATGATAGGGCCAGTGGCCTTCCTTTCCAGACCAACCGACAACCACATTGGCATTGACAGGTACAACGTGCTCTCACATAAAGTTGCAACCACTCCCTAACAACCGTCAACGGCAGCTACCCTCTCCTTTCTAAGCGAGGCCCTCGGAACTACTGGGACTACGTATGTATACCAAGCTTCACCCAGCTTCGAAATGAAAAGCCTCGTAATAAAAGGTCGCAGAAGAGTAAGAGAGACTCCAGCGTGTCACATGTGGCTGTCAATCCCGAGGCTGCGAACGAAAAGTGGACCACGCTTCTCTCATTAATCTCAAACGGCCCAGCGCAAATTGTGCAATGTCGCTGGGAGCGGGAATACTCGCTCTTCGTACTCGTGCCAGTACGCCGCAAGGCGGCAAAGAGTGCGGGGGGCATGAACGAACGAACGTGCTCTTCAAAACAACGATGTCGAAGGCATGAATTTGGCTCATTTCAGATGACGGAGAAATAAAGCAGCGCACGGGGTTTCCTCTTTTTGTCTGTTTAACTCAACATTTTTTATTCTCTCCGAAAAGCCTCTGTGCGCAGTTTATCTGTTTTCATCAAACTTTATTCCAGACTCCATCACTATCATCACTACTTTGAGAGAACCCGATGAACATACCTACACACCGAGCACACACGACGTCGCGAGCTCGATCCACTCCACTCCCAAACGCCCGCTCCACCTAATAATACACCAATAACTTATCCGACATTCTGGATCTGGCGCGCAGATCCAAAAGGGCTGACGGTAACGAGGATCGCCAACCGCGCCATGTCCTATATTCCATGACCCCTTGTTAATATCAGATGGGCACACAAAAGAGGAATTTTTTAATTTCCTTCGCACGTTTTTTCAGTGCATCAGATAGAGTGGTTTTCGGCTGCGAGATCCGAGCTGTTATTAATCAGTCGTGAACACGAAAGGCGCGTGTCGCGCCAAACGCGGTGGTTCATTACTTATTACCTCATGGAAGCTATCGATTACAGAATCGATAGCACGCCGCCAGTCACGCCAATCTCAGCCTTGATGGCCCAGCAATCAATAACGGACGGCATTCTCCCCACTTAGTTGGACTCAGATGCCGACGATGAGGAGATGAGGCGCATGCAGCCTTGTAGTAGCCTTGCTGTCATGGCGTTGCACTATGAGGCTGAGCTGTGAAGGTTCGGTTAGATACTTTTCAATAAGTCAATGCCATGAGTAAGTGAAGTACAGTAGTGGGCTGTGCATCGACCGGCGATCTCCTTGAGGTTGGATTCCAGCTCTTTACTACCACTACAATATGCAATTATTGGGGCTCGAACATTCAGGAATACTTGGTCAAAGTCCCAAATTTCCCCTTCTGTCAATTATTGCATGAGGACTAGTTCGCGATCTTCAGCTTGTGATGCAGCTGCAAGTCATAGTTACTTGAAGCTCTTCCGCGGAACACCGGATTGCCCTGTTTTGCGCCACACTAGTTAGTCAAGACGCGCCTCTCGATCTCACTTCTTGCATTGGCTACCGGAATTCCAACATCGAAGCTACGAATTAAAAGGCAACACATATTGCTTTTTTTTATGTTCCGATCATCCACGATCCTTTCTTCCGAGAGAAAGATCGAGATTGAGATTGAAGATCCGATATCCGATCGCAAAGTCAAAACTCCTTTAATGGGATTTTTCTAAATTCTCCTTGTCTTTCTTTTCTGCCTAAATTGTGAGCTAGCTAACAATCAAGTGAATAGTCTCTCGAATCCGGTTCGGCACATAACCGAAAGCGCGAGCTGGACCTGGAGGCCAGTGCCGACACCAGCCTCTAAATCTAATCCCATTCGAGCAACAGAGTTCGTAGTTTCCTGTGGTGATGATGTGCAGCAAGAAATGCGGTTTTCTTGGCAGCTGGAGAGGAAAGCTCGTGACAGCTGCCAATTGATGGATTAATTTGGCTGACACGGAAATTTCGGTTTCTCTTTCGATACAACTAACTATGTACTTGGGACGCAAACGTACGGAATAAGTTTGTATTAACCGCTACTGCATTCACCCCAGTAAGGAAAAATCCTTAAAATTCTCCTTTCTTTCGATTTCCGATTTCCAAATTTCCCTATCCTCCTATTTTCCATTGAAACATAAAAATGGACTAACAACGCGGTACCTGTACATAAAAACCATTCAGCCTAAATCACGCTCCCTCCACTAGATAGATCATCCTTACTACTCTAGGAAACAAGTCCGGGGAAACAAAGTTCAAAAACTCAAATACTGCGTCGAGGTGTCAGCTAGATTAAGCTCAGGGCTACTGTAGTGTGGCGATCTTCTGCTTGGGTGGATGGGTGGGTTTGGATTGGTGCCGGCACTCGTCGTTGATGGGAAGGAAAGTTGGGGATTGATTTAGTGTGGGTGCAGTAGGAAGGAAGGAAGGGAGGAAAGGCTCGAAGCGAAGTTCTTTTACAGGTATGGTAAAGATAGATAGATAGATAGCGGGGAAGATGACAAGTAGATCTTGTTGTTCGCTCCCGGGACACGATCCTTCGCTTCTTTCTTTTCTTTTCATTTTCTTTTCTTTTTGTTACTTGATCATTAATCATTTCTCGAGATGTGCTACGAAGATAATTACCGTTTCTCGTCTAGCTTTTCTTTGATGTCAAGTATAGTACCTAAGTGCTGGCTGGGACGGACGGCTAGCTAGCTTCTCGGTCCGTGATCCGGTCAGATCTATCTCTATCTGTATTGGAAATTTCCGCGGAATCGGAGAAAAAAAAGAAATAAGAGAGAGCCAAGCAAATCTATCGTGTCGAGCTGAAGAAGAAGAATGTCGTCATTGAAGCTTTGACCGTTGACTCCGAGCGATGATTCACTTGGTACCACAAGACCTTTTCGTCCGCGTGATAGTATTTTCACCGCCCGAAACTCGTGTTCCAGGTTAGGTCAACGAGACTTCTTCGAGCGCAGTCCATGTCTTGCACTTCTGCAAATGGTCGAGAAAAGATCCACATCTTATATTTCTCGACGTGCCGAGAATTCTTCCGTTGTTCGATCTTGGATCGGGAAAAAGGAATACGTGCGTGATAAAGATGTCTCAGCAGGGAAAAAGTATTTCCGGAGAGAAGAGCTGAGACATAAAAACAAGAATGTACCTCGAACAGGAAATATACCTGCTTTCGCCGAGGTCTGAGATTTCGTGATTTCCGAGTTTCTGAAGGATTTTCTGAGCCACCTGTTTCGTCTCACGTTCTGAAGAGATCGAGGAAAAAGAAAAAAACAGTAAGACAGGTTATTGCGTGATATTAGGTTTTGAAAGATGTTCGTTTTGTCTCAGCTCAGCTTGTGTTTTTGGGGCTTGAATATTCCCGTTGTGCCGTATACATGCTGTCGAACATGTCTCTCTCTCTCCCCCTTCAATGTCTCTACTTGTCGAAGCCACTTATCCTCGGACAACCACATTCGCACGTGCGGATGGATATCTGTATCTTTTCTCCATCATCATCACCACCACCCACGTGAACCTTCTTCAAAGTTCTGCCAAAATGCAACACCCCTCTCGTTCCTGCACCTCCGCTGCAAACAATCTATGCATGCATGTTCAAGGACCCATGTAGATGGCTTTCTGCAACCCGGAAATGCTGGGTGCATTAGCAAGCATGCATGCATACTCCTCATCATCCACCCCAAGTCAACTTGTACTTTTTTTCTAGCAAACAATAATAAGTGTTGCTGAATGCAAAAAAATCTTCTACACGGCATGAATCCTGGGCGCAGAAACAAACATACATACATGCATGCCATCACATGCCCCAATATGCTTCCCTTCCCGAAAAAATATGCATGCAGAGTTCCAGTGAAGGAACGAGAGATAGATATCTTCCGATACCCGTTGGTTGCATGAACCATTTGTCCGCAAAACAGTTCATCCCAACGAAATCGGAGGGTGCAGATTCGGAATATACGTGCCGGAACATTTTGCAAGTGTGTTTGTTGTTTCTTCTTGCCCTAATTTCTTCTGAATTTCCGAGGGCACACACACATCTCACCTTCTCTCCTTTGAGGTACCATCCCAACTCAAAACCATTCATCATAACTACCTCCCAAACAGTACGAATACCCACATCATCACCGCCCAACAACAACAACAATAAACCCCCTCCCTCCCACACCCCAACCACTCCTTCTTCCTCCGAGCCCTAGTCCCACCTCACACAACATCCATCCCGTCCCACCCCTTTACACGTGACAGAAAATTCCCTAGCTCCTCCTTCTCCTCTTCCTGCGGTTACCTGCACTCGCGGATCCGCTTGCTTCCGACTCCATGCTGTGCTCTCTCATTGTTTGTGTATCCCCATTTCGCTTCGTTCCGAGGGAGGGAGGGATCACGTTGCAGCTGAATGTAGTCGGCAGTCTGGGCCGGCAAGAATACGACGTGTCGTGTAACGTTGCCCTTGCTTCGTTTCGTTTCGTGTTGGTTTGGAGGAAGTGATCGTTCCCGTCGTTGCATTGTACATTCCGGGCTCCGAATTCTGTGTCCGGGGATTGTTGCTAGAGTCTAGATCTCCATTCCATCCGTTAGCTTGAAGAGCCCTGCTCTAGAACCCGAGTCCAACATTGAAAATCGCATGCTTCAAAATGACAGCTCATCTCGGGGAAAGCGATATGTTGTGCCCCACGAGACACAACGGTGATGATCTCTCCTTACCTCCTTCCGAGTTAATGCAAGACGATAACGACGGCACATTCCGAATTTGCGGCTCAAGGGGGTTAGATAGTAATGTTTATTCCATGCCCTATTACCTAGTCCTATTTTGTAGTGTAAATACATCTTTGAACGCCTGCTGCTGTGATACCATTCCATAGCACTCCAAGATGAGGCTGAAGGAGGAAGCAAATGCTACGCTGTGCTGTGCTCTGCCCAAACCAAAAAAAAAAAGACAAGGTAAGAATGAAATGAGTGGAGATCAACAGTAGGGTTGATGCTCAAGAGGATCGCCTGCTTGACCGGGAGTGGTAAGGTGCTCACAACTGACTTTCGATGCCAGCGAAATTTTGCTCGCCGGGCCAGTGTGCTTCAGGCCAGACGTGGCGCATTGCTTCCCAGATATGTCTATTGCACGTTAGAGCCATCTTAAATGATGGTAAGAACTGCACATACCTAACGTGGATGATCTCCAATCCATCTTTGACCTCCTGTGGTAAGTCTTTGGCACTGAAATAAGGTTAGTGCATGCAAAAAGATAATCGGAGTATTGTAACCTACTCTTTCCTGTTCTGCGCGGGTAGTAAAACGGTCTTGACGCCCGCTCGGAGAGCACCAATGAGCTTTTCCTTGATGCCACCGACAGCTGTAACACGGCCTCGGAGAGAGATCTCACCCTGACTCGTATTAGCATAGTGCCTCAAACCTACTCGGAAAGAAAACTTACCGTCATGGCCATGGTTGGAGGTACAGCCTTGCCAGAGAACAAGGAAATAAGTGCAATTGTGTGAGCCATACCGGCAGATGGGCCATCCTAGCGAATTCAGTACATTGTCATACCTTTTGACACATTCAACATACCTTTGGTATCGCACCTGACGGGCAATGAACGTGAATACTACGATTCTTCATGATGTTCTCGGAAGGATCGGCTGTCAGGCCAAGTTCGTACGCATGGGCCTTGACCCAACTCAGTGCAACCTCGACACTTTCTTTGAGAACGTCTCCCAGCTTTCCCGTGAGCTGCACGCTCCCGCTTCCCGGCATATCGGCAACCTCGATGAAAAGTATGCTTCCGTTGCCACCTGAGCTGTAGGCCACGAGACCAGTCACTATACCGGGTCGACTGAGTACAAGTGTCAGCCATCACCTCATTCTAATATATTTTCGGAGATTTTGTATCTCCTATCTTGCATCCCACGCAGTCACCCATGGTTTGGGGAGTACAACACCGGGAGGGAGTGATGAAGAGGGGGTTCGGATAAATACCTTGTTTTCTCGGCAATTTCCTCGTCGTACTTTTCGATTCCGAGAATGTCTTCAATGTCCTGCACAGATAGTTGCGGTTTGTATTTCTCTGTAAGACGTGTAAGCACCGCTCATGTTGGTCAGATAGGGAAACTTTACCCTCATGCCCGGAGTCTTTTGCTTCAGCATATTCCACAGCCTTCGCACGGCAGACGGAACCAATCTCTCGCTCCAAATTTCGGACTCCTGATTCACGAGTATAGGACTCGATGATTTTGGACACAACATCCTGATTGAATTCTACTTGCCCGTCTCCAAGCCCGTCTACACGGCGTGAGCGATGTGCAGAACACGATTAAAAGGGTACTCACTTGTCCGGATTTGTTTCGGAATTAGATGTTGTAAAGCGATATGTCGTTTTTCTAGGGTGGTGTATCCTGACAAGTAAATTGTCTCCATTCGGTCCAAAAGTGGAGGAGGAATTGTGTCTAGACTGTTGGCTGTTGCAATGAACAAGACTTTGCTGAGATCAATTGGGATATTGACGTAATGATCGGTGAATGTGTGATTCTGCTCGGGATCGAGAACCTCCAACATGGCAGCTGAAGGATCACCGTTGAAGTTTGTCGTACTTTGGGACAATCAGCCTCAACATTCGACCGAGAATGTCTGGAACATTACTTACCCAACTTTGTCAATCTCGTCGAGGAGAAATACTGGGTTGCATACACCCACTTTTTTCAACCCTTGCACAATCAAACCAGGCATTGCTGCAACATAGGTCCTTCTATGACCTCTGATCTCAGCTTCATCCCGAACACCGCCAAGAGATATTCGGTGGAATTTGCGCCCAAGTGCTGTTGCCACCGACTTCGCTAGACTTGTCTTTCCAACTCCTGGAGGGCCAACCAGAAGAAGGATAGGGGACTTATCAATCAGCCGCTTACTCTTCAGGATTTCAACCTTCTCTTCGGCTTTCTCTTCCTCTGCCTTTATGATCTGGGTATTCACATCCTGATTAATAGATTGTTTGAGCTTGAGAACAGCCAAGTACTCTAGCAATCGTTTCTTAACTTTCTCAAGTCCATAATGATCGTCGTCTAGCTGTCTCCTCGCTCTTGGTAGGGTCTCGACACCTAGCTGATCTTCTGTCATCGCAGACCAAGGAATTTCTGTCAAGGTTTCTAGATAATTCCTGGTGACTTGGTATTCTGCTTGGGCTGGGGACATTTTCTTTAGACGTTTCAATTCTCGATCTGCGACTTTGGCGGCCTCCGGGGACATCTTTGCAGCATCAATTTTCTTCTTCAATTCGTCCATATCATTTGGTTCATTCTCATCTTCTGGACCTCCGCCCATGCTAGCCATCCCAGGTGGCATAGTCATTCCCGGTCTTCTGGTTCGCTGATTGATTTTGTTCATCTGGTCCAGATCGATATTGGAAGGAATAGTACTGGTAATTGTTGTGATGCTAACATTATTCTTGATATTCCCAACCTGTCGCTGGAGCAGCTCGATAGCCTTTTCGACCCTTTCCTTCACATCCAAAGCTGCCAAGATCTGCAGCTTTTCCTCGAACGAGCTCTCAACAATGTTGGCCATAAAGTCTGCTAGAACCCCAGCATCTTGTAGTCCTTTCCGTGCTATGAATATCTCAAGACGGCGTGCTAGCACGGGTGATAGGCCTGACGAGCCGGAAGTGCGAGGAAGTAAAGAGGATAGTCGAAGGAGAGTCAAAAGCTCGCGTGATAGCTGTTTGAGATGTGCAAACAGGCCTTGCATGGCCACGTCTTCTGGATTTATTGCTGGAGTATTTTAGCACATCTGCCAATCCAAAATAATGAATATGCTCACCATCATCGTATTCGTATATCACATCCGCTCCAAAGAATGGTCGATCCTGGGTGATGTTCTCTATCCGGACTCTAGCCACTCCTTCCACCAGCAAAGCAAACTCTCCAGTGCCCCGACCCTCCACACCAGATATCTTCGCTGCTGTGCCAAATCCAAACAAATCTTTCTTCGTCGCTTGGGATGGGTTTATGTCTACTCGTTCTTTAGCATCCGACTTGTTCTCGTCCTGCGAGATCAACTTCTGCCCATTCTGGGACAAGGATGGGGAATTGAGCGGCACGCATGCGATGTTGACATTGTCGAGCCTTTCAGCATGAGTTTTCGAGGCTGCACGGCTGTATACACTTGAAAGTAATGCTGGGATGTCTGGTCGATTGCCCGCAACTGGTATCCTAAGGACAATTCCGGGAAGAAGGACTGTATCTTTTGCTAATGGTATGATCGGGAGCGTAGCGGCCTTAATAGGCGCCATACTGCTCTGCTATTCCGAAATCCTAGCTTTTTTATCGAGAACAAGATGATGAGTACTGCTTGCTGTGGCCGCGATATCGTTGATCGTGAAGCTGTAGTTGTCGTGTGCATGTGTGGAGTAGAATGCGGAGGAAGCTCAGCTGTGGCAAACAACAAATACCGTCATCGCGTGCCGAGGTTGGATTCCGAACATTGAAGATTACTTCTGTGCAACAATGACACGCGGGAGGAAGGTTCCCTTGCCTGATCAACTTAAGTCGAACATTTGTGTCAGTACATGACCTGAAATATGCCAATTATAGGTCAACTCACGTTCAACAATGGCTTGGAAAGCTCGAGGAAAGTCCAGTCACGTGCTTTGTCGAGATCATGTGAATCCTTTCGAGGTTCTGCAGAACTTGAGGCTTCTTCCAATCTTCTTGAATGATGCCGTGAGCAAGGGAAAGCCTTGAGACTGCAAGTGACCATTTAAATCGCAGACTTTCGTACTTCTTTGAGCACACCGTCCGAGCGTTGCCCGAAATCTTTTCGTATTCATTGTTCTCTCAAGTCTAGTTGCTAATTGTACATATTTGAATCATTCTCAGTTATTGTATTGTCAATGTTCCATGTCTACGCTGCGTTGTTGTCTATGGAGCGCAGATGCGTAATCATATTTCATCTCAGATTTCAAGCAATCCTGATAGTCGAAGCTCAGAGATTTCGCTCGATGCTTGTACAGTACAAGTTCGTGGAGTTAGAGGACTGAAGGTACGAACCACAACGACTGTCAAGTGATATTGCCCATCGTCTGCGGTCCTGGGATACATCATAAGGTTGCAAGTAATAGCAGGAGTGCCGGACCAAATGGCATTTGGTAGGTATGTACGTTCCTAGTCATTGCAGCAAGACGCGGAGGCAAGGTCGTCCATGCTTTTACTCTAGGCTGAGGACATCAACGAGTATTTGTTCATTGTCTTGCTATTCTCGCCCCAGAGAGTTGTTATAGGTAAGAGCTGCAGGTATACAGGGGTATGTAGATTCTATTACTCCTTTGAGAGCCAGCTGCGGGAATCTCTTTGTGTCGAGCTTTTGTGATTTGCAGCCTGACCGAAATCTGGAAGGGAGTTTTGGACAGCGACAAGCACAGCATCGACAAGACATTGGGCAAAGAGATGAGTAAACCAGACGGAAAGCGAATGCTGCGCCAGTACTATCTGGTGATATATGTGGAACACCAAGCCGCGGAGTGAGTGTGAGCGCGCAATCTGTGTACATGGAATATTAAAAGCACAGGTAAGAGACAGATTTTATGTCAAGTTTGCAGATTTTGATAGTCCTCTATTTTTCATTCACCATAAAGGAATTTTAGTGAATTCATTTCCCCGAAATTCCTGCAAACTTACCGCTGGGGAAGAATTTCTACGGGTATATAATAATCAAGACCACTCTCCTAGTTACAGCAAAGAAAACTTCAGCGATGAAGAGAACCTCGTCATTGAGGAAAGGGAGGAGGATACGGGAGTCGGCGTTCAAACCCGGTTTCAGAATTTGCTTATACTGTTCATGGACCTTGCGCTTTCACTTGCCATTGTTTTATTTTTGTTGTTAATATCTGATTTTCTATTATTAGCCCTTTATTTTTGCTGTTAGTTTCTCTCTGCTATCTATTACAATCCGCAAAACCCACCCGATAAATCACCAAGCAGGGAAGGGCCGGGACTTTCACAACTCCCAATGAGGTCTTCGATAGGCTTTCTTTGATATTTAGATAGAGATTTTGTGGTATATATATATCTGGAGTCAGAGACGTAGTCACATATATTCATTCTAACATCCCCCTAACTATCCAATTGTGCGAATAAAGTTCAAAAGCGCAGAGAAGCGATAGATAATATGGAACTGTTAAATTTACAGTAAACCTTGAAGAAGCCTGCTCTGCTTTTCATTCATTATCATTGACAAGAATCCACTAAAATCTCTACAAACTTATCGCCGCTAGGAGAAATTTTTCTAGCGTATATAAAAATCAAAACTGCTCTCTTTATTTCAATAACAAAAAAGAATTGGAAGACTTTGGGGAGGATGAGACTGTGATTGAGCTAAGGGAGCCGGGCATCAGATTTAGCGTTAAAGAACTCTTCTAGCTGCTCACTACACCACTCATTGGCTTGTTTCTTTTAGTTGTCGTCATCTCATTTCTGTTATCAATATCTTATTTCCAGTGTCAAGTTTCTTCCGCGTCGTCACATGAGCAATTGTCAACCCATCTTGTAAATCATCTTAGCCGCTGAACTCATATTAGTCATCCTGAAACCACGAATCCACCTGCAAATGAGTTGTGCGACGGACGACGGGGCAGAACGTGGTGAGGTATTTATAGATCTTGTACTCTGGGATCCATGAGGCTGTGAGACTCGTGTTAGATAAGTTACGTGGGTCGAATTTGGAAAGTGAATGAGAAATTTGAGAGTATACCAGCTCGAAAAGAAACGTGCTGAGGAAGTGAATTTTGAGATCGAGTCTGTGTTGTATTTCGAGATATGCGAAGTATATAAATGCTTCTTTCTGGTTCCTCTTCGTAAACCAAGCATCTTATCTTAAAGTTCCCCAACTTGAAAGTCCGGTGAACAATGTTAGGGTGGCCTTATTGTCCCGGTCCCAATCACGACTTTTGTTGCTGATGAGTCGGGTTAGATGTCCATGTTTTTTGGTCTCAACTTATTGTTGAAAAAATATTGGGTGCAGTGAAACTTTCTATCCTAGTTATGATTCTCAACTTCACATCACTGCCAATTTCACGTCATTGTCAATAACATTTGTTTTCTTAATTAATATTAAATCCAGCCTCTCAATCTAATCTACAATCCCAAAGATAAACATTCAAAGTAAAACACACAACATGACAGAAATGATACTTAGTATTCCAAGCAATCACATGTTGTGCAAGGAAACACAGGAATGAGCTGGAGAGCTGGAGGAATCGAGCGTTTAAGATTTGCAAGAAAAAAAACATTTGCAACATATGAGAAGATGTTTTTATACCCTCGCCATAATTTTAGCGTCACCACGAGGATTCAGTTGAATCTCAGACTCGGAAGTCAGCGAAAAAACAGTCGACAAACAAGAGTGAATACCAGAACCTCAAAAACAGAAATCAGCGAAAAACAGCTCGTTGACAAAGAGTGAATACAAGAATTCTGAATCTCAAATCAAAGTCGGCAAAAATAGCTCTTTGACATGAGTGAATGCAAGAATACCAGAGCCAAAAACCAGCGGAAACGGCTCCTTGACAAGAGTGAATAGCAGAACCTCGTCTCAAATCCAGAAGTCGGCGAAAAACAGCTGACTAACGAGAGTGAATACTAGAATTCCCTCTAGAGATCTATTGAGAGACGGCTATATAAACTCCCAACCTTTGCAACATTCTCCATCAACAATACCGACATTTTCTAGAGTCTTCCCGCACAGACGACGAGGTATGCCATGGCGGCGACCTCTTCATACCCATATTCATTTGAGAGATATGTTTTTGGCGCTTGCTAGACAATTTATGAAATGCATCAAATCCGCTTTGTTCTTGACAACAATCAAGCACTTGACAATAATTGGGCACTTGGTAACTATAAATAACAATCAAAAGACAGTAGTTAGATGAGAACAATCAGAGTCTTGACAACAGTCAATTTCAAACACCCTCTTTAGATGAAGGACGCTTGCAGCATTGGACGTGATACTTGGTAGTGAATTAGTTCTTGGGACTCGACCTCGATCTTGTGAAGAAATGATATCAGCTGGAACAACCTGCTGCTTTTGAGCTGCAGACGACAGCTGCGATAAGTAAGTAGCCCAACACAGGAGAAACATGCAGATGAGTATTGACCCACCTGCAATGGGCATTTCAAGCAAACGTAAAACTTTGTATGGGTTGGGTAATTACAGTGATCTCATTCATTGGCTGTTGGTACTAACAAGATTTTGAGCACGAACACTAGAAGCTCCTTTTGTATTTCTCTGTAGAATGATGACTAAAACTTCGCCCAAAATCAATCCCTATAGTCCAGGGACAACTACCAAAATCTACCATGGCAATATTGCTAGGATTTGTACCTTCCCAAGATATCGCTTCCTGACGAGTCCATGAAGATCTGCAATCGATCTGACTCAACGACCATCCTCTTTCTCACGAGCAGCAATCTTGACAGTGACGATGCCTGGTGTCTCAGCTATGACACCAGAAGCAGAAGTAGCCGAGATGTGGCGAGTGTCAAATGTTGTAGGTGAGAATGGGGCGGACGTCGTAGTTCTATGACTTGGAGAGCTCGATTTTAGTACTGCATGGTGTCTCGTGTGAGAAGCTCCCCGAGCACGATGAATCAGTGACATTGTTGGTACTGCAGGAACGGTTGATGGCTGCAAAGGAAATGTCAATGGCGCCACAAAGCCCTTGCTCAGCAAGAATGGTGGAGAAGTCAAGATGCCAGCTCCATTCAGGAACACAGAAACCGCGCCCTTAATCGCATTTGTGTTGACTCCTGATGATACTGGTAGCTGGTCCGGCACAGCACCAGAAGCCAGAGACAGTGGACTAGTGGGATTGGCCGAACGTTGTGCAGTGTTCATTGAAGAGAGGACACTCGAGTTAAGGAATTCTGGGAATGTCGATGGGACTAGCACCGAACTTGACGTTGAGCTGATGATAGAGTGGTTGGCTATCACAGGACCTTGACCAGCAAATCCGGAGTTGGCACCGCAACCGGAAAGAACCAAACCTGAATTGTCCGCTTTGATGATGTCCGCTGCCTGTCTGAACATTAGTATAGATATGTTTGAAAATAATGAAACACCAGACCTTTTCTGCTACAGCATACACAGGTGCTTGGAGATGCGCTGCTGGCACAAGAGGTTGGATCCCAGCGTCGACTATCCTGAGATTCTTGGTTCCATAGACACGCAGATGCGTATCGACAACACCACCGAGGTCAAGCGGCATCATTGAAGTTGAACCAGTGCCATGAAACTCGGTTCTAATTCCAATACTGATTGCTGGCATGAGAGAATCTCTGGTTGCACCCTGGAAGAAAGGATAGTATGGTGTAGGACTCAAAAGTCTCATCGATGTTGTATTGATGAGTTGGTTATTGAAGAGAAGAGCTTCGACAAGGACTTGACAATCAAGAGGGTTCGAGCAGTACCGGGGGTCGATCAAAGGCTGCATGTAAGGATTTGTGGACTGTATATGGACACTTCCTCTAGAGAATGGATGCATTGCAGCGACAGCGAGTAATCCAATATTGTCATTTAATAATTCGTATGCGCCAACGTCTCTCCGACTGAGCAGATCTGTGAGGATTGTTTTCTGTGCATCATATCCGGCAATAACAGTTCGATCAAGACCAGGTATCAGATACAGGGTGGTATTCTGACTTGAAGCATCTGTCATCATGTTTGTCCAATTCTGAGAAATCGAAGGTAAGGATGGGAAAGCGACAGTATTGATGGCTCCCGCTGTCCAGGGACCTAGAAGTGTGAGACACTGTGCGTCAATTGTCAAACTTACTTACCTGTCTTATTAGCATAATATTCCTGGGCTGCTTGATTGTCTAGACCCGGGTTATTTTCAATCATGTCGATATTGACATAGCTCGTGTTATCAACTTTGCATATCAGCAACATTCAACATCACGGAACTCGAAACCCACAATAATAGACGACGCCAACATAAGGATGGTCTTGGAAGTTGTTTCCGACTCCTGGCAGGTTGATAATGACGGGGATATCGAACTGGTTGAGGATGTCTTCAGAGCCAATACCTGAAAGTTCGAGAATTTGAGGTGTATGAACTGCTCCGGCAGCAAGAATAACTTCTCGAGAACAAGATACATTGTGGAGTGTCAGGCTTCCATCGGTGACGAACTAGAACCTCTCAGCATGACCCTCAAAAGTAAGGATATTGCGCAGACCTCTACGCCGCTGATCCAGAAGCCTGCTGGATAGTCTCTTCCCTTGAGATTGTGCGGTACACTGACAAGTACTCGAGTTACATGTTGATGAGTAGTCACATGTAGATTTGGACGGTTGATGAATCCATCGAAATAGTCCAAGCGGGCGTACGATCTGGTTTGATTATCAGGGTGGATGGAATCTGGGATAAGCATTCCACCAGCGGCAGTGCCATTGTTCGGATCCGTCAAAATTGGTATTCCTAATTCTTGCAGCCCGTCTAGAAAGAGCTCTAAAAGATTGTCAGAAAGGCAGATATCGATCACGAAAAGAGGTGGCATACGAGATTGATTATAGAAGTATCTTGGGTATGCCACATGGACATAGCCAGATGTACCATGAGTTGAGATATTTGGTTGTATGTAGAGCTCACGACTAAAATCAGCATCGACGTTGTCTGTATAATTCTCAGTCTGGAGTCTGTCAGTGTTGATGAAGTGGAAACTGTGTGGTAGACATTCCTTCTGGAAATATGGAAGCAAATCATCCCAACCCCAGCCGTCATTACCAAGTGCTTTCCACGCATCATAATCAGCACTACCACCGCGAGTCCCTGATTCAAAGTGCGTAAGTATTGTATGTGCCTGCGTGGTACATCGCTCGGGTTGACTAGACCAAGAAATGCAGACACGACTTACAGCACATTCCATTGATGAGACTTCCACCACCGATACCCCGTCCCATGTCGTACGGTCGAGAAGCACCATCAAGAAAGGTCTGCGGAGCGGTCCAAAGATTCCAATCATACTCCGTGCCGAGACCGTACCCATCTTCTATCGGAAACATTATGAAATCCTCATAGTCGTCACTACCCAATGTCAACAGCAGCTCGTGTAGGATCGGCGGCAGTTCTTACAGTGGGCCAGCTTCAAGGACCAGAACCGTGACTTCGAAATGTTAGCAGATATTTATTAGGACAGTGGATATAGAGCTTGCTATTGGGATCTTCAGTCAGGCGGTTTGCTACAACAAGCCCAGATACTCCACCTCCAACCTGTGAAGACTTAGTCACTCGCAAGAACACTTTGTTCGAGTTGCAGATACAATGATGTAGTCATAACAGTCCAAGAACGGAGCATCGAAATCTCGAGGATTGATGTGCAAGGGAGCAGCCAATGCGAGGAGAAAAGAGAAGAGCAAGAGAGCGAGAGCAAAATTGGACATCCTTTCCAAGAAATTGACCAAGAAGAAGCGAGTGTGGTTTTGACTTAACCAGAAGTTGACGAGACAAAAGTGTAGGTGAGCAACTGCAGAGAAGTGTCGACGGCAATTTACTGAGCCAGACCATGGGTAGCTCTTGCCACAAATATTATGTAGAGACAGGGAAGGCATTGGCATGAAAGTAGGCAGTAATTCCATCATTCACACTCAGTTGAAGTGTCTATTTCGCAAGTTCATTCATTTTGTTCTTGTCATATCATAACCTACCGTAATGTTCAACCCGTTCAATGGTCCCACGAACCATTAGGTTCCCTGGTGTTGGAATGCATGGACGTTGTCGCCTCTGCCTTGTCCAAACCATCTTGCTTTCGCGACAAACTATTGAATGCCACTCTTCTGATATCAAAATCCGTATCTTGGCAATTCAATGACGATGCTTCATTGCTCACGCTCTTAAAGATCAACGAGCTGGGAACAAATCCAGCAAAGTTGTGAGCGTTAAGTCCCATTGACTCGGGGAGAATCAGGGATCTTGTTGCCTCAATATGTCTAGACACCTTTGAATGACAATCTGCCTGGCATCTGATGTAACTCATGCTCACTCATGATCATAAATTGAACCCATCATGTCTTGGTGGATCGCAAAACCTCCACAAGCCTGCTTTCTCGGCTGCCTGCCGCACGGCTGATACCTCTTCCTTGGTAACATGGCGATTGATCTCTTCATATCTTACTGACTCGCTAGGTTTTGCCTCGCCGCCTGGTTCTATAGGCACAGGCACTGATCTTCGAGGTCGTTTGGATTTGCCAACATGAGCATCGGGGTGATACTGCTCCATGATGTTCACAAATACATCCCTTGAAACATTACTAGCCATCCATTTCATGATTTCCTCGCCTTCGGATTCGTAGCCAGGCATCACTAGATGCCTCACAAGTAGACCTTTCTTTGCAATACCATCAGGAGTGAAGCAAAGATCCCCAACTTGTGCATGCATCGCCTGTATACTTTCAACGGCAGCCGTTCGATAATCGTCTGCCTTGAGAAGTCGCTTCGACGTGCTCGCATTCCATACTTTGAAATCAGGAAGGTATATATCCACTAGTCCGTCCAACAACTGGATCGATGCTAACGAATCGAAAGCTGAGGTGTTATAGATGATTGGTACTTTTAGACCGTGATCGCGAGCATGAAGAATCGAAAGGACGACTTGTGGGACAACATGCTCCGGTGTTATGAGGTTGATGTTGTGAATATTTCCTACGTTCTGCAACTTGATATACCATTCTCCAAGTTCTTCTGGCGTCAAGTCGAATCCATTTCGTTGATGGGCGATATCATGATTTTGGCAGAAGACGCAGCGCAGATTGCAACCTGAGAAGAAAACTGCACCGGATCCATTGTGTCCCTGTATACAAGGCTCTGAGAAGGGAAAAGTCAGCGATTGCTCAATTGCGTGTGATATCAAAGGGATCGTACTTTAGCGGTTCTACTTACCTTCGCCAAAATGTGGTGCAATAACGTTCACTTTGACAGTCTCAGCACCAATGAGGCATGTTCCGGTCTTCTCGTAGCGGTTGACTCCGCATAGTCGAGGGCACAAATTGCAATTTCGAAGATGCGCATAAGCAGCAGATCTCTTCTTTGACGCGTCGACAGAGGAGAGTAAATGATATCTTGGGATGTAGTCGTCAAGGAGGAAAGGCGGTGCTAGATGAAGCTTGCGGTGTCTGACTGGTCCATTGTTTATCTTGAAAAATGATTTGAGAGAACGCGAGAGGACAGATCGCGTTGAATTTCCTCGAAGCATAGTGATACTTGACAGAGGGTTATAGTGAGAAGCTCCATTATGAGGTCTCATTGTGGCTTAGTCATCTAGCGGGGAAGTGGGGCGGGCATTCAAGAAGTCGCCATGGCATCGAACATCAGGAACTTACAACCAAGTATTCGTAGACCACATCCAAAGCATCGATGTGCGTCTAGATACTTCTTCTTGTTTGGCGCACTAATAAACGCTTCATGGTTCGAGAAGCGAACCAAAACATCGCCATTCAATGGCCGAGCCGATGGAGATAGATGCGGAGTCTCTAAGGGGTACGAAGAGGAAGGCTGGCGAGCTTTCGGCTGGTGTCACAGCACCAAGACGTATAAAAGTGAGTAGCAAATAATTCGAAACTGCTGCTCTCATCCTAACTTGAGAACAGGCTCTTGATCCGGATGTGGTCAACAAGATTGCGGCAGGCGAGATCATCGTCGCTCCCGTTCATGCTCTCAAGGAGCTCATAGAGAATTCCGTGGATGCTGGTTCAACGATTCTTGAAGTTCTTGTCAAAGAAGGAGGATTGAAACTTCTTCAGATTACAGACAACGGTCATGGAATAAATGTACCATCTCGCGGCAAACATTATGAGCTGAGCTAATGTCCCTTAGAAAGAAGATCTTCCGATATTATGTGAGCGTTTCACAACATCTAAGCTCAAAGACTTCAAGGACTTGGAATCGATCGGAACTTATGGATTCCGTGGAGAAGCCTTGGCTAGTATAAGTCATATCGCCCACCTCACTGTCACGACTAAGACCAAAAACTCAACCTGCGCCTGGAAAGCTCTGTACGATAGTGGACGTCTCAAGCCAGCCAAACCAGGCCAGAGTGCGGACCCGAAACCCACAGCAGGTCGACAAGGAACTCAAATCACTGTGGAGGATCTGTTCTATAATGTTCCTACTCGACGACGCGCTTTCCGATCTGCATCCGAAGAATACAACAAGATTCTTGAAGTGGTTGGAAAGTACGCTGTTCATTGCGATGGAGTTGCATTCAGCTGCAAGAAGTATGGCGAAGCTAGCACCACCATCTCAACGCAATCCAATTCCTCCACGGTTGATCGAATTCGCCAGATCCATGGAACATCTGTAGCGAACGAGCTTATTGAGTTCACATCTTCGAGCGAGAAGTATGGCTATCGTGCGCGAGGTTGGACAACAAACGCAAATTATCATGTCAAAAGGACTACACTACTTCTCTTCATCAATAACAGATCCGTCGACTCGAATAACATCCGGAAGGGGATTGAACAGACGTACTCAACCTTCTTACCCAAAGGTGGCCATCCATGGACATATCTCAGTCTGGAGATTGATCCTCACAGAGTCGATGTCAATGTCCACCCTACCAAGCGAGAAGTCAACTTTCTGAATGAGGACGAAATCATTGAAATGATTTGCACTGACATCCGGACGAAGCTGGCCGATGTAGACACAAGTCGAACGTTCATGACACAAACACTGCTTCCTGGAGCCAGAGTACCACAACCAACCACTGGCAACGATGATTCTCGAGCTCCTACCCCCACAGGAGCGACACCAAAGTCAAGACCCTACGAGAACAATTTAGTCCGCACTGATGCCAAACTCCGGAAGATTACAAGCATGCTACCTCCCAGTACAGCAAGAACAATTTCTGAGACACCAGGACCACCCGAAGCTGGAACAAACGACATGGAGTACGAACAGTCAGACCGCGAACCAGTAACCTGTCGCCTCATGACGGTAAAAGATCTTCGAACCGAAGTACGCGATGACATGCACAACGAGCTGACCGAGATTTTCGCTGGGCACACCTTCGTCGGTGTAGTTGATGAGCGTCGACGTCTTGCCGCCATCCAAGGCGGAGTAAAGCTCTTCCTCGTTGACTATGGCATGGTCTGCAACGAATACTTCTACCAAGTCGGCCTCACAGACTTCGGAAATTTGGGGGTAATCCGCTTCAACCCACCCCTTGACATCAAGGAACTCCTCGCCATGGCCGCCGAGTACGAAAAGGAGAGTTCGCCGCCAGCTAGCGAAGAAGACGACTTCGAAATCGAAGAAGTAGTCGAGTTAGTCTCAGCCCAACTCATTGATCGTCGCGAAATGCTACTAGAATACTTCTCTTTCGAGATCTCAGAAGAAGGACAACTAATCAGTATTCCCCTATTACTCAAAGGCTACCTACCCAGTCTCGCCAAACTCCCACGCTTCCTGCTCCGGCTGGGACCACACGTAAACTGGACATCCGAAAAGGAATGTTTCGAGACATTGCTCCGCGAACTAGCCTCTTACTACGTCCCCGAGCAACTTCCACCATCACCCGGACCAGAGGGACTAGACGACGAACTCAAGGCAAGAAGAGAAGAAATCGTCAAAGCCGTTGAACATATCCTGTTCCCAGCCTTCCGAGCACGATTGATCGCCACGAGACCCCTGGCCAAAGGCGCCGTTGTAGAAATAGCCAACTTGAAAGGGTTGTACAGGGTGTTTGAGCGTTGCTAGATGTATCTAATCATCGTTGCTACTGTGGGTTACAGGCATTGCACATATGGGCGGCGGTAACAATCTTTTACAAGAGCATAGCATGCATCATACAGTCTGGCGTCTTGGCTCATATCTTAGAAGCATTTGCTCAATGTAGACATAGTATGAAATGGATTCATTGAAAAGCCCGATTGTTTTTTCATCTATCAGTTTGTAGGTGATGCTTTCGCGAGATCAGGTCTACCGCTATTATACAGTTTATTCATCCCATGCCAACTCCCCTAGCTCTTACCATCGTCCCAGTCTGGGTTCTATATCTGCGTCAGTTTTGGTGAAGAAATCAATGGGAACAAAGCTCACCTTTCTCAGAATGACCAACCCCTCGAGGTTGTTCGTCAATGGAATATATTGCTCGTCCTCCAACTCTGCTCGCTCACCATACGCCAATAACACAGGTGTGCTCTGTGTTTGCCATCCAGTGATAGTCTTTGGTCGACCTGCTTGTCCAACAACGTCCACTGCTTGACCGACTCTGACATTGACTACCAAGGGCTTAAGATCTTCATCGAGAGTGACGAGGAAGCGAGGATGCATGGCTGTGACAAGGAAGTAAAGGAGGTAATGTGACTTGTCAGTAACGAATTGCTTGGCATCGATCATGGCAACCAAGACTGAGAGAAGACCAGCAGCTGAGACTCTTGACAATACTTGTCGGTCGGTGTGGAATGGACTGATGGAGAGCGTGCCCTTGCCCATGTGGAGGAGACCTTGAGCAATTCGGACCATAAAGAGTGATTCTTGGTCTCGGTGATAGTAGCTGGCCAATTGTCTGAGCAGTTGAGCCAATCTGGCATTATTTGTTCCAGCACCAAGAAGACCCATTGCAAAGATAGCGTTGATCGCGACATCGTTATCATTGTCGTGACTGTATCTCGACAAGGTATCGTAAACTTTCATCTGGGGGTTGCTGGGACTGAGTAGACCCATTGCCAAGGGCACTGCTCTTCGGATGTTGGCCTCGCCATAATGCATCAGATGGCCGAATTGTCTGAGAACCATCTCTTGTCCCACATCTTCACCCATCGCGACCAATCCGAGACCAATGACAGCATAAGCTTGAAGGAGCTCATCGCCCTTCTTGTCATCGCTTTCCTCGATGTGGTCGTTACAGATATGCAACAACTCTTGGAGCTTCAGAACGGTACCCGTGCCAGCCCATGCGCAGATTTCAGCAAGTACTGAAGTTGGCTTTGACATGGGGTGGTCGATAGCCTTCAGAGTCTCTAAGATAACGTCCACTTCCTCTTGACGTCCGAAGAACAGCAATCCCAAACCGAGGGCCATGAAGCGAGTCCATTTATCCTTCAATTGTGATTTTCGGTCATCATCAAGGAACGTCTGCACGATCGCTTCGCTAACATCACTGTTGGACGATCCAACGAAGACCATTCCAAGAGATAGAGCAGCCATAGCAGAGAGTTGCATGTCCAAGGATGTATCACCAACGATTGGCAGCAACAAGGCAAGGAGATCTTCTCGATTTGAGCCAGCATATGCAAGACCGAGACCCATGATAGAAGCCACCCGGACCATAGGGCTCTTAGAATTCAGCTTCTCTTCGTCACCAAGAAGAGCCAAAGCAGGATCAGAGTCGATTCGTACACCAGAGTTCATGATACCAATAGCCAGGTTGGCACCGGCAAGTATCTGGTCTTCTGGGGCATATGTGTACTTATCGATCTTGTCAAGTCCACCCTCGACATCCCACAGTAACAGTGTACCCATGGAAGCGACTGTAGACATCATTCCCTCCTCCTTGGTCTTCCAAACCCAACTGGACTTCTCCTCTTCAACCATCATCATCTTGTCGTTACCAAAGCCAGCATTCACGAAGGCGTTGACGAATCCAGCGGCCAGGTTGTGTCGGGCGGAGTCTAGGTTTGTCAAACCAGCAACGCGATTGCTCTCGAGATGGCTCTTGTAGATATCTTCTGTGGTTTTCGGGTCCAGAATGTTCAACTCCTTGCCGAGAGCCTTAAAGTGCTCGGACATCTTGTTGTTTCCTAGACATTCCATAATTATCTGGTCGTCATCCGTTTCTGATGGCAGATCTGGTAGCACAATCTGCTGTTTGGCAATGAGGAAAGCCATTTGCTTCTTGATTGATGCATCCTTTGTAGAGTTGAAATCGGACATGATTAGATCAACATCATTAAGACGGATCGCAAGTACAATCGCCTGGGTGAGCTGATCATAATGCTTGTAGATATCGTGCGCTGTTCGGAGGAATTGCTGGTCTTCTGGGTAGGTAAGGAGGTTGACCATGGTGACCATGTACAGGCAGACTCGAGGGAAAGTGTCTTTGTCAAGGAATTTTGGAAGCTCATCGATGATCTCAAGCTCGCTCATCAAATCGACAGCATCTGCTTCAGCATTGCTCTTTAGGAATAGAGGAACCAGAACTAATGCAAGATCTATGAGGTCTTGGTACGGCTCGTCGGCTGTTAACCTCTTGGTGTATACCTCTCCAAGTTCCAGAGCCAGATGTCGTGTGTATTCATGTCCCCAAGATCCAATGTCTGATGTAGGCGCCAGTAATCGGAACTTCAGTGTGTCCTGTCTATCTTCGTCCGAAAATGTCATTCCAATCACCGAAAGCACATCTGCGAGTGAGGTCTTGTCTTCTCCAGCGGGCCATTCTTCGTAAAGCTTCGTCATCGGCTCATAATGCGGTCGTAAGAACTTGAGGGGCTTCGGAACTGCGGTCATTGACGATGTAGAAGTTTTGATCGAGTCTTTGATAGCCTCCAGCGCGGATTTGTAAAGTGTTTTGTCAGACTCCTGTATTCAACCATATCAGCACTCTCCTAATGTAGGAGTGACATCCAACATACCGTCAAACGCTCAACCAGCATATCTAGCTCACTCTTCAGTTGTAGATCCTCTTCACTCAATTCTTCTGGTGCTGGGGCTACTGGTTAGCAAAGCCCTTCAAAGCCAAGGCTGGAATCCTACCTCCAATAACACCCTCCTCCGTCTTGCCATTAACGAGTGGCTTTCCATCCTTATCCTTCTTCACCTCTTCAGCTTTGCTGGGCTCTCCGTCTATTGCCTTCCCCTTTCCCTTGTCAACAGACTTTGGAGGTTCGCCATCCTGCGCCATCGTGACCCGTTCGAGGAGGATTTGTCGTAAAGGCAGAAGGTATTAAGGTAATCCAGCTGATCGCAAAAGCTTCGTAGAGTCTCGAGGATTCGTGATGCTACAAAACAACAGCGGTGAAGAGCGTGGGTGAAGAGTTGTCTGTTGTTGTGGTTCTGTCAGGCACCTCAAGCTTCCGCGTACAGAGCTTCAACACCGCGAAACGAGACGGCTTGCTAAGTAAGCGAGGCTGTTAGTTCCAACAAGGATCAGCACGGCCGTATTATTTTTGGACGGTAGAAAAATAAATCAAAGTAACCCCACGACAAAAAGTACAAAAGAAATTCGAATAATTCCGCCAACATGCGTCTCGATACCAAGGCGATGCGATATCTGACCGTAGAGGACTGGAAAACTCTCACGGCGGTCGAAACGGGTTCCAGAAATCATGAAGTGGTCCCAACACCATTAATCGGACAAATTTCTGGTCTGCGAGGAGGGGTACACAGAAGTATATCTGCGCTGGCAAAAGTTGGGCTCATTGCACGTCTGAAGAATGCAAAGTACGATGGCTACCGACTTACGTACGGAGGACTCGATTATCTTGCGCTTAACACATACCGGAAAAGAAAAGATGTCTATAGTGTCGGGAACCAGATTGGAGTTGGTAAAGAGAGTGATATCTTCGTGGTCGCAGATGAGAAGGGAGTACAGAGAGTATTGAAGATCCACAGACTTGGACGAATATCCTTCCGAACAGTCAAAGCAAACCGAGACTATCTCCGAAATCGATCCTCGGGTTCCTGGATGTACATGTCTCGTTTGGCAGCGTTGAAGGAGTTTACATTCATGACAGCTCTGCGAGAGAATGGATTCCCGGTCCCCGAACCGCTTGCACAATCAAGACATACCATCGTCATGTCTTTAATAGACGCTTTTCCCATGCGCCAGATATCATCCGTACCAGACCCTGCCTCCCTCTACGCCGAAATCATAGCCATGATTCTCCGTCTCACTCAATATGGTCTCATCCACGGAGACTTCAACGAATTCAACATCCTCATCAAAGAAGAAACCAAGACCGAGACCGTGGACGGCAAAGAGTCCGAAATCCTTACACTAACTCCCATTCTCATCGATTTCCCCCAAATGGTCTCTGTCGATCATGCCAACGCTGAATTCTACTTCGATAGAGATGTCAACTGTATCAAACGATTTTTCGAGCGTCGATTTCATTTCACAAGCAACCAGAAAGGACCTCACTTTGCAAACGCTCGGAAGCTGATTGGCAAAGATGGCGTTCCTAGACTTGATGTTTCTGTCGAGGCATCAGGCTTCTCGAAGAAGATGGCAAAGGAACTAGAGGCATACATGAAGAAGGTGGGTGTGGATGGTGATGGTGATCCCAATGCTGCTCGAGGAGACGAAACTTCTGACGAGGAGGAAGATGAAGAAAATAGCGAGGAGGGAGATATGGAAGAGGAAGCACTAGATGGGGCGGAGGACACGATCAAAGTACCGGCACCTCATGTCGGAGATAGTGTTATCCATTCATCATCTGCTGCTGTAGATGATGTTCCCATATCCTCTCTTCATATTGCTGAGAAGACATGATACTCTACACTGTGGGCAGCGTTAAATAAAGTGACCAAGGTAGGATTCAAAAGTCTTTAGAGTCAATCACAGTGCAGAGATTTTCGAGCGAGTGAAGGTTGTCAGATACCCACTGATCTCTAGCATCAGCTCTATGGAACTAGTTTAATCGGCCTCATCACACAAGTACAGGCACAGTCAAATCAGATGCAAAGTATTGAGGTATGCGTTCAATTATGCTACAAGAAGCCACCCCGTAGGTAGAATACTAGCCACCCGTGCCAAGCAAAGAGATGTGTACAATGAAAAGTGCTGCTTCTGATATCCGTCCGTCATCAATACTTGACATGAAGTGATGTCGCGTGCCAGTAATGTCAATATGCCACACCTGAAAATGCCGTTGATGAATCGATGCGATGTACCAGTCGCAAACTCGAAAGATATTGTAGGTACCTACGAGAATGAAACATAGGCAATGCTGACAGATATGTATGTCGGTTGATCGTCAAAGCATCTAAAGTGACGTATTATTAAGTCGTAAAAGGCGTTGCTGCATATGATTGTGGTGCACCAGGCCGTTTTATGACGCCCAAAACCCCAAGATCAAAGCAATGTCGGAAGTAAACAAATACAGGAGAGAGAACCTCGTAGTTCAATCATCTAAGACTTACGAACGGATGGCGATTGAGAAGCACCACCGTGAACAATGGCAGGAGAGTCGTTGTGAACAGTATCCTCGTTGGAGCCGTCCTCAGAGATGGTGGGTGTGGAGCTTGAGACTTTGCTTGAAGAAGTTCAGCTACACGTCTGCGGGCCACTGAAGTGGATGACTTACTCATCCTTGTTCTTGTTGGGGGTAGCCTCAGTCAAGGAGAGCTTGACATGGCGATCATGGCGATCAATGTCCTTGAAGTTAGAGATCGAGCCACCGGAACTGTGATGCCAATTAGCCCCTTGCTCAACAGAGTTGGTGGGATGCAGCTGGACTTACCTGGTACCAGCAGAATCACGCTTCCATGAACCGCTAGCTCTGGAGACTGGCAGATGACGAGCAATCTGCGAAGTTCGTGGAACGAGTGGAGAAGGCATGACAGGAGACAAAGCGAGAAGCTCAGCTGGAGCACCATATGCACCTACATTGTATTCGTTGGTTCGGAATTGACGACGCTCAGTAGTGATTCGCTTGAGGTCCTTTTGGGCAGGAGTATCGGCATAGCGGACTTGGAGAAGAAGTCCTTCTTCGCCAATTGGCTGACCATGGAAATTCTTGATGATCTCCTCGCAGACATCACGACTCTCAAAGCTGTACAGAAGTTAGTCACCATAGAATTCAGTCCAGTGGAATAGTTTTTACCGAGCAAATCCGACACCACGGCTGTTCTTTCGCTCATCACGAAGAATTCTGCTGGAAAGAACTGTGTAGTCCATGAAGATAGCACCAAGCTCCTGGAAAGATGTCAGCGAGTCAATCAAAGCTAAGGACAGGAGTTACAAACAGCTTCAGTCATGTTCTTTGGCAGATTGGAGACATAGAGGTTGGTGGATTGCTCATCACCTTCAGCCTTAAGACGGGAGTTGAAAGACTCCTGGTGGAATTTAGAAGATGTCCTGAATCCACGCAGAGTGGGTGGACCTACCCTAGCAAATCCAACCTCATAGCCCAGCTTGTAGAAGCCACGAATGCAGAGCTCAGAGTCACGGACATCTTCATACTTGGCAAAGCCAAATCTGAAAATTGTTAGCGATGATTGATCAATGGAATGGGATGGAGAGTCAAAAGTAAACTTACCCCTTGCAAGCTCCAGTGGCAGTGTCAATGATGGCCTTTGAAGTCTCAACCTTACCAAAGCGCTTAGCATATGCAGCAAGAGTCTCATCGTCAGTCTGTGGGTGAAGACCTCGAATGTAGACATTGCGATTGCCTGGAATTGGGTTGGACAAGCTCTGGTCAAGAGTTCTCATGCTCTCACGAGGGGTGAACACAGCGGGAACAGCTCGGGGGATAGGCGGGTGCTGGACGACCAGGGCATCAAGATCGACATTGATCGGAATGGTCTTGTAGGCCAAGGACTTCGCAACGTGCTGATCAGCATGTTGGATGGGAAGCTGCTGAGGAGATGGGGTAGAGCCAAAGGGAGAACGATTAACAGCGGCAATCTGAGTGCCTTGCTCATGGTGAAGAAGTGGTCCGTAGTTGGGAGTACCTGGAGCAGACTCGTTGGTAGTAGAGTAAGAACTACGGCGATTCTCAAGTCCTGGGACCTCCTTGTGAAATTGATCAGCTCGGTCAGGATAGTAGCCGGAGGTAGCTCTGCTGGGAGTGTATGGCATGATCGGAAATCCACCAAGGTAACCAGAATAAGCTCCTTGTGAGATATATGGCATAGTAGAAGCATAAGAGCTGTAGCCAGTCTCAGGGAGTTGACCTGGACCCAGTTGTGGCGCAGGATACATGGCAGGTGCCATCATAATGGTATTATCGGCAGGATTGTAGTAGAATTGACCAGCACCGAGGGCAGCAGCAGAAGCCAAGTTTGCACCAGGCATGGAGAAGCTGGCGAATTGATTCATCATCTGGCTCATGGCCGACGCGTCGGTTTGAGCAGCTTGAGGGAAGGTAGCTGGTTGAGCTTGAGACTCGCGAGCGGCGCGTGCTTGTGATTGAGTGTACATGTTGGAAGATGAACGGTTGTGGAAGGCGGTCTCTGATTGACTCGCAGTCTGTTGGTAAGACATGGTATTCTAGAAGAAGTTGTTGTCAGTCCAATCGATCTCAAGCTAGGAAGAAGTATTAAAAGTTTTCTGTGTGCGGGGTGCAAGCGCGAAAGTGGTCTCGCGCAAAACGCAGTCTGATGCGAAGGTACAAAGTAAAAGTGAATGGGTAACTTGATCGTGATAACCAGCCAAAACGCGAAAGAGAACGCGAACATGGCCGCAATGCAGGCATGGTTCTGTTCATGCAATGTACAGCAAGAAGCAGTGTGAGCAGAAAGGGAGAAAGAACTCACAGTCACAGCCTCTGGAACGAGGTTTGAAAGTCCGTATTTACTTAGAAGCAAGAAGCTGGAGCAGGCAGTTAGTAAAGGAGTGCCAACAATAGCTTCTAGCTGGACATACCTTGAAAGAAAACTGCAGGAGCAGGACTCTGTGTCGATGTCTGAAGAAGCGCGTGGCTATAACGCGAGCTTGTAGCTTCTGAAAGGTTGACAAGGCTGTACGTCGATGAAGAGTAGCGAGTGGAGGTTCTGTAAGATAGAAAGCTATCAAGCCAGATGGAGAAGTGTAGAGATTGTGATTGGGATGGATTGTTGTTGGTGTTTGTGGTGGGAAGAAGAGAAGAAGCGGAAACGGAAGGGAAACGTCCTCTTAAAAAAAGTGCTTGCCCAGACGTTGTGTTGTTGAGGCAGGAACTGATGCTGTAAGATCGCAAGTGGAAGGAGCGGCCGAGTTGTGCGAGTCCTCCGTTCACAACATCAAAATTCGAAGGCAGCTGCTAGTCACCACAACAAGGCCAGAACCAATGCAGAGCAGCAGCAGCAAATAACCTCCCAAGAACAGACCAAAATCAAACACACCCCGATCGCACACGGAATGATAGGAAGGATAAGTATATCGGCGCTCGACTGCTCGACGTCGCAACTGCTACAGCCAGGAACCGGTGGATGAAGATATTGCTACTGGCAACTGTGTATCCGTTCTGGAGGCCGGGGACAAAGGTGCCTTTATGGAAGTGATGATTGTGCGTGTGGTTGATCATGCATGCAATTCCACCAGTCCACCCTTTCGACAGAGCGCAGCACAAAGAGCAGGGTGCTGCTGCTACAGAATGATCGCTGCTGCACGCAATTGCTTCCAGTGCAAGGAAGAAGGCAAAGAGGCTTGTCATGAGCAGGCAAAGGAAGACCACCGCATGCTTCCGACTTGAGATGAAATTGCTTCTGCGAGTAGCGGAACAAGAGTGGATAACGGTGGGTACCTACTTTTTCTGTCTGCGGGGTCCAGATGACAGATTCAAAGAGCTGCGGGAAGCCATTAAGGTAAGACCATCTACCTTGAAAAGTGAGAGATGATAGAAGAGATGGATGGATGCGAAGATATGAAGCTGATCGCTGTACGCCTCTAGATATGTCTTTCGTTTCGACCCTCACTCAAACGACCCTGGCATCAGCTAAGCCGCCACGACTAGGTTGTACTGGTGCCGGGAGTTCGAGTAAGGCCAAGGGTCTGTTCGTAATATCACCAACAACGCACTTAATCCTACCTCATTTTCTGGACCTTTTGTTCTTTCCTCTCTATCGCTCTGGGATTCTACTATTGGTAGCCTTCTTCTGCTTCTGCGAGATATGTGCCGCAAATACATTCCAGCAGGACGGTGTGGTGATACTGGACTTGCTTCTCCTAGAGTTCGGCAAGGTCCTTGAGGACGGATCCACACCCGGGATCGAGGAAAGCCTGGTCATATGGTTCTCGGTATTGCGGGCCCCTTAAGGTGTGGTTCGAGCCGCAGTAGAAAACACCGGGGAAACAGCCAGATCCGACGTTGCGCATCTTGTCTGCCATATTCTCCCCTTAAAAGCCCCCAGTTGTGTTCTCTGGTAATGGGTTCGGAAGGCTTGAGACAGGCAGATGACATGGAACCTCCTTGCATGTTCTCCAGTCTCTTTTCAGAGCAGGCCGAAAAAAGCAACAACGCCTTTGCCCTTGCTGGTCAACGAGTGGATTGACAGGGGCCTTCGAAAAAGCGGATTCCTCGTGAAGGGTTCTTGTACTGGGAATTGAGCAACAGACAATTGGAATGATAGCTTTTGTGGCTATCTGCATTTTGAAGATTAGCCGACATCGATTATTCGAACCTCGATGTCGACATCCAGGTTGGAGCAGGTGAGGTTTGTCGTCGACTAGCGGATTGTGGGAGAGGATCTTGCATGCGACAGGGGCCATTTAACGCCCCTTGCCTCGCTAATCAGCATCTTTCCGACATCTTACACATCTTGACCTCCATGCTGTTTGCCAGCTCGCATCAAGCTTCACAAGGCGGAAAACGCAGGGATTGGTGGTGCCCACTCGAAAAGCATTGTCGATGTTTGTAACTCGTGATCGGGACTTTATCAAGTAGCTGGCCCGCAAATCTTGGAAATCCGAGTCTTGCCCCAGATTGCCCACCCTCACTAACCTCTTCCGGCGTTTGACACATGGTCTCTCGTTGGGTGAGCGGCATCCAACACCGAAACTCGAAGACACAAACGAGGGGTTCTGCGGAGAATGACAAACAGGAGCTGATCCGGCTTCACGAACGGGAAGTTCAGAATACCACGGACTTGAACTGTCAACCGTACTCGTGTAGCTTAGTTTCTGAGTCTATTTCAAACCTCAAAAGCACAGGTAAGCCAAAGTATCACTTCATATTCTCGGGGTCCACTTACCTACTTACTCCACTTCCTCGACAATCCCATCTTCCTCTGCAGTCAGATCTTGCGATATCTTCAACCTCCGAGACGACGATACCCTCTCAGACCTCGATTCGCTCACACGTCAAGTACAAAAAGCAAACAGCCGGGAACACAGCGCTACCTTTCCAACGAACCAGCTTCCTTCCCTCCCTTCTGCCGTATCCGCGCAACCCGCAACAAGTCCGTGCCAGAGCTATCTCCAAGATCTAAGCGTTGTGTGCCATATTTTGGCATGTGGGAACAGACGTATGGCAGTGAAGCGATTCGCAACAATTCCTTCTCAAGGATGCTGCCCGCCCCGACGAGAGCGCTTGTCTGTGCAGACGCTGCAAACGACATTTTGCGTTTAAGGCTGAGTTCGGATGATGTATTTCTGCGGGAACGGCAGGAGGATATAAAAAGAAACTCGAAAGAGTACGTCAGTCGCTGACTCGAGACGTGGAGGTACGAGAACGAACACGAGACTCGCATTGTTTTATGTTTGTGGCTAGAGAATTTGATTCACATTCTATAGCAGTTGTCGAATTCAATATCAATTTCTACAAGATTCACATTTCGATTCTGCACTACTGACGCTGGTGAATGTTCGTTTCTTTGACCTCACTCTCCTTGGACAAGTACCAAGGTACTTTCTTTACTCCCCAATATGGAAAGAAACAAACAAACAAACAAACTCAAACCCCCCATAAGCCTAGTATTTCTTAAAACATGCTTGTTCCTTGCAACTTTTCCTAACCTCCTCCTCCTCCTCCTTGTGCATCCTCTGACTAATGCTCACCTCACTTCGCCGCAAAGTCAATCATGGTAATTTAAATATCATTTTATTCAACTCATAACTACAACAACACCCAAAAGACCAACGACGACCGATAAAAAATAGAAAACGAAGCAGGAGAAGCCACCATTCTATGTAACGAGCTTGCATGCAATCATTATATCCCTCCCGTCCATCCCAAACTCACTCTCTCTACTCTCATTACATTGCAGGACCAAGAAGCCAGCCAAACGCGATTGATTGCACCAACTCCGCCACAACGCGGGAAAGGGGACGAACGAGGTCTAGATGCGGAGGAGGATGAGTAATGGATATGAGCTTGGGGAGGAGTTGGTGGTATGGTTTGTACAGTGCTAGGAGAGGCGGGATTGAGCCCGTTCTCATGACCAGACATCTTCCTGTGGGGTTTATCAGTATTAGTTCAAGAAGGGAGGAGAATGAACATACCTGGTACTGATTCGCAGAACGCATGCCCTTGACAATCTCCTCGGCCTTGGACTCAGGGATACCTCTCTGCTCAGACATGATCTTTGCCAACACGGTGTTGACTTCTCTAGCCATGTTCGCCGCGTCACCGCATACGTAGAAATAAGCCTTTTGCTTGAGGAGTTCGTCGACTTCTTTGGCGTGCTCTTGTAACCGGTGTTGGACGTAGACTTTCTGGGCACCTTCGCGAGAGAAGGCGGTGATAAGTTGGAAGTTGTCGCCGAGGTCTTCTTGGTATTGCTGTGGATTTTTGTTAGTGATTTGTTACCACTATGGGGAGAAAATGATCATACCTTCCACTCATCCGCGTAAAGGTAATCTTCTGTTGATTTCCGGCAGCCGAAGAAGAGGATTGTCTTTCCGACGTTCTCGCCGGCCTTCGCTCGAGCGGCTCTCTCTTGGACGAAACCTCTGAATGGTGCTACACCAGTACCTGGACCAACCATAATGATTGGCTTTGCAGGATCTGAAGGTAGCTTGAAGTTGGAGTGGCGCACGTGAACAGGTACGTGAACTCCGTCGTACTTGTTTCTTGGCCCAGTGATCTCGTAAGTGAGACCATGGGGATCTGGGTGAGGGTCTCCATGCTGTTTTTGCTTCAATGCTAAAAGATAGTTGGTAGTAACACCCTTCAATGCATCTGCTCGTCCAGGAATCTCCATTGATTCGACCACGGCTGTGATTGAGATTTTGTCCTTCTGGACATGAGACGAAGATGAAATTGAGTAGTACCGAGGTTGAACTTTGTTCAGTCCTTCAATGAAAGCTGAAAATGGAATGTCGGACCACTTTGCTGAACTGCACACGCTCTCCAACGCTTGTGCAATATTGACATATTTGTTGGTCATTTTCTCGTGGAAGTAATCTTTGTCAGATCCAAGTTTTCCCATCTCAGCTTTGGCTTCTTCAGTTGGGGCGAAAGGCGCCAGGGTAGCAATAAATTGTCGAGAAACAGGAGCACAGATTTCCATGTGATACCTGGCAATCGCATCGTATGTTGTTGGGGTTGGGAATGGGACTTTCGCAGTTGCGTCTAGAGCCTTAACGCTGATGACACTGTCTCGCTTGGAGATCAGGCCAAGAACATTGAGGAATCGATCGACCTCCTTTCCTGCATTTGTGGGCCAAACTGCAATATGATCTCCAGTGGTGTAGGTGAGGTTTGATCCACTAATATCAATCTCCATATGCAAACAGTTTCGGTCCTTGACAGTGAAGAGCTCCTTTGACTCGGCAATAGGGGCAATGTACGGGTTGTGTGCATTGTAAGGACCCTTGGAAGTACCTTCGAGGTGCATCTTGTTTGGCTCACCCAGATACACTTCTGGAGAATCTTTCGTCAAGCCTTCTCGCTCCGTAATGCCAAACACTGGTTCGTAGACGGCTTCTCGCTCTTCGAGACCCATCTTTTCAGCTAATTCAGTCCACATAGGATCCTTCCAAGCCAAGAAATCTTCTTCCATGGTACCAGCACCATCATCTCCCTCTCCTGCTGCGCCAATTCTTGTAGCACCAAGCTTTTCCAGTGCTTTGGAGACATTTCGGACCATGGAGTTGTAGTGCTCATATGTGTTGTTTCCGAGGCCGAACGCCACAAATTTCAGATTTCCAAGTGGGGGATCCCCACCATTGGCGAACGAAACATCATCCCCATTTATGAATTCGTAGAAATCGACCGCATTATCGGTGGGCTCACCCTCTCCATAGGTGGCCAGAACGAACATTGCGATCTTGTCCTCAGGGAAATTGTCGAGGTTTTCGTAATCGTAGTCCTCCAGATCAGCTACCATTGTCTCGAGTCCGAACCTTGCCTTCCCTTCTTTGGCAAGTCTAGAGGCATAATCTTCTGCCGTGCCTGTCTGCGATCCACTAGAAAGGAAATATTAGCATGAGTTTCGACGGATTGTAAGAGAGCACACGAGTGAGTCTCTCAAGGCGAGGCAGAAATTGACGTACTAGAAGACAACCACGTTCTTCCCAGACTCCTCCATCTTCTCAATGATATTCCTCGTCTTCCCAGGCTTGTTGCCATTCGCGGCGGCATAGCTCGAGGCATATGGACTATCGTCAGATTAGTATTTTCACATGCCATAAAGCTCTGGGGCCATTTGGACGCAGTCCCGGAGCTTTCGTTGAAGATGACTATATCCTCAAGTGAAATAAGACATACTCTTTAACTATGCCCCAGTAGGTGCCCTTGGTGAAGTACGCAGCAGTCCCGATCAGCAGGACTGCGAGGACAATGATGTCCAACGTGTCAAGTTGCGCCATGGCGGTTTTCGGTGTTGACAATGCAAGAACAGACCCCCCCGAGTATTTAAAGAAGGCAGGAGAGTGATATAGGGCAGCAGAACGGATATTCAGTAGCGGGCCTCCTTCGTCCTGGCTTATGGTCAATGTCGGATTACTGGCTGATCTGTTTGTTGAATAAATTGTCGCTGACTGTCAGAAGTTCAGCCTTCGCTCCTATCCGAGCTCGCAACCCTAGCGATAAGATCCACCCAAGGAAGGCGACTAACCGGCCGGCGGGAAATGTCCAAGAAGTTGAAAGGCTACTGAGACAAAGATGAGATACCCGGGCGAAGTTAGATGAAGGGGAAATAGAATAATAACAATTAAAAAGTTCTAGAATCTAAATCAAAGGTGTTCTTTGGAGAGAACCGGGTTCGCTCGCATTCACATCGGTTCATTGATCCCGGCCAAGATTGCTTCGGAGGCGGTGAAGTTCCGCTTCGACGTTTCTATGATTCCTTCATTTTCTAGAATGGCCAGACTGCTGCAGGTCATTATTGTTTGGCTCTTGACCTTATTGCCGCCGCATTATTCCTAGTCGGTGGTCTGACAATCCAACCCAGCGTTCCGGCGTCGAACGTCGACATCGCTTTCCGCACCGTGGAGTTCCGGACGCTGTACCCCATTTCAATCCTTCCCAGCCATTGAGACTTTCTTCATATGCTCTCCGCGACTCAGTCTGATTCCGGTGACCCTACCATTTACTTCTCTTCCTCGTTTCGTATGCCATAAGCAGCTTGGCCTCAATTATATTGCCCCTTCATACTACCTAGGTACTCGCGTCCTGTGCCACACGTTCATAACTGCCGCTGTCCATTCATTCAGTCGTATTCGTACATTTTAACCTGTGACGGATCTTCAAGTACGCGAAAGTTACAATCGAAAAGGGGTCTACGAAGAATTGGATTTGGAGGGAAGATTAAGTTGAGGAGCTCTCATCCAAAATATGGAACCCGAATCTAGATAGAGGGGAGAATAAAATTGTGGCTTAGCCCCCGCCTCAGCTTGTGTCTTGCAGAGACAGAGACAAGTTCGCTGCTATGGCTGACATAGAAGTGAAAGTTGAAAAAGGGGGTCTTTCAATCTGATATGACAACGATGACCAAAGAGGGAGGCGAAGAACAAATCGAAAGCTTCCTTTTTTCTTCTTACGCCGCCGCCCTTGCTACACAATCAACCCCTTGAGCGATCGCAACTGACTGGGATTCAACGCTGAGACTGTCTATTGGCCTCTGCGGAAAACTTCATGACTTTATGCTAATTGCGGTGAGAAACCACAAAACACCAGAGAAGACTTTCCCAACATCTGCAACAATGTGTTGAAAATGTGTCGCCGTTCTTAGAGATGCAATGCAAGTCTACGAATTCGTCCCGAACGCGTCTGCCCTGAAATGCTTGCCCCTGGCACGTGAGCCGCATCACCAGTGATGAGTTGAGTTCTTTCCTCTCTCGACACATCCCACCAGCGTTTCACATCAAGCACTTTGAGCCTCCATATCTAGTTGACCTATTCTTGCTAACTGCTGCTCAAAATAAAGGTCAATCACCAGACAGCTTGAGCGAGAGATTGGGCTTTTCGCCGGTTGACTTCGATGTTTGGTCCCTGAATCATTCAAACACATCAACACCAACCTTTGCCAGATTTGGCCCGGATGCAAAAGATATTCCTGCGACCCAGACCTCGGCGTCCCAATCCAGAGACCTTCAAGCCCAACCGTCGAAACTCTCTCCGCGCCTTCTTGGTGGGAACAGGCTGAACGAGTCGTCGAAAGCCCACAACCGACAAACGTCTATTGTTCACGGCTTCACTCATTCTCGGAATGGGAGCGCATCGTCGAGTCCGCTGAGTCCGCAGATGCTCATGGCAGCTGGCGGATCTGATGCATCAAGTATGGGGGACACTGCTTTTACGCCCAATCTGGGGTTGAATAATGGAGCTTCCTCTACTTCGAGCAGTACAACTCTACCAGAACGAACCTCATCTGCCGCAGATGCCAATAATTTGACACAGAGGAGGGTTGAACGAAATCATAGTGGAAAGAGCAGTAGGGACCATCGACATCACCATTCGCATTCGAGGCACCATCACAAAGAGGAACTCAAGACCGTTGGCGAATATGCCCTCCATGTCCTCTTTACGTCTTTCATTGCCCAAGCCGAGGAGAAGATTTCTCAATGTATCACTATACCTTTAGATCCCGAACCTCAGATTGAACAAATATGCGGACCTGGTGTAGACCCAACCTTCGATCAATTGATCTCGGCACTGGGACATATTGCGAGCCAGAAGCCAAAACCTCTGATTGATTCAATGATGTTATGGCGTAAGAATAAGAGTGATGCTGCAAACGAGGCGCGCATTCAATTACAACAGGTAAGTCTGCAAGACGAGCTTTGTTTACTTTCTGCTTACAATATGGCCCAGTCCAGAGGAAATGCTCTTCCAGGACCGATGCTGCGAAGAAACACAGAACCGATCCATATTTTGCCAGAAGATGCACTTGCTGCGAATAGCTCTCCCTCGATTGCCGCGCGTCAAGAATTCGTTGCTCAAGCTGAGCGACGTTCAACCGCTTCCATATACATACTGTGTCGAGTGCTGATGGAGGTCATTGGTCAAAGTACCTTGAAATGTATAACACCCGAAATGGAAGAGAAGCTAGAGGGTATCATTTTTGGGCAGTTGAAAATTGCGGATGCGGATCAGCTCAACAACTCGCCCCTGAAAATGGCCAACTGGTTCCTCTTCAGCCAATTACTGGGAACAATGAGCGAGATCAACTTTGAAAGCGTTGCGGACAGGTTTATTACGGATCTTGAGAAGTCTCAGAGAGATTTGGTAGTAAAAAGCCCCGTGAATAGAGAAACAGAAGGGAGAATGGAACTTGTGCTTGGCGGAATGAAGCATTTGCGCATCAAGATATACCCAGAGGATGCTTGGGATCACGCTTGCGACTTCATGATATCCCTTGGACGTTTTTTTGCCAGATCCCATGGTCACCGTCTGAAATATGCTTACTGCCAAGCGCTCGAGATTCTTCTATTGCCAATCGCTGCAAAAGCCAACACAGAATTAAATCTACCAAAGTGGACAGAAGTCCTGGGCACGATCGGACCGCGTCTTGCTTCTATGTTCGTCAAGCCTCGCCACTGGGCTATTGCATTTCCGTTAACTGCAACCTTACTTTGTGTTTCCCCCGTTGAAACTTTTTCAACTCAGTGGCTGCAACTTATCCTTCCATTGCAACCAAAATTTAAAGACCGATTTGCTAGGTCAGTGTGCTTACAGGTCATATCGAGACTACTCTGGACTTATCTCTACCGAACGTCAGATACTCAGGCTGCTACCATTAAAAAGCTTGAAGAGGTCCTAAAACTTGTCCTCCCACCAGGCCGAAGAACCTATCTCTCGACGGAGCCTACCATTGCCGATCCGCTGATACAGATCATCCGAATAATTGGTTACAAAAATCAAGACTTCTGCTTCCGGACCATCGTCTTCCCCCTCATTAATGCGGATCTGTTCACTTCCGGCAAAGAACTAAAAGTTGAGCAGCTGGAGCCTGAAAGAATGGTCATCGGGATCAGAGCTTTTCTTGCTATAATGTCCGACTTAGAGAAGGGAGAACAAGGCCGACCACCGTTTCCGCAACATTATCAAGCTCTGCCATTTTATGACAGGATGCCAACATCTCCTATCATGACCGCGCCACGTAGTCCACCTCTTCCTCCCGAGGTGCGTAGTTCGGAGGATCGCTTGTCGAGACCAGTTCTCACTACTTCTTTGAGTGAGGTAGGCAGAGAGTACTATGCGAAGTTTTGCGAGATTCTTGGAAAGATCACCATAATCTGCGACAATACGTTTGGGGGTCAAGCCGTGTTGGATGAGAAGTTCAACAGTCCGGCACCGAAGACACCTCTGGCAGAGAGCTTCAATTTTGCTCGTCGTGACGATCACCAAAGCCCGAACGATCAGAAACAAGGGTTTTACGAGCTTCTACATGTTGCTGTCCAAGCGCTTCCCCGATGCTTATCTGCTGATATCCCTTTCAATTCTTTGGTTAATCTACTTTGCACTGGCACAGCTCATGTCCAGTACACCATTGCAGAATCATCAGCACAATCGCTCAAATCCATCGCCAGACAGTCACATGCCCAGCAGGTCACGATTGGCTTTGCTCGATTCATATTCAATTTCGATGACAGGTATTCGACCATGTCAGATGGCGGTATGCTTGGAGCCGGTCACATCGAAAGTACTCTGAAACTATATGTCGAGCTCCTACAGATCTGGATTTCTGAGATCAAGCAAAGGACTAAAGATGCTGCCGCCGATAGCTCTGAGGATGGAAGTCCTGACAAACGCAGTATGCAGCTCGATCTTTCTGCAATATGGGCTCATGTTGATGAAGTGGAGTCACACGGCTTGTTCTTCCTCTGTTCTCAGTCGAGGAGAGTTCGAGCTTTTGCTATCACAGTCTTACGCCTCATCACAGAATTTGATACTGCCCTTGGTAAAGATAATGGCAGACTCATCCACATTCTTGAGGGTGACTCTATGCGGGTAATGGACTTCAACGATGAGCATCTGTCTGTCGCAGAACGAAGTAGACTGCAGCGTGGAATGCGTAAGAGCAATTCACAAAGTGCTCTAATTGAGCTCTGTAGCAGCGAGGTCTCCTATGATACAACTTTGTGGTTCAAGATTTTTCCAAACCTCATTCGGATCAGCTACGAACGTTGCCCGTTCGCTGTCACACTAGGACGGGAACTCATTTGTAACCGCATCCTTCAGATGTACAAAGTGATCGTTGCTCTTTCAGAACCAATCAGAGGACCTCCATACGGATCTTTCGATAGATTTGAAACGGGCAGTGGTCGGCTACTCTCGAGATCGTCAACTACACCACCAGAAGTGGTAATTGAACAGTGGAAGTTGTATTTGATTGTGGCTTGTACCACATTGTCTGACAAAGGAGGGCAGCAGCCGCAGTCGCCCCAGGCAGCTCAGCATCTACGCAAAGGATCGAAGCAGAGCCAAACACAGGAAAAGATCACCTCTGCTCGATCATTATTCAAGTACATCTTACCACTCCTTTCAGCCGGTCCAGCCTCGATACGAGACGCAGTTGTCGTAGCGTTAGGCTCAATCAATGTCAATATATACAAAACCTTACTTGAAGAGCTTCAAGGGGCGGTCAACAAATGTAATGACGAGGCTAGAGCTCGTATCCATCAACGCACAACAAGTAGTCCAAAGCGGAACAGAAAGTTCGACTTGCTACGAACCGAGATCACACATGTCTACAGATTGACATCATCGTTCTTGAAGGAGACAGAAGTTCATCAAGACGACTGGATTCTTAACAACCTTGTGGTATATACCAAAGACCTCAAATTGTTCTTGATGGACGACGAGGTTCAGATGGATTGGGAGTTCCAAAAGCTTCGAAGGCACTATTGTGGACTGATGGAAGAGCTATTCGAGGGTATCAACCGCACGAAAGATCCTTCTAGGTGGATGACATTTGAGTCAAGAAAGTCATCGTTTGCTCTGATGGAAGATTGGTGTGGATTCTCACCCAATCAGAACCAGATTCGCGTGCGCGAGGACAACATGAGGCAATCAATGATTGACCAACAGACGCTGGCGAGCGAGCGAGGAACCGTGACTGCCGCAATGGAGATCGAGAAAAGGAATCTTCGAACGGCTGCCCTTAGTGCCATGGCTGCCTTGTGTGGCGGGCCAGTTAGCATCACCACTGAGAGCAGAGCAACCTTGCAATTCGACATCAGAAGAATGCTCTCCTGGATTGACACCATCTTTAATTCTGGAAGCGATCGCATGCACGTCATCGGTAGAAGAGCTCTCAAGAATCTCATAGTACACAACAAAGACTATCCATATCTCCTGGAACATTCAATTGCTAAATGCTACATGTCAGAGCAGTCAAAGGTCTTGGAGAGTTACTTCTCCGTCGTCACAGATGTTTTGATTGAGCATCCTGATTACCCGATGCCATTCTGGAAACTGCTGTGCATTGGTTTATACACTCTTGGGAGCGAAGTCAGCGGAATTCGATCAAAGTCTGCCCACGTTCTGCGAGCGCTAGAGGAGAGACAGCAGAAAAGCTCGAAAATTCAAGACTACGACATCAGTATATCAGACAAGACGAAAGCCGTTTACAAGCTTGCCCAATTCGAAATCTCGAAACGCCTATCAAAACAACACTCAGAATTGGCATTCATCATATTTTCCGAGATGACGATGTATTTCAAGGAAGTCCAGGCTTCTGCACAACGGAATATGGTTGCTGCTATCTTGCCTTGGGTTCAAATCGTTGAACTCCAGCTTGACCCAAATGGTGGACCTACCGCGCAATCGTACGTTCTTCTAGCAAACTTATTCGAAATTACCATCAAGTCCAGCAGCCACCTTCACAATGAGGTTCAAGCCTTGTGGCAAGCTCTTGCGACTGGCCCCCATGCTGGCAATGTTCAACTTGTTCTGGACTTCATCATGTCACTCTGCCTAGATCGACGTGAGCAAAACTTTGTGGAATTTGCTAAGCAAATCGTCGTGTTCTTGTCAAGTACTCCTGCTGGAGTTAAGGTTGTCGAGTTCTTGTTAATGCAGATCACTCCTAAGGCCATGATACCGAATGAGAAGCGAGAACTTATCCCACCTCCTCCAGATACTGGCAAACTTCCGTATCTGGCCGAGCTTTCAGAAGCATTGCCAATTGGTGCCAAACAGGCTGGGTTCTCGCTGGGCCAATTGTCTTTGATTCTACTTGTTGATTTGATGGTATCTCCCGTTCAGCTCGTTGCGGAGAATGTGCCGCTCCTCCTACAAGTCGTCACCGTATTATGGGATCATTACATACCCCTGGTACAAGAGCAAGCTCGTGAGATGCTTATTCACCTCATACACGAGCTGGTCATATCGAAGATCGATGATGACCAGTCAGCAACTAAGAAGTCGATTGAAGATTTCATCGAATCTGTACGCAGCCACGATCCCAAAGTCATTTGGGCATATGAAGACAATAATGGGAAAGTCGATGACCAGGACAACAAAGTTCCTGCGGGAATGGAGCTGCTCTCTACTGAAGTGGTGAAGAAGTTCGAAATCACTTACCCTGGTATCCAAGAGCAATGGGCTAAATTGTCCCTAACATGGGCGACTTCTTGTCCTGTGAGACATCTTGCTTGTCGGTCATTCCAGATCTTCAGATGCATTCTCACATCTTTGGATCAGCCTATGTTGGCAGACATGCTTGCCAGATTGTCAAATACCATCGCCGATGAAGATCCCGATGTGCAGACCTTCTCGATGGAGATATTGACTACACTCAAGACTTTGATCTGTAAGCTAGACCCCGGAGATCTCATTAATTTTCCTCAACTATTTTGGACTACCTGCGCCTGTTTGGATACCATCAACGAGCGAGAATTCTTGGAAGCGTTGGGTATGCTGGAGGAGTTGCTACAAAAGCTTAATCTGAATGATATAAGTGTTCGGCTGCTACTTACTGAAGGCAGGCCACCTAGATGGGACGGACCTTTCGAAGGTCTTCAGCCACTGGTTCACAAAGGTCTACGGTCATCAGTGTGTTTTGAATCGACACGCAAAGTCTTGGATAAACTTGTCCAATTACCGAATGATGAGCTCATTGGCGATGATAGTCGGTTGCTGTTCGCAGTCTTGGCAAATTTCCCTAGGCTGCTGCACGCTATGGACCAGGATCTAATCGATGCGGAGAGTATCAAAAGTGCCGAAATTTTGGCTACTATTGCGGAATTGCAGGGCTACTCTTCAATATCAAGAGCACTTGGTGGATTCGCAGCTTCAAGATATCGGTCCAGCAAAGACTTCCTAGCTCAACTCGTATCTGCTCTCAGAGAAGCTTTCTTCCCGCAATGGGAATTTGGCAGTCTCACGTTTCTCATGGGGCTACTGACCAACAGTATCCCGTGGGTCAAAGTCAAGACTATGCGCATCCTATGCTCTATCATACCTGATATTGACATGCAGAAGCAAGAGATTGCCTCTCACGGTCCTGATCTGATTTCACCACTTTTGAGATTATTGCAAACAGAATTCTGTATGCAGGCACTCGAAGTTCTGGACCAGATCATGACTATGACTGGTACCTCTATGGATAAGCATCATTTGCGTATGAGTATGACCAAATCCTCGTCCAAAGCGATACGAAAGGAATACGAACGAACGCAGAGCTTGTTTGGTATCCCGGAAGAGTCTGGATGGTCGATTCCTGTTCCTGCCAAGCATGCTGAGACAACAAGAGCGAACGTCCACGCCGCATTTTACATGTGCCAGAATTCCGAGAATATGGACCCTGAGACTGCACGTACTCCAGAAGTCGAGTTCCACGTGGATGACTTCCAGTATGGCTACTTCCCCGTCCCAGAACGAACAGAAACCATGATGTCGGATGAAGGTCGTGGTGATGGCAATATCGGTGATCTCATGATGAAACTCGACAGCTTGGACGATTTCTTCGAAGACAGTCTTCAGAGTCCCACGAGCGATGGTCGTTCATCCCGAACCATCACTGAAGCTGGTTTTGCTAGCGAAGGCTTCGAGTCTGGCGCGCAACTCTACGACGAACAAACTCTCCCGATTCTCCATCAATCCCTGGCCCGAACATCGAGCGTTGCCTCGTTTCAAAATGGATTTGCAGACATGCGGTCCTCAACGGCGATGTCGACTCAACAACCAGCCATGAACCCGGGAGCGTTTAGCATCGGACCTACATCCCGCCCGGGAATGCACTCCCGTTCCGTCACTTCACCTTCCGCCCCAGCATCTTCGTCCTCCCAAACGACTCTGGTTCCCCTCACATCTTATACCTCAGATGACGACTATACCGAAGAAGTGTTCTCCGACGGAGACGAAGACCGTGTCGCAGCATCTGGCGAAGGTTCTTTCTTTTTAGAAAACATGATCAAACCCCTAGCCCAAGGAACAAGATCAGGCATGCGACGATTGACAGGCGGAAGGAGTCGAGACAACGAGCGAATGAGAGATAATCTCCGAGTCGAAAGGAGAGGTCTAAGCCAGCCTCCGAAGAGTCCGAGAGTCCCGAAGGTGCCGAGGGAGTATTTGGGAAAGACTACCAGTCCTGGGGCGTCGTCGAGCCTAGGAGACGTGTAATATATGAGAGTGAAGATCGGATGACATTTAATGATGGCACGAAGCGAGTTTGTTTTTGGAAAGAAACAGGAGAATTGTGAGTGTATAGTACTTGGGTGCTATTGCTTGGAGGGGCTGTTGTATACGATTGTAATCGTAGAATTTCATGTGAGATGTTGATGATCGAAGCCTGCGTTCTTCGAAACCATTTGTTCTCGATGGAGGGCCTTGATGGACGTCCGGATGTCCGTATCAAGCTGAAGTCTTCTCCGCTGAGTAGTGTCTGTACACATCTTGAAGATCAGATCAAATTCATTGTTGATCGCGAGCTTACGCATTCACTCAGCTCAGAAATCCCATATTGAAAACGACATTTTTTCGAGGTCATTGTTCGTTCATTCTCGTTTTCCACATTTCCACTCCTAAAAGTAACAGAACCAAGTGGGACATTCACTTTCAGTAGCAGCCTGAAGTCGGATATTGATCAATACTCAGTAATCTAGTCAACCTCAGACAATTTGATATTCCTATTTCCTCAACGAATTTCGCTCTCATACCACATATCTACAACAACCCAGCGTCCATAAGCTTCTTGAAAGTCGTGAAATTATCCCCCGGCGCCTCCGCCTCAACTTTCTTCCACATCGCATCCAACCGCTCACAAACCCACCCCTCCAACTTCCCCTTCCGAATCTCCAAAATCGTCTCCTCCAACTGCCTCGCCCCGCTGGCCCCAACCACAACCTGATCCCCCCTCTCAACGTCCAACCCACTATTCCACACCACCCACCGATACGCCACCCCCGCGGGCCGCTCCCCCATCTCCTCGCACAACGCTCTATACTCCTCCAAAAACTGCAAAAAATTCGGCTTGCCATATATCTCGTGCAGAATCTTCCCCAAGACGGTGGAAGGATCAAACGCCCCGGAATTAGAGCGGATTTGAGCGGGTGTTTTGACCAGGAAACCGGAGCCGAGACAGGAGTAGGCTTGGATTTTTATGTTGAGACGGCGGAGGAGAGGAAAGAGGTGGACTTCGTTGAGGCGCGAGCAGAGGCTGTAGATTGATTGGTAGACGGTGGGGAGGATGTAAGAGTGAGAGGTAGCGTAGGTGTGGAGTTCGAGGACTTGGGCGGGGGTGAAGTTTGAGATGCCGAACTTTGGGGGTGGTTAGCTGCGAGGGAAGGAGAGAGGAGGGATGAAAAGGAAGGGAAGGAGGGAAAGGAAGATACCTCGTCGAAATGCCCAGCCAGGTAGAGGGCTTGGATTCCGTCCATTGTGGAAGAGATGGGGGTTGAGGGGTTGGGGACGTGGAGGAGGTAGGTTGCTACCTGTTTTTCTACATCAGTTCTCCATTGCCTTTGCAATCATAAGGCCAAACAAACCTTCTCAGTCTTCAACGCCTCGCTGCTCTCCACCCACCCCTTTATAATTCCCTCTTTCGTCGCACCCTCAGGTGTCAACCCCATTGCTGCTTTGGTGATTATCTCAAACTCGCCAGAAGAAGCGAGGCCTTCGTTACCGAGGAACTTTTCAGATTCTCCATGACCCTATATGTCCTTGTCAATTAATAATACTAGGAGGGAGAGAGGGGACATACGTAGTGACGAGCAGTGTCGAATGCTTTGATTCCGTATTTTCGACATATGGATAGAAGTTCTTGCTGTTTTTGGAGGGAGGAGGGCTCGTTGTTCCAGTAGCCGACGCCGAAGATGAGGTAGGGTGATGAGGTTGTCATTTTTGGATTCCTTCAGGGTGAGGGATATGGGGAATAATAGATGAACAAGATGTTTTGTTTGAAGGATAAGTGAGGTGAGGAATGTAGGTACTTATGTCATGAGCTCGACGCAGGAAACTCCACATTTCATGTCCAGCTATGAATCCCAGGCTCTGAAAATCCTGTCAGAATGAACATCCCTCCTGACCCTCGTCGTATTCACCAGGTGAGCAAACGCAATTCAATCAGTGTATTGGACTTGAGAGCGAGTATCTCAAAGTTTCAAAATTTACGTGATCTAAGAGCCGCGCATTCGCTGGCATCCGATTGGTCTGACCCCTTTTCTGACCACTTTCTGACCACGACCAAGGCGATCACGACGCAAGCCCAAAATTCCAAATTGAAATATGAACAAGCGAACGAACCGATCTGTGTCAAAGAATATTCTATGACCCGGAACGGAAACCAGTGTCGTTTCTTATTTCTCTTATTTAATTCTACCACTATCAAGAGCCTCAACTTGTTCCCGAGATCAAAAGCCACGTGAATCCAAGTCATCCACGACAACCTGGAAGCCACTATCCTCTGCTGATAACATAATTGTCGAGGTTAGCAGAGAGCTTCCTTATACAGTGTAGAAGATATACGGCCACGTATTGTTAAGTCTTTCGAATTAGTGAGATGTGCAAGATAGGATCAGGTATATAAGTCGAGTTCTTAGACATTGCAAGAGTCGGTCTATGTTCGGCTCCTATTTCGACCGTCTACACCTAGAAATGTCCGAACCTTACTTAGCTTTACATTACAATATTTCTACAAACCCTACGCCCAGACTATCTATTCTCCCAATATATAATCATATTCCAATCTCTTCGTCTAAACTAGGCCCAAGTGATCCTCGCCATGCTCACAAAATTAGCACAACTAGCGTAACTAATCAAAAGCGTCTTCCCTGTTGGATCCCATCCTGGATGCGCATGACCCTGATAGTTGAAATTGAGTTCGGGGAAGGAGGCACATTGCGGGGGTATTGGTGGTGTCCAGATCGCTATCAATATCTGAAGTTAGTGGAACGTGACTGGCATCGTTGATCCCTGAAAGGAATTGAAGGATGGAAGGGAGCAAGGCGTGAGATCTTGACATACCTACAGGTTCACTCCATAGCCCTTCCACCTTATCCGTCTTTGCATAGCTAAAAATGCCCCAATTAGTCTTTGAATGTTGACTTCCACGAAGCAAATTTCTGAAGAACCACACACCTAAACCAAAACGTCGCATCGATCCCCGCATCATTCCATAGCATCACCGTCGTCTTATGATAATTCGAATACCAAACATCTCCCACATTTGGTCCGACTCTTGTCCCATTTCCCTTCGGACCCTCTCTGCTCCACGTGATGATATTTCCCTCTTCTTCGTCCTTAGTCAATGGGTCTTTTTGCCAGGTTTTAGTAGCTGAGTTGTAGTAGGTGTACTGGTTGCGATCTGCGATACTTGATTGCGTGCTTGGGGTTCTTGCTACTTTGATTCCTGTTACGTCGGAGCCGTAAAGATAGAGGTAGCCGTCGGGTTTTGCTTCTAAAGCGAAGGTTCCGTACTATCAACGAGTTAGCGAGATATTGTAGGAGATGCATACCAGGATAGAATGAGTTGTCATGCAAATTGTATAGATTCATCTATCAAATTGACAATACAACACTTACATAAACTTCATTGGCATAGAATAGCCGTCCATTGCCTAGTCTTTTGAACGGAGGACTTTCTCCTGGGCTAACTGTACTGGGATCTGTTACGTTCATCTGCACCATCGTATTATAGAAGTCTGTGCTATTGCCTTCATTCAAACAGGGGAAGACGCCAAGAATGGTTTGTCCATCAGGCATTGGTGTCATCCCACTTAGCACTGTACACCAAATCAGTACTTTGATCTGCATCGTTTTCCAGAGTGCTTGTGATCCCAATCAAGGAGATCACGAACGATAACTGATTCCATGTTTACTTACTCCAAACAGCAAAAATTGGACCAACATCCGTTTCATTACCTTCAGGCCCAACAGGAACAATGCCACTAAACACCGCCTTGCCCTCCGGGCCCTTCAGCCCAAATTGATACAAATTCAACGGATTGTCAGGATCTCTCTGGTCACGTCGTTAGCCATTTTTTCTTCTTGATGAGGTCAGGGGTAATTCTTACATATCCAAAATAAGCAACAGAATTATGCACAAAATTAAACCCACTCGAATTCGTAGCCGAGTCCGCAAAAATCTGAACATGATACCCGTTCTGACTAGCGCCACCTCCTCCATCGTGATATATCCCGCCATCATGGAAGACGGGATCATTGACGAAGCCTAGATCTTCTACAGATGCGGCTGTGAAGGGCAGGTGGTGGTCGTAGTTTACGGAGAAGACGACGGGGAGAGTGAAGACTGATTTGTAGGTTGTGAAAATTAATGTTGTCATGCAGAGAGAGGCAAGAAAGGTTATTGTGATTGCAAGTAGGCTGCGGAAGGAGATGTTGTTAGGCCGTGAGTGTGTCAGAGAGGTCGGGAGATGATCTAGGCCTCTCATTTTCGGGAGCTCCAGTCATGTTTGGGAGATTGAGATTGATGGCCTCATAAGAATGATATTTGATGGGGGACCCTTCGAAGCTCAAAAGCCCCTTATCTATGATTGTGATGATTGGTGTGTTGCACTACGAAAGTTGGCAGTTGATACTTTACCGCATTCAAGCTAGATCTTCGTTCGTGTTGCCGAGGCTCAACGAAGAGATGGTTTTGCTGCTGAGGCTGCATCTCTCAAGTCCCTTTGCTCTGTGTCGTATGTATCGTCAGCTTCAAGTGTGACTGGTATAAGTTCAAGACCCGGGATTAAGTCACTCCGGTCTTCGACCTGGAGAAATCGATAGCAAGAAGATGGTACTGAATCACGTGAGATAGTCCACGTGAAGACACCCATTTTCTCTACGTGTGCTTGACATGGTTAAGTCCTTACCAGACACTACAACGAGAGCAGGATCTGGAATAAAGAGTCTAACAAGTTACCTACGGGCTTTTGGTGGAAATGCCTAAGTTGCGCAAAATGCGCAAATCGCGCGAACAGCGCATTGTCCGCTAAATGCGCATTGTGCGCGGAATGCGGAAATGGAAATGTAGACAAGAATATGTCAGTGTATATTTCAGGAAGACAGTGTCTTTAGAACTGTCTCGCTCCTCTAACAAAGACTCATACCAGTTAAGAGATCTCCAACCACCACATCAATTCCAGCGCTCTGAGAATCCTCTATACCAAACCCAAGAAATACCACATCATCAAGAAACCCATGATACTTCTGCTTACTCGACTTCCAGCTCATCGACGTGATGTACATCATCTCCGTCTGATTGTAATTCCGCACTTTCCCATCCTTAATCATCATCTCAGCAAGCCGATCCTGCTCGTTCAATGAACTCGGTTTCCAACGGCCGTGAATCCAAAATGGTTTCGAAGAGATGCCATGGATCTTGAACGGGGATTTTTGCTCAAAGAGCATTGCGTATGGCTCGTAAACGCTGTGGAAAAAACGATAGCGCTTATGCTGGAAGATGGTAAGGATGAAAGTGTTTTCCTCATTCATTTTACACGACGGATCTGATCGTTTGCAAAGTGTGACGGAGAGCGAGTTCGTTGCTTGATGAAGAGATTCATGATCAGGGCCAACTGTAGGCAGGTACTTTGCCATGCAACTATCATCTCCGGCACGGGCAGCTTGAGGTGCGAGGTCTTCTCCTACCGAACCGTCCAGTTCCAATTTTGCAAAAGCACGTTTGGGTGAGACATCGTAGTGAACATAGATCTCGCCCTTGTGGTCCCAGAACACGAACCAATTCTTTTCGACTTTTCCATAGGGAAGTGGCCGTTGAAGTTCTGTTGCATTCTTGAACCCGGTGTCAGAAGTTCCACCATTTCCCCAATCGAGCAATGACCTTAGATCATGGACAAACTGCCCGAAACAAGTGAACCTCGAATTCGAGCCGTAAATGGTGTACGGTGCATCTGGTCCATAGAAGACGCGCGCATCGTGTGGCCCAATGTTTAAGTTGAGGACTAAATAATCTCCGTCACACTTGTCTCCGGGTGTTGTTATGACAGGTAAGATGGAGGGGCTCTCCAGACATCGAAGGGTGCCGTTTTGGAAAGTCGCATTGCATGTTATTTCAGCAAAGGTCATTGGGAGACGACTATCCGGGTCATGTCGTTGGGCAACGATGACCCAAGTGTCCTCTAAGGATGGATGAGGTATGATATTAGGGTTGATGGACCTTCGGTCGATGAAGTCAACGAAGAAATACTTCCTGTCATTTGTTGAGACGGAGTAAATCTCGTGATGTGTCTGTGCGTTGGCTTCTCCCTCGGGGACGGTATTGGATGTGGGTATCGAGATGTAATCATTTTGAGGGAGAATATGGTAGTTTGGCTCCGAAATGAATACGTTCCATTCATACAGTATGACAGCTGTGAATGTACAAATGACGAGTAATGACCAGAAGCGCGATCGCGAATTAAATTCCGACCTGTCTAGCAACATCGCTGGAGGACGGAACCCTGGAGACGTTTCCTGTAAACATTGGAGCAAAAGTCTTATGTGTAGAAATGTAGACAAGAGGATTTTGATTGAGGTTGGGGAACTTGAAATCTGATACTTGGTGTGCCTCATATTTACCCTTGTGGCAAGTGAGGAAAACGGATTGACCCCTAGCACCGTTTCGAAACAGCGGAAAAGCTTTGCGCTTGACGATCAGGTCTGTGAGAGGACAACATGCGAAAACCTGAAACAAAAGCTGGGGTGCGACTTGCTGCCATTAGACTCATGCCTAGGTATTACCTTGATTCGACTCGGACATTCATGTGCGATGCCTTCAAAGTGATGCGAGTCGCTTCGCAATGCAGCCAACGAGCCACGAGAGAAGCTTCCTCAGAGAATGAAAATATGACAGTGTCCATTGGGAAGCATTTTCTCTCAACCTCTGAGATTATCAATTGACTCACTGATTTGATGAACCCTAGAAGAAATGTACGTTTTGACAGGTGACTCTTTATCCTGGCTGCCACCGTGGATATTGATCAGTCGCATGAGAACATGCTATGATACCAGCTAAAAATGCTATAGCTCTCCCAGAGACCGAAGATACTGTTTCGCAGACATCAAATCTTCCATAAAGCTTTTTGGTTTTTATATAAGTACCTGAGTTGGGCTTCAACAAGATGACCGCAGCTCGAAAGTATAATAGATTCTTGAGCGACGCACACTTAGATGATATTTCAAGTTGTGTAAAGAGCGGACTTCATCGCAATCATAATGGGCTATACCTGAAGAACAAGAAACTCAAAATCGCGTGCTATTTGAGAGCTGTCAATGAGCAAGATGACCCTTGGCTATCTACTTGATTCTCCTAGAGTGACGCGATGCGTTGGCTTGAGGGCGCGGTGGAGGGGTTTCATCGCGTGGTACGTAGAGCTTCTGCAATGCTTCGGGTATGTACTATGACAAGTTATCAGCGGTTGTGCTAGAACATACTAATAACTCACGTATGGGTCTTCTCTCCCCCAATCGTCATCAGGGATATTGGTCACTCGTTGTTGACGAACAATGCGAACCTCAGGAACATGGTCTGGTTCATTCTTGGGTACGAAATCCTTTCGCAAAGTGTTGTTGAGGAAATGGTCTCGAGCATATTCTGCATCTGGACATCATTTGAGAAAGCCTTCCCGAGCGAGCTCTGCGTCTTCGCACGGATGTGTGGAGTCTTCAAAGATTGTATGGCCCGGCGTAAGTGAAAATAACATATCCACGTCCTTCTTGTCATCTTCAACGAGGATCAACTGCTTAAGGCTAACCCATAATATCAGCTTGCGTCGTAGCTCAATACCAGCAGATACGCGATCTCCTGTTCCCAGGTGTGTTATCATGTCCCACATGCGACGTGGTAGAGCGAGATTCTTAACTTGTTGCAAGTCTGATATCAAGACATTCGGCATCTCCTGACCTCTAGCCCTCATTGCAGTTTTGATCCACGAAGCCCAGGCAACAACACCATTGCGAAACACGTTAACACAATCCCAATTCGATCCAAAATAGAGAATATCCGATGTGAGGTCTGCATATATGTTTGGTGTTCCAAAGCAGAGACGGTATCTCCGGAGCGCGATTTCTCTGGATTCTCGACACACAGTAAGTGCCGCTGGGTTTGGCTTGTTGTCGTGCTCGCGGAAATGAAGCATTGCAGCAGAGCCTTTGCGAAAATCGCTGACCGACAGCACTCGCGGACCAGGTAGTGAGAGCTTCCAAATTTTGAATCGCAGCTCGGTTGGCAGATCTGAGAACCGCTGGAAAGGGACAAGATTTGCAGCCGCTTCTTGGTCTTTAATGACGGCCAACTTGCGTTCGTAGATATCATGTCTTCCCTCCGAGCTTAAGACGAACTCGTTGTCTCCCCGCAGTCTGTCGCATAGCTCTTCTCTGCAGCCATACTGGCTTAGGCCCCGTCGCATCAATTCAGCACGTATATCTGCTGTTTCTGCATCGGGCCATTTGAATCCATAGTTTCTGGGGTGGAACTGGTTTTCGTGCATAGAAAGGTTTTCTTCATCAGAGGAGGCCTGTGCCTCAAGCTCCGTAAATTCGTCCATGGGTGGAATGATATATTTGAGATGATGAAGAGTGCATTGGGCTCTGCTCTGGTGCTTAAAGATAGGCTAGCTACTTTGGTTCTAGTTTTGTTTCAGCATGTCTCACACGACCGACATCGACTACCTAGATATTGATAGCACTGGCTTCACAGCGATAATTGATCGATATTATATAGCCCAATTGCAAAATCCGATGCGGGTAAGTCATTCTTTTCAGGAGAAATCATTTAGAACCTGTGAAGATGAAATGTGTCTCGAGTGAAGCATGGCAGAAAAGTTGAACAGGCCCCCTTTTCACCTCGGCTATAGAGATTCTCGAGCGAGATCTTGAAGACATCTCTTCTCGAGACGTAATGGGATCAAGACATAGAGCAATCATTCCCATTCTACGATACCCTCCTGAAGAATACTTTAATCTCATGGCATTCGAGCCATGATGCTCTGTACATATTCAAGGACTAAATGTTTTGGGCACATGACGACTGCTCAATACGCGCTAATAAGATCGAATCGTATGCTACATGAAGAAAGAGCTTCTCGCACTCCACTTTCCTCCTTCCACTGCACCTCGCTCCGAAATGTTCTACTTCTTCAACATCTTCTCCGGCTTCTTCTCAAACTTCTCACACCACTTACTCCAACTCCCAGCTCCCCTCTCCATCGTCGCCTTAAAATCATCCTCAAACACCACACTCTGCCACTCCTCATCCGCCCACCCCGTCTCGCCCTCCTGCCTCTCACCCCCCGTCCTCCCCCTAACCACCGGCGTCCACCCAATAGCCCTCATAACCTCTATCTCCGTGGGTGGCACCCCCGCACTATCAAACATCCGCGGATTCTTCTTATGACAACACTCCGCCAGATACTTACTCAAAACCTCCATCTTCTCATCCTGCTGAAACCTCAAATACAAATCCCTCTCCTTCCCGCCATACTTCCCAAATGCTGAATCGCGAGCCCCAAGACGTTTGGTGATTATCCGAGAAGTGTTCCAGCCTTTGATGCTGGCGTAGGCCCAGACGACGTCGATTTCGAAGAGACCGCCAAAGGGCCAAACGATCGCTGCGAGTGTGTCGATTGTGAGTGTTACTGGCAGCAGGAATGTGGATATAGCGGCTTCTTTTGTGGCTTTCTTTTTCGTGCGGGTGATTTGCGCGACGAATTCATCGCGGATTTCGGGGATGGTGTGTGTTACGCTGGTGGGGGAGATGAGGACGATTTCATCGACTTCTGTTTTTTGGTTGTTAGTTGAATGATCTTCATTAGTTGGACAGGAGTGTTTGACATGCCTTCGCTCTGGATGCGACCTAGGAAGACGATGTCGGTGGATTTGATGCGGTGGATTGCCCATACTACTCCTTTGGTGGTTTTGCTGTGTAGACCTCGCAATGAGAGAGTCTTTCCGTCAAATTTCTTTGCTTTTTGAACCTGTGCTTGCTTTCAGCTTATCATTGACGCATAATTCATATGAAATTGTTAGTCACCTCTTCTTGAAGCTTCCTCTTACACCAATGCTTCTTCGGCTCCTTTATCCCCTTTGCTGGTTTCAAAAAGTGTGGCTGTGGAGGTGTGTAAATCAAGAATCGCTGAAGAAGGAAGTCAATACCAGTTGAATCATTGACATTGGAACTACTTGCACATACTTCTGGTAACGAGTCTTCATTCTCGGTGTTTTTGGTCAACTTCGGTTTTGGCAATGGGATCAAGTACGCAATGAGCTTGTGTAGCTCTCTCGTGTACCTCGGTGGACCATTCTTACCATCTTCAGATGCTGAATCATCTTCATCGATGGTTGGAGGAGGAATGGTAGCACGCTGTCTGAAAGGTGCGGGTCCTGCTCTCGTTGGTGGTGTTGGCGTAGGCTTGAGAGAACGAGCAGGTTCATTTGGTGATCTCAAGGGAAGTTGCGGAGGCTCTTTCTTAAGGTCAAAGTAACCAGAATGCCCTTGTCCAGGTGGCCTTGGAGGAGCTTCTGGTAGCCCTGGCTTTTCTGTAGGAGCATTCGTGCCATTTTGGCCAGGTTGGTGTGCCCCTTTTAAGAGCGAATCTTCGCTTTTGTCTGTTTTCTCGTCTTCTAAATCATCCAGCCCTTCGGGATTTGCGAAAGGATCGTATATGTGGAGGGCTGTTGGGCTCTGTTCAGGAGTTAAGTAGACAGATTTGCCTGTGTGGTTCGGCACCAGTGCTCCGACAGACATTTCAGACAAAGTAAACTTAACGCTGTACGCCCGAATTCAGACTGAAGTAGGTGTCCTGATTATATAAAGCTGCTCAGTATGAGGAAATGTCCAAATTTCAGCATTCGAGCTGAAGCTTCGGATATAGTTCGCTTAGCTGGGTTTCACCTCAAATCCGATAGTAGTGCATTATGGCATTGTATAAGTCGCACTAGAACAAGCTAGTCCCTTGTCAAAGAAAGTGTATCATGACTTGGGATCGTTGTCACGACTCATGACAGGAGCGGAATTTGAACTTTTGGATGGAGGAATTCGGGCCTGAAGCTCAGATATGACGAAAAATCTTGAAACAAGACATGCCGCCACTGAACGTGACATCATCGCGATCTAGATCCAATCTTATTATATCAGATAAGAAGATTCGAGAAACGGGATACTGTCAAAAAGCAAGGACGACCATGGTACGTTCAGACAAAATTGGAAAGTGACCCGAAGAACTTAGCTGAATCACATGACCAGCTCTCATCCCCAAGGAGTAGCAGATGAAAGTCAGAAAGGAAAATGGCTTTAACCATATACCTGAAATGAGACCTTCTATCTACAAGCGATATATACGACGCAACTAAGATTTATTTAGATAACTTCGAAGTGTTCATCAGACCAGACAATCAGGGAATGTTCAAGTCTCGGCATTGGTACGGACAATCTGGACTCCAAAAGCAAACATCTTCAAGTGGAACTTCTCATGAGTGTATTTAAACATTAAACAACAACGACATGTTCTAAGTAAAAGCCAATAGAAAAACTCAAAATTCCTCACCAGAGCCACTTGCACTCCGTCTGCATTCGCACCCTTCCTTCATACAATATACAGTATCAAAGCCCAAGAATATGCTTCAACGCTCCTCCCAATCGTTCTCTCAGATCTCCATCCTGATCTTTAACTCGCCAAGCAACAAATCCATCAGGTCGCACAAGCAAAGCTCCTTGAGAAGAGATCCCAGCAGCAGTTTCCCACTGCCGCTTTGGATCCGATAGATCTCCAGTTGGGCCGACACGATAAGCATCCAACTCCAGACCCAAATTTTCGGCGACTTCAGAGGCAGCATGGCACCACGATTTCCCTTCCGATCCAGTGAGCAAGACAAAATTCTTGCCAAAGAGGTCAAGAGTAGAGATTTGTTGCCCTTCGTGTTGGACCCATGTATGAGGAGCTCTGGTCCCAGGTTTGCCATTGAATCCAAGTACTAGCGAAGGGATTGTCCAAGGGACAAACCACCACGACGTCCATGCAGAAGGCGTTGGCTCTTCGGGTATGGTTGCCTGAGAGGTATACTGATAACCAAAACCCGTATACATTGGTATCCTCCACAAGGCTCTCAGCATAAAAACGAAAAGACTGTGCGTCGTATCAAGCAAGCCGTACTGATCTGCCATCTTACCAGATTCTGCAGCCACAAAACGTGCAACTGGGACGCGCTCGCTCTCATACGTCTCAAGCAATCGTTGGTTCGCTGTACCTTTCAAGACCATGGCAATCTTCCAGGTAAGATCGAAAACATCTGCGATTCCAGTTGTTGCTCCTTGTCCAGCATAAGGTGTCGTTTGATGGGCTGCGTCTCCTGCAAGGAAGATTCGACCCTGCTTCATTCTTTCGGCGGCAATGTCCGATGGGTGCCAGGGAAGTGCGCTCTTGATGTCGATCTTGATATCTGGAACCCCAATCGCAATGCGAAGCAATTGTTCACAACGCTCCATTGTGTAGTCTGACGCCTTCTCTCCTTTGCTGGGATCATAGGAGAGATGGAAAACCCAACGATCACTGTTGTTGATTGCTGTGAAGATGCCCCGCACTTCGGGTCGTTCGATGGTACATAGACTAATCTCGCGTCCTTTGACCAGCTCTCTCAGATCGGCGTGGAAAAGAATGTTGATCAAATTCCCCAATGATCCTTTGCCTGTTGTCCCAATACCGAGTTGCTTCCGAATTGGACTTCCTGCACCATCAGCGGCAATGAGGTACTCTGCACGAACGGTCGAAGTTGTGTCACTTTCTTGGCCCCGGAGAGTCACAGTGACACCATTCTCATCCTGTTCAATCCTTTCACATAGCGTATTGAACCGCAGATTCCCACCCCGTTCACGTGCCGTCTTGACAAGGACCGGCTCCAGCATATCTTGCGTACATCTAGCCCCCTTCACAGGACTCACGCCATCAGCGAATGCAAAAGGCATTTCGCCTTTCTTGCCTTCCTTTCGTTTCCTAGGTTCCATCACTTCAGCAAGTGAGTTTCCTCGACAGATTCCCATGCTAGGTTGCAATTCAGCGCCCGCGTCTCGCACCAAATCGTCGAAATGAACTGATCTGAAGATCTCCATGGCGCGGGTATTGAACCCACGGGCTCGGGGATGGATTGAGGTGCCTGAGTGGCGCTCAATAAGGAGGTGAGAGATTTTGTGAGAGGAGAGGAAGAGTGAGGCGCTCAGGCCGACGATGCCTCCGCCGATAATCACGACTGGAAAATGTTCGGCCATTTTGTGTGCTAGGTGGTGGCTTCTCGATGTAGAGAAAGTAAATTGAAGCATTTACATGGTGATAGCAATGGGCGGAGGCTGTTATATAGATGGAAGGTTGCTGAAGGATTGTACATTTCGTAAATCATGACGACAACATGAGAAGTTCCGACTCCGTATCCGAGTCCGATCCGAATCCGGCTCTGAAGTCGATCATGAGGCAAAAGACTGATTGATGACGATCGCGAGGGATTTAAGAAGTTTCGGACCTTGTCTGAAATTGTCTTCCAGAGAATTTTAGATACTGAAATATTCCCTTTAATTGAGGTTGCTTATGGAGTCAAGTACAAATTCATCGGCTGTCAGAAGTTGAGGTTTGGTGAGGCTCGCTAAGCTTCAGGGGCATGCCCCGCCTTTCGTTGTTGTTTTTCCTGAAGCAGGACTTTAGCAGTAGTGGTATTCATCATAATGTCTCAAAGCCTCTCGTTTGACCTTTGTGAGAGCGACCGTATGAGAAAGCAAATGTTTCTTATCAAGTCTATGCTATGTACTGATCCATCTCTGCAAAATTTACCTTAAAGCAAAGCCTAACCCGGTTACCCAGCCACGATATGTGTGCAAATCAAATGCCCAACTTGAAAAAAAGAAAGCCTAACCCGACCGCAATATGTGTGCAAATCAAATGCAAAACCTGACCTTATCCAGCTCCGAATCACTCTGTTGTCCGTTATCGACCTCCGATACAGCAAATCCATTGCCCAAGTATCCAAATCTGTTGGTTTGTCTTCCGCTCTTTGCCCTGAACTCGAAATCTTCCCATCTGACATTCGCTAACATCTTCTCCCAATGAGTCTGGCTGCCAGGATGGAGTGCAATCACCTTCTGCTCGCTTCCGTTAACGTTCTTGCTCTTGTACCAGCCTCCACATCCCTTTCCATCCCACGCAGTTCGTGGCATGAATGTTTGCACATGCTCATTAAAGTCTTCGACAGCGGAAGGTAGGGGTCGAACAGAAGCAAGATGTTCGAATTGCATCTTACGGATATGAGCAAGAACGTAGTCGCAAATATGAGTGCTGATTCGTGGGATAGCTCCGTGCGCAAGTGGACCATTGGGGCCTAACAATCCTGTTACGATTAGCATTAAGTCCTGGAATGGAACATTGCGAAGTAAAAGTATTATAGTATAGACTTACTGAAGTAATTCGGCATTCCCTCAGCCATGACGCTCATGTAAGCAATTGGGCCTCCATTCTCCTCGCGCCACTCGTCCTGCAAATTCCGTCCATTATCTCCTAGGACTGGATAGCGGGGCACGAAAGATGTATTGAAGCCAGTGGCGCAGATAATGGCATCCACTTCAATATGCTCTCCTGATTCTAAAAGAATACCTGTCGTAGAGACTGCTTGGATCTGGGTCTTGGCAACTTCGACATTAAGTGCACAAAGTGATTTGAGGTATCCGACTGAACTTGTGATACGACGACATCCAACTGGCCCGGTTGGAATAAGAATGTCAATCAGTTCTGGCTTTTCCTCCAACTCTTGCTTCATGTATTCGGTGATTGTCACGAGGGAGTGCAATGCTTCGTTGGAGCCGTTCAAGATCTAATATGGAGCTTGGTCAGTCAAATGAGCCCCAAAAACAGTAACAGGGAGACAAGGCCTTATACTTACCGTCTTGAACCTCTCTTTCTTACACAAGTGGTCAATGTCTGACAGAAGCTTGGCATACTCTTCAGGATTATCAAGAAGATTCTGCTTCCACTCTTCAGGAAAGCGATCCGAGGAGTCAGTGGTGAACTGTTGGCAAAATTGAACAGGTTCGCTAGGGCCTGCAATCCAGGTTCTGGAGCGTATGCAATGGATCAACTTCTTGACGTCTTCATTCAAATTAGCAAAAAATCAAGTCTACGTACTCATTTACCCAGCTGGGAAACTTACCTGGCTGCATAGCTGGTACAAGTTGAACACCAGTCGCACCGTTTCCAAGCACCGCTACTGTCTTACCGTGATGGTCAAAATCCTTCGGCCAGTTTGCAGTGTGGATCAAAGGGCCTTTGAAGGCATGTAGTCCTTTGATAGTCGGCCATACCCAGTTACTGTTGTTGGTATCAGCTTCCTATTTATTGCTTGAAGTAGTGCGGGAAACAAACTTGAAGATTCCTGTGGCATCCACAAGAACTTGACCACGGTCCTCCAAATCGCTGCCGGTCCGCTCATCCCTGACTTTGACCACCCATTCGCCACAGCCTTCATGCCATTCGGCGGAGGAGACGCTATATCCCGTCTTGATGTTATTCCGTAAGTCATTCTTATCGATGAAGCGATTCAAGTATTCCTTGATTTCTCCTGCCGGTGCAAAGACCGAGCTCCAACTTGGGTTTGGTGTGTGCGAATATTGATAATGGTGGGATGGGTCGTCAGAAGCACATCCAGGGTATCGATTTTCGTACCAGGTACCTCCACACTCAGGATTCTTGTCATAGATGACATAGGAGACTTGAGAAGCATATTTCTGGAGAGTATAGAGCATGTTGAGCCCACTAACGCCAGCTCCGACGATAATTACACGCATGGGATACAGCTTTCCAAGGGGTTCCTCTGGGATCTTGTACTTCAATTCGATAGGATCAGCGGCGCATTGAACCAATGGAGATTGCGATGGTGCAAGGACTGGGTAAGGCCGGGCTGCAGTTGCAGAGGCTATGCCAGCTCTTAAGACTGCCCTTGCATGGCCTCGGGGAGTCTTGCCTCGGGGCAAGGAGAGAATAGCACCTGAATAGAACCTTGTAGTTCTGGGCATATTCAAAATTAAGGAGTCAATGCTGTAGGGTAGAGGAAGGCAGAAGGTTCTTTGAGATGGTGTGGGTGGCTATTCGAAAATGGAAGGTCGTTGAATCTAGATCGATCCCAGTCGGATTCAGATGTACTTTTGAAGCTCCATAAACGGAGCGGGACATTCTCGTTTAAACTACGTCGGTAGAGAGTAATTCGGCCGCATTCACGCCTAGTGTCCCGAGGAAGCAGGACCGACGTCAGTTCGTCAGTTCCGAAGTAGGAAGAAGCACAACTACAACTCCGGTTCCGCTTTGCCGCCACAGGAAAGTAATTCATCAACAACACTGGACTGTAAGATAAGGACAGGAAACCATGGCGGCACATTTGAACTCTTTCAATGCCATCGAGGGATTGCCAAAGCAATCCGACGTTGTCGTGGTCGGTGGCGGCATTCACGCATTAATATACGCCATCCACGCCCGTACAATCGAAATGAAGGAAGGAAACACAGGCATGTAGCATGCTCTTCAAGCACACCTTTGTCTATAGTCCAGCTCTATTGTTGTACAATAAGGCTGATAGTTATACACCCATTAGAGCCTGCGACCAACTTTACCGTTCTCGAGAAGTCAGACACTCCAGGCTACAAGATTGGGGAGTCCACTTTGACCGTCTTTGGCCTCTGGTCGAAGCTTATTGGTATTGACTCCCCAATGCTCTGGCGTCTTTTTGGACCCAAGGATGGCCTTGCCTTCTATTACTTCGGTCACACTGATGATCCCGAAAAATATACCAACTTCGTTGCCAACGGTCCTCCTGGAGACTTCGTGCCAACATTACAAATTGAGAGAAAGGTCAGTGAGCTTATGCTCACTCTCTTTGCCCAACGACTAGGAATCACTGTCCTACATGGCATGGTAGCCATCATTGACAATGAGACGGTACACCAAGAAGGTGGAGACAAAGACACATCATTGAAGGTGTTGGATAAGGAGAGCATGGTGCAAGAAATCATCGACACTCGTCTGTTGATTGATGCCACTGGTCGCTTCCACCGCTTCATCTCTAAAGGCAAACAACGTGTCCAACGACCTGAAGGTGCTGAAGGATTCAACACGTCCGCATTTTGGGCGTATTTTGACTGTCCTGTCGACGAAAAGGAGATTCCACTCAGAGAATACGAAAGCGTCAACACAAATCATATTTGTGTTCCCGAGGGATGGGCTTGGGTCATTCGACTCCCGACTTGGGAGGGAACACCGCTTCCAAACCTCACCAAGATGATCAACTACCTGCTTGATCTTAATGCTGCGAAGACACCTCCAGATGCATATCCATCGACGGCCGAACTTGTTTCGATGTTCGACTTGAAGTTCCGTTGGGTTGTCAGCATCGGCTTCGCTCTTCGATCAGATGTCGTTTATCCTTCCAATATCTCCGAATACGGAAGCTGCGAGGCTGCCCAAAAGTTCAGCTGGGTAGTCTCCCGTTATCCAAAGGTTTGTGATTTCATGAAGAAGTTCACATTGATCAAGGATTTGTACGGTCCCGGCACCACATGGTACACTCGGAAGAACCTTGCTTTCCGGTCTCCTCAAGTAAGCGGTCCTAATTGGATGGCGATTGGCGACGCTGTTGGCTTCACAAATCCATTGTATTCCCCAGGTATCAATGCAAACATGGCAACCAGTATCTTTGTTGCTGAACAGACCAAGGAATACCTCAAAGCCGGCGATACCAGAAAGGATGAATTGCTTGCAAAGTACGAGAACTTTTGCAAGGATCGTGTTCCGAATCTTCAGCGAATGAATGTCTTCAACTATAAGTTGATGCGTTCTCCTCTGCTTGGTCCCATTGGCCCTCTTTTCCAATACTTGATCGGTACAGGCAATGCGCGATTTCAAGGAGCCTCGAAGTACACACTAGACAACTGTGCTGAGCTCCTGACAACTTGGGACTGGGGTGCGAACGAACCTGAATACATCCACATAGCCGACATCATCTGCGAGATCCTCGAAGGTGCTGCTGATACTCCATTATCTCCAGCACAACTGTTCTTGGTTGAGATTGTTTCTCAATGGGGTATCAAGAACACCATGGCGACTGGCAAGTATAAGGGTCGGTGGAGCGGTCTTTTCCGTTATTATAATGACGATCTGGTTTTCTGTAAGCATAAGATTGACCGGGATGTCTTGGCTCGTCGTTGTGATAGCTGTGGGGAGTGGCGTATGTTGAGACCAGACGCTCTGAAGTGTCCGTTTTGTGGCACTGAGCATAACATCAAGAAGTGTACAAAGGTCCTGTATAGCTCTTGATTATACTGAAGGGAGTGTGTTGGGGACTGATTGCTCGTATTCGAGATTTGTGGGGCGGTGCTAGGGTTCTGGGACTACATTGAATTTTTCGGCGTCGAACTTTTTGCTCAGACTTGAACTGGCTGCAGCATAATAATTTTGCTTTTTGGTAGTAGAAATAGAATATCTACTCATGAGATATTCGCACTGAGTGAGAAGGCTTGAATTAGATGTGAGAGATGAATGAGGTTGCGCGGCTTTCCACCTCACATGCCGTACGATCTCTTAGCGCCACTAACAAATCTCAGCGATTTTCGGGGCCGAAAACCTAACCGTTCCACATGTATGATTTGGTGAATGACGAAAGCCAGGACTTCTACTCTCAAAGACGTCGACGAGCCCAGAATGGAAACAGTACAACGACAAATCAGAATAAACAAGGCAAGGAACCTTATCGTTCTCAGTCACACACTCAAATAGAAAGGCAAGCCAGTGCCAATATTGTCGACACTGCAAAAACGAATACATCGAAGGCAATATAATAGACTCTGGTCAAGTTCCATTGTTCCGACGTCATGAACGGCGTGGTTCTTGCGAGGTCTGCTACAAGAGTAGCAAGTTTAGCTTGCGTTTCGGGCATATTCACTATTGTTTGTTCTCACATAGTCTCAGTATTGGATGAAAACTTTTCATTTCTACCATTGGGGTTTCTTTTCAAATTATCTCTCCTCCCAAGCAAACACTTCGTTCTCCAATATGAGGTTATCCAAACCTTGAGTGTCTCGACATCATGAGATGAGAAACTGAAAGTTTGTTTCTGTTCCTCAGCAGGGTGTTCCGCTTTCCCGAGGACTGCGGCGAATGGACCGCAGAGAAACTTCGAACTTTCCAGGCTGCAGCAAGTCTTTGACAACTTTGTGTCTGGCGTCATGAAAGTACGGATCTTGATGCTCAGCAGGGTGTGCACAATGACGTAAATCGGAGTAGGATGCAGTAGCGTCATGCTTCATCTCCAAGATTGCTTGCGTACTTTCCCATATTGATCTTCTGTCAACGCCCAGGGTGTCGTGTAGACCACATATGAATTTCAAAGCTTGCATCTTAAGCCATCCACATCCGTTATGCGGGTCATAGAGCGTGGACGGTACCAGTGCCGTCAGCTCGGTAACCAGAGATAGGCAGATGCGAGTCCTTTCAAGACTGAGTGACTCTTATAACATGTCAGCAGTCGCTCTCATAGGCATTGAGAGTGTTAGACATACTTCGAATAAGTGCCATCTTATCATCATCAACACCAGGAGCTTCATCAAGATCGTCATACGATTCCTGCCCCTTATGGTGCAAAACCAAGGCTGCAGTTGTATTGCACAGCTTTTCTCCTCGTCGAGCAAGTATGCAGTCAACGTCAAAGCCCACAGCACTTTGCTATCTGTGATACCATCACACTTCAACCAGTCTTTGGCGGCCCACCAAAGCGGGACAACACAGCACCACTTATCTGCGGTAATAGCCACATTCAGCACCTCTTTCGAAGACAATTCCTTGTTGAAATTCCGATTGCGTCCATGGAGGATGCTGAAAATTGTGACTATGGCGTCAAAGTCGTCTTCCGGTAATGACAGATGTACGGGCTCGGAAGGGTTGTGTTCAAGCAGTGCTTGGCCTTCGCTGAACTGGGGACCGAGGAGAGTAGCGAAAGGTTTCGAAGCGTTCTTCAAGATCAACGAGTAAACACGGACTCTTCGCTTCAAAGGACCAACGATGAATAGAACGTCTCCATTGGGGGCGATGTCAACGGGGGTGTGGTCGTCCTTGTAGAGGGGTTTATTTCTTGATTTGTCGATGTCCATGATCGAGGTTGCAGAATTAAATCGACTGGAGAAATGCTAGAAGAGCAAGCATGAGATAGAAAAGATTGTAAAGAGAGGAAGGGATGAAAGGAAGGTTGGAGTCTTGCGTTTGCAAGTGAATAACGGTGTGTTCCGGGCCGAGAATATTCCCGTGCGGAAGAGTGCAGGTTCTCAAACAGTCGCAACGTCCAACAAAATACGACTAGTCATAAAGAAAATTTCAAATTCTCTGATTAGAGAATTCTATTTTGATAATGTTGCGAGTATGAAGATATTGCTGCTTTGGTTTCAGGGTCGCGTTCAGTGATACGGTATGGCCTGACCCCGTATTTAGCGAGAATATGTATTCACTATACTTTGGCCAGGCCAGCCATGCATCTTCGTCGCGGGGATTACTTCTATGATATATATCGTCTTCCTTGTGCATTTGAAATCAATAATGGACTTTTAATAAAAGTTGAATCGGAATAGAGGATCTGAAGCTATTTTCATGTCTCGCTAAATTTTGCGGAGACACAGTGCCGGCTTCGGCGCAGCCAGCCCAGCTGTTTGCAAGTCGTTGTGGTCACCCATCACCCAACTTCTGGAAGAATTTATTGTGATTCTTGGCTAGTGCAAAGTGAATTATCATCACTGATTTGTAAATTAAATCAAAGCACAAAAATGTTCAATTAATCAACTTATGTTCTGAATCATGAAAATCTTCTGATTTTTCATGATTGTATAGATAATTGATCTAGGATGTCCTCAAAAGTCATACACTAGACACACGACCTCGTACCACATTGCTACTATCCGTGTCCCTCCATCCTCTGTCTTTTTCCTCTATACTCGCCACGTTACAGACTTTCACAAACTGTAATCTCTATCGTCATCCTCGTAATAGTCAAACCGATCGTCATCAACTACCACATCTTCACAGGGGCTTGGAGATCGGCCATCACCCAGGCCCTTTTCTGGAGAAGGTGCCAATGTCAAGTCTGAGCTATCCAGGACCATGTTTGTTTCGTGTTGGGTTTCCGACATCTTTGTCTGTTGTTGCTGGTCTGGAATTCCATGAGGGAAGAGGAGAACAGGAGCGTTCTATAAATGCTCGAACCGCGATGGAAAACTCCTGAATACCCTGGAAGGAACATTCAGGTCTATGCATGGGGATCATAGCGCAATGAACATGATTGTCATTGAGATCGCGACAACGCTCATCACTGAAAGCGTCAGTCGAATGTTTCTTTGGAAAATCGCACGAATCATTCGCTAACCAAACTCCACCAGATGCAAGACTATATACAATAGACAGGCAAAGAGAAAAATCTTTCAAAGACAAGCAAGGTGAAGACAGCACAGCTGGGCATCACACTTTACATACCACCAGAAGTAGAAGGCCTCCCCCAAAGAAATCTCTTCAACATCGGGAATCCCTTCCCACTCGCACCGGCCCCAGACGTGGTAACAGTCGCCTCCCCAAAGCCATTTCCACCCTTGCCTCCATTTCCGTTTCCAAACCCACTCGTTCCACTGCTGGAGCTGCCGCTTCCCGACGAGGTCGTGGATCCAGACGAGCTCGATGTATAGGTAACCTCGAAGCTAGAATCCGAGATCAAGGTAACGGAAGTCAAGACCTCATCATCGGAGTTCTCGATATCCATAACCTGGGCATCGGTAACGCCTTCGGAACTCGAGCTTGTGCTTGCGACACACTCGGTGAAGGTCACGTTTCCGAAATCGGCGAAGGCGATGAGGGAGTCGCCCTCTTCGAAGTCTTCGACGATCCATTCTGCGTTCTCGCCGCCGAGGGCGGACGTCGAGGTTAGGGATTTGGTGACGGTTTTGCCCGTGGTGAGGTTTTCGATTGTAGCGGAGCCCGAAGTGGTTGTTGTGGCGTTGACGTACATAGCGATGACCTTGATGTTGTGTTAGTTAAGTGTTGTGATGAGGAAGAAGGGACGACTTACATCGCCAGCTGATATGGTGAGGTCAAAGTCATAGGCGTAGTCTGGGTACCATTCATACCAAGCGTCGTAGCTTACTTCTCCGCTTGTTGAGACGGTAAAGTCGACACCAGTTTGTAGGATAGCAGTGCTGTATGTGTTTCCATCGATACCAACCCAAGCCGAGGCAGAGTATTCTCCGTCTGTGGAGTCAACACCAGATGGTATTGAAGGAGTTGGGACTGTAAACTTTCCCGATACGGCGTTGAATGTTTCGCCGCTGGGTGGAGAGGTGTAAGCTAAACCACTCCAGTTTTCGCTATATTCGATTGAGGACGAGGAGGAGCTGGCAGCTTGTGAGGCTTCTGTCTTAGTGCTAGAGTCCTTGGCTCTGTTTCCTGAGTCTCGGATGGTGCGTGCACGTCTTTGAAGGCGGCGAGAGAGTCCTGCATTCTTGGTGTGGGGTGCAGAGAGGGCAGTGGTGGCTAATAGCACACTGCTGAGGAGAGATACCGAGAACTTCATGGTGATAATGAATGCAGTCGATGCAGTGTAGAATGAAATTGACTTGAGAAGAAAACAAGTGGATCAAAAGACAATGGTTTATTGGCTGAATGGAAAAGGAGGAAAGGAAGATGAGAGGATGGGATGATGGGATGAGGGGAAACAACTGGAGAGGCAAAACACAACATTATATCTTCTCCATCTTGGAGCTACTCAGGCCATGTAATGGGGCTTCGCAAGCATGGAGACGTCCCAGTGTGTAAAATTCATTATCCCCTTGGGACGAACCGTAATCTATTCGTGGCCAGATTGCGCCCTGCGGCCCCGCACCTGAAGACGTCGGCACTCACGGGGACAGGAGAAACGTTTCTACCATGAGCGCTGCGGTCCTGTCGAGGCTCATGTTCCGTCATCTCTGCCCAATTCTGCTTGCGCAGTCGAGTGGCTTTGTGGCTGGTTTATGGGGTTGTTGAAAAGGCTTGAAACAAGTGCACAGCAAAATTGCGACTTTTTATGCCCCCGCTTCGCTGCCGATTGGTTGGAAGTGGACGGAGTGCCCCTTAAAGTCCACTCATTAAGCGAGCGTACGTACGCAGGGTGACGATGCTGGACCCCTAGGGACTAACCGAACTATCTGCATTTAGACCATCTGCGAATCAATTTCGCAAACTTTGTGAAAGGTGCCAAGCTTTCGAACGGACAGGGAATTGGTGGCGATATACAGGTGATCTTCTTGTTTCACGATGTTCGTCCGATCAATAGGACATGTTTCGAGATCGACTGTTCCATTTTTGGTGGTAGATTGTTTGTGAATTTGATGAAGGATCATGAGGGGTTGGTGGGGTCATCTGATGATAAGCAATTGCAAATAACATCCAAGGTCCAGGTGCGATGGCATGAGGGATTTCCAAAAAGGGTGAAACTATCATAAGCCTACCGAGGAGGTGAGGTGTTCTGTCTACTAGCGAGGATCTTAGGGCCCGAGAAACAATCACATCCGATGTTGACGAGGCGATATCCGACACCGAGGTGCACATGCTGGCGAAGCAATTTATGCTACTAAGAGTCCAGCTCTCGAAGCTGAAAGGTATATATGGATCTAACAAGTCATCTAGATTTTCTTGGGAGAAAACCCACCAGGCAGTCCAGTTCACTTATACAAGTAAGATTGAGTGACATTCAATAGTTCGACCAAATTGGAAAGTTTAACTGGTGCTGGAAATCCAGCCTTTTGGCTAAATTGATACTTACAACAGTGTCCTAGTTGGCGCGTTGTTTGTGCAGGTTGCACTGCTCAGGCGCCACGAACCCTCAGCTGACAACTGCTCGTTCATCTGTGAAGTCCTTACTCCTTTTCTACTAGAAACTAACTGTGATTTACTTACTATTTGAGTTTGATCTGCGGAAGTGGCCAAGCCTTATTGACAACAGTTAAGGGGATGCATTCGGCTGCAGAGGAACAGAGTACCTCCTTACCTTTTATCCGCAGGCGTGGAAGCCTTTTCGACCTCTTATTTAAAAGGACGAATGACTCTCACTCTAATGGCTATTTCATCCTTTCCCATTTTTCCATGCTTTGATTTTGAATAGTGGGCTGTTTCGAACCCCGAAAGTCCGCCCGAGCACCTCTTCTTTTCAATTCTTGTATCTAAACTTCATAGTTTTCTAAAGGTTTCGCTTTTTTATTCCTTAAATTCAAAGTGTACGTTTGACTATTTCTGTTGTTTCTCATTCGTATTGTTATTTGGTAATAATAAACGAATATAGAATTGATGGCTCCCGATATTCGAGCCCTCTCAAATTCATCTGTCGCCTATTCACGTGACTGACACATGCACAGAGCCTTTCGCATTCTCGTGCATCACGCATTGAAATAATCTCCTAGCTGCACTCTCAATGTGTCTCTGGCGTATAGTATCCACCTTAAATTCCTAATTAGTACAGCTGTCTGTTGTTGAGATCATTTGCGTGCTCCATACTGAAAGGGGAAGCTCGCTTAGCCGCCGCAGGTGAGCTCGGAAAAACAGGGGCTTTGGTTGGTTATTAGCAATCGACGAACGTCAGATTTGAGTTGAGGGATCACTGGAGATTAGTGGGATCTTGCGCCTCTTACTTACGAACATGGGGACAAAAGTCCGTGCGTTCAGGCTGTAGAACCTCGAAATTAAAACTCTTCACATTAGGACTAAACTATCAACAACTCCACCATTATGGATCCTTTTACCACTCCACCTATGTCTCCACGTCTCCCAGGTGCAGAGATCAGAACCAAGCACAAAGAGGGCATACGCCGGCTCTTCAAATTCGCTAAAATAGGCCTGCAACAGCTCCAGGGCTACTACCACCTAGGAGACAGCACAGTTAGGAAGATCCTACTATACGATGTGCCTGAAAGAGCGCGCCCTACACGCACAGGGAGACCCAGAGAATCCCTCAATGAACAGGAGGTTAGAGATATTATTGAGTATATTTGCACCGACCATGCAACTAGAGTGCTGAATTGGATCCAAATACACGATGAATTGCAACTCTCTTGCTCTGTCAAGACCCTCAAACGCCGCTGCAAAGAAGCTGGATACTACTCTTGTATCTGCTGCCAAAAGCCCTACCTCACTAAGACCCAAGCCAATGCGCGGTGGCTGTGGGGGATAGCACACATGTTTTGGACTATTTGGGAATGGAGTCAGATACTGTACTCAGATGAGGTCACATTTCAAGTTGGAGGGAAGAAATGCAAGCAGAGGTGTATTAGGAATAAGAAGGAACGCTGTCATCCTGACTGCATTCAATTCCAAATGCATAGAGGTGGCACTATTCCTGTACACTTCTTTGGTGCTGTAGGCTACGGATACAAAAGTCCATTGATCAACATTCATGGAACTGGGAAGAGTGGGGCATTTACACAAACTGATTACCTTGGTCAAGTACTCAAGCCTTATATTCAGGATTTTTTAGCTGCTTTTGCGGCTGTTTTGGGGCCTGGGAAGACCCCTCAGTTCATGGAAGACGGCAACTCTGCTCACGGCCACAAGACTACTAGCAATATTTGTGCTACTTGGCGTACTTCTATGGGTATTACTCTATTCCCCCATCCTGCAGTTAGCCCTGATATGAATCCTATTGAGAAGTGCTGGAGGAGAATAAAACAAGCTCTCCATAGGCGCCTAAGGCAGCCAACAACTGAGGTTCAAATGGTTGTAGCAGTATTAGAAGAATGGGACAAAATTCCTCAGGAATGGATCAATGGGCTTATTGAGCAGCAGGACTTCTGGGTACACGACTTAATTAAGCGATGTGGCTGGTCTACAGCTAATTAATTAATAAAATTCATGATTCTGATGCCCTGAACGCACGGACTTTTGTCCCCATGTTCGTTACTTGGCTTACACCAGTATAAGGAATTTTTTTTCCATGCCTAGGAAAATCGTGTGAGCGTGCATCGCCAGAAACCGAGTGGCCTCATTTGTGAAGTTCTATTCAACTCAATACTTGGTTCGGACTTGCCCCAAGTGGATGCTCAAGCTTTAGAAGAATTCTTGAAATATTCGCATAAAGATTGATGTTCGAATCCTACACTAAATTCCGACAAGATTCGGAGCAAGTCAAGTGGCCTTGAATCCTGCTGAAAAATTTAGGTCAAGAGAATACTCTTACTGAAATAGTTGCTTTGAACTGGCAATGTCTAGGGATGCGAGTTGTAGTCCACTGGGAAGCCCTTCTTTTCCGAACTTCATTAACTGACACTCGCATAGCCGAGTGATCTCACATTTGATACGAACGTAGAGCGTATACGAGGCCTTGTCAGCTCGCGGCACAGGAATACGTCGAAGGAATTGCCTTGCTACTTCTCTCCATCTTAAAAAGGCGACCTTGAAGCCGACTGCTATAAAAGAATGCTCAGAACCACTTGATCCAGTTTCAGATCACACTCAAGACCAAATCAACCTCTCAAAGCACTACAATACCTACCCACATCACATCAACATGGCACGCTCTCTGAACATCCTCCAATTCCTGTTTCTCGCCACGGGATCTTTGACACACTCTGTGACCGTAGCACCAAACCCAGTCACGGGAAATACCACCACCTCGACGATCTCATGGACGGATTGCTCACCCGACCCCTCTATCGCGCTCAAATGCGCCAACTTCTCCATCCCGCTCGATTGGAGCAAGCCCTGGGGTCCCCAAATCAACCTCGGAATCGGCATGATCCCAGCAGCCAACGCAAGTCAGCGAATTGGCTACCTGATGACGAACCCAGGCGGTCCTGGCGGTGCTGATATACAAGCAAACGGCAAAGGGGACCTGGGTCTTACTGTTACGGGCCAGTATTGGCGATCCAGTCAATTACACCAGTATTTTGATATCGTGGGTCCTGATCCTCGTGGTGTTGCGTCTAGTAGCCCGCTTGAGTGCGATCCTGATTTGTGGACCACTGCTTCGCAAACTTCGCTGTTTCCTGAGGATGAGGAGTCATACAACGAACTGGTCAATGCCTGGAAGGCTGCTGGTGAAAGTTGTGCTGAGAAATCGGGAGAAAGGCTCAATCATGTTGATACCTTGAGTGTTGCGAGAGACTTCGAAGCTATCCGTATTGCCTTGGGAGATGAACCAATGACTTTCTTAGGTTTCTCGTATGGAACTCAAGTCGGACTGCAGTATGCTGAGCTTTTTCCAAACGACATCCGCGCGATGGTACTTGATGCGGTTCTTGATCACACCCAGGAAGAGGTCTATATGCTCGAGACTGAAAGCGGCGGATATGAAGACACTCTCGACCAATTCTTCCTGTGGTGCGCAAGAAACAGCTCTTGCGCCTTTCACAACACAACAGATTTCCCCACCAAGTTCGACAACTACATCACAGCCGCCAACCAAAACCCGATCCCAGCCCCGCAATGCAGCAATGCCTCTTTTGACTTCTACCCTTGTGCCTCAACCGCGAGCGGCTACGACATCCTGACATTCCTCCAAGAGCTCCTAATTGTTAATAGACCCGACAACGGTCTCGGGGTCCCAGGCTTAGCCGACATGTCCTTATTGCTACAGTTAGCCTTCGAGGGAAACGACGCCAGCTTTTTTGCCACAGCTAATACCACTTCTCCCATCTCTAGCGATTATCCATACACAGCAGTTATATGTCAAGACTGGCACCACCAAAGTCTCTCTTGGCCCGAATTCCAGACCGAAATGATCTTCGCCAATATCATCTCACCGCACACCCGCGGGCAGGGAGAATTCTGGCGTCTCCAGGTTCGCTGCATGAACTGGCCCGCACCAGTTGTTAATCCCGCTCACTCGATTGCACCGACTTTCCAAAACTTGACGTTGAAGACGCCTGTGTTGCTCGTCAATGCGTTCTATGACCCCGAGACGGCGTATCCGTTCTCGGTCAATCTGCAGCGACAGTTTGGGGAACGGAATGCGGTGTTACTGAGTCGCAATGGGAGTGGGCACACAAGTTGGTATTCTATGGGTGATACGCACTTTGCGATCAATAATTATTTGATCGATTTGAAGGTGCCACAACCAGCGACTATTTTGCAGAGTTGAGTGGAGTCTTTGTGTGCATGTTATGGTCGACCACTCGGGATATAATACTTGTAAAGTCCTTTCAACGAGAAATTTTATAATAGAGTAGAGTGATGGAAAGTTTTAGACCTTGTTGAATATCCATTAGCATTTGGGACGACTGCTTGTGATCTACTATCGGAGTGACAAGGCAGGTATATTGAATGTGATGGATACGTTCGGAAAGCTTAATCGTGCTTGCCAGTGGGTCGAGAGTTGTGCGGGGAGTGTGGGACATGGTAAGGGTGTACTGTTTTTCAAAAGCACGAATGTAGTAAAGAAGGCTGATATTTTTAGTGAATAGGAATCATGTCGAAAGTAAGGTTAAGTGAAAGTCACTGGTGGAACGATTGAATGGTGAAGCAAGTTTGAGGATTTGGTGCCATTCTAGCTAATTTCGGAATTTGTATTCATTCTTGAAATTCAGGCTTATCTTTCCAGATATCCAATCTGGACGAAGTTCCTGGAACAATGTGATCTTTTGATCCCATACCATATTTACCCCTGTGTCCCAAGTAGTCACTGCTGCGTTGTAGAGGTCCTGGTATATCTGAGCCGCTCATTGTGACACCCCTATGTTCCCCCACGGCCTCTACCCCGCCAGGTTCCTCTCCCACCACGAGCACGACCTCGACTGTCCGAACCGCGGCCACGATCATCTGAGCCACGGCCTCCTCGACCACCACTGCGCCATTTAGCACCGGCACCACCTTTCCTCGGGAAGAAATCAATCCTCGAAGAGCCCATCATCTGCCGAGGAACAACTCCCACCGCCACCTCAACATAAGGCTCCTTGGTCTGCCTCAGATACAAAGCCTGACCTTGACTCAGTGGCATGTGATGATATCCTCTCTCTTCGCTAGCTCTGATAGATTTCCGCAGCAGAAAAGTAAATTGCGCCTCCGTCGGCTTGATGATTTCCATCTCCTCAAAGCAATCTGGGAAGTTGTCAACCTGATGGATCCTCTTGATCGCATCTGCCAACTTCTTGGCCGATTTGGGAGGAGGTGCACCATGGCGCTTAAAGACTTCGTCTCGCAGTTGGGAGAGGCTTTTACGAGGAGAAGTGACGGCGGTTCGTCGAAAGAGGTTCTGGAACATGAGGATGCGATAGCTGGTCTTGGTTGCCCGGAAGGTCGTCAGGAGTCGGTATTCGGAGACTGCAGATGGTTCCATGTAAGAGAGTTCTGGCGCATTGTTCTTGAACATCCAGACCACATTTCTGACAATGGCTTCTTTGAGGATGGACTTCAGCAACGGCTCAGTCATGTCGACAGTGCTAATCAGAGAAGCAACGAGGAGATCGCCGAGATTAGGACATGTGGTCTTGGAGACATTCCCATCCGCAAAGGCGAGGAGGGCCTTGTCGGCAGCCTCAACAATACTGGGATCTTCAGTCGCAAGGCAGAGTAGAAGATGGAAAAGGTGAAAGTATGACTGGATTGCCTTTTCAGACGCATGAGTTAAAGTAGACTTGGCCTTAAGTAGTTGTTCGTATTGATGCCATGATGATGTTGCGGTTTCGCTGAACTCGACCTGATCGTTGAACTTGACAACAACATCGTTCATGAAACGGTAGATAACTTCGACTGGTTTGACATTTCCCATGTTTGCAGCCGCTCCTAACTCTATCAGAGTACTGTAGACATCTGGTAGAACTCTGCTCCAATGACCTGGACTGATAGCTAGCGGTAGCCAGTGGGTAAATGTCACGCCTTGTATAGAGCGACGTATTTGGTGGGTGTGAAAGGCTTCGTATGATAAGATATCGAATTCGGACTCAATCTTCTTGCTCGTTCCGTGGTAGTCGACTCCAATGCCGAGATTCACTGACGTGTAATCCTTCTTTAGCAAGAAGCATTGTAATTCACGTTGTTGGATTACATCGAATTCTGTTATGACTTTTCCGATTTGGGGCCAGGATTGAGCGAAACGCATTAAATCCTCTATGTCCAGGTGGTCCAAGATCAAGACAAGAAGCTCGTTAGCAAGGTTTTCGATAGTCGTTAGATTCGTTGGAGATGCTACATTTGAATCTGAGACTGGGCCGTCCTGTGAAGTTGTGTATCGAATCAAGGTCGGGTTTGCTGTCGGGCTGGCACCATTTATCTCAGGAGCCCTGCGTTTTGTACGTGCTGCCTGTTGTGGAGATGGCCAATTGAAATCCGAGCCTTCACCGTACATTGCAGGAATGCTTGCAGGAGAAGGTGTGGGACGAGGTGCGGCTCCGTACCCAGCAGTTCCGTGGCCACATTTAGAGCACAGGTATGTGCATCCATGAGTGTAAGACTGAAGATCGCGAAATCTATCAAGCTTGACGACACTGCCATGAACTTGCTCGATACTTGTGCTACTGAAGAAGCTCAAGAGCTGAATGGCGAGACTCTTCAATGTATAGGCTGGAGTGTAGTCTTCTTCGGTATTCAAGACTGAGGCACAGATATAATCGTCGTAGATGTTAGGATGCTGGACGTCCGAGTTCATCTGTACCCTGGGAGGGCGAAGAGGGTAATCGTCTGGGAAGTAAACAGTCAGGTGCATGGATTGATACCCATCCGGCTCAAGGACAAGGCAGACTTGTGTGACATCGTCATCCTGGACATGTAGTGTGATTTTGGGGTATGGGTTGTTTTGAAGCTCAGCAACGTCTTGCAAGAGACGTCGCTTCAGGTCGCTAGCCATGATGGAAGGAAGGTGGGCGAGTATGACTTCGAAGGTCCTGCCGAAGAAGTCGAGTTCGTGATGATTGATTTTGTGAAGAAGTTGAAGAAGTATTACAGAGAGCGAGTGTGGAGCTGAAAAGTTGCTTGCTGGGTATAGGTTGAAGCTCTGAAGTTGAGAATGAGCAAGAAAGCTGGAGGAAGATGAAGAGAACCTTTAAGTACACATTAGGCAGTGTTCTGCTTCGCGTGAGTCACGCCGTTTTGATCTAATAGAAGTAAAGAAGTAACCAAAAAGGCATGAAAATTCGTTTGAGATTGGTTTGTCCTAGAATGTGAACCTGCGCCATTGGGCAAGGCAGACAGGCACCACCTGCGGCTGAGTGCATGGGAAAAGAAACCCCACAAGTTTTGAGACAAATGGGAAGCTGCAAGTCTAAAACGTAATCAATAGCGCAGGAGTCAGAGATATTAACTTTCATGGCCTTTCTGCATATTCTCGACAATTCTACAAGGCTGGTAATTCCTTTGATTGTCCTCATCGCGCATTTTGATTGACATTTGCTTCGGAGGAGAGGAGAACCTTAGCATTTGAGAGGGAAGAAAGCAGTTCCATGTTCTAATATCAGCTCATCATTTTGTTTGCATTCTTCCTTTGTTGTGGGGACCCAGCTTCTGTCGTTGCTGGAGGCCCTCGACTCTCATCGGTGTGAGATTGCAAGCGAAAACAAGGCGTCGATGGAGGCCCTCCACACTCGGCGAGACAGATGCGAAGTAGTACTTCAGAGTCTGGCCAAGCATGAAGACCCTGAATAGGTTATCGACAAGGACTTGAGAATCAAAGAGATATAGAGACGTCGTTTTGCCATGATTACTCAGGGTTTCATGATCTAGATCTAATCTTATCAGCGGATCTTTAGTGGGGCCCTAGAAACTAGTTTCATTCGTCCACCTCAGCTCCAATCTTCAGCAGGGTCGCGATAAGCGTCCCCATGCGTCGTCAGCTCCCCAAAGCTGGCGTGCGCTCTTTTGAGACAATGTAGAGCTCTATATAGAGGCTCATTGTGAGCCCAGCTTCACTCCTATCCTCATATTATAATTTTTGATCTTAGCCAAGATGTTGTTCACCAACATCTTCACAGCTTCGATCCTCTTATCCTCAGCCTCATGCCTACCGTCCTCACAATCTCCCCTCGAAGAGTCTGTCGCAAACGATAATGGCCCCTCTCCGAAGTACGCATGCGAAAATGCTCAGCATGTCTTCAATGCCATTCATGGGGCTATGCGGCAATGGGATTCTTCGTTGAAGCACAATGGCATGTCCTATTTCGCGGCTACGATTCCGAATAATACTCTCCTATATCACGGCACAGGTTCAAAGGAACCAGTGAAGACTATGGAATGGTTGGCATTCGAGATTGAGCATGCGGAGATGTTTGCTCGGGGACGGAGAGGTGGACCTGGCAGAGGCCCTGGTAGAAGACCACCAGGTGAAGGACCTCCTGGAGGGGGCGAACCTGGAAATGGAGCGCCACCGCCTCCCTTTACATTCATGGAGGAGGATAGCAATGCCGCAGATGAGAATTTAGAACAGCATGGTTACCTACACACATACCGTACCTCTCGAGCTCTGACAAAGCTTCTATACCTCGACGGTATGTCTGCGGGCAAGACCTCGATGGGCACACTCGATACCCAGGATCTCGTCCTAGGCGACCCATCCAAATCGCCAGGCTCAAACCCGAATGGAGACTACGGACGAGCTCAAGTCCTCTGTGCCATCGGCGCCGAAGCCGGCATCGAAGGATTTATTCGCATGGAAGCTGGTTTCGAACTCATTCTCTGCAACTTCACAGACGGTCTCGAATTCGTCAGTGCCTTTTCACGACCCGATCAGAATAGAGGACCAGGACCAGGAATGTCTGAGATGGCTCAATTTGAATACGTGCGTGGTGTAGCAGCACGATATCATGGAATCGGCGGAGGTCGAGTAGCAGTTGACTATTCCTCCATGGTATCAGCCTTCTTCTACAACCTCAACCTCACGAACCCCGACCCCAAGAAAGCCGACCTCCCACGCCTAACCTCCACCAACCCCTCCGAGCGCGAACACATAAAATCCGACGTCATCTCTCTCTTCTCTCCTACCAATTCCCAACATACTGTCATTGACTGGCAAGGCATCACAGACATGATCATAACCCGCTACTCCGACCGTCTCCAATTCCTCGCCTCCAACAACCTCACCAATAGCACCATGCTCTCAGAAATCAATTTCCTGCTAAATGTCTACATCGACTACACGAACCCCACTATCTCGACCGCCATCGAGAAATGCACAAATATATACCTAACCCCAGCCATCCCAGCCACAATCGCAGACCACCTCATCCACGCCTCTCTCTCCGCCGTATCCCGCCAGATCTGCTCGACCCTATTCGAAGTCCGCACGATCCTACTGTCCGAAAGCACTGAAGCGGTAGAGAAGGTGAATCAGGCGGTTAACGACTTGATCGAGTACCTCGATTGGCCGGTCTGGTTGGAGTGTGGGAAGTGTGCGTGGGATGAGGTCTGTTTTGTGGCCATCTGGCCGTGGGGCGCGCCGGAGGATCATGAGAAGCCTGGGTGTAGGGGTTTCGATGATTTGAGGAGTAGGAGGGGGTATTGGGATTTTGGTGGGGGTGGGGGGCCGGGGGGAGGGAGAGGGAGGAGGCCTGGTGAGGGGTGGGAAGATCTCTGAATTTGTGAGTGAATAGTGAGTAGAGGAGGTGTTAATGTGGGTTGTAGGAGTTTATGAAATAGGTTTCGGACTCTTAATTTGCGGTAGAGAGATGTAAGATGAGATTCAACGATTTTTTTCTCGCATGTCTGTGCTAAGCGCCCCTCCAGAAAACTAAAGAAAGGGATGTATGTAAATCACTCAACCTGTCCATTTACAACCCCACCCCATCATCCTCCACCACATCTCAACCACCACCTACCCACCTACCCCTCCTTCTCCAACGGTTTCCTCCCATAAACAACATACCTAACACACGATTAGCCTCTCCTGTCCTCTCTTCCTCCTCTCCTCTCGCTCCCCTCTCCCCTTTCAGTCCACTCACACAGGATAAAAAGCATGAATCCGCCGATCCTTCATATCGGCCCTAACCCCCTCCAACATCTCCTCCACCTCCGCGACACTCATCCCAAACGCCCGCGTCAACACCGCCAAACTAACCGCAGATAGTCCCTCCAGCCCGTTCGCCAGCATCGTCATCCCCATCTCCTTTTGCTTCTTGCCTTTCGGCCAGCTGTTGCCTGGCCAGGCGAATTGGCGCTCGGTTATTGTGTGGAAGCCTGCTTCTTGGAACCACTGTTTTGGGGAGGTTAGTTAAAAAGAGAGGAGGGGGAGAAAGAGGAGGGGAGAGGGAAAAGGGGGTGGGGGGAAAAGGTACTTTGGCATAATTCGGCGTACACCACCAATCCTTCCCAAAGCTCTTCGCGCCCTCGACGACTTTCGCGTTCCAGGCTTCGAGACGGGTACCCTTGACCGTGTCATCGTTGGCGTGGGGTCGGAAGTAGACATCTTGCATCTCGAACCAGCCGCCTGGTTGTAGTGCGTCCTTTGGATTCAATGGTTAGTTTTGATTAGGCAGGAGAGGAGGGAGGGAGGGGAAAGGGTACGTAGGCTTTTTTGAAGACGGAGGAGGGGTCTTTGAAGCAGGAGAACATGGCACGACCGTGGATGTAGTCGAATTTGGAGGAGTAGGTCCATTCGTCTTCTGCGTCGTCGACTTCGAAACGGCAGTTTGGGGGGACGCTTGGGATTGTTAGGCCCTGCTATCTTTTGAAGAGGAGAGAGGAGATGAAAGTACTATTGGGGCTGGATGGCACTTAGGTCTGTTCCGAGGACACTTGCTGATGGATTTTGAGTTGCTGAAGCCGTTAGAAACAAGAATGATGGGGTAGTAATAGAGAACAACCATATTCCATTGCCCAGATACCAGTTCCCGTGCCCATATCTAGCACCACGTGAGGATTGGAAATGGGCGCAAGAGCGAGTTTACCATCGAATGTTAAGTGAAAGAGATGATGTTGTAGATCTTGGCCATCAGTATAATTCAATAGATCTGGATTGAAGACTGACCAAGTCGATTCTGTTCCATCTCATCGTTGGGAAGTTGGTAGTCTGTTTATGGTCAATGATTGGTTCGACGAGAGATGGTAAGTACTTACTTCCTGACTTGTACTTGTGGTAGGTACGGCCATTTTCTTCTACGGCTTCATATAGAGATGACCGCATAGATGAGGTGTCGGATCTACTCGTTATTAGGAGCCTGATCTTTGGGCGGAAGAGAGGAGATGCTTACACCAGTGACGCTCCCAATGCTGAATCGGAGTCGCTAGGTTGAGAGTCCACCTTGATCGTAAGCAAATCAGCAAGTAAAAACGATATCTTCAATCAAACATCCCCAGAAAAACAACAAGCATTCTAGGGAAGCTGAGACATCTTGACTTGGTCTCGACACAACTTTACCCCCGCCCTGAACGATCCAAACAAATATGAAGACTTTCTTCGACATCTCGAAGTATATCCCTCAGACAAAAAGCTATACATGAAAAGAAGAACTCACATCCAAAACCTTCGCATCCGGCCCATCGTGATCCATGACCTGATCCATGCCCTGCCCTGCTGTGGAACCACCACCCGAGCCTTGACCTTGCTTCCACGTGCGCGCAACCCACGTCGCTGTCTGCGCCCCGGATCTGCAGTCACTCGTTCGTCTCCAGATCCACGATGAATCAACGAAATATTCACAACGAATGAGTCGCAAGGCCGAATATGTACACTGGAGAGAGAGAGAGAGAGAGCGAGAAATGTTCAGAAGAGAAGTGAAACTTATCAGCTGGTGTCTGTCCTCCACAACATCCATTGGAAGTGAGCCGTGTCTCGGCAGTCGGCCAATATAGTGAAGCCGCGACAGGGGTCGGTAGCGTGGTGTGGCCTAGACGGGAAAGGGGTTCCGCTGAAGAAACACGGGAGGTGCATCTTCTTTTTCTTATTCATCATTTTGTGTTTTCGTACCTGCGCAAGTGCTGATTCGGTCTCGCGGGACGTTGTATACCTAAGTAGTGCTTATGGAAGATTTCATCGCATATATCAAATTCTGATACTATCCTTTCTTTCAAACTGAAATTCACATTCTTCCCTCCTATCTAATCAACCAGTAGCTATCTTTCTCCTCAGCCCTCACAACCCTTCCATCACGAGCACCAATTTCCTCGAGCTCTTCATCGTCTCCCCTCCTGCTGGCAAATCCTTCACCGACCCCAATCTCATCAACGACCTGCAATGGATCCTCTCCCAACTCGCCTCCGGCATCCAAGCCCTCACCTTCCAGATCCGCAAATCGCGCAACATCCCCAACCAACTCCTCTTCCTGGGATGCTGGACCTCTATCGACGGACACGATGATCTGGATATCCGAGGCGTTACCCCGAGATTGCTGAGAGTGCTGACCGCTCATGTGTCGCTGGTTTCGGTGTATTTCTGCTTTATGGATGCTAGTGAGATCGATTTTGAAACGGACATTTGGTCTGTGGACGCTTTTCATGTGGATAAAGAGGGGAAAGAGAGGTTTGAAAGGGAGGTGGAGAAGAGTGGGTTGGTGGGAGGGTGGTATGTGACGAAGAAGGTTCCTCCTCGACCTGCTGTTATGCCGACGGATCCGGTGTTGGTTAAGATTATTGAGAAAGCGGAAGAGACTGCGAAGGCGAGACTCGCTGAACTGAATCCGGATATCTGGATTACGATTTCTTCTGGTTTGGATGGGGCGGGAGATTTTGGGGCTGCTGTACAAGGTTATGTCGAGAAAGTCGACAGTGGGGTGTGGGAGAAGTATCTTGTTGGAATTTTTTCATCTGTTCGATATGAGTTTATTGATGGATCGTCCCGGTATCTTCAGAAAAAGGTATAACTTTCAAGCGCATATTTATATTTCTGTTCGTTTTATTCTTTTTTATCTATGTTTTTGTCTACCTAGTGCCGGCCGATACCGAGAGGCTCGAGTCTATCATTTCCGACAGTCTTTTCATCAAGCCACCTTAACTTGCAAGCTTCTACACCTCAAGGAAATCAAGCAACCCAAAACCAAACCCTCTGCACCCAATTCCTTGGCACCCTCTCCACCTCCATCTCAGCCAACTCATCCATCTCCTTCTTCCCGGTCAACACATCCACATCCTCGACCCGAATCGCCCACGGCGTCCTACACCACACCTTGTGCCCCAGATACAGCACCAAGAAGATGGGCAGCGTGATATACGCCGCCAAGAAATCCGAAACATTAAATTTATCCGGCCAGAAGACCTGAAATCCGTTCGTCAAAGTAAGGATAGAGATGATGAAAAGAGTAATGTAGGTAGCGTAGGGCTGGAATGGGGTCCGGTATGGTAAAGTGTGCAGGAGCCCGTTATATTCGAACGCGGCGCGGAAGCGGAGGTAGGTGATCATGACCACGATCCAGGCGATGAATCCGCTAATCGTAGAGATGTTGACGAACCAGTTAAAGACAGTCGCACCTGTGTTCGAGACGTTGAGGTAAGCGAGGAGGGCAAAGGCCCAGGTAAACAGGATGGCGACGTAGGGGACGCCGCGAGAATTCGTTGTGCTGAAGAATTTGGGGGCTTGGTTGGATAGGGACATGGAGTACAGGACTCGAGAGCCGGAGTAGAGGAAGGAGTTCCCCGCCGACCACGCGGACGTCAGGATCGCTGCGTTGATGGCGTGGTTGAAGCCGTGGATGCCAGCTCGTTGAATACCAAGGACGAAAGGACTCGCGCTTGCGTTCGATGCTCCGAGTAACCCTTTATCATTCGAGGGAACAATGACACCAATAATCAACGACGAGAAACCATAAAAGATCGCCAACCTCCAAACAAACCGTTTCGCAGCCTTCGGAATATTGCGTCTCGGATCAACCGTCTCGCCCGCTGCAATAGCAATCAGTTCCGGCGACGTAATAAACGCAAACCCAGCCTTCACAAACGCATGCCAGTACGCCAAAAATCGTCCCGTCGCCCCAGACGTCTGATACTCCTTGAATGCCCCCGGATGCTCCCAATACCTAAACCCCAACCTATCGTGCGTCGGACCGCCTCCAAAGAACAGCACCACGCCCAGGATGATCAGCCCCAGAATGGTAAGGAGCTTAATACTCGCAAACCAAAACTCCGCTTCCCCAAAGAAGGACACCGCGATCACATTCAACAAGAGGATAATGACCAACACCATCGTAATCCAGACCGCGACATTAACAGGCGCGTTCCAGTAATCGAGGACAATAGCAGCAGCGCTGGTCTCGGCCGCGACCAGCATGGCGTACGCGTACCAGTAATTCCAGCCAGCGGCGAACGCGAGCGAGGGCTCAACGAAGCGGGCCACGAAGTAGGGGACCGAGATGCCTTTCATGGGGAGGTAGGTCACCATCTCGGCGAGGTCGTTCATGATGGTCCAGACGACGAATATCATGGAGAGGTAGCCTAGGAAGAGGGGCGCGGGGCCGCTGTCTGAGAGGATGCTGCCGGAGCCGACGAAGAGGCCGGTTCCGATTGCTCCGCCTGGGATGCTCTTGTTAGTTATTGAGCAAGAGGGGAGAAGGAGGGGGATGGGAGGGATAGGTACCTAGGGCGAGGAATTGGATGTGTCGACTCTGGAGGCCGCGTTCTAACTGATGATTCCCGCGCGCGAGATTAAACTCAGGGTTCGTCCCCTGCTCCTCGCCTTTGTATTCATTCTCCTCCTTACCGCCCATGATATTCTCGTCGTTCTTCATTTCGTCGCTGTCTCTCTTCAAACTGTCAAATCTAATGTGCGAATCCTCGACATCATAAAAGGTCCACCTCCCACCTAAAAACTCTAACCCAAACCAACCTAAACTCGTCACGGGCTGACATCAAAGGTTAACCCTCAATTTTTCGCACGGCTAGAAACGGCGAAGAAGCAGAATCGAAGCGATTTAACCTGTTAAAGCAAGTCCAAGAAACCAAGAAGGAAAAGATGGATAAAATTACGTTTTAGCTTTCCCTTAGCGAATTTCGTGGAGGCTGACCCCACTATTTTCCCCGCGACGCCTCTGCCGTTCCCGTGGGGAAGGGGGGTTGAGCCGAAGCGGATATTAAATGACAAAGAGAAAATAGGACTCATCGAAATACATCTCTCTTAAATATCTCGCTAAAATCTCATCTTTGGAGGAAAAAAATGGAAAAATGACTAGAAGGTTTCGATGCAGCCATAGGAAAAATTGACAAAACTTTACTGCGATCGAAAGACTTCGTAAGAATTGGAAGTCTCTCGTTCGCGGAAACCAAAGGCAAAGCATTGTTTATCCACCCGGAAGCTGTGCGACCATCATTTGCCCGAAAGCTTCAGGGCGGATCAGTAGGCGCTAGTGATAATGCTCAAGAAATCTAAAAGATGTTGTGAAGCGAAGCTAAAAGAGGGAAGGTAATCTTGTTTCTTTAGCGGAAGGTGAATGAGCACAGAAAATATTCGGACGAAAGTACCTAGATAAAAAAACGATTATCCAAATTTCATAAATAACAACAGTGGTATCATATCATGCCGTCAAAACACCTTTAACGATCTTAATCTCGCCCCTCCAATGCCCCAACAATGCTTTCTGCACCCGATCCCCATGAAACCTTTCCAGAGCCTCAAACCTCCTCTTCTTCTCCCTTCTAAAACTCGCCAACTCAGACACGACATCCAGAACATGTCCATCGTCGACTTCGAGCATCATGCCCTCGTCGAAGTTCATCGGTGCGTCGATACGTCCTTCCGAGACGAGCAGCCCGCCGTCGTCTTCGCCGAAGAACGAGAAGTCCGTTTCGGAGTGCGACATGAAGGTTTCGCTGTCGGCGTCCTCGGTCGAGGATTTGGTGAAGCTGTGCCGTTTGTTGTGCGGTGTGTTGTTGTTGTTGCGATGGGGAGATCGGGATGGGAGGATGGGGTCGGCGAGGGAAGTCATTTCGAGGACTAGGCGTTCGAGTTTGAACGTGCCGTCGTAGTTGACCGTGTTCGCAGCTTGGTGGTGTCTTGCGGCTTCTTCGAGTCGGGCGAGCTCTTCTTCTTCGGCACACTCGTGAATGAAAACTGTGAGGGAGTCGGTGACGTTTCGTCGGCGGGTTGTGGACGGGACGTCTGTTAATGTGAGGGCTTTTAGGTTCGGGAGCATAGAGGGCTTGAATCTTCCGGGATGTCTTTCTCGAGCTTCGATTCGATGCTTTCGTTGCACGACTTCTTCTATTATATCTTTTGGGGCTGTAGGCTTAGGCTGGCTCAAGGCTTCTTGCCAGGGTCGTTCAGGGGCAGCTGCATAGCTATATCTGAATCTCTCGGGGCCTTCTGGCACCGAGTTGATAGGAGACACGAGGAAGTCATCTGGCATGTGGCTCAAGTCCGATGACACAGATATCCGAGGGGGCGCCGCTTTCCTGTTGATAGGGCTGACTGGAGCGTCATTTTGTTCGCGGCCAACGCTACTCGACCCTTTAATTTCCATTGGAGCTGTCGGGTTAACTTTTGCCCTTACGTCGTCGGGAGACTCAAATGTAGCATGAATCTCAGTCCCATTCTCGACATCAGGTTCTGTTTCAGTCTCCTTTTCCTTTTCTTTGGTAGATTCCTGAAGGCTTTCCGTCTCTTGTGTGATGTTTTGACTTGTATCTTCCAATTCAAAAAACGTTCCTGGTTTCAGTACTTGTGTAGAATCAAGCTCGTACCGTAGATCTTCACCATGAAGTTCGAAACACTGCTCTTCAACTGCCAATTCCTTGCCAGAGAAGGGATTACTTGTGACGACAGAGTAGTGCAGCCGAAGCGATCTTAGATTTCGAAAAGCATGAGTAAATAACGCTGGACTCAGTGTTTCGGTTTCAGGAGGGTTGGAAAATCGAGCCGATCCGGATCCTGCCGATTTTGGGGAGAGCATATCTTGACTCTGATTGAGACTGAGTGATCCAGCGTCTAAATACTGCAGATCCGGACGCTCGATAAGCCGGCTTAGATGGTCTATACTGACATAATTGGATGCCAAGTAGAGATGAGAAAATGATTTCGGAAGTCCCTCCTCGATAGCAACATCACCATCCATGCCTCTCATTAATCGACCAGCAACAAAGTTCTCGACCCCTTGCGAAAGTACTCGAGCGGGCAATGGAATGCCCGAATAGCGTCTCGCAAATGGTGATACTGGATTCAAAGAGTCGACTGTTTCTCTCCTAAGAGGAGCGGGCATCGGGAGTAAAGTAGAGAGTTTGTAGACCCCCCTCTGCGTGAGAAAGTTTTGGCTTAAATCCAAGCTTCGAAGACGAGGCGTGAATGACAAGTGATCAATATCGTCATCTCTTAGTCCACAATTTCGCAATTTGAGAACTCGGAGATTATGCAGAGTTCCAATTTGGCGCAGGACATATGGATTTCTAGAGCCTTGAGCGCCTGATAAATCCAAGTATATGAGTTCTGGGAAATGCGAAAGAGCCATTGACAAGCTGGATGCAGTGGTATTCAGACATCCTGACGCAACAAGGAGTTTGAGCGGATATTTGGTGTGAGTCTGACAGCCACTGTGGATTGTCTGCAGGGACTGATGGTCGAAGAAGGAAAGATTCGATACATTGAGCGCCTGTAACGCAGGAAGTCGGTCCAGGATGTCTCGAAGCCAACCAGCTTGAGGGCCGCCATAGAACTCCGTTTCCGCTGGTGGTATATGTAGCGTGTGGGCTAGACGTCTAACTTCTAGTCGTGCTCGATTCAATAGTCGTTTGAATCGTGTCAAGGACACTGATAATCACGTGAGTATGTATTCTGATAATCGAGATTCGGACTAAAGCAAGACCGAAGCTGACAGAAGTCTCAGGTGAGATGCATTTTCGAATATTAAACCTTCTTTTGAGGGCGTGCGAGGGACTTTTGCGGGGAAATAGCTCAAAGCTTACAATAGACGGTGTCACTGTCAGAACCAAATCGTGACGCGGGGGAACCCCACAATCTTGGAGCGAAAGCTTGGTGAAACTGTCTCGACACCAAGCAGGTGGAGTAGAGATCCTCGTCTTGAACATAGGGAGCAACGATGGCCCAGAGCTGTCGATAAGCTGCAGCTTGGTACGATGGAGGCGCATAAACCATGATTGGAGGTCGACGGTCGGTCTGCTGCGGTTGTCTTGTTCTTCACTGTCGCTCGTCGCCGTCATCCAAAATCATCCCAATTCATGAAGTCCATGAAGCTTCTCACTACCGATCCATCGACGTTGTGGTGCTCAGCATGGCAATGGCGCAAAAGAAGCAAACATTCGGGTCAGATATATATCTTCGCGTGAACATGACGTGTTGTGAGATCTCTGAGAGCCAGCAAGTGATTGACAGTCAAAAAATAGCAAGCGAGTTGAACAAAGTTGCGCCGATTGGATGGCATTGGTCAGAGGACAATTCGGGGGAGCCCTAAAATGCTCCCCTGGAAGTTCGGCAACAACGACGGGGCGTGGAAGCGCACCGCCAAGAAACCGCTGCGCCTCAGCCACAAGGCAACAGGATAATCGCTCTGCCTCCGAATCATTTTCGAGAGCCCATCAAAATGCCTCAGAAACACAACCAGTAGCCACGCTTGTGACCTGTCTGAGGGAGCCTTGCTAAGAGAGGAAATGTTCTGGAAGGACGACGTGCATGGCTGCCCCACTATGATTCGCTTGACAGGTCAAAGATAGGGGAAGTTTCCTTCAACTCCCGCGAACCGTTGCGAGTTTGTGTTGTGACGGTTGGTGGCGATTTACGTGTGACTTCGAAGGTGCCGCAAGGCTGTGTCTTCTTTGGAAACATGCAAGCTTGATATGGATGAAGATCAACTTGCCGTTACTTGCGAGACGTAAAATGGCCAATCAAAAGCTTCATTGTTGGTGGCGAAAAAGAAGACAGTAACTTAGAGTGAGGGATATTGAGACGACCGAGTTGAAGACAAAGTGTCTATCGACAAGGAAAGAGATGCCATTTCAGCTAATCAAGGTACAACCTTGATAATCCGCTTCACAGGGGGAAATCACAGGTCAGGATATCTGGAAGAAATACTGGCTACTTGCGCCACTTGCCTTAGCATACGAACGGCAGTGTCGAGAATTCACAATAACAACGAAAAGCAACCAGCATCACAATCAACCTCACAACCACATACAAAAATCTCATACTCTAAATTTCATTCCATTTCTCTTACCTCCCTGACTCACAATTTCATTCTTACCTCTAGAGTTAATCATTTCCTACCCCCCTCCTACTCAATCCTTAACCATCGCCCGTCCACAATTAAACCCATAACTGAAATACTGGCTATACTTCCTTAACCTCTCCAAATCATTCGGATCCACATTCTCCTTATCCTCACCTCTTCTTTCAGTCTGCGCTGGGAGAGTCGGGTTCTCTTCTTCCCTCGCCTGCAGAAACATTTCGAATTCCTGATGGGCAGGGTACGGTTCTTCGTACGCAGGGAAGGGCTCAGTGCTGTATAGACTTGTTTCATCTTCCTCTTCTTGGGCAGGCTGGAAGGATTGGTTAGAAGGGGAGACGCTTTGATGGAAGTACAGGGTAGAAGATTGAGGATATGGGTCCTCGTAGGCTGGGAATGGCTCTGTCACGATTACCTGAATGGGAGCAGTATCTTCGGGAAAGGGATCTTCGTACGCGGAGAAGGGCGACGATGCCGCGCAAGGCTCTTCGGTTTCCATCTCAGCCTCAACAGCAGGAACTTCCTGCTTCGGTCCACTCTCGCTGGCAAGTGAAACCCGCTGAGGAAGCCACAACGAGCGAAGCGACGAGCCGCGCATGATCTTCATTTCTGCCACTTGGGAGACGCGCTTATTCTCTCTGGAGGTAAGTCCAGGAGGTTGGAAGTCGGGAGAACGACTTACGGTAGAAGGAACAGGGAGGAGGTGACTGATGTTGGAGGAACTGTTTACCTCTGGTTGGGTGCGGCCCATTCGTCTCATCATTACGGAGAAACTGCGTGCTGGGAGTTCGGCCGTATTGGTGGTAGGCGGAGAGGGTCCATTGAGTTGTTCTTCCACTGGGATATCGGATATCTTGATGGTAGGGAATGAGGGTTCGTTGCGTTGCTCTTCTTCAACGATAGCTTCACGAGGAACCCGCGCAGCAGCTTCCAAGTCTTCGCAGCGCTGCTTGTAAGTCTTCAACTCGGCCTGCGATTCATCCAGCTGCTGATACAGGGCATCAATCCGATCACTCTTGCTCGCACTAATCTGCATCTGAAAATCACAAGCCTTCGTTTCCTTAGCAGAAATAGCCTCAGCTCTGATCCTCGCACCGTTAGCAATAATGAACTGTTCCTCGAGTACATCGTTCCTCTTAACCAAGAACGCGATTTTCTCAGAATGCTCGAGAGGGAGCATAGCTAAGAGAGGAGCCATGGATCGCTTTGAAGCGACTGCTTCTGCGTTTTCGAAGTGTTGGGCTCGAGTTCGCTGCGCTTCTAGTTCGGGGCGCAACTTTTCTAGCTCGGTGGTCGCGGTTGCTAGTTGGGTTTGGAGATCCATGCATAGGCGGTGTTCTTGGTTGTAGCTGCGCTTCCAGCGCTGACTCGTTGTCAGGTACTGAGATGTTGCGTGATACGAGGCCGAGCTGTGGACCGGAGAAGGTGGAGCGTATTCGTTGACATCGGCGCCAGGTTGCGCAGGATGACAGCGGAGTGGATCTGGGGTATCAACATCATGTCGAGACCCTAATCGCGGGAGCGACGTTGTTGACTGCTCTCGGAACTCTCGTCCCTCAAGGGTGAGCGACGTATGTCTTACCAAAGGCTGTTCCAGCGCTTGGGGATCTGCTACCGAGGAGACAAGTCTTGGGCGTGATGGTTCAGAGATCGATGGTCGATTTCCAGATGTCCAGAAAGACCTACCTCTTGATCGTGAAGGTCGATGGAGGCTACGACTACGGGCTGTAGTAATAGCAGACGTTGCGAACTGACCAACTGCATGCAATGCACCGCCTGGACTGCGCACAACGCCATCGATTACTGTCGCATATCGATGACTTACCTTTGCACTCCCCAAGCCCGGGTCTTGGCGGCTAACAGGATCGAAGTGATGCATCCTTATTGGGGAGTGGTCTCGTGGATTTGCTTGTTGTGCGATCTCTGTGGATGAAGCATGGATGGAAGAGACCAAGGGGCTGTGTTGTGTTGCAGAGACCGGCTCGGCAACTACAGTCGCTTGGAAGAAAGCATTGCCCCAAGACAATTTCGGAATATCAACGGTGAGATTGCTGGACTTGTTCACTCGTCGGAGACCTCTCACTTGAGATTGACCTGCCATTGTGATGAAGGTTTGTTGCTGGGCTTTTGCTTGAGTAGAGACTGGATGTAGGATGTAATGAATGATAGTAGAATGCTGAGGAGAAATATCTTGGAGATCTCTCACTTAAGTAATTAATGAACTGCGATGTGATAGGTGGGAACAAAGTCATTGTTTTGCAGTTCTGATCCTTTGTTCGAGAGAGCTAGACCTAGAAATCCTTTGAAGCAAAAGACCATGCCATTGTCAAGAGGCTTTCTTTGTCCTCAGAACACAGACAACAAAGTAACAACTCAATCTTCGGCCTCTAGTAAGCGAGCTGGTGATTATTAGCTAACTAGACATTAGTTGGGTATAGCAAGATGTGTAGCAAATTCCGCAAGTCGCGTCAGACGATCAGTAATATTGTGTGCCATTTGAGAACATGTTTGGCGTTGCAGATGGACCGAAAGCCGGAGGGCGATTGACAAGAGGACCCGAGGCCGAGCGCTGTGCAACTGATGTGTTGTTAGCACAGGTAATACAAGGAGTGAAACATGATATCAACCTCTGGATCTGATCATAGGCTTAGCAAAACCACCATTAATGGCGGTTCCTGTAGGGTTGCTGACTCTCAGACCAGCACTCAAACCGTATCCTGCAAGGCCAGGACTGGTTCTGTTGCTGACGTTCAGGCCTGCAAGCGGACTCCGTTGTTGTGGAGGCATTCCAGGCGCAGTGTTGGAACGAGTGTTGGAAGGGCCGAGTCGAGGAGTAGCCGCTATATTTCCCCGGGCAAGGAGCTGACGATGAGTTGATGGTGTTTGGACAGGCGGATGTTCTGTGGCAAGTCAGAATTTCCCCGCCGACCTAGAACATTTCGTCTTACGTGGGTTGCTTCCTTGACTGCTAAAGCCAGCCCAAGCATTTTCCACTCTTCTAGGATGATCAATTTGAGGGCCTACGTTAGTGCCTCCAACGCCAACTCCTCCTGGATGTTGCATCGAACTTGCTGATTGATGTTGGAACAGAGGTGGTGTCGGCCGTTGAGCCTGGTTCTGAGGTTGATTTCCTACCCTGTCAACAAAGCGACTACTGATGACGGATGCTTGAACAGTGTGGTCTACAGCATCCGAGGCTGCATCTTGAACCTGACCTAGCAGAGATCTGCGCTTCAGCTTGTCGTAGAGCTCCTGCGTCTGCATTTGTTTTTTGCTCTTCTCCCGGAAGGCTTGAGCTAGTTCTTTGTTTCGTCGACGCAGAGTATCTTGATCGACCTGCATATCTGACCATATTAGCAAGCTTCAATCTAGGTGCTATGTCTGTCCTCACTTTGAATTTTGTTCCGCAGATTGGATATCTCGCTGTTGGCATCGTGGATAACCTTATCCATCTGAGCATTTAGAGTGGAAAACTTGTCGGTCAAATTCTTTGCCAAATACTCCTGATATACACTGCAAATCCGTCAGCGAAGTGGTGGATGGCATGGTTCTCGAACCAACATCTCAGTGGTGCTTTGGTAGGCCCAGAAACTCAAAGCCCTGCCAGCACACTCCATGATGATGTTAGGGCCCAGTCCACTAAGAACGCTTGTTTTGTAGTCTTCGGTAGGGTTGAGATCCGTGACAGCTACGTCGTCATGATTAGGGAGCTGCGCGTCACAAGCAGGACAGGTACGTTGTTGACCATCGCGTTGACCGGAAAGCTGGCATTGGTTGGCACAATCGCTGCAGAATACATGACTAGATAAATTAGCATCCTGCCATAATATGCGAGTGGAATGCACAAGAAGCCTCGATGCTCACCTGCATGTTGTGACAATTGCACTGACATTGAGCTCTTTGCGACACTTCAAGACATTGCATCGCAAGACGAACTCCATTTCTTTGATGGTTGATCAACGCGACACCAACAATTGAACAAAGAAATTCTCGGAGTCGAGCGCAGACCCGTCTTAGTTGAGGTGGTGGACTGTTTGTTGATAAGAAGGTGAAGTTTGTTTGAGGTGCAGTTCGACGTTTCCCCAACCCCGCTTGGCGTTCGATGTCCTTTTAAGCTTAATGAACGACTCCATCTAAATACACCACGAACCTGTCTTTTGAGCGCCTTCCAACTTCGTCTTGGCGCGTATCCGTATTATTCAATTCATGGGATGGGACAAGATAAGCTTATTCGAATGACAGGTCACTTTTGTCACAAGTCCAACGGCACCTCGGCAGGCGATACTGTCTCCACGGTGGTGCTAGGAGGGGTTGTCTTGTTTGTCCATTGGTCGAACTGTCGGAGGATTTACAGTAATGGAAGGTCGGAGTCGATCAATCCCAATACCAAAGTTACAAGAGTACTCGTATAGTTAATCTGTGAATCATCTTCGAATTCATGAGTTGGATTCTTTCACGGGTTTCGTGCCTGCCGTCGTCCCAATTTCTCGGGTACTGTACCTGCCAAGCAAACCTTCTTCGATTACCGACATGCGGGATGAGATATTGTGTTACTTCTTTGTACCATTGTACTACTCCGAGGCTCGGAAAGAGGAAAAATGATTTTCCTCTGATACACATTGCGGCACTTGAGGCGTATCAATCTTCCTCTCTTCTGATTGTCGTTGCTGATTGTTCGTTTTATGCAGTGACTGGGTCCCAACGAATAATGTAAGATCTTACCATGTAGAATTTTGTCATTATAATGCTAGCTGTTCACACTGCCTTCATCTATGCTTGGTTATCATTTCCTTCCATTGAATCCCTTCAGCAGATCATTTGCACAGCAACGGTTGGACTTAACCCGCTTGAAATTTCCATATCTCCGTTACGATCTAGAAGCAAACAAAATTTTGCTCTCGCAATGTCGAGCATCTCTAGAGAGTGGACTAGCGTTGAACATCAAAGTGGACTGTTGAGTGAGCCGGGGTATTCGGTGAGCCATATCATCATGATTGTTAGCCCCACAAAGATCTCTTACATATGAATGTGGGTTGAAGAAACGGCGATCAGATGCGGCATTTTGAGCAGAATCCATATCCTGAATTTTGCTGCTGACATATGAGGTCACTGACGTGTGCACGTCGCGAGTCTTTGGAGTTTTGTATGCTTTTCACTATGTTTCATCGATATTACAAATACGCAAATGTGGCTTTTCGGAGTAGATGTCGGGACCGACGCTGGTTCTGGATCTGAACATTTTCAATGGCAGAAGGCATATATCGACGAGAAGTTGCGTCTAGAATTGCCCGGAAGGATTGAAATTCCGTGCATATCTGAGTTCGGACACTCCAAAGAGATTTTCAGTCCGTGTAGGATGTCTAGTACTCCATGCAAGTCCTGGAAAGCAGTCACATAAGATGTGATTCTCGTTGTTCTATGAAGTCTACTTATGCGTACTGCACCCCTGAATTCTTCTATCACAGCTCCAGAATGGATGGAACGAATTTCGAAGTTTCAAAGACCAATTTGTGACAGTGCTTAACCTGCTTTAACTTGCCAAGGGAATGGTCTGCCCGTGTATGGCTGCCAAAAGGTGCAAACGGTGCTCCGATATCATTGACTTCCGCTCTCTTCGCATTTCCAAATGCATGCATCTCGGGTTCATAACATTCTTGGCGTTTTATTAAACTATATGAAAAGACAGTTTGATTATATCAACTTGATATATAAGTACTTAACAGACAAGGCTCTCATGTTCATGTACATCCGAATCCAGCTACCGAGCCGAGCAAAACAGTACCACGTGCAGATCTGCAGCTCTCCAAACGTCGTTTCGAGCCTTCAAACATCGGGGTTGACCCCTTGCAGAGTATCAGCAAGACGCCAACGCAAGCCACAAGCCACACAAGTGGACAACGTACACCAATTGTTACATATGCTTAAGTCAATTTTGACTCTGCGTCAAATATGATCTGCTTACCCCGCAAATATAGGGCCTCCTACCAACCAAACTTTTGGAATAATATGTTTTGAATGGGGCCCCGCATTTGACAACACCATCTCGTTGTGATCTCTCACACGTTATGATGAAAGAAGTAGTCAGGAACGAGACTTTGATGCGAGGAGAAACAATTCAGGTCATATGGCACGGCACATATTGAAAACGGCAGGGGTTGATCCGGTATCAGAGACTGATTGGCCGGGTAACATCGAATTTCTTCGGATAAAGGTGCCTGAATGCCTCTCAACTGAGGGGCTCGAAGACACTTAAGACATCGTTGATAAGGCGATCCAGCCTTGGATAAGAGGCATGGGGGGTATAACAGGAGATTTTGTTACTATTCTCCCCGCGGTTTAACGTTTCACTTTCCTTGACGCAACCCCGGAAAATGAACAGGCACACCACGCGATCCAGCGCTGACGTTCCTGCCTCCTGCACGCCAGATCTACGCTCGTATGTACCGATTCGGAAGATCGCGTCACGATTGGTTGTCGTCTTAAAGATCGAGGTCGTGAAGTAGTATTGATGCTTGGACAGGCATGTGCTACCCCAGAGCATGCAAGCATCTCAATCGGAAGCTTATTCATAAGTGGCCTTTTGGAGGGTGTTCGTGGCCGAGCCTTACGGGTGCGGACAATTAATTATGCTGCGGCGATTGTGGATAACGGCTTCATATCGAGAGGTACTTGCGAGGCTGAAAGTCCACATCCAAGGTGTGCTTGCCGATGTCGTTATCTCAGGCGAATGATCATCATCAAACCGCAGCTTCTACCAAAGTGGACGCAATATCTGCTTGAAGATATCATAATACAATGTCTAAGCCTTTGCACATGGAAAGTCACTCCTTCGTCGCTAGAGTCCAGAGCACGTACCACCCGCTCGTTGTTCTCCTCGATGATATAGTGTGATGCGAACACATATCATATGTGCTTCGGAGTATGGATCTGAAGAGGCGATACGACGTGCAATACATTAGCTGGGACAGTGGTATGTTTTTGGTAAGGAGCAGCTGATACTCGCTAAGCCAACACATCCATCTACTTTAGTACTCGGGGTATCAGTTGTGCCAAGCCTTCGAGAGACTTCTTCGATGGCAGGGGAAAATTCTCCAATAAGATCTGATAAATCGGTGAATCGTTACTTCCTTAGGTAAAGTCTACTCAAAAGAACTGACCCCTGTTTTTACAACTGATACCCCGGTGACGAAGTAATTCGCATTTTGTGGGGAATAGCGTGGAGTTCGGGGGGTGAGTGGGAAGACTTAGCTAGGGACTACCGTGGACCTAGGGATTTGCAGCGATCAGATGAAAGGCGACAGGCATCGCTGGGGCAGGCCGCACGTTGTGAGCTGGGCCCTAAAGCGCATCCCTGGACCCTGAGACTACTAGAAGCCCTGAAGAACTGATGGGAAAAGCGACTGGGACCGAAAACTGGTAGCGAAAACCTGCATCTGCATCTGCCTCTGCATTTGTTGTAATTTTCTTCACAAGTAGTCACGAAACCATCCTACCAGCCCCCTACACGCCCCTACAGTACACGCCCCTACACTCCCACTCCGTTACACGCTCCCTCCGCTGCAGACACGGGCCATAGTCATAGTCCATAGTCCATAGTCCATAGTCCATGGGCCCTTCCCCCTTTTTTTCGCCTAGCTCGCCTCTGCACTTTTCACACTCCCGCACGGCTTCCTCGGCGACCTTCACCGACCCCCCCTCCACATTGCATCCTGCTCCCCAGACACTCGTCCGCAACTCAAATCCGACCCTGGAACGAAAAGTGACTTTCTTCCTGTGTCTCCTAATGTACCTCCCCTGTCTGATCATCGAGTCTGCCGGCCCTCCCCTGGCTCTGCCTTCTCCACATCATATAACGAGGACATATAGCAAGCCCTCTATCATGATGTACCGTTCGTGCACCTAGACAACCACGCAAAGTATTAAAGTAATATGACTGCGGCACTGGATCCCCATCGACTCCACCATATATATTTGGGCTCTCACTTGATGCTCATCCATTGCCTTCGTGAGCAGACTCGGATTCGTATTCGTGCCAGGACCTGACCGATCAGATAATAAAAAGCTCTTTCGTCCCAGCAAACAGAGGGTCGTGCCGCTCCACCACCGTTCGTCTATCAACTGCTCCAACCCAACCCGTCGTTGCAGCGCATCGCATCAACGAGCCCCAGTGAAGACCCCCTGTGCCTACGTACCCAATCTCACAACTTGCGGACCACCAAACACTTCTTGCCGCATCCGCTCGGTGTTGGTTCTCTACAGAAGGGACTTTGAGGTTTGATTGTCAGCGATTACAGAGCTCCCTGCATCCTGTTAACGCTCCCGCATCCGGGGAAAGTTAAATCGCACTTTCTCCCCACAATACTTACTGACCCTACGGTTCTTACGCGGGTCACTCCACTACCGACAACGAGACATACCGCAACCGCTTCTACATTGCATCGCATCGCGTTTGCGGCCAGCAACAACACAACGACGCCCGTACGCCACTCAATCCGTTCGGAATTTACTTATATACCTAGCTGGTCGGACACGCCGTCCGAGGGAACCATCGGTTCTCTCCTCATGCCTCCTTCACTTGGTTCATCCAAGATGTTCCATACCTGTAAGTACCTCCACTCTTGACAAGATACATGGAAAGTGGACTCTAATACTTGCTTTTTCGTACAGTCCAAGGCCTTGCGCCACCTCGGCCTCTTGCTGAACACAATCAAGAAGCCCCCAAACCAACTACAAACGGAGTCTCGAAAAGAATTACGACCCCGCATGCCTGCGCCGAGTGCAAACGACGCAAGATCCGATGTGACGGACGACAACCCTGCGGCCAATGTCTAGGTTGCAGATCGCCAAAGCCATGTTACTATGACAAGCACAGACAACGAGTCATCCCATCTCGAAAAACTCTGGATGCGCTGTCTCAATCGCTTGAAGAGTGCAGGTCCATCCTCAAGCGTTTATATCCCACGCGGGACGCCCAGTCACTATTGCCATTGTCACGATCAGAGCTCATCTCACTTCTCGATCGAACTGGTCCGCATAGCAATCCATCCCAGAGATCGCCCCCGGGGTCAAATCCATCTCCAAGCTCACAGGAGTTCCAATCCCCTATTGCAACAACTATAACAGATGACGACCGAAGCTTGGCGCATCTTGAGCAGATACCCAGCCGAGATACAGAATGGGATGAAGATCGACGGGGCCGAGATCCTATACCAGCAGAAGCAGATGATGTGAATGCTCTCTCCCTGTCTGTCGACCGGCAGACGTCGTACCTTGGAGCCACCTCGATCAAAGCCGCATTCCTCGTCATGCTTAAAGTCGCACCTGTCTTACGTTCTTTCCTTGCTCCGAACAATTCAAATAAGCAAATATCAAGCGCTAGCAATTATCCAACACCACGGCCTGGAAGCTCGGTGCAAAAAGTTCATTCTTCTATTCTCTGGTCTTCGGAAGGTCAAACTTTGATCGATGCCTACTTCAACCGAGTTCAAATATTCATCCCAATGCTGGATGAGCCTTCCTTTAGAGCGGATTATCTTGCTGGAAGGCGTAATGACTCTCCATGGCTAGCACTCCTGAATATGGTTTTTGTCATGGGCAGCATTGTCGCAACCAAGTCGGATGAGCACAACCACATCACATTTTACAATCGTGCCAAAGAACATTTGGGAATCGACACATTCGGCAGTGGTCATCTGGAAACTTTACAAGCTTTGGCCCTCATGGGTGGTTTCTACCTTCACTACATAAACAGACCAAATATGGCAAACGCTATATCTGGAGCTGCTCTCAGGATGGCTTGTGCTCTGGGTCTACACCGCGAAAGCCCGCCTGAGCCAGGAAACGCAAATGCAATTATGATCGAGCAGAGACGGAGGACATGGTGGAGTCTATTCTGCCTCGATACTTGGGCCTCTACTACTCTAGGACGTCCTTCTATGGGCCGTTGGGGTCCAGGAATCACTATCAACCCTCCTGAAGGAGGACTTGACCCTGTAAGAAGTTCCCCAGTACAGTATACAATCTTAGCTAATATATGAGTAGAACGTGATTGGCCAGCACACGGGCATTCTTCCTCTAATTGAGAACATCAAATTCTGTAAAATTGCGACTCAAATCCAGGACGTCCTCGCCCAGTCACCACTCATGCGACCCGAGGACCGCCAGAACCTTGACCGTCAGCTGGTCGAATGGCACGACAGCCTCCCCTGGATCCTTCGCTCGACGGAACCTTGCCCGGAATCTATTTATACCGCCCGCTGCATTATGAAGTGGCGTTATCAAAATCTCCGTATAGTGCTGTACCGGCCCGTCCTTCTCAACCTCGCGAACCGAGGCAGCGAAGGCGTTGTCGCCACGCAGGAAGAGCTTGAAGCCATCTCGAAGTGCCGCGCAGTGGCGAAGCAGACCATCGAAGATATTGCGCGGGAGTGGACCCCAAACCAGATGCTGGGCTGGAACGGCGTATGGTTCATGTACCAGGCGTCTATGATTCCGCTTGTTACCATGTTTTGGGAGTCGTGGAACACGGAACAGGTCCGTGACTGCCAGGCTCAGATCGAGGTTGTGCTTGAGGCTTTCGAGGGCCTGGCTGATTGGAGCTTGGCTGCTCGACGGAGCAGGGAGGTACTGATCAAGATGTACGAGGCCAGCAAACGACCCTTGACGCGACAGACCAGCCCACGATTAGGACCCATGATGGTTAATGGGAACGGCAACGTGCCTGGGATCATGCTGACGAATGGAGTCAACGGAACGCATGGAATGAACGGCAACGGGATGGTGATGATGAACGGTATGAACGGCCACATGATGGAAACGAACGAAATGCAACCGATGGAGATGATTGGCGAAGACGGCATGCTTATTATGGATCACGGTGGCGTCTGGGACCTGGATGGGATGCTGTGGGCCAATTTGCCAGACGGACTTGATATGCCCTATGACGGACTCCCGATGGACTATGATGACGGCATGATTGGCTATGAAGGGAACTACATGATGCATCAATGATCAGAAGATCTTCTTTTTGTATACGGCGTACTGAGGGCATTCTAAGAAAGAGGTCTGATGGAAGTTTCTGAAATCTAGGTGGCTGGTTGGTTTTGGAAAGGCGTTGGTACTACCCCATTTGACTTCATTCAGCACCTGCACAGTACATTTTGTCCGGTCTCAAAATACACCATTTATTCTAGCATATACCTACCTTACATTCACCACTATACAATGAACAGATTGATACCCCCACCTCCTTGCTTAACCCATATTCCTTATCCTCTTCTGTAAATAGAAAATACCTCCAAGGAACAAGAACACAAACATAGACATGATGTCAAAAGAAGCTCTTCACTCAATCAATCAACCCCACAAGGACCCTCAAAATACATCTGCACTCGCAATCTACCTCCAATAACAAAATAAACAGCCCAACCCGTAACGCCACCACCGCCATCCGATTCCACCACCTCGCCAGATCCGGCGCGTTCGTTAATCAAGTGCAATCTATTTCTATGCCTGACATAACCTTACACATAAAGTGACCGTTCCAGATCTCTTTCTTGCCGCGTGTATCCGCTCTCATTCACTCGCCACAATCCCTCTCCTTTCCTTTCGCCCTTCCTTTCATTCTTGCTCTCCCTCCTTGTGGCGGAGACAGAGAAAGCTCTCTCTCTCTCTCTCTCTCTCTCGAAGTTCTCGCCCTCCAAGCGGGAACAAGGAACGGGGCGGACGGGGGGGGTATTTAGGCTATATCCCTCTTGGCAAATGTGGGGTCCCCGCAAATAATCTGCTCCTGCAGTGCAGGCAAACCGCTTTTGGTATTCACGAGGTGCGCAAGGAGGGTAGGATCGCGTTGTCCATCTCCCCTTTCTTTTTTCTTTTCCTAAAACCAGATCTGTGGATCGAGGGGCGTGGTTGTAGGGTAGGTTTGAAGAGATGGGGATGGAGGAGGATCGACGGGAAGGAAGGGGCGTGGAAGGAGGGTAAATGGTGAGCGGGGTGGGGATGGAGGGGAAGGAATAGGATAATGTGTGTGTGGTGGTGTGGGGACGAGGGAGGTTGATCGTCGGTACGGGCCGTGGGGAGAGTAGTGAGTGTTAGGAAGTGAGGTAGGATCGTGAAGGCAAGAGAGTTTGTGAAGAATAGGCAATTGAGAGATAGGAGTGGATGGATGGTCAAGATACCATACCAAGATAACGATTATGACGAATGCGCCGCGTGCAACAGCAGCTATTTTTTCGTCCGGCCAAGGAGATCATTGCCGTAGTCGCAAAGGCAGAGGCAGGCAGGCACAGACAACAAGCTTGAAGTTCAAGATACGGTAATGCAACATCGCGTAGTGAGGAAAGAAGATAAAAAAGAGACCAGGACTCATGTCGTTCGTTCGTCATCATCCTTCCCTCAATACGACTCTGTCTAAACTCCCGAAGCCACAAAAAACCCCCCGTTCGTTCGGATCCGGAGATCTACCCAGCACCCGCCATCGCAATCGCCGACGTCAAAAGCACGAGTACGGACCGGTCTTCTTCCTCACCGCCGCAACAGGAACTGGCGACTGATATGCGAGAGAGGCGCGGTATATGATATCTGTACTGTATGTACTGTATGTGCTGTACATTCTCTCCCCGCACCCGAAAGGAAATAAGGTTTGGTAGCCTATTGCGTGCATACAGCAAGCATGTGCAATGCGTGCAGCACACCCGTTGAAGCTGCTCCTCCATGGTGTGGCCGTCCCCTGCGTCCTGTCAGTCAATGCGCCTACTTCTAGAGACTTGACCAGGGGGCTCCTCGTAAGTACCACACAGCGTCCCACATGCTGCGCGTTGGAATCCTTGCGTCGTACAAAAGAGAGAACACATCGACAACGATAAGAAGATCAGAGAATGGCATTGATGGGGAATCATGTACGATATCATCGTCCGTCTGGAAGCTTCTTGATACAGAGGGCCCGTCTGGAACCCCTGGTGAAGCTGCACGCACGGTAGAGTGCCGATTGAGCGTGAGAGCAAGCATGAATGTTGATGCGAATCACCCCACAATTCGGCTGCTGCAGGCAGGCCCCAGATGCGTGCCGTCCTGACAGATACGCAGACAGCAGCTTGCTTAGAAGGGGCGAAAAATATGACAGATGAGCCCAGGGTCGTCTGTACATGCGTGCTTGCGTCTCTCTCTCTCTCTCTCTTTTGTGCCGTTGTCGTCGTCTGGTAAGGCGACAAAAGTAGCACAGAAAACGTGTCACCGGATCGTGTGTATGCCGGTATCGTATATCTCTCGATCTCCGCATTTGGCGCCCTCGCACCAGCACTATCTGACCCCATACTTTGGAGAGTCTAGATGAGGTTCTGGAATGAGGAAGTAATTATTACCACAAGTAGAGATTTCCAAGGTTATCAAACTTGGGGGCCAGGGGTGAGGGGTATGTATGGCGGTTCATACTGTACTATACGGTACATGAAGGATCCAGATGCATATTACACAACACAACTAACGTTGTGGCGCACTTCTTTTGCATGTGGTGTGCAAAAAGCACTTTATTTCTCCTGCAGTAGTTAAACACTAGTTTACCATAATTTCTCGTGGCTACTTTTTTTTTCTTCGTACTGCTTTAGTAGTCGAGTGAGCATGGATTTATATTGCGACTGGCTGACACCTGCAGACAATCCACCCACCTATCGTATAGCCAAGCCAAACTAGAGTTGAGCCCTAACCGATGGCTACCCTACCTTGCCACAGAACCGCTACCGGGAGGGCCGAAATCTGGGGAAAGGAATGGAAAAACTCTTCAGCTGTAGGCGGCTGAAGCGGCGGGAGTGGGAAATAGTTCGGAGATGCGATGCGGTGGGTGTTTTGATCGAGATGTGAGATGAGATGAGATGATGGCATAATCTGGCTCTTCGGCCCGCCGAAGGCAAGCGAGTTTGGGCTTTCGTGCTGGACTTGACGCAGTGAATGAGTTACGTGTTCTTGATGGGGTGTTGGAAAGACTGTGATGGAGATCTGGTAGCGATGATTTGAAGAGGAAGGAAGACAGTGACAGAGAGCGGGACAGAGTGTGGTGATGCACAAGGTGGGTTTGACAGGACAAGGTCAAGGGAAAGGGGCCAGCCAGAACATCACATGGTGCGACACGTGCTATTGCTTGTAAGCCACAGATAATTTGTCTTCTGACTCCAAGACTGGGGTGCATGTACCTTGTACAAAAGCTCGTGAAATAGATTAACTTGCGGCAAGTATCGTAGCACAAAACGGCCAGAACAAAGCTTGGCATAACAGACTTCTGCTCAACCATTCGAGCCAATAACCGAGCTGAGGGGTACGAAAAAGCTATTCTCATGTGATATTTATCTCTAGAGTGCTTTTGTGGGGCTCTTCCACATCCATTCATGCAGATGACCCCAATGTCATGTGTGATAAGCGCCTCTGATGCGGCTCGCAATATAAGTTCGTTGACCTCGGACGATGATCGTGATGCTAGAGATCCAGCCAACGCCTTCAGATGCAGAGTTTTCATTATTTCATGAGTCCGTTCTTCTCGTGATTCGTCGTTCTTCTTCCTCGGTCATATTCTTAGCACCTGGGTTCTGCTTGTGATGCCGTCAAAGATGCAGGTGTTATCAATCGGGATGTACTGTTTGGTTATGATCTTGATCACTTCTTGAGCTACCATGCCACCAGTTAATGCCGATATGTTGTGCAATTCTCCGCCCTTGGCTCGGGTTACTTCCTCGGCAACTTGTGCAAGCCGCGGATTGCTCGAGGCGCCAGGGATAGTCTTGTCGATTGCGGCAAGAATATCAGATGTACACGCGGTAGGTACATGGGATGTTGCCTTCAAGGAAAGATATATTGGGAAGAGTGATAGTGGCATTCCAACCATGGCAGCTGTCTCATCGTTGGCTGCTTCTGCTTCTATTCAGATTGTTAGTATACTTTAGCAGCTGGTGGTGATTATTACTTCCCTGCGATGGTCGTGATATTGTCCGGACTGGCCTCCGATCCATGAATGAGCTTGATAAAAGCGGCATTCTTGCAAAAGGTCTCCACTTCGCCTTCATCAATATCTTTGCCCCCGGGCAGCGCTCTAACGGCGGCGAGCACCTCGGCTACATCTTGGCGAGCTTTCTTCTTGTAGATGTTTTGTAAACGAACATAGACTGTTGACTGAGCTTTCATATCAGGCACCGATCCAGGCAGTGGAAGCTGCTTGTTCTTCTCATAAAATTTCTTGACAGCACTAGCAATAATCCAGAAGCTTGATTTTGCTTCAAACTATGGTATGTCAGCAAGTCTTTATTATGGAACATCAAGTTCTCTCACCTCATTTGGCTTGTAATCAAAGACAGCCTTGACCGAACTAGCTAGGGTAGGAGCAGAAATGGTTTTCAGAACAGCGGCAGCTGCTTCATCGAAGTTTTCTTCACCACCTTCTGGGTTGTTTGTCCGAGCTCCAGCTGACACGGTAGCCCTGAAGGCAGTCTTCTCCTTGTATGTTGATGGAAGTGTTCCATGCTCCGCTTTCCACTTCTCCAAATAATGCAAGAGAATGACTAGGTATGGAATATGGCCATGCTCATGGGCGCTCAAATTGTCGATATCTGAGGTGAATTCATTCGCAAACTTCGACAGCTCCTCCCATGGAGTCAGCAGTCTCAGGTCTGTTGTGGCTGTCGAGTCGGGATGTGTGTCCACAATCGGAAAGTTGCCAGGTAGGTGGGTTCGGAAGTAAGAGTAGAATCCGGCAGAATGAATAGCAATTATGGGTACTTTATGCTTGTTGCCGTACTCTTGCACCAGGGCGAGGTCTTGCGGTTCTATCGGGTAGGTGTACATTATTAATGTGTATTTGCGGTCATTTTCGAGAAGATTTTGGACGGTATGGGTCTGCTACAGCTCAAATTAGTAATGAAACAGAGGTACTGTATCGAGGAGAGCTGACTTCTTGAAGTGGTAGCCAGTGACCTTTGACATCTGGGTTGAGCTCTTGGAGGAGCTTGACACAGCATTCTGCCCTCGAATTTCCCAGACTATCTTCGTCAAGGAAGAAGTTCACTCCAAGATCTGATTCGTTGACTATGTTTGCGTCTGCAATTGTGAATTGTCCGATCCCTGAATACTTGTCAGCGGAGTTTCCATCGTGTACTATCCTGTCCTACCTGGAAGTACAAGATTCTTCAAGGTTTCTACCCCTACGGTACCAGAGCCAGAATTCAACAGAAGGATATGCGCATCTTCGAGAGCTTTCTGTCCGCTTGCTGCCCAAAGTCGAAGCTGTCTGTCATACTTCTTCTCCTTGTCTGACGGTCCATGGAGGATTGGAAGGGTTGGATCGGTAATAATCTCCGTCATGTTGTCCCTAGACGAACAAGTTTTCTCAGGAAGCTCAAGCTGAAGTTCTTGCCAACACTTGATCCTGAAAAGGGTGTTGGTCTGTAAATCAACATTTGAGGAGAGCGCAAGATGGAGAGCTCATACTGATCTTGACGCGTTGGTGCCTTTTACGATAAGGGTATCAGCACGTGAGACGCTAGAAATCGCTAGGCCCAATAAGATTGCAGCTGCCTGGTTTAGGCTGATGTGACCTCCCAATGCAGGTCTCTGATTCAGCGAGAAACCCCGCCAACAAAATCCTGGATGCGACGTGCGACAATTCAACATCCCACCACCAGATCCGGCCCTTCTCCTTGATTTTTGGATCTCGAGTTTTATGGAAATCTATGGTCGGTTGTTAAGACGTGAAACCAGTCGTATTACCTCCGCGGTCCGGTCTCGCGGTCGGCCACCAGTCTCACGAGTTGTGCAACGTTTGGCAAGCCATTGTCGTCCATACACCTCCACACGACCGGAAGTCTTCACTGCAGTGCTCCCGCAGAATCCGCAGACTCCGCGGCCCCAATTCTCATATAAAATCACATTCCCACCTCTACTTGGTGGTCTCCCCCGTCTAGAGAATAAAATTGCTCGAAACAAGCACTCAATGTCAACCTCAACGCCTGCTGTTCCCCTAGCCGTTAATGCTGCACCTCTTCCTAGCCACGATGTCAAGCCATTGTCTGGCGTTGAAGCCTCGAAACGATTAGCAGCATATAAAGCAGTCGAAGACCACTTCGATACTTCCTATTCTTATATTGGCATTGGCTCTGGCAGCACTGTTGTCTATGTTGTTGAGGCGATTGCTGCAAAAGGCCGCGATGTGACGAATAAAATGTCTTTCGTACCAACGGGGGATCAAAGCAAACAGCTGATTATTGAGGCTGGTCTCCCACTGGGAAGTATAGACGCCCTCCCTCCAGTCGAATCAGAGCAGACTAAAATGGGAGGTGTCTCCGCATTACACGTAGCTACTGGTGTCCAAGACTTGGGCTTGAAGGGAAAACGTCAGAGTCTTGATGTGGCGTTCGATGGAGCTGACGAGATTGACGATGACCTGAATTGTATAAAAGGTGGTGGAGCATGTTTATTCCAGGAGAAGCTTGTTGCAACAGCAGCAAAGAAATTTGTTTGTGTCGCAGGTACCTCTGGCCAGTCCTCCAAGCTCTATTCTTGCTTATGAGTTGTGCAGATTACCGGAAGCTTCAGCCTCGACTTTTGACGAGTTGGAAGACAATCCCGATCGAAATTGCTCCACTTGCAGCACCGACCATAAAACGTATTTTGATAACTCTTGGATCACCAGATCCCAAGATCCGCCAAGGAGGAAGTGCAAAGGCAGGCCCGGTCGTCACGGATAATGGCATGTGGATCATGGATGCACCATTTCCTCCATTGCTTCTTGCGTCGGATCTCAAGAATGGCGATAAAGGCGATGGAGAGCATGGCACGTGGGAGGTACATAACTTGGGGCGACGGCTGAAGAGGATCGTAGGTGTCCTAGAGGTTGGCCTCTTTCATGGCAGGAACGGTATTCAGGTTGCAGCAGCAGGTGAGGAAGGTGGCGGACAAAAGCCAATTGCAGCATACTTCGGTATGGAGAATGGTGAGGTCGAAGTGAGACTTGCCAAAGAAGTGCATGGCGTGAAGTCACGGCCATGAACTTGAGGAATTAACTATTCTAGCACGTTTGGAAATTAATTGGATAACCATCAACCTGACTGTATTGTATTCGATGAAAAGTAGTCAAAGTTTCTTCTGTTATTTCGTTGAATACAACGCAGCATCCCAACTGTGTACAGTAAGGCCCCAAGCGAGGCCACAAAACAATGCGTTCTCTAGCAGAGCAACGCAAGTTCCAGCTATCCATCCCACCATCGAATTCATATATTAAACTTTGTTGCTAGAATTTTCGAACTTGATACTGCACAATCAGTCTTTATTTCATACCAAGATTTCCCATGTTTTCTGGTTGGTTGCGTACCTTGCGACTCAATCTGTCTTCAGGGCCTCAATCTCTCGCTTAACTCTTTCCTTGTGTTCTTGGATAGCTTTGCTTGAGTTGTTGGTACCGTGACCGATAGCTGTTGCTTCATGTGTTTGAGGACTCTTGAGGTATGTTTGCGTAGGGGAGTACTTCGGTACGTTGAGATTGACTGAATGTGATCTTAATTTACCTTCAAAGCTGCCTTGTGTGTCAGCATGCTTTACTGTCTTCAAGAACATCTTCGGTCCCGTCAGGTAGAGCAATCACCTAGATGCAGAACCATTGGCGGCTAAATTTGACATGTTGTGTGCTCTTGGTGCAAATACTTGAAGGCAGGACGATGAAATTGCATTCATTCCGTGTCACAGCGTTACATCTATATACAACAAGATCCCATCTACTCCCAATATGAGGCTACATTCAATCCTCGGGCCTCACTTCTCGGAATGACACAAATGTGACACCAAATATGCTACCCTTCGGGCTGCTGGTTTTTGATCACAACAGATAGAAATCGATCATGCACAGCAACGTGGGACACATCAGTTTCTTCATCAGTCGGGACAGTCCGACTCCAATGAGGACTTTGCTTTATCCTTATTAATCTTCTGCAGGGATTGTACCGAATCTCCTTTTATGATCAGTCAAATCTGGAGTTCGAGCTAATAGCATCAACATCTGTGCTAGAGCTCATTGGCGAGAATTTGTAGTCAGCATTCTACTTGCCCGTTCAGAGACTTTTCGTTACGATAACAACTGTCCGGGGAAGACTCATTGGCAAATCAGAAGTGCGAGGCCAAGGCTTGCGGTATGCGCGTAAAACGCGCACCTTTTGCAGTATTGCGTATTGTCCCATTTCGTCGAACCCACAGGTCGGACGTGAAGGACTCCCTCTGTCGCGTTAACACGTGTATACGGTGACGAGCCGAATGGACAATTTTACGATCCAATTGAATCAAATGCTGCAAGTGGCAAATGGCGGTGTGGAGTTCATCAACCAGTGATGAATCCCATGCATGTCGTCGTGGACCCTCAGAGGCTGGAGTCAAATCGCCAATGCGTTGTTCGCTTGCATGTCACATTGTTCGTCCTCGACCCAAGAATCGGGTCAAGATCTCCAGTGGCGCCGTTTCGTCGCATGTGGAGATTGCCTCGAGTCTTTCTCCAGCCTTACTGAGTTCACTCGCTATGAGGAGAAACATATGACGTGCTCCATATTTATGGCTCTCTGTGGCGGTGAGGCCTGGCCTTGTGTCTTGCTTGCTTTTGCTGGCTAGCAACGTGTCACACACTCGTCTGGCGCTTCCTAGCAGAGCCGCACTTAATATCGCGCAACGTCGGGTTCATAGAACGCTGGACACGACCGTCTCGGCATTCAATGGCCTAATTGCATGCTACTTCGGGTACCGCGATGGATCAAGTTTCCAATCTCGGATATTTCTGCATACCAGTCTCATGCAGAGGACAGAGCAGACACGCCGAGTTGCCCTACCAAAGAATTTTCCTCCTCAATTGGTTCATCACAGCACATGCCGACACGACTAGACTTTCATATTTCATCCTCAGAATCGAATTTAACTTTGTTGGGATCGCAACCTTCCCAACACTTTCAACCGGAACTTCCCTCCGTCAAAGCCTCATACCGCTCAGTCTTCCGCAGCTCCACCATCACAGCAGCCACGACCTGATACCAAATTCTCCTCATCGGACTTCAGCCAATTGCCTATCGACGTACCTCCAATTAGTCTCCTGAGTACGGTGGCATAGTGTGTTATTCGAATATCTGCCCGGTGACAGACATTTCGTATTCCAGCATCTTGATCTCGTACTCAAAGCCACATTTCTTACTTCCGCTCCACAAGTGCTTTCCGTGTGCCCGCTTTATTATGTATTGTCTCGACATCGAGGTTCCTAGGCGTCATGCGTCCCTTCCTCTACTTAAACGGGATCCGTCCTCGGTGCGTAGATTTTAGAGTTGAAGGCATGGTGCCACCAAGTTTGGGCATTCTGTGTTCTATGCTTGGAGCATTATCTTCAAGACTTTCGGGGCCTGGACAGACCATTAAGAGCAAGTTTTTCATAAAGTATGATTAACGAACGTTCCTCCTCCAAAAGGCGCGAATCGTCCAAAGATGCGCAAATCACGCGGAACGCGCATATCCACAATTCGTCAAAACTACGTTTCCTCCACGGACAACATGTGGAAGAGGAATAATGACGCATGTCCTGTACGATGATTGAACATCGCAAACGAAAACAACGAGGCTGTGAAACTCATCTTGATTGCCTCAGTAAGCTATTTCTCTTCAACGACTTTCATGCTGTATATGTCTGAGCTTTGGCGTTGATGTCTCTTTACCACTCCCATAACCGGTTTGATAGCCTCCGTAGCTCTAACAGTATTGTAGTGAGGTAGGTCATATTTGGCACGCTGAGTAGCAAGATTCTGTGAGACATCTACTTCAGTAGTAATACTAGAGCTCATTTTGGGAGATGATTTTGTGTCCAAAGTATGGTGGGTTATCTATCTCTAAGATAGCAGACCCGACTTGTATCCAGTCCAATGACCAGTCTTCTTATCTGATCGTGGGATTGCTGTACCTCGAATTTGCAACCGGGTGATGTGAAGATATCGGACTTCCTAGCTTAATCGGGACGAAAGTCCACGGAATGGCACTCTGCCAAGTTCCCTCACGAAGTCACCTATCAATTGCATCGAGAACTGTTAAAACAACATGAACCACTGCATGACTGCGTTGGCACATTATTCAGAAGCGAACGCCTTGCACTATCATTCAAAATAAGGTCCTCTGATTTGCTGCGACAAAATACTTTCTACATGCTTCCATTAAACTTGGCCAAACGCACCACTGAAGTTCCATCGTCCATAAATACTATCCACTGAACACAAAATCATAGCCAAAAGCCAGTAGAACATTCGCATTCTGAACATCAAAATAATTCCCCTGGGCCTTGCTGTAATAGGCCACGCACCCCCAGTGTGCTTCACTTGGCGAATCTTGCAAAAGATGCAAGTCGATGTTTTCGTAATACTGCCCATAAGCCCAATTAGTGCAATCATCGAGAATGCTACAGCTAACATCTTGCATCAACGCAATAGGTCCGGGGGCATATTCCTGTGTGAGGGGGGGATACACGCCTGCATCAGAGTTGCCAGGATTATTCGGATCTTCCGTCGCACAGGAACCATAGAATACTTGATTCCAACTGTTGCCTTCGTCGTTCGATGGTGTAAATGTGGAAGCGCAGTTGTGATAAGCGAGTGCAGTCGGAGCGATGCATGGTGTGGGAGAAGGGCCTAAGGCGGTGCTACTGGGAAGATAAAGTGGTGGAGCTTGTGTGCTTGTTGCAGGTATGATATCCACGGCGGCACTCGATGCAACTGGTAAGGTAAGATCATACCCATAAGTCACCAGAACCGAAGAATTCGAAACCGTGAAATAGTTTCCACTCCCAACGTTTTTCGGATATCCGACACATTCCCAGTATACTGTATCACCTGAGACTTCCACAAGATGCAGGTCAATACTCTCTAGAATGTTTGCATATCCAAATTCAAGACAGTATTCGACGACCAAACAAGCATACGTTATGCTAGTCTGCAAGTCCATGGAATATCCGCTGCCTATAACAGGAGGAGTGTTGTTGGGATTTCCTGGATTTACTGGACTTTCCGTCACGCCTTTACCAAAGAATATCTCGTGCCAAGTTCCGCTTTGAGGTGTGGTGTATGATGCGTCACAGTTCAGGTAGTCGGGCCTAGGAATAGGGCTTGGACTGGGTGTAGATGATGGAACGATTATAGTGCTCGTCATGTCTATTGGTGGAGGAACTTTAGAGACGATTGGTGATGGTGAAGGCGCAGGAGTATTGGCGAGAGGAGTGGATTGATCCGGTATCGAGCACACACCAGCGTCAGGTGCAGCCCACTCCACAGAAATCCGAAGTCGTTCCACAATAGCCGTACTGACTACAACACTCTCCAGATTGACACGGATTTACCTCATCACAAGCCGCATTTCCAGGCGGTACTGGAGAAGCAGTTGGAGTAGTTGATGTCAGTGCAGGCAATGGTGCTAGCAAAGAGCTGGACTGTATTGGAGACCAGCAAATTCCACCTTCCGGCTGACAACCTATCCCGCAGAAATCTGAAGTCGTCCCACAGTAGTTATACTGACTGCAGCATTCTCCGGCTGGACAAATATTACCGAAACAAGAGACGGGGTCTGGGAAGCTTGAAGTCTGTGCAAGCTGGGGTTCCTGGGTAGTAGATATTGTCAGTGAAATGAACGCACTTATGGTATTCAATGGTGTATAATACCTGTGTTGACACCCTAGTCCCTGCTAGTTGAGTTGTAGTCCTGTCATAAGGCGGAACTGGTGTCGTTGGATGTATAGTAGGAAGAGGATTTGGTGAAGTCGGAGTTTTGCTAATCAGTAGTGATTGGAGGATTGGTGGTAAGGTAGGGATGATTAGTGATGGTGTAGTAACAATCGGTGGTATTATCACCACAGTTGGATTCCAAAAGTTAGGGTATGATGGTATAGGGCCAGGTAGATTTGTGATAGGAGGATTGGGCGGGATTAGGCCGAAAGTTTGACCAGGAAGAGCAGCCAATGTATAGGTTTCTCTGTACAAAAGCTTGGCAATAATATACAAGTGGAGGTGGTCACTTACGAAGAGAGTACATATGTCTCGGGTGGGGGTCTTGCATGATGGTCGGCAACTGTCAGCCATATACTACTACACAAGCTCGAGTCGGGTGTTCCGGCCTTGATGTTTATTACTACAAGCGCCAGGGACAGAGCGGTGACAACAGGAGACATCGTCGAAGTGTGATGAGATCTGAAATCTTTACATGGAGATACTTTCATGCTATAGTTATTTGGCCCGCTTTCTCAGGAATGTAGATTTATAAACAATGAAAATTTTGAGACATGGAACATCTGAGCCAATCATTATCGTCTGCTATCATCACCATGCCCAGATTTGAAAGTAATCGTCGCATCAATATCTTGCTCTAGCTTGCTTGTTCTCGGTCTTACTGATTTATATGCATCACGTGCTGCGCGTCACTCTTTGCTTCTTCATGGCAACGAGAGGAATGCAAGTTCCAGGTGTTGTTCCGAAATTCCCCCTGTGATGATTGCTTTCCACCACAATCGGCTCAGGTCGCGTTCTGACGTTGCTTATTCTCAGCGGGCACTCTGAAAATATCAATCAAAGTGTCTAGAGGTTATTGTCTAGCTTCATGATCGAAAAACAAGCTTGCCCCACCACTAGGCTAGCAGATAAATGAAAGGGCTCAAAAAACGAAAGCTATCTGTCATAGTAAATGGACTCCATCTTCTAAACGAATGCTGAAATGTCTGACTTTTAATATATCTTGTTCCTTTTAGACATCTTGTCACTGGGTCTCATTCTCTGGTATCAGATATCCCTATGCGGAAATGGTTATTTTAAAGGTTATTTTACCCCGCCCCCTATCTAAGCTAGAATTATATTCAAAGTTGTCCTTTCGCTACTGTACTGAGACGAATACCGGCCAAACAATTTGCAATATCCTTCCCACCTTACTTCTTGTCCCACGTCTTCTCCGCAAAATCTCCCATCTTGTTCATCCACTCAATCATCCTCTGACTATCAATAAAATCGTACTGGTCAACGACCTTTTTCCCATTCTCAGTCATCTTCAACGTGATGATATATTCATTCTCATACACCCCCGCATCCGCCGTCGCTTTAGCCTCTAAACCCAATGCAACCGTTTTGGTGACCTCGTCCACCACCTCACTGATGATCGTGGCAAGATATGTATATAACATCTTGAACACCTCGGCGTTGAACGCAATGTATTCTTCGTTATTCCGATCCGGGCTTTTGACAGTTGGGGGCCCATTACGATGCACGCATGTTTCGTCGCAGAGCGCGCGAATGTTGTCGAGGTCTTTGTTGTTGTGCGCGTCAAGATAGGCACGGGCGGTTTGCCTGAGCTGGTCACGTATAGAGAGAGACATCTTTCTAGCGAAAGACGTGAAAATGATCTGGAGCTTGTCGTTTGTGTTTGAAGTCGTTTCTCACTTTATAGGCCTGTGGTGGGTAAAGACTGGATTGTTGGTGGGTCCGTCTTGGGTCGCCGTAAGCTGACGGCATTACGACCTCCAACGGCTCCAACATCATTGAGACTGTGCCGCACTTGTTGATCAATTGCTAATTTCATGTTGGAAATTGCGGTCGTATCAATGTGGCTCCAAAGTGATTGAGCATGATAGCGCAGGATTTCAGGTCGAAATCTCCTTATGTTTGGAAGGTCGCTTGGCTTTTATGTGGGTGGTGAAAGAGTAGGTTATCAAGTAATAATATGAATAACAAATAGGTATATCAACTAGTGATTGCAGAATTATGATATCAAGCTTTAGCTATGTATGAACAAAGTTCAAATGTTCCCAGAAGTGCCCAACAAAAAGTCACGAAGAGATATCAATCGACTCGTTCTCTGATACAAAAAGGGGCTCGGTTAGATTTAAAGCTATGCCGGATTCGGAACCCCGCATCGCAACAATGATACCTAACTCGACCTCATCGGTGATAGTACGATTCCTCGGAAAAGCCCTTCATCCGAGTCTTGCTCAACGCGCCAGGAACTGAATTTCGGGTCGTTCATCTCATTCGAAAAGAGGTATTTAGACAGTCTGCTTGATAAGCCTCGGCAAGTGACGCTATCCGAACTCTCGGATCTGGTACACCGGGAGGAGATCACGCAGCTTAGACGAGTGCCCGGCGAGAGGGACAGAACAAACAATAGTCCATTCGCTGCCAGATCGATCTCCTCCAGTACAGAACATTTCGGATCAGAACATCACTCCACAGTCTTTCTAGATCCTGTGACTTCATCATGTCTTCGACTCCATCTCTACCCAAACCAGAGCGGACACTCATTGGAGGTTCTCTTGAGATTCCTCGCATGGTCTCAGGTCTTTGGCAGCTTGCTGGTGGTCATGACGAGCATATTGACTTTGCCGTTGCTGTCAAAGCGATGGACTCATTGTAGGTTGATCACATGACAGCTGATTTCACGTGCTCCGATTAAATACGGTAGGATTTCGGCAGGTCTCAGCTGCTTCGATATGGCTGATCATTATGGTGATGCAGGTGGGTCCCAATCCGCTCTTCTTGTAGCCAATGTCTAACTAGCATAGAGCTTCTGATTGGGGAGCACCATACCCGCTCTAAGCTGAACATAAAGGCGTTCACAAAGTGGTGTCCCCCTGAGAATGGCATCACATCTTTCGAAAATGCAGAAAAAGCTATAGATTTGGCCATGTCTAGAATGAGTCAAAGACATATCGACCTCATGCAGTATCACGCCTGGGACTACACGGATGATACATACATTCATAACCTCAACCACCTTCAAAGACTTCAAAAGCAAGGCAAAATTGAGCACATTGGTGTCACAAATATAGATGCTGCTCATCTAGAGCTCCTTATCGACTGTGGATTCACGATTGCCACGAACCAAGTGTCATGCTCAGTCATCGATCGGCGCGCCGCTCGAGGCCGTCTTTCATCACTCTGTATGCAGCACGGCGCCAAGATCTTAGCTTACGGGACGCTTCTTGGGGGCTATCTGAGTGAGAAATGGCTTGACCAACCTGAGCCCCAGGATTTACCGGCTTTGAACTGGAGTCTGCGAAAATATCTTCGCTTCATCCACGCAGCAGGTGGTTGGATAGCTTACCAAGGCGTTCTAAAAGCTCTGTCAACTGTTGCAAAAGAACACAATGTTACCATCGCCGTTGTTGCGACAAAATATGTGCTTGATCTCCCTGCTATTGGAGCGGTGATTGTGGGATCGCGGCTCTCAGGGGAATCCGGCAAATACACAGCAAGTAACTTGGCGGCTTTCAGTTTCAAGCTCACAGAGGAGAATCTGTCACTCATCTCCAAGGCCCAAGAAAGTCTTGTAGACATTCCTGGGGATTGTGGAGATGAGTATCGAAGAGCTCCCTATTTGACTGCGAGTGGTGATCTAAGTCACCACCTTGAGAAAAGCGAGCAAGATAACAAGATCGCAAAAGCTATCAGGGAGGGAAGACGAATAGAGTTCTCTTCAGGAAGTAAATGGGAACCGATTGCGGTGAGTTTCCCATCCTGTGCAACACTTTTAGTTTAACGTATGTAGGGATATTGTCGCGCTGTACGTACTGGCAATGTGATCCGTGTTTCGGGGACAACGGCAAATTCACCTATTGCTTCGATACCTGTTCTGGGAGGAGCATCGGCAAGAAGTCAAACTGTGGCTATACTTGACATTATTGCTCGTACAATCCAGAAATTGGGAGGGTCGTTGCCTAATATTGTAAGAACTCGAATCATGATCAGACACGCTGAAGATTGCGATGAAGTGAGCAGAGCACACGGGTGGGTTTTCGAGTGGGTCGGAATTAGGCCCGCGAATACTATAGTAGTTTCAGGGTTGATAGGGTCGGAATTCCTCGTGGAGATCGAAGCAGAAGCGGAGCTTGGGTTCGGGAAGGTTTTGAGGATATGAAGCGTGTGGCGGATAGGGCAAGGAATGGCAGAATAGTTCCAAAAAGTACACAGCTTTTAAGGGTGAATCAGAGTTTGAAGATTCCAAGTACACTGACGACAAATAGAAAGAGAAGAATTTACTTCAATCGGAATCGAGGTTCTCAGAGACTTTTTGTAGATAGAGGCAGAAGAGGGCTGCTTTCATACAGTAGAGTGTCACTTCAACAGAATTTAAGTTGGACGAGATGATGCGTTCAGAATTGCTGTATAGTATAGGTAGCCTTTGTGTTATTCAAGGTCAAAGACCTTTCTCCTCTAACCCACAACTAACGCCCAAGATGTACCCCCTTCATTTCAGAATCCTACAAGATCCCTCCACTCTCCAAAATCATCCCACACTGTCCCATATTTATCCATGATCTTGTTGTAAGTGCACATGTAATACAGCCAAGATCTGGGATTTTCATAATCGTCTTCAGATTTTAACTCCTCACAGCGTTGTTCTCGAATCCAATCAATGGCCTCCATGTACCATTGATCTCCCAGTCCGTATAGACACGGGAGACTTCCCTGTCGACCATTATGTGACTTAAAGTCATGCCAGCGCTCATTCAACTCTCGTTCCTTGTCATCGTAAGAATCGCCGTAAATTGAACACTTGAGGAAGGCAGTATCACTCCCCTCGCATTGATACCATCGGGTGTCATAGTAGCGACGACGGTATGCAGGACCGAGGAAGATGCTGATGATGACTGCATCTCCCATCGCCAGATGGTAGGATCGGATACGGTGGGGTCGTCTGGCACAATTACGGTTTGGCCATAGCGATCGAATATTGGTTCCGGTTCGAAGTAAGAGCTGAGGCCACCGGGAATGGCCCACTTAAGCGAGACGCGGTAACGCGTAAAAATTCTACACCCCATTTTAAAACCCTTACTACACAACAACCCTCTTAGGAATCAGTCCATAATTCAAGATGGAGACACCTCTTATCCTAAGTGATCCTATCGAGAAAGAGAATAATGAATGGCCTACCCCTGCACGTGCAGTCATTCGATCCCTACAGCGCCAGGGAAAGTCGCAACGCGAGATTGTCTCAGAGACCCATATCCCTCGAAGAACAGTACGCCGCATTCTTAAGCAGGAATCTAGTCGGAGAGAGCGCAAAAGAAAGCTCTCTAGACACCATCTCATGTCTATACGCGACATACGTTATTGCATTCGAACCATTTCCAAAAACTGGAGCTCTAGGCGCATGACTTTTAAGGCTCTCAAAAAGCAACTACCCTACCTACCCTCGGTGCGCACCATTCGTCGAGAATTAGCCCGGGCTGGCTACCGCCGCTGCATTGCATGCCCTCGACCATATATTACCCTCAAACAAGCTAGGAAGAGATATGTATTTGCCAAGGAGCATAGATGGTAGGGGACATTAGACTATATAGCTTATAGAGATGATGGCAAGCAAGGAGGGGACTGGAGGAAGGTTGTATAGTCTGATGAGGCTATATTTGAGACTAGGAAGAATGGCAGGATATATGTGACTAGGAGGGTAGATGAGAGGAGGTGCCCTGACTGCATTAAGTCAGTCTATAGGTCAGGGAGGACAACGGTCATGATATGGGGGGCATTAGGTTGGGATTACAAGTCGCTATTAGTCTTCCTAGAGAAGCTTCCAGAACGCAAGGGCATATGTTCTAAAGCCTATCTACAGCAAGTTCTTCAGCCTATAATCTTCCCTCTCTTTGATGATCTAGGGCCGGAGTATCTTTATGGAAGACGGGTCTAAGGTGCATAAAGGGCATGCCAGATTACCTAGACTACAGCACAATATCCGAGGGTTTAATTGGCCTCCTTCTTCACCAGATTTGAACCCTATTGAGAAGGTCTGGAGGTGGATGAAGGAGGAATTGAAAAACTTAGACTATGTGCCCAAAAATAAGGTGGATTTGAAGAGGGAGTTGCAAAAGCTATGGGACCGAGTTGACCCACGTGACTTTCGCCACTACACTGAGCAATTGACTTATAAGATTGAGGATGTAATTAAGTACAAGGGTATGGCTACTATTAATTAATAATAAGTTCCATTTTCACAGAGATTAATAAGAAGACTAAAAAATTATGATTTTTGGTAAATAAGGTCTCATTTGTTGAGTTTCGCTTAAGTGGGCCATTCCCGGTGGCCTCAGCTCTTACTTAAGGATTTTGTACATATTGATGTTGACGAGGCCGAAGGAGACAGTATTACATGGTCCATTGTTTTGTTTGACCATTCGGAAGATCTCGATTAGGAGTTCTGTTGGTAGGCTCATTAAGGTCAACCTCTTAGGTTTGGCATTGACTAGGAGAGATCAGTTTAACTGCTGATGGAAACTTGGAAACCCAGGCGCAAAACTTACCCGTTTTGATGATCGAAGTAGAATCGTTCTCATCAGCAATTGGAATCAATTTCCTGCCAATGCTGGTAGAGCTGTGCAAGCTCACGTGTTCATTTGTATCGAATGTAGACTCCAATTCATCGAAGAGGTTCATCGGTTGGTCGCCGAGGCGGATAAGGTTGGTTGAGTTTGCGCCGATGATTGTGGTGGCCATTGTTACTTAATGCTATCAGCTGCAGTTGAGTTTCTTTTCAGGTGGTCTTGAGCAAGAAGAAGTTTTTGCTGCTTTGATTGGTGATTGTGTTGAAGAAAGTTTGTTGTGTTGAAAAGTTGTAGAGGTTGGTGGCTGCGAGATTCGATATTTATATCCCATAATTGCCCACAATGGGGCCCAGTTGGGTCAAGACCTACCGTTGACAGTAGTGTACCACCAATCTAGTGTGACATACGACTTAGTGCGCACTTCAATGCCAGAGGCGCATACTTGCAAGAGTGGGCGCTTATATTCTACTCATCTACTGTTTCTATATGCACTTGTCAGTATGCAATGCCTCCTGTGAATAGCCGTACTATATGTAATCTTCGAACTACAATGAATAGACAAGCTTTAAGGATTTGCGAGGTAAAGCTTGATTACTGTGCTGAGATGATTAACTGTTGGAGCCAGGTTTGGAAAGCGCAGCTGACTCTCAAGCAATCATTGGCTTGCGGCGATGACCACGGAGCAGAGTACAATAGCTCATGTAATAGATCCGAACCAGGGCAAGTCGCCAGTGACGACTGACATGGACCACAAGCTCTACAGAAAACACTAGCGTTAGGACTTACGGCCACCCTGACTTCCGAACACTAGGTACTTCTCTCTTGGGTGAGCGACAATTTGTGAAATTGCAGGACGCGGCTCCCACGTGAAGGGGTGATTTGCCTGCTGGCTCGAGTAAGGGGGGGGGGGTTTACTGGTGTCATCAAAGTCCCGAAAAATGATCATGAACCAATCAGAATTGATTATAGACTAGATATTGTTAAGAAGTAAGATTCAAAGGCGTCCATTGATGAAAGATCGAGGCTTTTGATGATGAGAAACGTGTTGTTCCGTGAGGCTTCCGCAAAAGCAGAGGGGGCCAAGAGTCCTCGCTTAAATCGCGCTAGCCTGTTGTGCATCCCAGGCACCTAATAACCTGCGAATAACCTCATGGATATCTTTTAATGCTCGCAAAGATGTCCCGAGCAAGGCAGTGCTTTGACACTTACCCCAGTTTCTTGAATTGTCCTCGACAAAATATCGCATCAAAAGCTCGAGCCTCATTGAGAGCATTGCAATGAACTAGGTCAAACATTGCTCAGATACTGGAGTCGTACAATCGAGACGAAGTAGTCTCATATCAAGCATCGAGCTTCTGCAGTTCGTCCTATAACGCTTTAACAGCTTACTTGAAGTGTGAGAAACTATTTGCATTTGTTTGCTGGCCCAAACCTTGTTGAAACAAGAAGGTCCTAGCTTCGTCGGAGACGCAAGCCCGATCAATCCGGGGAGAGCCAACGTTCTTGGCACCACGAGACCTTGCCGAATCTGTTGGTAGAGGACCGATGCCAAACAACCGGTTGTAATTGAGAGACTTTCGATTATTTACTTTCCTTTGAAAATGGTGTCATGCAATCTTTTGCAATCTTTTTAGGTTTCTTCAGCGCTCGATAACTTTCGGAAGACAGGAAGCTTCGGCGATTTATCTTTAAGTTTAAACTTTCGCTCAAACCCACGCCTAACCACAACTGGAGAGCTGAACCCGGGGATAATCATAGCGTTAAGTTAAAGTTCTTGATGGCTTGGGACTGAGAAATATAGTTTGCGCTTTCTTGAACTTTCTTTCGTCACCATCCAATGCCCCAACAGTTCCTGCTGGAAAGTCAAACGCAAAGCAAGTGTCACATTATTACATTCATGTCTATCCATGATATAGTTAGCCTTGGAGTCTTGTGCCATTATGTTATATCTTCGTGATCCTGCACCATCTGGCTGGCATTTTCATCAATCGACAGCTTTCCGAAAAGTGCTCAACGTCGGGGTAGCCGGACTACCTTTGTTTTCTCTCTAGTGTTCACTGAAATTAATTTTCCTTTCGTACCCATTGATGACAATGCCTTTAGAGACGCGAACTCAGGATTACAGTACTGCAACGCAAGGAAGTGTATTCCTCATCACATCTGATGGTCGCACTCTTCAGTTGCCAATTCCGTCCCAATCCCAGCACGACCCATTGACGTGGAGCAAATGGAAGCGGTTTCGTGCGTTGTGTGCAATATCTGTCTTCACGGTCGTCGGCTTGGTACAAGTCCAAGGCACGAGCTTGTTGTTAGATGAACTAGAGCATGAGTACAACGCAGTGGTATGTTTCTCCATCGAAACAGTGCTTCTACAGACAGCTGATCAGAAAAAGGAAATTGCTCCACTACGAGTCGATACTTTATCCTCGGTTCCGTGTATCTTCTGGGGCATCGGCGCCTTAACCTGGGTTCCACTTTCACTAGTCATTGGACGAAGACCAGTCTTTTTGATATGCACAATACTCCTTACCTTTTCCACATACCTAGCCGCGGTCTCTCAAACATTCTATGTACACCTACTAGCACGTTGCCTCCAAGGAACAGCTGGAGCAATATCTCCAAGTACTGTGTGTAGTCCCCTAGCAAGCCTGCGTATTCTGCTAAAGTTCCCTAGATGATACTCACAGTCATCGAGATGAACTTCATTCACCAAAGACCCAGATATATCGCTTCTTTCTGGTGTCTCACTACCGTGTTCTCGAATGTTGGTCTCGCGGTGACTCCTTATATCCTTTCCTTAGGGACATGGCGATCATTCTATTGGATCTGGCTTGGTCCTTGCGCCCTCACCATTTTCCTCGCACTCTTTTGGTCTCCAGAGACATATTTTGAGCGACCTGCCATGGCATTTGACGGTCACATATTATCTCAAGCAGAAAATGGCAGAGTCAAAGTTTACAGCAAATGGGAAGATGTTCCGGGTGGGAAGCCCATGCCAGACACTCCCCATACCTGGAAGACCTCAAATATCATCAAGAACATCATATTTTGGAATCGAACAAAGATGGGAGGTTGGCCAGCAATGAAGGCATTCCCTCGACAACTCATCATATGCTTGTTCAATCCGCTGATATTTTGGGTATTGATTCTCAATGCCTTCATTTTCGGCAGCATGGTTGTAACGTTGGCCACCTACGTCGAAGTTCTCATGGCTCCACCTTATAACTTCTCCTTCAACGCAATTGGTCTTGTGAAATTCAGTCCCGCAATAGGCGCTCTCGTAGCCTTTCCCGTATCCGGATTTTTGACGAGCTGGATGGTACAACGCCTCGCCAGGGGGAACAAAGGAGTTCGCGAGCCCGAACACTATCTTCCGTCTTTCATCGTTCCAGTTCTTACCAGTTCAAGCAGCCTATGCTTATTCGGAGTTGCAATGGATCGGCACTGGAGCTCAATATGGATTCTTGTCCTGGTTGGCGTCAACTATTTCAGTGCGATCTCGATCTTCACTGCGAACACTCTCTGGGTCACTGAGGCATTTCCGCGATGGGCTGCACCTGCAATTGTCGTCGTTGGAGCAGGAGGTTATGCTGTGAGCTTTGGACTGAGCACTGGTATTTTCGGCTGGATTCAATCTCAAGGTTTAAGTGCAACATACATTGAGCTTGGTATGGTCACCTTCGCTGTTGGATTGGTTGGCTTGCCGATCAACTTTTGGGGAAAGCAATGTAGACAATACATTTACAAGAGGTGGGGTGACAATGATGACCAGTGATGATCACGCAGGGCAAGGATCTCACTCTAGCAACATTTTGGCGATCCACACTTTGCAGCCAATTCATATCTTCTCCTCGTCCAAATCCAAGCTTTCCTGTTGTACATTAGAATACTTTGAAGGGGCCAGATTCTGGTAGAGCACAGACGAAATTTGTTTGTATTCTACGGCTATACCCCGCTACTGTATATATGTACTTTCCAAACCTAGAATCGAGCGTTGAGGAAATAATCTATATTTCTGTACTAATTTTCTTTCTTGCTTGTTTTTGGTTATAATATATGTCCTTAGATAAATCACATACCCCACGTCTTTGCACCTTATATTAGGTTAATTCGATGATACTCAGACTCGGCGTTCGACGTGTCATGTCGGCACCCCTGAAGCTTCCTTGGAGGTTGAAATACTCCCGTAACTTGCAGACCTTTTGGAAACTTGACGGCTAGGTGAGGCTTCACTAATCATAGGGAGAGTAGGTAAGGTATCAAAGGAAAAGGAGTACTCCACGTGATTTCGGTGTTAACATCCGCCCACCGCGGAAATGTTACTGTACTGTACAACGAGATCTGCAAGATAAGGGAAACACGCTAGTCAAAAGCCCTTCCGTTCGATTGCCTCCATGGAAAATAACTAAACATATATCCAGACATAGCGTTGTTCTAGTTCGAGCCATCCGCCCAGCTGGAACGTCATTGATATGCTTGCATTTCTTATCTCAAGAGCCAGTGGTCTGGACCCATGGAGTGCACAGCCCAGAAAGCCAGGTAGGTGATACAAAAGATGTACAAAAACCTCGCTATCTTTCTCTGTCATCGTCAACAGTCATCGTGAATTACTATGGCTTCAAAGTCTCTCTCGCCTACAGAGGCTCTAGCTCAGCCGCTGACCCTGCCATGCGGTCTTGTACTACCTAATCGGTAAGCTAGAACAGATATGGAGTATCAATCCTCTAATATTCAACAGCTTGGTCAAGTGTCCTATGCAAGAAACATTGGCCGCAGCACCGCTCTTCGATCCTCCAATAGACAAGTTCAGGAATTTATATGGCCAGTGGGCGCAAGCGAACTATGGACTTATTATTACCGGACAGGTACAAATTGATATACGATGTAGGTTATGCTTCTGGCCACTTTTCCCTTCTGGAATTTCTAGCTGACTTATCCTAGTCCTTTCCATAACTGGTGATGTGGTCTGCCATCCCGACTCCCTCTCCACGCCTCACCTCGAGAAATGGAAAGAATGGGCACAGATAGCACAATCGGGGGGCACGCCTTGCATTGTCCAATTAGCACATCCTGGTCGAATGTCTCCAGTAGGTGCTGGCAATCGCCCCGCGGACATGCCACCTTTGTGTCCGTCTTCAGTCCCAGTCAAACTCTCAGACGCCTGGCTGGAGAAAATGGCCATTCAATCTCTCTTGGGGACACCAAAGGCTATGGATCTCTCTGAAATCGACCACGCAGTCGAAGACTGGAAACGTGGAGCCCGTGTGTCAGCTGCTGCGGGCTTCAAGGGCGTTCAGCTCCATGGCGCTCATGGATTTTTGCTGAGCCAATTCTTGAGTCCGCATACCAACCGACGAACGGATGAGTACGGTGGCAGCCCAGAAGGTCGCATGAAGCTTCTCAAACGATTGGTCACTGAGATAAGAGAGGAGCATCCTGCACCGTTTTGCTTGAGCGTGAAGCTCAACTCCGGTGATTACATGGCGAAAGGCGGACTCTCTCAAGATGAAGCTTTGGAGCAAGTACGATGGCTCGTTAGCTGTGGAATGGTGGATTTTGTGGAAATTTCTGGAGGCAATGCTGAGCAGAAGAAATCTGGTTTGCACAACTCTTTTGTTGAAAAGTCTCTCAGCAAAGCGCCTAAGATCAAAGAGTCGACTAGGATCAGGGAGGCATACTTTACCGAATTTGCAGAACGAGTCCAGCAAATCGAGGACAAAAAATGCCCCATTCAGCTAAGTGGAGGCTTCCGCTCAAGAACAGGAATGGCCGATGCCATTCTTAGCGGAGCATGTGATCTGATTGGTCTTGGTCGAACTGCTGTAATGGAGCCTGATATCCCTAAGAGGCTACTCTTGAATACGGAGCTGAATGATGAGGAGGCGTTGGCATTGCCTCATATCGTGAGAGGGCAATGGTTTTCAAACATGATTCCTGTGAAGGTTGTTGGAAGTGGACTTCCGATTCAATTCTTCTACTTAAATATGCGGAGACTGGGAAATGGACTGAAGAGCGATCCAGATAAGAGTATTCCCGGGCTCGTGGTAAGCGCGATTGTTGACACCGTAAGAAGCGGCTTCGTAGGTCTGGTAGAGAAGGTTATGGATACGCTTGGGAGCTTTTCAAAGGTTCAAAAGATTGAATAATAGACTTGTGTACAGTCAAGATGTTTGGATATATGGAAATAAAGAATGCTATCCCTCGATGCTAAGCTTCTCGCCATACTTCCTGAAAGAATGCGACTTCCCCAGGTATGACCTCAGGTACTTCTGCGGCATCCTAGCAAACTCATCCCAATGTCCTCTACAGATAGGAAGCTTTGTCGAGCTGACATGGCAATAGCTTCCCATGGGATGAGCAGTGGACACGCTGAGCATACGGTGCGTTGTAGCTGGTGGTAATCAGAGCTCGAGTAGCCTCAACCTAGCACCAGGTGGACATCTTCAAGTTCATGTTCCTCCCATCGTTCCTTCTTGATATACCCTGATGCTCTTCTGTATGCAACACCATCAATCCACTCAACCCAGAGGACAGCATATACATGTTTTCCTATCCTTTCTTCCTTCTCCATATCGAACCGCATCTCAAAAAAGGACAACTCCTGACGACAAATGGCAACGATTTCAATCTCGAGAGTTTCCTCAGAGTCCGCCTCCGAAAAGTATGATATATCATCTTCGGTATGAAGAATAAGAGTGCCGCAATACTTCCCGTTCTTCTGATTCGCGAGTCGTACATTCATTAGGTGCTGATGATATGTTATATCGTGGTCTGTGAAGTTGCTCATCGCGAATCGATGCGCGGTCAACCAAGCTCGTTTCGTGTGACAGGATATGTATGGTGTTTGTAGTACATTGTATCTTGACACTTGATTCTCTACCTTTCCAATAAAGACTGGCTGCCAGAAGTATCTGTCTGGTATGGTAGAGTGCCGATAGATGTACTGGACGAGGCCGGTTGGCGGCAATCCGACATCTGGACCATGGATTTCCTTGTTGTACGTCTCCTGTATCCATCCTTGAGCAAGACAACTTTCGGCCTTGTTCAAATTTTGAAGAGTTTCGAGCCATGTTGACCTGATAGCCCGTTTCGTCTCCGAATGAGGCGTCTCGTGAGTATACCACTGAGTAATTGGAGTCGTTCTCGCATATCTCTGCGCCGACGCGAATGACTCCTCCTTTATGATAGATATTCCAAAGCCCTTCCATCCAACCCAAGACCAGCTTGGTAAGTGAGATCCCGGAAGTGGGCGACTTTTCCCTGAGTTTGTCCGTCGGTCGAGATCGCTCGGCATCATTCGACACCACATCAAAGCCGAATCGAAGCATGTCTCCGGCAACCCATAAAGAAATCCACCTTCGAACGAACGACTGAGAATATTGAGAAGGCCGGTGATTCCAGGTAGAGCATCTTCGGGGTAAGTGAATTCTAAGTCATTATATTCTGTCAACAAACGCCCCAATCTGTCAAAGTCCGGCTGCCCATCGAGGATGTTGCGAAACTGAAGAAAATCACTCTCACGATACACGTCATGGCTGCTATCGTCGATCAGATCCTCGTGCCATGTCGCATGCCAACATTGCCAGTGAATACTTCTATCCGCGAATATGAGGCGTCTCTTTGAGAGGTAGAACTCTTGAAATGTCCATCCGCGATCAAAGTACGGAGACAAGCCGGAGCGGAAGTCAGGATTGTTTGAAAGGATGACCTGCTCGTTTTCGAAGACCGAGAAAGACTTCTGGTCAAGTCTCCTATGCGGGGATATTCCATTCAAGCCGCATATGCCATCTGTGGCATCTCCGTTAGTGGCAACAATAGTTATCTTTGCAGATGCGTATATGAGCCCCATTAGTTCAAGTTGTTGCCCTAGCTGCACTTCGTCGTCCTGTACGATACAAATTGAATCTACCCAGAGGTATCTCTCGCTCACGGCTGAGACCAAACCAATGGCATGCTTGATTGAAGGCGGGATTTTGTCCGCGAATCTAGTTTGCATCAAAGCACCTTGCTTCTTCAGGTCCTCGAGTATGTCTGTCGTGGTTCGGAACCCGCTCGACGAACCCCATCTGTAGCTCAAGGCCACAAATTCGGAGATGGACTCCCCGGAAACCATACACATGCTGACAGTATCAATCAACCAGGCGGGAGCAACATGAGGTGTTTTCAACGGACTGTCGCACTTACGCCCATGCTGATTTACGCATTGTGCCGTCCATTGTTTGATCAGTTCCAGATCAATCCAATCCTGGTTGAGGATACGACCAAATCCCGGTGTCCTAACCCCGCTATTAGATCTAGCTGGCAGTACTTTCCACGTTCGCGCCGAATTCATAAAGGGTAAAGTCCATACCACGATATGGCCGTATGGATCTCTCTTCTGATCTTTGGTGAAATGTAGAGCGTAAGGTTCGGTTGGGAGAGTGCTGCCTTCGGCGTTTGAACAAGCACTGTAGATATGTCGCAGCAATGGTTCATGTCCTGAGCATGGTATTTTCATCACCTCGTCAAATGGGCCAAGGTTGATAGCAACATAAGACTCGGTGAAGAGGGTCTTGAGTTGAATACACACGGGGCAGCTTTTGTTGATAGGTATAAGATCTGGTGTTGCGGGGTAGGTGATGAGATCCATCCTGCAAAATGTGAATTGGATCGAGGATATCAAATGCTATGGGGATTTTATGGGAGTTGAAAATATCTGTATCGTCGATCTCTATCTGTAAGATGGCATGGTGGGAGTGCGTACGCGAGAACACCTAGGCTGCAAAGGAGTGGTGTTGCACATGGTTAGTTTCTTGTGGCGGCATCCCACAGGGCCAACAGGGGCAGCTGTGCAGGGCTCGTGCATGCCGATGCAGTAAGCGATTATTAACCTCCGAGACGCTTCATAACATTGAAAAGCTTTTTACATGCCTTACAGTTAGACTTGTATTTCCTTAGAAGATAAAAGAGCGCAGCTGACGAGCATTTGCAACTCAAAAGATGTGCAGAAGTCGAATCATGAATGCATTTAGTACACAATTCAATGATAGTTACTTTGCGAGGCATTGCCATAATTTCAGGTTGCTACTTAACAATCCTAATTTATGCAATTTTGCACAGTTTTCGAATTACAACATTATATATGTCTCTAGAGTTCCTGTGCTTTGTTGTAAAGATAGTTTTCCCCTGATTATAACGAACACGATTTCACGATGAATTGCCGAAGGTTGGAACATTGACCACGAGAAGACATTCAACAACCACTCCCCTTTGCCGCCAACTTATGGAACTAATAATCCGACCATTCCTCTCCCCTTTCACGCTTAACCCATTTGCGCCATTCCCCTGTAGCTTTTTCAATACGATTCGTCTCGACTGCGATTGGAGGATTAGCTTGCTCGATTGGACGGCAACTTTCCCACAAGCGTTTCCAAATCTGATTATTTATCTTAATGCTCTTATTGTTGAAAACGCGCTGCATTGCCTCGTCACACGTTAGAAACTTTTGCTCCAGCTTCACAAAAGTGATCGAAAGATAGTCTGGACGATGGAATATGACATGTACAGACTTCTGAAAAGTTTTCGTCTTTCGTAGGTAGAGATCCCCTAACATTTGCATAAAGTATCGAGCGATGATTACTTTGCATTTCTGATTATGCGTAGGACAGATATCGCTCTGCCCGTCTTTGAGATAGTTGACGTATTTGTATGCTAGAGAGCAGAGATCCATGATTGCTTTGTGACGGGCTTTGGCGATATTTTCTAAACCACAGTTAGTTCGACATGATGTCACGCCAAGGGTGAGGAGAATATACCCATCATATCAGCGGGTAGCGGCCAGTTATCGGGGATAGCTGGCAAGCTCTCGTTAGTGCTGCGGTCGAACAGCCGCTTGATACCATGTTCCAAAAATTGGTGCTTTGAGTCTGCGCGAAAGACCCATGCGAGCAAAATCATTGCTTGTTGGTCCTCGTCTGATTTATTGACAAAATTCGGCTCGTAAGAATAAGGATCATTCATCCATTCCCGTACCATCCACTTCTCAATCCAAAGCCTTAGTAAATCCTGGCAGAGGTATTCATCGCAGAGGATTGCAAGGTTGATCAATAGCTCTCGTGGTGGAATATCATTCAGCACGTCCTCGAACTTCAAATGGGCCACACAAAGTAGAACAAGCAAAGCCTCCGCATTGTCCTCAGTGAAGTCGACTTCTTCAACTGGCTCCCACTGGGACTTTGTGCTCCACGGAGGGAAGAAGAAGGTTTTCTAGACCGGACTAGCAAGTGACATGGCTTGAGAAGAGACATGTGCATAGGCGGGAGCGTTCTTGTACGTTATCTTTATACGTGTGTCTGATGGTGAAAAAGTAAATTCCGGTGGGGATGGAATAGCTTCGGCCGCCATACTAAAGTAGCTGATACTTATCGATTTTGTGTAATTTGAGAGACTTGCTTGCCTTGAAAGGGTGAAACCTGTAGATGACTCTCGCAACAGCGTCAAGATGAGAAACAAGCTTTGTAGCATGCAGTGGCCGTTCGCTCTACTCATAATTGAAAAAAAAATTGGTCAAGTTGTGTGTTTTCCTTTGTGTTCTGCTCACGTCCATATCCAGCGATCTCGTAGTCAAGTCTTCAGGTACGATCAAAGGATGAGCGGTCTGTAAGAAAAACACTTCTGCTTATGAATGTGCGAGCGAAAGAAATTGCTAGATCAAAAGAAGCGAAAAAGGATGATTGCTGTGTATCGTGCAGCCCTCCTTTCTGAAGATCACCGCGGGTCATGTGACATCTGAAAAATGAAGTGTCAGCACCACGGGACGGGACGATGCTTTGTCTCAGACACAGTTTGCAAAGCACTGGCGAACTCCATCTCCACTTCCCCAAGCTTAAAAATAAGGATCCCAGAAAAAGGCAAGATTGGTGGCATTACTCGGTGTGGCAATCGCCAAGGCGTGGTGGTGTGGCGCAACGATACGCGATTGGAAGCTCGAGCGAATAAATCACGACGGTGGATTTTAGAGGGGGATTGAAAGGAAATGAGGTTGTATTAATGCAATGCCGGCGACACCGAGAAAGGGAATTAAAGTTACAGGAAGCGTGACTCGGAACAGGAATTAAATTGTGGGCAGAAGAAGGAAAAGAAAGTGCTCGCCGAGTACAAATACATTGATAAAGGCCAGCCCATGACATGTGATTATAACGATCCCGCCTGAAAGGAGTGAACTGCATCGCTTGCCAGCTGCGATACCAAAGGAGAGAAGCAGAAAGTGGTTGTCTGACGCCAGGTCAAGGCAAGGCAATTAGAAAGGGCAAAACAGAAAGCGGAAAATAGCCGGATCAGAGCCATTCTTCCTTGTCCTCCACTGCAATCAATTCCCAATGTGTAAGGGAGTGGGCTCTGACGTGAGCGGCATTCTGGCGCTTAGCGACGCCGAGTAGTTTCACGACGAGAGGCCCCACGGCGAATGGAACGCTCATAAGCGCGACGCTCCTCTCTCCTTGATTGTCTTGGGAGTCCCAGGACTATACGCTCTTGTGGAGAGTCTTCTTGAAGGTATCTTTGTGTAGTGGGAGAATGAGGGCGGGTGCTGTAAGTCTCTCGCTCAGGAGGTGTGTCGGGCTGCTCGACATAGTACTCATCCTCACCGTCACCATGATCTGTGTTGGATCGAGATGGGGAGTACTCTGTGTCGTTGTGTTCGTAAATGCCGTATGTCGCATTCCACGAACTTTGGCTACCATCTGCAATAGACATTTGCTCTGTATCAGAAACGCTTCCCTCCGGCTGGCTTGGAACCGTTTCTGTGTTGTTATCGGGCTCCTCATCTAGGCTAATCTCGGAGTCGTATGTCTCCATCGTATATGTTGCCGCAGGAAGTAGGTAGGTCTGGCTCCTGGTTGGAGTTTGATTTGTGTAGAGCTGATTGAGAGGAGCCGGTTCTTGATACATGACGGCAGTTTGATTGAAGTTGCGGTTGGAATGGTATAGATTATGGCCAGCGGCAGAGTTGTCTGCGTAATGATACTCTCTGGCAACTGGCGCGGGGTAAGTATGATGTCGGTTTGCATGTGTATGCGCTGAGCCTGCGGCGCGTGACATGGTGGTTCTTGCAAGACCGATGGAATGGTAGGTATGGTTACTGAACGCTGTGTCAGAAAGCGAATCTGCGACGTTCAGTGTGGAGAAGAGATGTACCTGTGAGTGGAACGGACAGATCCGTTGAGGTTCTCTAGAGAGGATGTATTCGAATTGGGTGCCATTTTGATAGTGTGCGAGGTTTCATGCGGATTGCCCGCCAGGTACAATGCTGAGAAGCTTGGAAAGTAGCGATGGACTGTGAGCAAGCGACCAGCGAATGTGTATGATGCTGGGTAGATCGAAGAATAGATCTGCAGATTCAAGAGAAGGCAATAAGAAGAATGTAGAACGCAAATCAGCTCTGAATTGGGAAGAAAGACTGCCCCAGACGCCTCGAGGTCTAGAAAGGAGTGGATGAAAAGATTAAGATGAGTGGAAGGGAAGCACAATGTCAGAGTACTCCTGGATGGCAGACAACAAAAGACTCTATATACCATTTGCCAAGCATTTTCACGGGGAGTCTGCGTAACATTCCCAGAATACATTTGAAACAGAACTAAAAAATCTCTTCGCGAGGCATCCAAGCTAAGGCTTGCAGAGGAAGTCCATGCCAGCCGAGGAATAACTTATTTTGTTGGGGCTGCTGAAATGGTGGCATCTCCAGCCACGCTTGAGGCTTTAGTAGCCTTGTTCGTAACCTACTGAGATGCCTTGAAATGCCTGGCACCATCCAGACAGGATTGTTAGCTCCTCGGCTGAACAGTGCTGGACAGATCGAGAAAGAATGAATCACAGACATCCACCCGCGCGCCTCTACGCCCAGAAACGTGGTTGCTACATGCTGCTACTTGCAAGCAATTGCCCCTATTCAAGTGGAACCGATCACGGATAAACGTAGGCATGATCACTAACAACAACTATGTTCTCTGTAGCCCCTGTCGCTACCCCATTGCATTCGTCTAAAACACGAAAGAAGCACAACAGAAAGGACCGACAGAGTGCTAAACGATTTGGCCAACGAGATGATCGTGTCCAAGCGACGAAGACCAATAGTTCAAAGATCTCAAATACCGATACACAAAAAAATATCCGGGTGGCAAATAGTAGCTAGCGTTAGGTGTAGCTCGGGGATTTCGACGGCGGCGGTAGCACTCAAAATCGGGCTGCTCGGATGCGGCGCGGCGGCAGATGCTGTTAGAATCATGCTTCTCACTTCTGGCTAAGATCCAGAGAAGAACGAGCGGACCACACAAAGTTTATTGAGCCTCGCGCTTTTGCCATCGAGTGTTGGGATAAGCAGTCTTGGATGATGAAAAGAGGAGAGGAGAGAGAAGAAACATTGAATTAGACCTCGGAGTTGAACGTCATGACCAAATGACGGCCCGAGCGCACGGGCCGGCCGTGTCGTGCAACGTCAATCACCAAGTCTCACCACCTTTTGCTCACTCTCTTGACAATCTTTTTATTGCACTCTACAAATTATATCGTCACCAGTAGAGGTACTCCATATTTGTAACCAACAAGTATCACTTCAAACACTTTGCAGACGACGATACCATCAACACGGCTCACAAAATCTCATTTAACCTGCCCTACGGATGCGAACTTCACCGAGCGAGAAAGCAAACAAAACACAACCTCGGCGATGAACCCATCACCAGCATGGCTTGCGTGTTCGTCACGGACACAGCATGAAGAAGCCACATCAAGCTGCAGGCTGTATCGGAGATGATTTTGAGGCTGGAGGGACGTATGAACAAAGTCGCAGGGCGTGATATAGCTCAACAAAAATCTCCAATCGACTCTTGGATGCATTTTGGCAGGCAACAGCGGCGCAAACGCCCGCACAAAGAGAAACAATTCATCACGAGGGCATGGATAGCACACCGATTTAAGATATGAGTGGTCATATCACGTCCAATTATTGCTGCAGGTCCAACCGGCAACACTGAAAACGACATATCGCTTTGCAGCAAATTCTCGGACCACTCTTACGTCGCTGAGCTGCTCAATAATCCTATTGTAGCCCAAGTCAGGAACGCTCGCGTGGGGGGAAACTTTCCCACTGCCTCGACTTCCCCTATTCCATCCAATTCAATCAGATCATCGTCCGATACTGAGACATGTGTGTTGGCAAAAGCCATTGACATCATCAATCCTTCTCCTGGACATCATCTCGCAGGCACAGCATAGAGGGGTTTGCAACCCTAGCGAGAGCGAAGATCTTCATCGGTGATCCAGACAGAGAAGAGTATCATGTACTCAAGTCAGGAACCGTGATCATCAGGCTTTTGGGGCTAATTCTTGTGGCAACCCATGCCTCTACTATCAATGGGAATTTTGTGCTATTGATGGCATTTGGTACGCTTCTCTGTCGTGGTTTTCACATGTCTAGCCTTGTTACAACGGGCTGCGCGTGGCTGCCATAACGTCTCTTATTCTTTCTTCCGGATTGACATTTCGCCGATGCAACCCCAGAATGCAGCCACGATGCCCAAATTATTTCCAAGTATGGTCCTCATTCTGATTGGCGAGCAGATCCACCCTTTATCGCAAGTACTCCTTTGGCACAGAGGGTACGAAGTCGAATACTATCTTCCGAGCAAAAAGTGCTCCTGTGACCGTCTCGCTGCGACATAGCAAGTTTTCGCATTGTTTGGAGCCTCTTATCGTCTCCAATTCGGAATGAAAGGTGTTGAGCACGAATTCTCAATGAAAAGCTTGAAAATTAGAATGGCTGCCATCTGTGGAACAGTCTGATATTAATGTTTGTTGGTAATGGCACCTTCCACGACAGGTTCCTTCCAGAGTACAGTGCAAGGTACTGGGACCATCAAAGCCACATCGAAGGATTCCAGAAGCTCCAGTGGCACAAACTGACGGGGAAATGCCTTATCTCGATCATGGGACACCTTGAGCTTACCTTTGTGTCTAATTACACAACATCAAGACGCAATTGAAAGGGCAGTTGGCAAGGACCTGAAACTGCGATGTTCTATTCAACTTGCAGTGAGGCTTCACTATCGGCAGCCTTGTGACTTCCCGTCCCTTACATTTTTCTGTTGCACTCTGGCATGCGACGGAATGTTCTGTCATCCTAGGCTCAGACCTTGTTTGGGTAACAAGTCCCGACCACGCCTTGATGGGGCTCCGAACAGTGAGGAGCCGTCTCAACCACTCAACCCCAATCCAAACGTTATCTCACATTACTAACACTAATTCGGATTCTGAATATGCATCTTTCAGACTCTAATTTGGACGTAACAAGACATTCTCAGACTTGGTACAGAAGCCGATGCCAGCCGGTAAGCAGCCCGTTCCAGGGCCACCGCCTATTCTGTCACGAGGGTCTTGACCGATGCTGTGTTTAAATAGTGTTTAATTCCACAGAATTGATTGATTTCAGGTCATCCTAATCTGGAAGGCTGACCAAAAGAAGCAAAATTTTCATTGAGAACCACCCACCGACCGTTTTATGACAGATATTATTACAAGGGTGCCCAGGAGCACCAGTCCGAAGAAAACCTAGCTCTGCCCTCCTCCGCATCTGCTGTAGCTTGGGCGCTGAAAACCCCCGTCAACTCCGCTATCTCCACCATCTCGCTGCTCATTCCTTTTGGCACTGGTACCTGACGCCTGCGGTGCCAACGTACGGAGCGTCTTTAACGTTGACTCAATGTCTTGTTTTGGGGATATCTCCTTCAAGATTGTGGGAACACCACAGGCAATAGCGTCGTATCGTTGGCGGTCTTCGAGGAATCTACCCATCATAGCGCCTCCAACAGATCGCAGTGGGTTTCGAATGGGACCGCCAAGGGACCTGTAGTAGTCAGTCTCCTATGTTTCGTTCAACAGACATCAACTGCTCACCCATCAATCGATACAGCAATGACCCTCAACGAGGTGGCTGTTGCAACGCTCATGGCTGGAGATTATGGTCCGGCTAGGAAGCTCCTAGTATAGCTTTTCGGCAATGGCTTGTTCGAGTGTCACGAGAGGAAGATATTCCAAGTCCGCGCAGACATTTGATGTGTGGGATCGTCGTATTATGAGGCCTAAGGTCGGTCGCAATCAGGAATCTGCAGCATCTTTACTACGGGTGCTGCCTCATTTTAACATCGTCACTTATCCACGTCTAAGCACTCGGAAGTTCGACAATATCACGAACCCGAGCCAAGGTGGACATGGACAAGGACAACGAAGAAAAATTTTCACGATGCTCGTTTCTGACTTGCTGTCACTCTATCAAGAAACGACTGCTCAAATCTTCAGGAACCCAAAGTTTACGCCAATCTATGCATGCTGCAAGGCACTGGCACGGAATCGGCGGGTGACAATGAGTGGTGTTGGACTCTCGACCATGCGCATGCGATGCATGGAGATCAAACACAAGTCAGCACATCCTGGCTGCCGAGCCAATCTTCAATCTTTTCTTAGACTTACTTTTGCCAATCTCTTGTAAGCAACCGGGCAAAGGGAATTGCGAATTCTGCTTGATGCACGCGACGAGCGTTGATCGAGCAAGAGCAAAGCATGAGTGGCGGTCTGGATGCAGCCGTACTACATTTCCCTCAACATAAAGCGTTGAGCCAATGGAGGTGTAGTCCACTTCCATCAAGTAGCATGATGTACGCCTTCCTTGTCCACATGGGTACCTCATCTGCACATGGGGCCAAGTGACTCCTGGGCAATGAGGCTCAATGGTTTTCCAGAAACCTTTCCGCTTTGGCAGGCAAGAACACCCCGTTCTTTCTCAACAGGTCTTCACTCCCTGGCTCGGATCTCAGCCGGCCCAGGTTCCACAAGTAAGGCTATATGTCTGCCTGGATATCACAGCTGACACCTGCATCTTCTTTCCTAGAACGGCTTCACGTCATTAGTCGCCTCCTCTCCGCATTCAGCAGTCTTCTCCTTGACTTGCCGATCCCTTCCCTTCCGAATCCCACCTGCCTTCAGATGGTCAGGTATCGCGTTACATTTCCATGATTTCTTGCATCGTGGCGTATATTCGTGGGGGTTCGATCTGATCCGCCAGCCTCGTCCCCCACCCAGCCGCAAAACAAAGAAATCTTCCCCATGGGACGCTATTCGTTAGGCTCGATTATCCGCCCTTTCCGCGAGACATCGTTGAGCGGCAAGGGTGGCACTCTGATACGAGACAACGGATACCTGGTCCCTGGAGAGGAGCGGTGGAGGAAGGCCGCAGCCTGCCCTGCCTGCCTATGCACGACATCCACATCCATCTTGGTTCTTGTTCGTAATATACCGCGCATGAACTACCCGGTGAGCTGGGGCGTTGGGAAAGCGTGGGATGGGAGATCTGGGAGTGGGATGTGTTGAGATCGATCGAAGGCGTGGTAGAGCCGTTTGGTTTGTGGTGGCCTTGACCCCTTTCACATGCGTGAGCCATCCATGAACACCTGGACTCTCCAAGCACACTTCGGCCCTTTACAAACGCCTCCCTTCACGCACGCTGAATCACTTCACGATCGTTTTTGTTTCTCAATTATTACCGCCAAGCCATTGACCAAGAAGCTCAAGTGAAGCCATCCGAATTCAAGCGAATGACCTGTTGTGCAATCAAACAACAAGCCAAAACGATACGCCCGAAGTAAGGAGCGTCACAGATTAAACCAATAGGAAGACCCCTCAAGTCGAGACTTCTCTGTCCTGAGGGATTCAGAGGCTGATCTGGCTCACTTTACACAGGCGCTCGTTATTGCGTGCATCTCAGACTGTTGCCGTTGGTGATTGTGGTAATTAGCTGTGTTAAACATCTCTTGTCATCAATATTTACTGAAAGTTCTTTGGAGATTGCGGTTTTCTTTATTGCTACTTGATATGTAAGAGATTCGCGATTTGCTTGCGATTTGCGCGAAATGCGCACATCGCGCATTTTGCTCGCGAGGACCAACGCTACAAAATTTCGAGCCTAGTCGAGATCCCACATTCCCGTCCTCTGTCCAATTTTGGAGGAAGCAATGTCACAGCAAACGCATGCATACTATCTTTACGTTGAGCATTTCAAGTAATGTCTATTGGATCAATGGCTCAGAACGTCTTCCTAACGAAGCAAAACTTCTCTACAATCATGAAGCAATATATTTATCCTTCTCAACATACTGCAAGTGTACCTGTCCTTATCATAACACTAGATCTTGTGATATTCCCCACCGCTCAGAACGTCAAATAAGTCAACGCTCGCTTGTGCCAAGGCTGGCTGTAGTACGCCTCTAAAAACGCGATATCACTCTCCGTCAACGGTCTCCGCCCTGTCTGCAAATCGGCTTCCTTCGGATCCACAAACTTGGTTTTATACACAATCTTGTATCCTAGATACAGCACTAAGAACAACGGCACGCACAAGAATGTCTCGAAGAAATTCTCTGCGGTGGTCGGAGCACCGATTGGGAATAGACTGACGTAGAACGTTGAGGCAAGGACGAAGATACTGCTGATGAATAAGAATACGCTGCCGAGCGGGAAGAATTTGTTCTTGTATGCGTATTGTAAGGTGAGTGGGTTGTCGTTCTGGGCTTTGAACGCAGCGCGCATTCGCCAGTTCGAGATGCAGATCGTCATATAAGCGAGAAAGTACACTGTTGCGGTGATGGAACTGAACCAGGTGAAAATCACGGCGCCGGTGTTCGAGCAGTTGATGTACGTCATGATAGTGGATAATGCCATAGCGATGAGGAGAGACATGTAAGGACGGCCTTGAGTGTCGATGCGTCCAAAGATCTTGGGGAACATGTGCATCCTTGCCATGGCTGTTGAGATCCTGGATGAGATGTACAGGGATTCAGCACCAATGGCGCAGAGACCGACGAGGACGACTACGTTGAGGATGTCGGGAAGGACTTTGATACCTGCGTCATTCATAGCGATCACGAATGGCGAAGCCGCGATACTTGAGGTGCCGAGAAGGCGGGGGTCCGTATATGGGACCAGAACTGTGATAAGTGTCACTGAGCCCAGGTAGAAGACGAAGATTCTGATCAGAAGGTTCTTGCAAGCACGTGGCAGATTCCATCGAGGCATGTCGGCCTCACCATTCGTGATGCCCATGATTTCTTGGCCACCAGTTGACCATGCGGCGAGAAGGAAGGACTGTGCGACGCCCTTGAAGCCATGCGGGAATGCGGGTAGGCTGGTATAGTTCTCAGCATGATGTGTGCTTCCAGTTGATCCAGCTCCAGCAACGATCGCAATGCAGGTGAGGAGTATCACAATCATTGCGACCACTTTGATAGCCGCGGTTCCGAACTCAAATTCGGCGAACATCTTATTAGGGAAGATGTGAATAGCGAAGACGACAACGAGATAGATGGTCATGCATGCTGCTGTCGGGATTAACTCGGTCCAGTATGATATGATGACTCGGAAAACTGCCCCTTCTGCTGCCACGACGGTGATCCATCCGAACCATTCACAAAAGCCTGCACTCTGTCAGAAATGGTGAAAGCAATCGGTGTTTAGACCTTACCAATAGCAAATCCCAAAGCTGGATCGACGAATCGAGCTGCATGATCGACAAATGCTCCAGATGTTGGGAAGATGCAGCAAGCTTCGCTCATGACTTGCATGACCGTCCAACTCATTGTACAAATGAGGGTCCAGCCGATGAACATTCCAGTATAATTTCCATATCTCAATGCCTACAATACATCGTTAGCATGACGTTCTTGGTCTTTTCGTAAGGGGTTGGACAGACCTTTCCGGTACTAATGAAAATACCAGATCCAATGCAACCTCCCAAACAGATCATCTGGATATGTCTGGCTTTGAAGGTACGATGCAAATCGCCACGATGCTCTTTCACATCCTCGTTTGGATATTCGAGGACTTGTCCATATTCGACTGTAGGCACGCCAGCGACGCTCCCGTCAATGATGTCAAGCTTCTCATTGTATTTGTTCTCCATTTTGCTTCACAGAGTCGAGATGTTGAACTGAATGAAGAGAGAAAAAGAACACAGCTCTCGAGAGTATATAAGTTCTTCGTTTCGACGTGCATATGGTTATCTCTGCCTGGTGCCTACAGGAGATAAGGCTCAGAAGGTGTAGAATGATATCAGAAACTGTTCGCGCAGAAGTGGGGGGAATCGACACCAGACCTTCATCCAGACCAGCCACATTAACCCCAACCCCACTGCTGGACCTTATCAGGACGACAATTGCCATGGTGGCGTGAGCAGCGATACCATGGCACTGGTACGCAAACCAGACCGTCACTGGTTGGATGTGGAAAGGATCCCCAGAACACGAACGTCAAGAAGGAAAGAATCCACGACGTGCATAAAAAGATGGATTTAAAGTTATTAGAGGAAGGAACAGCCAATGCGGGGTCGACGTTGTGTTGATAAGCTGTCGCACAGACAGCACGTGATCCCACGCTCTAAGCACAGCACGTATTGTGTTCTACCGTATATAATAAGTTTTTAAACTTTATTTTTTCAGATTTTTAAATAAATTTAAATTTAAAATTTTTATATATATTATTTTTATATTTATA